AAGAACTACTGAAGAGATGTCTGAACCTCTCATTCTCGCAAACTGTCTCGTTGATCGCGTCAAATGTTCCATATAACTTAAGCGGGCTGTGAATAAGCTCCAGTGGCAAATTAAATGTATTTGCTGATTAAATGATTCAATTTTTACGCTCTGAAATCTATAATTCATTTTTTATTTTTCAAAAACTTCATTTTTTTGTTTTTCAGTCTTCACCCGTAGTTCCGATGTTATTCTTTATATATATACAAGCTTACGAAGGACGCTGTTTCATAGTGACTTTTGCTGGTTTCACTGACGACGAATGGATGGATCCGGGAAGAGGAGGAGGAGGAGATGAGAAGGAGATTAATGAAATCCTTTCCCGCCATTTTGCCATTTTTTGCTTTTCCTCATGTCCGATTTATTATATCAGTCTTAATCCGCATTTTTGCTATTGGATGTGAGGTTTCGCTGCAAAATTTGCCCGAAAAAAGTGTGGCTCAAGGATCGAAATATTTCGATTTTCAGGTATTGTTGATGGAACCTTGGTACAAGTTTTTTGAATTTCAAGCATTTCGAAGTTTTTTTCCAGACCGCAGGCTTCTCCTAGAGTCTATAGTCTAATTTTTTCGAAAAAAAAAGATCTCAGAAAGCAAATTTTTTCTTGAAGAAAAGGAGTTTATTCCAATGTTTTCCTTTCAAAAAAAAATTCTCACTTCAATGACTCATTTTTTGTCGTCAATTTTTTCATTGTTTTGTCCTCATCACAAGTTTTAATCTGCACGTGGAACGGCTCCGGATATTTTCTTCATCATCAGTGTTTTTCTCTGCGGGATTAACCTTATACGTGGTTTCTATGTCTGATTTTGCTTCAAATCCTCTTTCTTACCTTATTCTATATCAAGCAAGACTTTAATTTTGAAAATGGGCCTGACCACAAAACGACTTTCGCGAGCTTTGAAAACTTTAGGCCTTGACGTGACCGCAACGTGTTGGCCATCATGTCGTGAAACTCTCCAGTTTTTGGAATTTTATACTTTTCACAGAAAGGGTATTCTAAGTTTTTTGGCTCCTCTTTGCACCTTTAAAGTTTCAAATTCCTTCTTAAATACAATGTAGTACTGACACCTTTGCAAAAATTACCGGAAAACGAAAAATCCTCAGAGAATGGGGCACGGCATCCTCCTGTATGAAATATTCAGGAGATGACGCCTTCTTTTTGTTTTTGACTATACGCATTCACTTTCTTTTCTTTTCTTTTTCTCTTCCGGCTCCTTGAGCATTTGTTGCATCTCGACCTTTTTTCTTTTGCCGCGTTCAGGCGTATCCGTTTACAATTCATTTTGTTGCAAGAACTTGCGTTGGTTCTATTTTTTCTCGGATCGCCCAAACAAAGTTTTTCTTTTTCTTATTTTTTGCACATTTTTGAATAGAACTCGAGTAAATTTGGCGGTTTGAGGGTTTTAGAGCTTGTTTCTTTTGAGAAATTTTGAAGGAGTAATATTTTGTTTAACCTTTTTGTTTCGAGAAACCCGAAACGGGGCGTTTTGCAGCCCTAGCTAGGTGTTATCATTAGCTATGAGTAGCGTTTCACAGAAGAAGAGAACTGCTTTTTTGGGAATATCGTGGGTGTGAAGCTGTTTTGAATTGAAACAAGTCCTTTTCGAAAGCTCTTAAAATTCGAAATTCCGACTTGCAAGGAAATTGAGGGGAATGCTAGACACTGTTGGAAATACCAGTTATTTCGAACGTTCCTTTGAGTTCCTGCACTTTTTATTATTTTTTATTTTCCCCTCGCTTATCGCTATTTGCCCTTCCACTCAACTTTTGAATGTTTGCTCTCATATCAAACACCTTTAATCGAGGTCGTTATTCATCTCTATTCACCCTTTTCCATGTTCCCATTTGATTTAGAGAAACGTTTAGTTTTTTTTAACGCATTTTTTAAATATACATCAATAGACCTAATGAAGTTCTGGGATTTTTGGCTTCTTCGTTCTGTTTTGGCTACGCTGTGCTCTTCTGAACGATCGATATCAGGGTGATTCATTCAATTCGGCGTGAATTGAAGAAGCCATTAGTTTTTTGATTTTTTTTTTCTCAAAATAATTTTAAAACGGCCTTGAATCAAGTTAACCGGATCGTTTACAATTGAATGTATGTTTTTTTAAATCTTCGTGAAGAGATTCTTGAAAAAAACAGTATTTCAAGAATTCGCACTTTTTTTAAAAATTGAAATCATTATTCCTTTTTTTATTTCATTATAGTTTTTCAACTCCTTCTAAGCTTATTTTGATTGTACACTTCTTGGTGGTTCCTTTTTAGATAAAAAAACTTTTTTTCTTTTTTTCCATTTGTAGGCGAAAAAAATAAGGAAATCTAGCTTTAGGATTTCTTTTGTTCGGCCAAAAAAACTATGCTCCAAACTGGCTCTGTGGGAATTTTTGTAGCCATGACATTCGAAATCGAAAAAGCTGTAGTTTTTTCAAAATTGTTTCTCTGTAATTCTCGTTTTTTTCAGAAAAAGAAAAAGAATATAATGTTGAGTCGTGGTTTGCTAAGAAATTTGACATCTTTTTTTTGAATTTATTCAAGGCTTATTCTGTTTTTCAGCAATGAGAATATGTATGAGGTGTCTTATTCAAGAAACATGGTTCTTGGTTATTTCAAAGCGGATAGAAATATTCGAAATCCACTGGAGATTGTAGTATTTTTAAATCTCAATTTGCAGAACAGCCACAGAAATGAAATGAATTAACAAAAAAAACTTTCAAATTTATTTACATCATGCGAGTTTTGCAATATTTTGTTAAGGGACCATAAAGTTCATATATGTAATACTTTCTACCAAACGTCTTCAAGATCAGCACGAGACGTTCGAAAATTTCTTTTTTAATGATACATTCAAAAAAAAGAGTTTAATATTAGTTTTTATGAAGCTTGATGGTTTATTGTGACCAAAAAAAGTAAAATTAATATTATTTCCTGCGAAAATACAGGACCGGAATCTGATTCCGCACCGTAAAAAGAATATTTCGATTTTCATCTGATGCCACGTTTTTTGCAGACTCTTGTATCAGATTCACCTTGACCTCTAGAACATAAGTTTATCAAAAAATTTCGGAAGAAATTCGGAAAAAAAAATCGCTTTCCACACGAGTAGTCATTGGAATTTTCTTCCAGATCGGTTTTCACAGGAATCGAACCAAGAAAAAAAAATAAAAGGAAAGAAAACTTCTCATTAGTGAGGGCCTCCTTCATAGGATTGCTCAAATTTTCGGGTGTCTTTGCCGGGCTTTTCCTCCGTTCTACGTCTTCTTTCCTTTTTAGTTTGTCGGGACATTCGTCTTGCCCCTGAGTGCTTCTTCACAGCTTTTCTACCCCATACTTCATTCATACTCTTCTTTTTGAAAGTTCGAACCGCCAATTTTCTCCAGAGTTCATCCACCGCGAGTTGAAACAGTCTGACTGTCTGCGCCCTCTTTCTTCCTCCCAATCGAAATAGACACCAAGGGTCCATTTTTTTGTTATGAATACACTATATTTGGAGCCAACCCCCAAGTTTCAACAGACTTTTTCACGCTTCAAGCGCACACAAAAATTCTCTCTTCCGGGCGCCCATTTTGCATACATTCTTTTTTGGATTGCGTCCACCTCAATCGTAAAAAAAAGCGGATGCATACATAAACTCTTACGTTTCCTTCTCCCGTCAAATTCCCATATTTTTCCTTTTTCGCACGTTTTTTTGGTTTCTAGCAACTTCTTACGCATAGAAAAACATATGAATTCCGAGACAAATTTTTAATTTTTTTTTATTATTTCATTTTAATTTTAACTTTTCAACGCCTAAATGTAAGAAAATCTGAGCATCCAATAGAATTTTGTGAGCATCATGCTTTATTTCGTATGAGAAAGAATTTTTTCATCGGCTGTACTTTAATTTTTGTTTGATCCCTGTTCCATCTCAAAGATGGGAATTTTTGAAAAGTCTACAATCCCTTGAAATTGAATAAATCTTTTTCCGAACCTTCAGTGCAAAAAGTTTGAGAAATGGCGCAACTGAATGGGCTCATTAGCGAATCTTTCTCAAGCCATTTTCTAGTTCTCACTTACAAACGGCTTTTTTCCGGGCCGAAAGTTGCAAAACGGCGGTTTTGCACTATCAAGAGCTTATTGAATTTGAATCTGAATAATAAACGATTTGAAATTTTTTTCAAAAATTTTACTCAGGTTACACATTAGAACTCCAGTAAAAACTTCAAAAATGATTTTTAAAATTTTTTGAGCCGAAGTACCAGAATTAGTTTTTTTTTTCTCACAATATGATTTCAAATGGTTCTCTAGTCAGTAGATGAAAAAGGTGGAATTTTTTTATTTTAATTTTCGGACATCCTTTAGTCCACTCAGTAGCTGCAACTTGGACATTTGAGAATGCTCTTGTGGGACTCGAGATTTGAATTTTTAGGGTCTCTAATGGATTTTTAAACGTAAATATTTTTTATTTCAGTCGATAAGACTAATTGAAGTTTTGTGTTCACGTCTCTTTTTTTGACTTTTTTTGAGCTGTTTCCAATATTTTGTTTCCTGTTTATGCGTCAACCTGAAAAATTCAAATGTTGATTTTTCCTTTTTGTTTCACATTTCGAATTCATCATGAAAATTTTTCTCACTTTATAATTCTATGTAGACTCAATTTTGAAAATTAATTAATCAGTTATGAGAGCGGAGTTTTGTAATTGAAGATAAGTTGGTCTAGGGGATCATAGTCCACATTTTTTATTGATAAAGTGTGATATAATGTATGATTTTTTTTTATTACCACAATAATTTCCGAAGTTTTTCAGCTCGAAATCATTCGGCTGACTGCGAAATTTCTTCGCTTCTCAAAGAAAGAACGAGAATTCTTGGTCACTAAATTTTCTAATAACTTTAATTTTTTTCTATCGCCGTGCTTGTCCTCACAAATCTTCATCGAAACTTGATATTTCGGTTATTTTGAGGAGCAATGAGATGACGCTGCGATGTCGTCCCCGGCCGTGCTCCTGTTTCTCTCTGCCGCGCTTGTATTACCGTCAGCCCGACCTTCCGAGTTCCGCGGGGTTCGTTTCACCATTCGATTTCCGTTTCAAAAATCATCCTTGAGTTTTTTTCCGATAAAAAAAAGACTAACAGACCAAATTCTGAAATAGTTTGAGCGTTCTCTGTTCCGTTCTAGGATACAAAGCTGTGTTTTTATAACTAGGAAAAACTTTCCACTTGAGGGGCTCCTGAAGGTTTACTTAGAGAGGACACTAAAGTGGCCACTGAATCCCTCTCTATAGAAGCCACTATTTCGCGTTTCAGTGCCCGCTACAATTGTTTTAAGTGGTCTAGTAGTACCAATTAGAATTACGAAGATGCGACTAAATTTTAGCCACTTAAGTGTCCACTAATTCTACAACTATAGTTATTAGTAATCTAAATTTGCTACTAGGAATTTTCCTAGAATGATTTAGATTTTCCAAAGTTAAAAAAACTCCAGATACCATTTCTCCAGAGACTTTTTTTTAATCTAATTGTCGTTAGCTAGAAGTTTTGTTTCCAGAATGAAAGTTTGCAGGTGACGCCAGTTGATCCAGTCTACCTCGTCGTCCCGTTGCCTCAAAATGAGATCATAGACCGCGCCCGAAATCCTTTCCACCTTTCCATAAATAAGGTTTTTTCCATTTCTTGCAATTTCTCCCACAGTGAGCTGCAAAAACTGTGCTTGGAATTATGATGGAACTTGATTGAGTTATCAATAAACGGATAGCGGTTCATTTCGAGGAATCATAAATCGTTTTGAGATTGATTTTTTTTTTCGGATTTTCTTAGTTTGACGGAATTTAGATTATGAAAAAAAAACTTGGCAAAAAAACAAATAATTTTTGCTTCACGTAAGTATTCACAGTTTTTTTCTCACTTTCTCTCGTTTGTCTTTGAGGGAATTGTTAAAAAAACGCTGTGTTTTTACCGTTTGGGACTTTTTTTGTTCGTTTTTCTCAGTTTGAGTTTTTGGCTTTTTTGTCATTGATTTTTTTATTCAATTTCAACAGTTTTCTGGGAAGAAAAAGGCATGTATTTCGATCTCAAAAAATTTTTTGAAATGAAAAAAACCGATTGAAATGAAATTTTGAGGTGCGCCCCGTTATCGACCTGGCTTTGGAGGCTGCCTACGAAAAACAGTTCGTTTTGATTTTCAAGTTAAAACTTCGTTTTTGCTGTAATATAATTCCTAAAAGTTATTTCGGAAGGTTCTGGCTAGCTTTGACGACTACTGTAGTTGCTACGGGCGCGAAACAACCTTTTGGCGCCAAATTTGATTCGAGAACCTTTTGCGATTGAAAAGAAAGTTGTAGAACTATCTTGCTGTCACCAGGTGTCTCAACGGATGTACCCGTAATGAACCCGCTTTTGGTCTCTTCGTGTCTCAGTTGGGCTGAAACGGGTGTAAGAAGAAGTATGTGATCTAGCTGTGTTTGTTTCGAAAATCTGAGACCCAACTGTGTTAAAACGGTGTCTCAGCTTGGGTAAGAAATGCCAAAAGTTCTGTTAGCTGTGCTTATACGGGTTTAAAACGGGTGCACCAGATGAGATCTCGTGTTAGCACGGCTGGTCTATCCTCATCAGCATGAGGGGTTTTTTTGCTAAAACATTTTTGATTTCTCGAGTCCCACGTTTAGTTCAGAACATTCTCAGGTGATCGTTATAGACAATTTGTACAACAGGAAATTTATTTTTCCCTCTAGAATCGTACCTCGCGACTCGATAATCGTCACCTATCGCGATACGAAAACTTCCGATGCTCATGGACCGAATATCGCCGTCGAGCTGTATGTAAAGGTAAGTCTTTTCATGACTTTTTCGGAAATCTTGATTTTCCCAGAAACAAATGGACTGCATAATCGGCTACGCCTACGTCTACGCGCTAGCTCCGGTCGCCCGAATGACGCCGTTTTGGGGCAACGGAATCCCCGTCATCACGCCGATCGGACTCACGATGAACCTCGATGACAAGACCGAGTACCAGCTCATGACGCGCATCAGCAGTCCCTATAAGGTCTCGCAACAATTGTAATTTCGGTTAAAGACTATGGACGTACGGTAATTAAGATACGGTTTTCGAGAGAAGAAAAAAAAAATTCAAAGACTTGACTGTTTGCAACAGGATTTTTTATAGGCTTGAAAAATCTGATTTTTCTGAGCCTTCTCATGTTGACGCGCTTTTTTCAAGTTTGTATGACCTCGGTGATGAGGGAGTAGAGAGTGCAGACAGATCAGAATGCTTCAAGTCTGTATGAATGGCCTTAACCATAACAAGAAAAGTTGAGGGAGTCGTCAGAAAAGGATCCTAAAAAGAAGTCTTGCGTTTGAACTCTCATTTACCACCACAAGGTGTGATCCAATGTTTCTAGCTTTTCACAAAAAAAAAGTCCCAAAGAGAATTTTCTCAGAATCCCGAAATTCTCCGCCTTCATAAGGGAGCAAAGCTATAAAGTTTTCAAAGTTTAGTTTAAGTTTTTCTTATCTTAGTTCTTGAAGAAAACTCTCTTTTTCCATTAAAATGTAGCACCACACTAACTCTAATACAACTTGGATGCAGTTGGCGGCGAAAGCGATGAAAAATCTGTTCTTGACGCAACAGTGGAGGCAGCACGTCTACATGTTCCACCACCCGAAAACGAATCCGTCGCTGCCGGTCGACGAGTGTTTCATGTTGATGGCCAGCGTCCAGAGCATGGTTCGGGAGGTCGGTTTCCAATATTTGACATGACCAGTCGGGCTGCCAAGAACAAGCCTTACTCACTAGGGAAGCTTTTCTACCCCCTCCGTTAAACTTTTGATGAAACTTTGCTGAAATATACTTTAGCTCTGAACTAGGGCGCCTTAAGGCACGCCCGGATGTTTCTCTGCCCCATGCTGTTTCGTCGTTTTCTCGTAGTCAGAGAGTGAAGAAACAGCATATGGCAAAGAAATAATAGGGCACGCCTTGAGGTGCCATAGTTCAGAGAGGACCTGCTCATTCGGAAACAAGAAAAAAATTGTCTCGCGATAGATAATGAAAAAAGATCAAGCCTCAAAAAATAATTTTTGAAACTTTTCATCGCAACATTTTTTAGCATTCAGTCTTTTGTAGAAGTTTTTCTAGCGATTGGTCGTTTCTAGTTTTTGAGATGAACTCTGAATATTGAAAATCGACTTTACCTACGTTCCAAAAAAAGAATCTCTTGAGCCGGAAAGTTCGGAAATTGGCAGCGTTTCATTTTTTTATTCCAGAGTTAAAAATCTTGGAGGAAATAATAAAAACTCCCTTTCCTCAATATGGTTGCAGGCCGGTGCAAGTTCCAACTTTCCAGAGTAACGTAGTAGATTTCTGTATGTAATTGGAGGTTTTCCACCTGCTCATTTCATATAAATTTCTCAGGTTAAGGTCACTAATTTTCAAATAGAAAACTACAATTTCAATTTGATGCTCCAAATTTGTCAGAAAAAAATGCAGTTCCCTGGCTCGCCGTATAGGCGCCAAAGAGCGGGAATCGTCACATCAAAGTGCCTCATTTTTCCTGCCGAAACATGGAAAATTGCCAGAAATAACCCTGAACCTATGTCGAGCAAATTGCAGGAAGGGAGCTCTTTTTATTGTTTTTTTTGTACTAAATTTGAACGGATGGGTTTTTGAGATTTTATTTGGAAGTTAACTAGTAAACTTCTTCGCGTTCAAAAGTAATGCTATGAGATGAGTGCAATCTCTTGATAGGGTAACAGTGTTAAAAAGATTTATTGTTTTCTTTGAACGGAATCGGTGGAAAAGCTAGCGTTTGGCTTTTCACTCTGTTTTTCTGCTTGACTTCCTTAACAGTTGCTATTTCATTCAATTTCGATTTCAAGGTCATCGAAATGCAGCACAACTATTTCGTGTTCAACGAAGATAGCGTCGAGCCGCGGGAAACCAAAAGAGCCGAATACAGGAAAATCCTGTCGCAGAGCAGCTTCATCGGAAAAGGTCAGTTTCAGGGGCTTTTTAGAGATTTTTTTTTTGAATAGATTGTACAGGTTTTTAAAGGGGGTTTCCGATGTTGGATTTTATATTGTCTGGTTCGTTTTTTTTAGAAAGTCAATGGGAGTGAGTTTTTTGGGGTTACCAATTTCTTACTTAAAAAACCAAATTTTTAAAATCCTTTTGAACTCCCCGGAGTTATCCGTGGGACAACAAAAGATTTTTAGAGGGTCTTTCTGATTTTATGTTTGAAATTTTTCTCTGAATTCTTTCAAGCAATCGAGAAAAAACAATTAGAACTTTGTCTTCGATTTTGAAGTACAGAGACATTCAAAGCTCAAGACGTTCGTTCTAATGAACTATTCCACTAATTCCAGCCTCGAAGGCATATGAAATCGTAAAAGTGCACTCTAACGAGCTATTTCACTGATTGGCTAGCCACGCCTCTTTTTTTTTACTTTTAGAATCCTCATTAACGATACGAGACTATTTGAAATATTCTGCGACAGACTTTTTCTGATAGGTTTTTTTTCAGAATGAAAAAAGATCTTTATTTAGTAATTTTTCCGTTTTTATTTCCGATTCACGTTGGCTTGTTTGCCCTCCATTAAAAGGAACTAGCTCAACTCGTTAGCCGTTATTTATTTATATATTTTTTCCCAAGAGGTTTCCGATTTCAATCTTGCTTTTGAGTGTGGGAGTATGATGTAGGAATAGATCTCTATTCGAAATTTGGTCATTGATTTTACTTTTTCAAGCAAATTTGCAAGTTTATTTTAGAACTATATTCAATCTGTGCACTTTTGAGCTCAATGCGTTCTCAAACTTTAGGCAAATGTTTGTTCTGTTTCTTTTGAGCAGAGTAAATTACTTTTTCTAAGAAAGTTCGATTTTGATGACTAAGGAGGCTATTGAGTAACTTTTTTTTCTGATTAAATTCAGACATATTGAAGCTCTTAAAATGTTGGACTTTCTGTAAATATCTTTCAACAAGGTCGAAAACATTTTGCACATTTTAAAACATTTATAGGAATCTAAGTATTATTTTTTTTTCTCAAAAAGTTTTGGGGCTTCTTATAACTAAAATTTTAATTTCTGATTCTTCAGTCATCTAAGGTACTTTTCTGACTTCTTTCTGAGATCTTCATCACTTCCAGCCGTGACTATAGGGTCAGTAATCATGAAAAATGCTCGAAATATTCTGGTAGATTTTTTAGAGTCGATAAGACTCGATAAAGTTCATTCCAGCTCTTTTCAGGTTTAAAAATATTAGGTGATCATTTTAGAATTAAAGATCATACAATATCGCTCGAATCATTTTTGGAGGGGAACTTCAAGTTTCTTTTGACTTTTTCTTCTTCCTCTGTTTCGCAGCAAAGAATTTCATCAATGCTGTCTTTCATTTCCGTTCGACTTCTTTGCTTTTCTGAACCCTCAACGCAATCAAATTATCATCAGTGCACTGATTTGCTGATCGAATCTTTCCTGCTGCTGTTGCAAGGAGAGATTGTCTCCTGCCGGTAAACGCGCTTTGCACACAGAGACACGCACGGGACGCACGTGATTGTTACACAATCTGCAAAACGAAAACGACCCCAACAGCAACACAAAAAATGAACATAACAGACGGATGAATGAACGCAAGAGAAGGTTTTTTGGGTGTATGACTGAGCGAAATGACCTGGAGTGAATGGTCGCGACGGGATGGTTAGAGTGCGTTCTGCGGTTTTTCAGGAGGTTTTCGTGAATTTGAAACGAGAGTTTGAATACTTTAGAAAAAGCCCATGGACGATCTTTCCATAAAAACGCCAGAAAAAAATATTCCGGAATTCTTCGAAAACGTCATAGCCATGGAGCGCAAATTTTATAAAGCAATCGCGGCTACTTTTCCCGGTCGAATCTGTCTCGTTAAACTCCAAAAAAAAATTTTCTTTGGTTTTCTGGGAGTAGTTGGTTTTTCTGTTGTAAATAATCTTTTTTTTAAATCGACTTCCTTGAGAGATTCTGCACGGATTTCTTTTTTAACGGAAAAGATTAGAACTCGAAGCGTCACTTTGGAAATGTCGAATGACGGCCAAGGTCGTAATTGATGGTGGCCGCAAGAAAGAACAGAAAAAGGGAGAAGCCTCGAGAATAATCCTGATAACTGTTCTCGATTTGCATTTTTTTTTTCCTCTTTTCATTTTGAGTTTTGTTTTTGACTTTTGGCCACGGCGATGTACGGCGGAAAAGGAAAAATATGACAAATTAGGCGAGTTTTCCTACGAGGAAAAACCTTTTGCCTCGGGGCAAATTACATCGTTTTATCGCATTAACCGCGTTAGTTATTCCCTTCTATTGGAAAATTTCGTGTCTCTTCCTGGAATATTCGAAAAAGTATTTCTAGTGGGCACTAGAACGATCTTTAGGTAGCCGCTCTACTGTACCGTGAATTTTTTTCCTCTCCGCTGTTATCAGAACTTCCTGAGGGGTCTCAACTTGAATATTTTTGGGGGTCGTTTGATACGTGGAGATCTTTTTAACTTAACCGCGTTGTACTTAAATTTTTTTCTAATGGGTCTTCAAAGATATTTCTCTAAACAGTAGTTACGAGAAAAAAATCGCTCTGTGTTTCTATTATTCTTCAGAAATTGCGATTTTTATTCAACTGAAATATTTCAAGTGATGCCTTTGGAGTTTCAAACTTTTTTTTGCCTTTTTTTCCATCACGAGAATTTGAAATTTGAGAAATAGTTCCAACTTACACTCGTTTTTAGTTTTCATTCACATAAAATTTGGTCATTTCCGTTCGAAAAAAAAAAGAAAAATTCGGCTGCCAACAGATCAATTTAATCTCCCGACCAGTTACCACCGATTAGTCTTGTTTTGGTCTCGTTTTTTTCTGCTGAAAAAATTTCAAAAGAAAACTTTCTTGCAAAACAATCCACATAATCACTCAAGGAGCTTGTCTCATAGGGTCACTTCATTTCTAGCCGTTGGGACAAAAAAACAAAACGGAAGAGAAGACGTCATTGCCTATCATGGTCGTCGTCGTTGCAGAAAAACGGAAAAAGAAAAGAAAGGAAAGAGGCCTCTCAGCTAATTTCCAAACGTGGGCCCCTGCGGCGACGGCGTTTTTCTCATTTGAATATTTCAGGCCTAGGCCTAAAGAGAGACTAGTAAATGCTCGGCTGGTGGAAATTTTTTGCCCCTTTGCAACTAATGCGTTGAAAAAAGGCTCTGATGATGTTTGTCATAACAAGAAACGCGCAACGGCGTAATAATTTCAAGATTTTTTTTCATTCCTTCTGAGACTTTCAACGTGATTCGCTCAGCTATTCTAAGGCCCTGCGCGCAAGTCATTTTCAGTCGGGAGCAACGAACCTTTCTACGTGCGACCATTGACTTGCAATTTGAGGTTAATGGAGTAAAAAAAGATGTCGACCAAAAAGGGAGTACTTTGATAACGGAAAACTGCTCGTCAAATGATGAATCCAAATTCTTTTCGAAAAGTTTGTTTTGTAACTATTTCATTGACCGCATATTAAAATGTCTAACAATCTGCGCTCTTTGTTTTCTTCTGGAAAAGTGAACCGACGAGAATTGAAGAGAGCAGAAACAAGAATGACTTTTCAAAGTTTTGTTCATTTTTTAAGGGATCAAATGAAAAAAGTCTCAGATCTTCTTCATATAACTTACTCGAGAACGTTCTCACTTTGGGGGTTTGGTATCGAAGGGGTTGATAGAAGAAAATGAAAACTTAGTGCCTAGCAATCTATCTGCTCGTGATTTTGTTTTTTCGTGCAAGGCAATTTTTTTTTCCGTTTTTATGGTCTTAGGCCTAACTCAGGTAATTTAAAATGCTCACTCACGAAAGATTAATCTAGAAGTGGGAGCTAGATGAAAAATCGAGTTGCCTGAAACTTTTCTGTTGGTTTTGATAATCTCAAAACTCGCTCAAGAACATCTCGGGCGGCTTTTTTGAGCGCTGTTTTTCATTTCTCCGACCAGGTAGCTGTACATCTTTCTCACTCTTAGTTTGATATTCTCGGCAGTCGCTACTGCGTCAGAGTAGGTTGTTATTGAAACGACAGCGTGCTCCCCACATACATATGTGTGTTGAGTAGTGCCCCGTTGCATTTGGAAACCTTCGATCTTCTTGAGAAAGAAAACAAAGAATGAAAAGGAAAATGAACGTGAGAAGAGGCGATGATAATTGCTGCTCCCACGTAAATTGGCACATTAGAGATACAGTTTTTTTTCTCTATTTCTTTTTTTCTCAACCTTCTCTTGGTTCTCTAGCGGAAGTTTTTTCAGAGAACGTGTAAAGATGAGGATTTTTTTCAAAAAAAAAAAAGAAAGGAAAGCTTTCCCCTAGAACGTCTGGCGCCGCTGCCGTGGCTCATTAAAATACGTGTGTGTGCTCGGGTCTTGGCGGAAAAACAACCCGAGTTTCGTATTCATGACATGTTTTTTGTTTTTTTTTTTTGCAAGTTTGGAGCACGGCTTCATTCTTAGCCTAGCAACCTTTTTTGAACGGGTTTTTATGGGGTATCTTTCATTTTTTAGATCTTTTTCGGCCATTTGAGCTTTGAAATTACTCAGGAAAGTCAAGATATCACTCAAGGATTTCCCTCGAAATGAAAAATGGCTGCCTGGCAACCCTTTTTGAGGTCTCATGACGGTTTTGATGGAGAGTCGACATTTAAAAGACATGAATGAACGAGAAATGAAAAAAGATTCCATGTTTGATTTTTGAACGTTCACAGGTGAGCCCAAGTGACTATTTCGGCGTTTACGGAGGAATTTTGATTTCTCACTCAGAATTTACTTAAATAATTGAGTTGTCGCTTCAGTATCTTCTGGAATGAAACTGTAATCAGAGGCTTAAGAGCAGTTTTTCAAATGCTTTTGGCGAAATTCCGTACACTATCGGTTTTTCTAAAAACAGTTTTCAAGTGTTTTTGAGGGTTTTGAGTTTGAACGGTAATCTTATCTAGCTTTATTCAAGTTCATATAAACTACATTGGGAGAGTAAACTTTCTCGTGGAAGATTTCCGCTTTTTCAAGACCAAAAGGACCACTTCAACATCATTTTCGAGAAATTTTTTTTTGTCGCTGAAAAAGTGTAGAAAACTTCATAAAGTTAGTGCTTTTTACAGTCTATTTTTCTTATTTTTTTTATTTTTCGTCCTTGAGAACTTTTTTGAATGGACTTTACGAGATAGGAGAACAATTATGGATCAATTGATTGATTGACGGAAATGACCCATTTTCGCGCCATTGGGAAAAAATTCTCCAAAAAAAATTGATGTTGGAAACATCCAATCTAGGAACGCTACACATAAAAGTTGTCACCCTAATCGAATTTTGAAAAGTTGAGAGCACAAAATTTGACAACGGCCACAAATAAATATCTATATATTTTTTGATCTGTCAACAACACAACGATGCGTAACTACAATATTTGTTGATTCAGAGCTTTTTCCTCTCTTTTTTTGCTGCTGCTTTCGCTCGGTCAACTATAAAATGAAGGAAAAACAATCGGAAGGAAGTTGATACGATTTAATTTAACAGAGGGTGTGTTATCAATATTGTAACATCTCTTCTACTTTATTTGAATTGAAGTTATTTGGTTTTTCTAATTGAGCAACTAGTTATTGTATTGAGAAATTTGAGAAAAAAATTTGGAAAAAAATAAGTCAATAAAAAAATCTTTTTGTTTAACTTCGCTCTAAAATTTTTTTGATGGTCGTTTTACCTAGAAGATTTGAACCATTTGCAGGTTTTTTTACATAAAATTCGGTTATATGGTTTTTAAAAAAAGTTTCACCCTCGACTAAGGAAGTAAAAAAACGAAAGTTTCGAACTAGATTTGTTAAACAAGCTCGGAGCAATTTTTTTAAAACTGTTCAATTTTTTTATAAATCTAAAAAAAGCTCCGAGTGTTTTTTTAAAAAGTATCAGACAACGCTGCATCTATTAGCCTAGCAATACATTTGGTTGAATCACTTTTATTGATTAAAAAAAAATTGCTCGACTCAGAAGATTTTGGACCAAAGCCAGTTTTTGAATGGCAATGTACCTACAAACTTCTCTCACGAATTTCGACTTTGCAAAAAAAAATGTCAACTACCAGAACTTTTTAGTCTTTTTTCGGCTGAACAGTATTTCATTCGGCATGCCCTGTAGTCGCGGAATTTCTCCAGTTCGAAAGTGGGGGCCGCAAAGCCGAATTAGAGAGGTTGATAGGAGGACTAGAGAAACGAAGAGAGTTGATAGGAAATTGATAGGCGCCACGCGACACCGACTCCCCGTACAAACGCATAACAATAAACGGTTAAGACAGAGAGAAAGAGAGATTTAAAGAGTAGTGTTTTTTATTTCCATAACTTTATATATTCGAAATTCTCGCTCGGGAGATTAGTGATAGTATTGGCAACATTGAACCATCCTAGAAAAGTTCATTGTTGAGAGAACGCCGCGATTTTTTTTATTATAGTGCATTCACACGAAATGAAATAGTCTGACCTGTCTGCTCTCTCTTCTCTCACCGTCGAGGTCACGAAATAACGCTGAGAAACGAGAGGGCACAAAGATCTCAGACTGTGGAAAGCTGCGGCAAAATAGCTATTGGGAAAGGATGAAAAAAAATAAAACGAAAAACTCCAAAATTGTTTATTTTTTCAATATCAATTTTTTCATTATTTCTTTTTCAATTCTTCACACCTTAAAGGATGATTTGAAATTTCTCAATCATTCAATGACTGAAGATTATTCACCTGATATTTCACTAAGAAAAAAACATAATTCTTGATATTTATTAATCTTCCAGAAGTCCTAGAGAAAAATTAAGAAAAAGTTTTTTTCAATGTTTTTGTGGTCATTCAATACCAAATCCGTGAATTCTATATATTTTTTTCTAATTCAATTTTTTTGGAGAATTCAGGACGAACAGAGGTAGCATGAAAAAAACTTTTCTGAAGGGAGAGTTCTTCCAAACACGAATCAATTAAAAGGAAAATGGATTCATAATGTTCACTGATAATAATGTCATAATGTTGACATTGATCAGATATATTTATTGTTTTTTGTGGTGTTAAAACCTGGGCTGACAAGAGAAGTGTGTGAGGAGATGTAGGAGAGGCTGGCGAGAGGACGAAGAAAGGCGATGGGTGGAGAAAGAGGGAGAGATAGAGAGTGGGTAGATACGGACGGCCACGCCCATTTCTTTTTTTTTCTTCGTCCGCTGTGCCGTGAACCCTCTCTCTGCAACGTCTGCTTTGGCTGAATTTTTGTGGTTCTTTTGTCTGACTGTCAACCAACTTGTTCTCCCCTTGATTTCGGTTAATATTCGTGTAAATTCTCTAAATCTCGCTTCATTACTGGTGAATTTGCCGGTGCCGACACCGCATATGAGGCTATGGGCAGATGGCTGACGATCCTTCAGCTCGTCGTCGTCGTCGGCCTTCTCGTCCAGCTCGCTGGAGCACAGTTCCCGTTCAATGTGATCGTCGTGCTGCCGGAACGCGAGTCGAAGAACGACAATTTCGGTCTGACCCTTCAGAAAGCCAAGCCGGTCATCGACATTGCCGTCCAGGACATTGTCGAGTCTGGCCGGATGCCTCCCGGCTGGGTCAATTTGACCTACTGGGACTCGCGTTTCTACGATGACATGGTCCTTGCCGAGCGGTTCTCCACTGTCGGTGTTATTCAGGTCAGATTTATATTCATTTTTATTTTGTGATCACAATGTATATTATACTAAACGCTGGCTTGTGAGGCGACATAGAAAAACTCTTTCTCAAGCCAGCGGCGGAGTAACTAGAGATTGAAACAGTTCACTGCTATTTAAATTGCGACGCGTGTGTCTCGAAGCGGTCGCCATGCGCTTCTGATATCGTGTTCAAAGTGATTCCGAGAAATTCAAAGTGACCGTCAGAAAGTGAGAAATATTTCAGAGAACCAGAAATGGTTTTGAATTTTCGCGTAAATCACTTTGAACGCGGCAATAAATAAGACATATTCTTGAGTATTTTCGTGAACGAAAATGGAACCGAGTCGTTTCGCGACCGTACGCCACGAAATTTCGCTTTTTAACTTTGAATCAAAAATATTATTTCCTTACCACAGTAGACTTTCAGGAGGTTTTTTTGGAATAACAAGTTTGAATCTCTTTTTGGAATAGATTAAAATTTCCGTTTGAATAGATAAGTTTTTGAACTCAAGAAGAATAGACAGTTATTTTTTTCATGATTCTGGTATTTTTCTATTGAAATTTTTTTATGAGTTTTCGGATTAACCAGTAAAAAGGAAAAAAATAACCTTTTTTTAATTAATTTTTTTCGTTTTTTTCGCTATATTTTTTTGCTTGAAGGCAATCGTTACATTTTTGATTTTTATGGAGGAATTTTTTTCTGGATCGCCGTTCAAAAAGTTTTTTTATTGCGTCAGCAAAATAAGAAAAACAAAAAAAGCTTTATCCATCTGGTGGTTTTATTGCGAAAAAATGAGGAAGACGTTCAAAATGAGAATCTTTTTATGATTTTCTCATTTGATGTTGTGAAAGAAGTCTCGAAAATGAGAGAATTAATCGAAAAAAGTCTAAAAACGAAGAAACTTGAAGAAATCCAATCTCATTTTCCGTGACGTTTCCTATTGAAACTACCAAGAAGACCTTCGGAGTTAATATTTTTCGTTCTGAAAGAATTCCTTAAGCTTCGAGAGAAGTTTTTTTGAAGAAGAAACGTTTTTTTTTCGTCAAAAAACTTTTTTCAAACTACAAGAAAAGCTTCAATATCTTCAAAGATTCTGCAAAGAGTGTTCAAATAAATCAGGAGGGGAAATAAAAAGTCCCGGAGCTTTATCTAACTAATAAAAACAGCCGGAGGGGATCCTCTTGGAGCTTCTTCTCAAATTTCACTTTGTTTTTTTTCCTTGTGGTCACGCTCGACTGCAGCTCTACCAAAACAGTTTTCCTTTTTTCCTCTCATATTGTTATTGCAAAGTGAAGAAAACAATCGAACACATTGAAAGCAGAGAAAAAAGGAAACATTTAAGTTCTCCAAGTTCTTCATTTCCGTTTCATTCGAAAAAAAGCGGAAAATTTTCGAAGGGTTTTTCATGCAATAAAGCTTTCATTTCCAGACAAAAAAACAACTTTGAATTTTTTGACATTTTGACATGACATTTTAATTCATCATTAAAATATTGATTATTTATGGAAGTCTCCTCAAGTTTGCGGCAATGAAACTGTCCAATAAAAAAATCTCTTTTTTTCTTTTTTTATGACCGATGTTTCAAAGTCATCAAAGTTCCCAAAAAAATGTTATAGTTTTTATATTGAAAATTAGGAAAGGCTGGGTTAATCTTCATTTTTTTATGTAAAAGCTCAAAAAAATAATGAAAGCATACATTCATCGAAAGTTTTGAAAAAATGGTTTCAAAAAATAAATTTCTTTGAAGTTTCTTGCTGAGTTGTTCAAAGAAGCATAAACTGATTTTACAAAGGTCTGAAAATCATTTTGAGTGATTTTCGAAGTCATGCGATTTTTATGGGCCTTCAAAATCCAAGCAAGGTTTTTTTGGCGTATCAAATTAGATTAGAAACAATAATTGAATTCCTGCTGTATCATTTTTCATTTTCATCATTTGCAGGCCTACTGTGAGCACCGACTGGACGCGATCCTCGGTTTCGCCGACAACTACGGCCTGGCCACCGTCACTAAAGTGACAGCGGGTCTGAACGGCGGAGTCCCGATCCTGACCACCGCCGGAATGCCTTCTCTTCTGAACTCCAAGAAAGAGTACCCATTCTTGACGAGGATGCGAGGATCTTATCGCTTGCTCGCCGACTCGATGTACCAACTCATCGCCTACCACGACGACGAGACCCAACTCCTGCACAACACCACCACTCTCAACTACCTCAACGTCATGTTCTTCTACCACGACAAACGGAGGGCCGTCAACCGCAAAACCAACACCGACGAGGCCGAGACCGGCGCCACCTCCTCTCACTGCTACTTCTCGCTCTACGCCATCAAACGCTACTTCACCGAGAAAAGCAAAACGTTCAAGCGCGAGTGGGCTCTGAACACGCCGCAGTTTCCTTTCGATGAAGATTTGGTCACCAGCAGAGACACCATCAAGCAGTGGCTCCGCGAGGTTTCCTACCAGTCGAACGGTGTGTTTTCCTCTTCTGCTTCTTTTGAACTTTTGGAACTCTCTGAGAGAACTTGAAAGTTGTCCTTTTCGTTAACTAGATTTATTGGAGACTCACTCACCATCCGAACTCATAGTGGTGTTTCTGAAGGAGACTGGGATCACGGAATGTAGTTTTCTCACTCAAGATTCAATCTCTCGAGCTCATTTTTTTCCTTTATGGTAAAAAAACCCTTCTAAAAGTCCGAGAAAGCCACTGAAGGTCTTAGTCCTTTTCTGTGTCTACAATCAACTGCGAAATTTTATCAAGTTTACGGCCTTGTGTCTTTTTTTTCCAATTTTTTATAATTCATTCATTTTGTCTTTATTGGCCCATCTTCTCCTTTTGCAAGTAGAAAATTTTATTTGACAAAAATTCTGGATTCTAAATAATGGGATCAGTGTGGTTCAGAGGGCTGTAGGAAACTCGAGCATTTTCTCGAAGCTTCATTTTTTTTTTGTCTTTGTCTGCAGCCTTTTCTTGACATTTAGATTCAACGTAACTTTCAAGCTTGATGTGCAGAATCTTAAAAGATCACAAATTTAAAACAGAATAGATTAGATTTAAAATCGTATGCCAAAAACTAACCCAGACGGATCGCGTACCTACATAAATTGTTTTGATCCGTTTTTCACATTCATTTATCGATTTTTCCTTTGTTTTTCTTCAGACCAGGCCCCAGTTGTGTCTGTCTGTGCGTGTGTTTGTGTGTTGTGACCATGCGTGTCTCTTCTTCGTCTTTTTGCCAATTTTATAAGTCTTCGAGGCAACAAAAAAATATTCAATGATGGCGAGTAAATCTGGACGCAAGTTTTTGGGGAACGCAAACTCTCGGCCAAGGCTTCTGACTTAAACATGACCCTCGGGGTTTTTTTTCTCTTCAGAGGAATTTCAAATGACTTTGTCGCTTCTTTTCCTGATCACATAGACAAGGGGTATCTGAAAAAAGATGTGAAAGTCTAGCTATTTAAAAAATAGTCGAAATTTTCAAATAAGTGCGCTCTAAGGATAATGTCAAGGAGGCTTTTGTTGACGAGATTGTTTTTGAAAAAGAAACAGATCATTATGACGGTTGTTAGATGAATTGATAATAGAATCAAGTATAATCGGTGAAAGACTTAAAATTGAAATGTCCCTAACTGGAAAACATTTCAAATTGTGAGAAAGTATGCTTCAAACTTCTTTTTCCTAGCAAAACGGGCAGGAAAGTGACTTTTTTTAGAAAATAAAAAGTCATAAACCTCGTACAACGATGAATCTATTGAACCTCTTTTCAGAACTCCTGAAATTGCACAAAAAGGCCTTTATTGTAAGTAGGCATTATTTGTAGATCAAACGCTGTGAGGATTTTCGGCTCATTTTCCCAACCTCTTCTGTCAGATACCCACGAACAACACTCATCGACACACTCACACTCGACTTTTCTCGTTCCTTCCGGCCCCACGCTGTTTCTCTCTTCTTCTCCTTGTTCCTGGACCAGGAGCAAAGCTGGAGAAACCTTTTGTTTCCAGCTGCCCTCTTCTCGTTATGCATTAACGTGCCCCTAAATGAGAGGAAAGAAGAAAGTTTCGTGTCGCGAGGGACACCTAAAAGAAAATATCGCTTTTGATGAACAAGAAGAAGAAGAAAGTGTGGAAAAAAATAGCCTTCCCAAAATGTTTAAATATAAAGAGATTGTTCTATCGATTAATATAGTTATAACTTGAATTAAGCTAAACGAATGAACTAAAAAGGAAACAATTTCAAACATTTGAAAGAGTTGGGCCTATTTAAAAAGAATCAAAGGCTCCCTTGAGAAAAGCATTGAAGAGTGATTTCTTCACTTCCTCAAAGGACCCCTTATTCGCCAAATAGAGCGACCTTTTTTTTTAAATCTTTTTAAGGGTTTTTATTTCCCATCTTCTACAGTTCACTACAATTTTTTCTTGATCTTTCAAAATGAAAACCCGGCTCTATGTTTTTCGTACAATTCAATACTTTTGTTCCTCTTTCATGGGACTTTCACAATGAACGCAGTAGAGAAGAAAAGTAAGCTTTTTTGTCAACTTTTGAGCAATGAACTGTGAATAATCTTTGTTTCTTACTTTCGTTCTCACATTTTCTCGGGACTTTTACTTTAGTCATGAGGTTTTGTCCATTATAATTTTTTCGTGAAAAGTACAAGAACGCAGATGTTTCTTGTTATTTTCAGCTGTCACACTGATTTCAGTTTTTTGTGGTTGCAATGGAAAATGAAGTAGACAGTAATCGACTCCTAATGAAGTGAAATTTAACTTTTCCCTTGGGGTTTGAATAACGAAAATTGAGTTTTTGATGAAAAAAAAATAGCCGCAAAGAGCCGAATAAAGTCAGTTTTGCTGATAAATAAAACTATGAATCTGGCGACTTATTTTTCAAAAATCTGAGGAGAAGAAAGTTCAAAGAGCCTTTGGAATGAGCAGCAGCTGCCCCTGGAGTGATTTGCAGCCACCCAAAAAACAGGAGAAAAGTTTTGTGTTGGTTTTGGTTGGCCCATTGAGAATCGATGAAGACACCTGGCTGCAAGTTTTCTCCTCTGCAAAAAAAAGGAACTGTTGTTTTTCTTCCAATGATTGTTGGGTTGGAATGTTCGAACCTGTGCCACCAGGAGAAGTAATTCGTTTCGAAGTTTCGAGGGAAGAACATACCGCAAGAAAGAGATGAAAAGCTCGAAATTGATTAATTTAGTTGTAGAAAAAAATTATATCCATCAACTTACGAAGTTTTTCGAAATTAAATATTTGTATAAATCACTTCAATTCATAAGTTTCGGAGATTCAAATGATGAACAAACGATTTTTTCTTGTAATAATTCATTTTTTTCGTACCTTTGGCCGGACTTGATCTTTCCTTCTTTTCAACTTTTTGAATGAAGTTGAAGATTTTTGAAAAAAAGAGTTGAAAAAGGCTGTTTTTTAAATTAGCGTTCATTCAGAGAAAGCTGAACCTTTTCTCGTCAGTATCCTTATTTTTTCCTGGTTTCCCAACGCTAAAAAGAGAAAAAACAAAACTCGGATCGACGCCTCCATTTTTTATTTTTGGTCTAGTTCTTTGAAATCCATCGTGTAATGAGTGGAGAGAAAATGTGTGTTTTTCAGTTGTGGCTTGGGCTTTTTTCGCAATTTTTTCGGAATTCATCTCAATTTAGAGAAGGGGTTGACTCGAAAATTTTTGGTTGAGAAGAAATAAGAACAGATTTTTATCAGTAGTTGGACGTTGTAAGAGAAATGAAAGGATCTGTTCAGAAAAGTTGGTTGATTTTGCGAGAAACTGGAAAGGAATTTTCAGAAAAATGGGTCCTCTAACGATTAAATCACGCCTGCAGCGTTTTCTATTAATCTATTGCTGTAATTTTTTGACTCCAATCCTGTACGTTTTTATTATTTTTACTATTTTCATCATCAATAGAACTTTGAATTTGTCAATCAATAGTTTTGAAGAATCTTACTAGAAATGTATGTGTCATTTGAACTGCATTTATTAAAAAAATCTATATTTTCCTTTCTTATAGAATATCTCTCTTTTTTTTCATAGCTTTTTTTTTGTTTGCAAAACGGCGCTTTTCAATGGCTACTTTGCAACATTCGCCAACTTTTTCTGATGTGAATTTCATTCGAAGGCTGGAATATGACGTTTTACTCATCTCTAGCTGCAAAATAGGGATTTTCGATGGTTAAAATTTCATTCTTTGTCAATTTTCATTTGAAGTTTAGAATGGTTGAACTGTTTCCGTTAGAAATCTGGGGAAATATAAAAGTTTTCAATTTATTTTTGAAGTATTTCCGGTAGAATTTCAGTTTTCAGTCTTATTACGTTTTGACTTTCTTCACAGTTTTTTTTAGATGATACGATCGAAAATTGATAAAGTTGTTTTATGGCGGAAATGGTATTTTTTTTTAGTTCCTTGTAGAAGAAAATTTTGAAGCATTTTGTGACTCACGGTAACCATTTTCCACGAAACCAGTTTCTTTCTTCTTTTTTTTTCAGAACTCTCCTTTTTTACCTCTTCTAAGTGCTGCTATTCGACATTTTGGTCGCCTCGGCCGTTAATACTTTCGATCATGTTGCAATCAATAGGATGACAAAACGCTGCAAAAAAAGACGAGTGGTCGTTTGAAGCGTCCCTTTTTTGCAAAAACCTCGGACCGCCATATTAATCGATTTATCGATGGAGCTTTTTTGACAGTTATTTCCCTCCAAACTTTTGAACTGCACTGATAACAAAATAAACGGTGCTTCCTTGTCGAATGGGAAAATTTCTCTAGAATTTTCCGACGCTCGGAAAAGTTTATATGAAGATGAGAGATGATAAAAAGATATGTTGAGGCTGAAATCACAGGAAAGAGGTCACTTGAGTGAACTTTCTTCCAAATCTCATTCCGATAAGGTGAATAAAACAGATTATCGCTTTTAATTTTAAAAAAATTATTACAGACGACATGTGGAAAGACTACTCAAGGAGATTAATCCATTATAGCTAAAGACTATCAAGCCGGCCAGAGACATTTTGTTTCAATCAATTAATGAAATCAAATAATTTATTTGGTTGTTTTAGTAAGATTTAATCGACTAGACGGTGAACAAGAAAGCTATTACAAACAACCGCCTTTGGCGAACTAGAAGTCCAAACGTGTAGTTGATCAAACTGAAAGCATGGTCTTACGGTCCGTTCTTCTGCGCGTAGTCCATCTAGGTGCGCCTTGAGGAGCTCAGAATGTAGCGGGTCTTGTGCTGCGAGCCCGGAGACCGTGCTATAGGTAAAAGCCTCGAAATGAGAGCAACCACTTCGAGGGAAGACTTTACACGGAATTTCCGAAAACATTTTCCAAAATGAAAATGGTAGAGATCATTTAAAAATTAACGATTAATTCGAGACTTTAAAAAATTCAATTATCTATCTTTCCACTCTTTTCAGAATCTTGGAAGACACTTCGTTTCTTATTAAAACCTTATCGAATCAAAACCAGAATTCCGTGATCAATTTTCAGATTTTTTTTTTTCATTTCGATTATGACTTATAAGTTTTTCTAAAGATCCAAGAAGGCCATTATGGAAATCGTCGAGACGCCAAGCAACCAAAAAGCAGCCGAAGATCCATCTTTCTTGAATAAAAGAAAAGCAAAAAAAAAGGAAGACGAAAAGTTCCGCTCAACTTGATTGTGTTTCGACGTGTGTTCGGCTCCCCACTTTCATTTTCGTTGCTCTTTTTGGAAGAAAAAAATCAACAGAACGGAACAGGAGAAACTTTTTTGCAGAGAAGTTCCAAGAATGTTGAAGAGAGAATTTTTATTGGTTTGCAAAACGTAAAAAGAGAATGAGGTCGATAAAAAAAGGTTTTCTCAAATTAGGCTTACTATCAGTAACTTTTCATTTGGAAAAAGTTTTTGATCAGAAGGCAGAAATCTCAAATGAACTTCAATGAAATTCCAAAAACAAAACAATCAAAAAATCCTTGATTACCTCAAATTGTAGTCCCTTCATGGATTGACCGAGGGATCGAAGTGGAATTTCGAATAAATTTCTAACTTCTCTACATTTACTCAGCGAAGAAGTTAGTCAGAAGGACAAACCCAATATTTTAATGAAGTTATTTAATGTGCCGCAACTCACGATGGTTAGTGAGACGAAAATTTGTATTAAAAGACGACACAAATCCTGAACAGAGCGTATTGGGAAAAAAACGGTTCGACTTAGTCACTTATTTTTGTTAGAAGCCTTAAAAATCACTTTTTTCAACTTACAAGTGACTTCTCAGATTTTTTTCAGTAAACTTTCTTTTTTTATTAAAGAAAACCACGAGATATTACGTGGGGAACAAAAAAATTCGAACTGTCCCTTTTTTTATTTTTTTGATTTCTTTTTAAAAATTTTTTTGCAACAATAATGCAAAAAATGATGTTACAACCCCATTTTTAAAAATTTTTTTCGAAGAACTTCGAAGTTTGAATTTACATTGATTTTTCTTTTTCTTCAAATCCCTTTTTTTCTCTTTTTGTACATTCACTCTCAGTTTCTCAAAGTTCGCAGTTTGAGAATTTTCACAACCCGTTTTCAATTCCCTCTCTGCCCTGACAGAAAAAAAAAATGCTATTATAGTTCTTATTTTTGGGAAATAATTGCTTTTCCTTTGTGTGTACTGGCCTTGCACAATGTGCAAATTTCTCATCAAAGCGTATTATGTATTTTTTATAAGTTATTTCTGCATACGAATTTAAAAATTCTTTGGAACTGCAAACTTTTTACTTTTCTGGAAAAAAATCACTTCTGGTTTTAATGACGCTAATAGACTTTGAAGCTTGTAAAGAATTCGAAAAAATAAAAATACCGAGGTGAAAAAAGAAATTTTTAATTGTGAGCTTTTTACAGTACGAAATCAATATCTGGTAACTACATATGTATATGTTCTTGAGGCTGTTCAGATTTCAAATATGACGGGATGAAAAAATAACTATGGAAGTTGGCTTTTTTCTCTGAATTTCTGTTTTTGATTTTACAAAAAGTTAAAAAAAAAGGTTATTTTATATTTCACAAGTTGTTTGGAAAGGGCTTCGAATGGTTTCGAATTTCGAAAAGCTTCTTAAAAATCTTCTCGAGTCATCGAAAAGTAATGGTTTCTGTAGGAGAAAGCTAACCAGACTAATGAGGAAACAACGGTATTTATGTGTTATATATTCCTAGTGAAATCACTTGGAAGAGGATTAACACTCTAAGTGACCACTACAGGAGCCTTTTCGAATATGGTTCTTGTTCATTAGGAAAGATAGTGATAAGAAACAGAAATTTCAAGGTTCATGATACAGTCTCTATTAGGGGCATTACTGCGAGAATACTGCTAAAAGTCGAGTTATGAAGTGAAGAAAACCCTCAACTTTGTGATATATTAGTAAAACAGAGAAATGTTCTTTTTTCTCTCTCTTTTCCTCTTATTCCTGAACAGAAAACTTCCGCCGTAACGCCTTCTCAGCTGGAAAAGGAGAGAGAGAGAGAGAGGTCGAACGGCAAGTCTAAGCCAAAGCATCATTTTAATTGAAGTGTGCCCCCGTATCGAGAAACTGGCGGTCTCTCTCGCTCTCTTTCCAGAAGCATGTGTGCGTGTTGGTTGATTGGCAATGCCTCGGGACGAGGGAGAAAAAACGAGGAAAAAAGGAACCCAACCGACGGAACAACACAAAGGATGCTGAATAATTGAAAGTACCTCTTTTCTCGTTGCACCTTACTTTTTGGGAGTACTTGTTGTACGAAAAATCGAACGTTTTTTCCGGAACTTGAATGGAAACTTTTTACAAATGAGATAAAAGAAATGAGTACTAGATAAGAAAGAAATCTGGAAAATTGAAGTCCATTGAAACAACCATTTTTGTTTCTTTTTGAAAAAACAACAAAAGTACAAGTTCAGCACTCTGGCGCTCTTAAAACCGTTACAGTTTTTGATTTTTTGTAGAGACTAAGATTTTTCGATCGAATTTTTTTTCCTAAAACCTAAAAGAGGAACTTTTATACATTTCAAGGCCATTTCAAAATCTCTTTTTCGAAAGTCGCTCCGTTTCAAAAGTCCTTTGTGAGAGAAGAAAAGATGATAAAAGGAGAATAGAGAGAGAGAGAACTAAAAATATGGACAAAAAGGACCAATTTCAAAAGTTGTTTTGCACTTTTTAAAAAGAGTTTATTTGAAATTTGAGAAGAAAACAAGGTATTTGTATTGAAAATCAATGCAAATAGTACACGAATCAGGAAAACTGAAGCGAAAGCGTGTAATTGACAGGCTGGCAAGATGTTCTTTCAATTGACTCTGAAGCTTGTTCAGAACTTCATCTTTTTACGCTTTTTGTTTTTTATTGCTTTCGATGTATATTTTTATACGTTTTTTGGAGCCTTTTATAACATTCTGAGAGTTTTACCTGTTTCGAAAGCAGAATATTGATTTTCTCAGAATCGTCCGATTGAAATACTAGATATTGAGTTATCTTGTGAGAATCTTGAATCGGAAAATTGGGACGAAACTTTTGAATACACTTTTTTGGACTTTGAAGCGACCTTGTAATAGAAATTTTGAGTGTACTGCCCGTCGAGAAGTGATTTTTTGGCGTTTTTAGTCTGGTTAGTACCTTTTATGAGAGACTCATGAATTACTTGTGGCTTTTTTTAATCGATAGAAAATTTTTTGGATGGACTTTCAATCTAGTAAAAGTTTAAATTGATCCTTTTTTTCCTAAAAAAACGATGAAAACTTGTGTAAAGCGCATTTTTTTCATTTTCTAGTCTAAATCATTCATGAAGCCTTCAAAAAATTATGGTTTAGTTTTTGCGAGAAAATTCCAAACCGAAAGCAATCAAAAATAATCTTTATTTCCTATGAAATGAAATAAAATGAACGAAGTCAACAAGTTGACTGCATTGTTTATTTTTTTTTTCGGAAAAGGACGGTGTCTTCTTGTTTCGGAAAAAGTTCATTGTTTAGACTGGCCATGGGTTTTTTGAATGCAGCCAAGGCGCAACTCCATACTTCCCCTCTCCATTTTTTCTTCTTTCCTTCTTCCTTTCGTCCGTCCGTCCTCCGCCCTACACGCCGAAGCCTAACGAGAAAAAGGGGCGTTTCTGTGTGTGCCTCAACGCGCTCTCACTTGGCGCCAGGCGAATGCTCAAGTGATGTGATGCCGAGCTCGTCATGATTCTCACTTTCCTCCTTCTCCTTCTACCTGTCGTCCGCAGTCAGTACTACTACTCACGGCCACCCAAATGGCCGATCGACATTGTCGTCGGGTTGCCGGTCGACGAAGGCGAAGGCTCGAGGAATCCTTTCGGCTTGACCATGGCCAAAGGCCGACCCATCTTCGACGTCGCTCTTGAGGACGTCTACCGTCGACATCAGCTACTGCCAGAGGGCTCTCTGAGCGTCTCCTACGTCAACACGGCGTTGAGCGACGCCATCGCACCTCAGCGGATAGTCGAGCGATACTGTAACAACTCGGTCGACGTCGTCATGGGCCTACCTTACGTCTACGCCTTGGCTCCAGTGGCGCGGCTCTCGGCTCTTTGGAACCAAGGCGTTCCAGTGTTCAGTACCACCGCGTTCGCCGATGAGTTCGGCAACAGGAAGGAGTTCCCTTTACTAACTCGGATGATGGGCAACTACAACGCGCTGAGCTTGATGGTCACTCGGATCGCAGCCAACTTTCAGTGGAATCATTACTTCTTCCTCTATGACGATCAGAAGTCGAAGGAGAGCAACAACAACGGCCGATCGGAGTGCTTTTTCACTCTGGTCGCTATCAAGAATATGGTTGATCGGGACCCTTCGTCGGTTTGGGACGTCAAAACGTTGTCGGATCGCAGAGCCAACCGGGAGCACTACCGCCAGGTGCTCCGGGAAGCTTCGCTCGTTAGTCATTGTAAGTTTTTTATCCGGAAAAACGTGGTCCAACGGCTTGTCTACTTTTTCTAGATAATTTCGTGCCTAACGAATTTGATTATGTCATTTTTTATGCTGGCTTCAAGTCCGGACTATTTTTTTCTTCTCGGGAAAGCTGTGAACCAACCACATGTGGTGACCTTGATTTATTGTTTAAAATTCTTGTCAGCCTTCTGGCTTCATTATTTCTTTCTGCTTTTTTTTTACTTTTAAACTTCTCATGTGAACCGCTCGAACTTTCCTTCGACTTGGAAAAAACTAACGTCTCTGTTAAACTCGAAAGATTTTTCAGCTGCAACTTTTCTTTTGATTCAACTTTGCTTTTTTTCTTTTTATGACGCCATTTTGAGATCTCGAAAAAGAAGAATGATTTCTTTATATATCTAAAAATGGAAAAATTCGGCTTCATTTCTGCTAACATTGAATCCGATTGGGTATTTATTACGTTTCTTCAAGTCAGTGATGCTACTATTGCAATTGGTAATGCAAAAATATTTTTTCCTTCATTCATTAATTTTAGAGTTGGGTTTCCATTTCCTCACTAATTTTCTCCCACTTTTCTGCAAAAAGTAGAATATTTTTCGCTTCTTAACTCATTTATTCTCTTTTCCTTGGGTTATTTGTGTCTGAATTAGCCATTCCGCCAACAAATTCACGAGATCCTCCGGTTTTTATTTATTTAGGCCTGGAGTGTTTTTGACTAACTCAAAAGAAAAAGGAGCTTTCTTTTCTTCTGGCTGTTCCAGAAAACTTCGAATGAAAAAATAACTGGTAATGAGCTCGAATTAAGAAAAACTTAGTATTGATTGTTTTTACGAACAACTTTATTGATTTCATGAATGTTGACTTTAGTTTTACTTCTTTCAACGCGAAAACCAAATATTTGGCAGCTTTTCTTTTTGACACTTTTTTCTCCTCAAACGTAGCAGCACTCTTAAACGTTTTGGCAGCTGTTTCGCATTGAGAAAAAGTTTTGAGAATGGTTTTCACCTGACTGCACATTTTGAAAAAGGAGACTGCGATGGAAACACCTTTGACTCGAAATCGAAGCCAATAAAGCCGGACTGGTTTTTGAAAAAAAGAAAGGATGGGCCATCAAAAAAAAAAAGTTCAATGATGGCCAATGAGGGGTCTGTCTGATATTTGTCAATTTGGAAGAAAAAAAACTGAGACCTTTTTAATTTTAAACTGCTCCGGATGTTAGAAAAAGTTTAAAATTGCCTTGAATCAACAGAAAATTAGCCTTTTCTGTGGAGAAATGTCTTCGGAGGTTTTTTTTTCAGTCTTTAGGTGCCATTTATTTTCCTTTATCATTGAGTTTTCAGATAAATTGTGTTTGGATTGAAATTGAGGTCAACTATACCGAAGTTTTCTTCTATTTCTTGGATTTTATGTCTCAAAGATTGGGGTAAACACCAAAAATGGAGGTCGTTGCGTCCATCATTTTTTTATAGCTTTTTCCGTTCCTTCGGTTGGGTTCCTTTCTCATCTTTTTTCCTTGTCAGTGACTTATATTGCCGAGGGGCTTTTCCCGTCTCGAATCGAGAATGTTCCCTGGGGCATCTGTGTGGCGAAGGACTCTCGTCGATAAACTCTCTGCCTGGGATTTTTTTGTTTTCTTTGACTCAGGATATATGAAATTGCATTGGAGTAGAGTGTCGTCTTCGGCAAGGATACAGAAAGAACGCAAACAACTACTTTTTCCATGTTTTGACTTCTTTTTGAAGAATCTACTTTTGTGAGTAGTGAGAGATGCTGAAAACGCAAAAAGTGATATTATTCAAAAAATGTTCTTAACGAAGCATTTTCAGAAAAAGTTCCTTGGAGAGCGATCCCGTCTTTGAATCATCAATTTTTTCAAAAAAAAAATTGAATTGGGTGATTTTCAGGTTCCAGAGCTCTTTTTTCATTTTTTTTTTCGACTCGTAAAGACTTTTCCTCATACTTTAATAACTTTGATGACCGAAAAAGGAAATTCTCGTGATGTTTTGTTGGCGGCAGCCTGGAGAAAATATAGACGTGTCCGTGGGTCGGTCGGTCGGGACACAATTGATTTCGTTCGGTTTCTCGAGCCCCTTCCACGGCATCCTCCGGAGCAATCATTTATGGGTGTGCAGCAACGGCAGCGCTCGAGAATTCCTCGAGAAAAAAAAGAAGAAGAAGAAGGAGAAAAAAGGGTTTGAGAATTGAGAAGTTGGGAAATGATTGAGGAAATGGAGGCATCAAGTTGCTGAAGCCAGTAGAGATTTAGAGCCCAAAATTGAAGGAGCAGAGATGAAAAAAGTCTTGGATTGAATACTTCGACATAGATCTCAGAGTAATAAGTGAGTTATGAACTAATTGGAACCACTTCACGCTCTCTTTCTCCTAAGGTACTTTTTTAAAAATGCTCTTATGGGTTTTCATTCGAAAAACAATTGGAAAAATACTTTTTTTCAATCTTTCATGTCCTTTTGCGCTCTATATGTCGTTGCAACCAAGAGAAGAAAAAAAAGGTCTCTAGAGAATTTCGCCGTCTTTTTTGGAGAAAAAGCTTGAGGAATGCTTTTTCAACAAAAAAAGGAGAAAATGGCTTGTTTTTCAAGACTTTTTTGGAAAATGAGCCAAACAGTGACACTTTTCCCTACAATACATTTTTTGAGATCGACAATATTTTATTTCGTTTTTTGCATTGGACGAGACTCTGATCGAATCTCCAACAAATTATTTATTTTATCAACTCATTACTTTGTTCCAAAATGTTTTGAGCCAATCAATAGCTCCGTTCGCTGGAGCGCATTTGTTGGAACTCGATGAAATAAATTCGCGATAGATGGACTATAGACCAATCCTTGAATAATTCATTTGCCGGATGCCGTCATCGTCTTCTCGTTTTCTGCTCCCGTTTTTTCTCTTTCTCGTTCCGGCCTTTCCATGCGACTCTCCCATAAAGCTCATTCGTGATTTATGATGGGCATAGAACGGGGCTTTTCTGGCTTAGGTAAAAACTCTAAAGATAGAATAAGAGCTGAAGATCGAATTAGTAGTGCAGTCTCAAGAATAGAAAACGTTATCGGTTTTGGAATTTCCAATTAAAGGGAAAAATCCCTAACACTAAAGAAATGTTTCGATATTCTGCATGTTCCCTTGGCTTTCACCATGTTATTGAAGAAAAATTTCTCCTCTCATTTATTCTTTTTTTTCCAAAAAAAAGTTTTGATGAAAATGAAGGAGAGGTTGAATGGCCCAAGGCGTTTTGCAGCAACCCGGCCGAAACTCGATTTGCCTCTTTTTTCCATTTGTTCTCTCTTTTCTAGTTCTTCCTGAAATAACTCGCTCAGTAGGGAAATTCTTCTCTCTGGAAAGAGAATAAAAGTAGCCTTATTCTTTTTCTATATTTGCAAACAGAGGGCGAAGGATCTCATGAGTTCTTGGGCGAAGAAGCCATTATGAATTAAAGTTCTGGGACAGTTTGGTATTCGGCTATGGGAAAAGAAGTTGTAAAAAAGTTTTTTCGTGAGTGAATTATTTCAGAAAAGTCATGAATGTCATTTGAAGTTCTGCCACCAGTAAAGAAGCCAAAAAAATTGAATAATTTGAAATCTCGAAAAACTCTTAAAACGAAAAAAAGCTTCGAAACAACTAATCAGAGCAAAAAGGAATTTTGAGATCTTTTTGGTAAATATTTCATATGACTATGGAAAAGTTGAGAGTTACAGAAAGTTGAGACTTTACTCGTGGAATTCAGCTCCAAAAATAGCTGATATTCCCACGCAAAAGCTTGCTCAAACTCGAAAAGTTGTAGTTCTCAATATCGCGTTGGCTCTTGATTCAAATCTGCGTTTTACCGAGCTGGAAGTTTTCATCTAGTCCTTTTTTCTTCGCATTTAGAAAAACTTCCAATTTTGACTTTGGGCGGTAGTTTTTTTGAATTTCTTTTTTTTTCTGAAACTACTACTGTACTTTTAATCAAAAAAAGAAAAGGGTTTGAAGATCAAAAATATTTATTTTTCAGTGATCATACTATGCGCGTCGCCGGACACGGTTCGGGAGATTATGCTGGCCGCCCACGACCTCGGCATGGCCACCAGCGGCGAGTACGTCTTCATCAACATCGACGTCTCCACTGGGTTCGTCGGAAATCATTTCAAATTTTTTTTTCCAAAAAATCAGGGCTATTCTATATTTATTATCACCCTATTACGTAGCCATTTCTTCGGGCTTTTCGAAAGTAAACCGCTTTATCTCGAATTTATTCAGGAAAATCACTAGGGAAATAATCTTATTACATGAGAATGTCCTGTCCTGCAAAAACGCCAAAAAAAAAAAAGCTGAAACCTGAAATTTGACGCGTTTCCCGTTGTAAAACAACCGAAAACGCAGCTGACGATGCAGTTTTTGAGAAAAACTGCGTTCAGGGCATGTCTGGAGGAGAAAACGGTATATGAAGCGAAAATCTGACCTAATCAAGTTTGCTCTATGAAGGTGAAAAGGTTCATGCAAAATAAAAACTCAAACCTTTTTCATTATTTCCAAAAAGCGATAGAAAAAAGAAATTAATTAAAAACTATATTCATTTTTAGTTAAATTTTTTGAGCTATTCTACTACGGATCAATTTTTCGTAGATTAAGGTTTTTTCTCTACTTCTGTAACGAAAAAGTTTGTCTTCCAATGAACCAAGAAAAACGCCTAGAAAGACAAATCAACAAGTCAGAATTGAAGATCCCACGCGGAGAGGCCTTGGATGAGGTCGAACGACACGAACAACGCGGAGAACGACCGAGCCGAGGAAGCCTACAAGGCGTTGAAGACGATCTCGCTTCGCCGGAGCGACCTCAAAGAGTACCAGACTTTCGAGACGCGGGTCAAGAACCAAGCCGAAGACAAGTACCACTACAAGAACATCACCGGCAAGGATTATGAGGTCCGCAATGGGAAAAATCGCTGTCCTTAAAAATTTTTAGACATTTTTTCTTTGTAAACTAGGGTCACATTTGCTAGGAATCAGAATATTAGGAACTGAAAAATGAGACTTTGTCGTATAAGTTACCTCGGTGAGAAGTTGAAAATTTTCTTTTTTGATTTTTTTTTTCTTATTCAAACTTCAAAGCTCCACGTTTTCATAACTTTAGAAGTCCTGCATTTTAAAAGATGAGAAAGGATGGATTTTCTTGAAATTGGAAAATCGAACTTTGATAGAACAGTTCGTCATTATTTTAGTATCTTCTATTCAATTAAGGTATTGTTTGAATCACAAGCTGCTTTTGGATTTTCGAAATTCCGCTTTTTTCTGTAAGACGGAAACTTGCAGATGAACAACTTTATCAGTGCGTTCTATGATGCGGTTCTTCTGTATGCGATCGCTCTTAATGAAACGATTGCGGACGGTTTGGACCCGAGAAATGGCCACAACATCACCTCCAGAATGTGGGGACGCACTTTCGTCGGTTCGTTTTAATTTTTTGGTGTTTTAAATGAAATCAATTTTACTTCTGCTGCGTCTAGACAAGATTCCGTTGATCCTGTTGAAACATGATACTTTTATGTATATTGCTCTGACGCAAGTTAGGTGTCTGCATTCGGAGAAGAACATTTTTTTCTTGGCTCAACATTTCTGGGAACTGAAAAGGATAATCACCCAATTTCAGGCATCACGGGAAATGTTTCAATCGACACGAATGGCGACCGGTATTCCGACTATTCTTTGTTGGATTTGGACCCTCAACAAGGCAAATTCGTGGTATGTTGTTTTTCTGAAGCCACGATCGGCTCTAAGACATTATTTCGAAACTCAACCGTCTTGTCACCCTTTGAAATGGATTAAACAGATTCACAATGTAATTTCTCAATCAAAAAAGCTTCCGCATTTTAATTCAATGAAAGGAAGTTGAGGTTATAGCTTTTTTAGTTTTCATGATTCCAGGAAGTCGCCTACTATTCTGGAGCTTCGAATCAACTCAAACAGGTCGGACAGTTCCATTGGGTGGGCGGAAAACCGCCAACCGACATGCCCATTTGCGGATATGACCAAAGCAAATGTCCGAAGGTATTTTCCACAGTTTTATAGAGAAAACTAGAAATCATCATCTGTTTTACAGGGTTATCCTCTCCACGTCTACCTTCTTCTTTGCTCAGCATTGCTCATAGTTGTTCTCGTCTGTCTGTTCATCTTTTTCTGGAGGTATGACCTAATCACTCGTGTTCTAATGACGAAGGAATCCTCCGAGCTCGTTTCAATTCGAAATTTCTCAGAAGGTATAAACTGGAGCAAGAGCTTGCGGCGATGAGCTGGAAGATCCGGTGGGAGGAACTCGACGGCGAGGAATCGCAGAAAAAGGAAAAGAAGAAGGCGAAAAGCAAGCGGAAGGTTTATTTCGCCTAGATATTTTTAAAAAAATTTTGATGTTTTTTTCGGAATCGCTCCAAATTAAAGATACTGAATTCTCTAGGTTATATTTCAAAGCTCAACACTCTTTTCATTCCGGAACTCGAATCCAAATTGTCTTTTAATCTTATATTTTTCAGGTTCACGACAGTTTTCTGCCTGAATCTGATCCACTGCTTCGGTCGACGTCGCGATCATCCGTCAATTCAGACAAGGTTCTTATTCTTTTTTCTTTATTTTTTCTGACGTTTTCAAAATTTTCGTCTCAATTTTACATGTATTTTCGTTTTTTTCTGTATGTTTTTTATTCCCCTTGAGTGTCGTATTCATCAGTTTCATTTTTTTTTTTCCAATACAAAACTGGACGTTTCGAAAACTTTTTCATTCTTTTTTTTCTATGGGGCTCACATAGCAACGATTTTATTCTGTGTCTGAGTCTAACGTTCTTCCTAATATATTTGCCTCAATATGTAAGCCACTTAAAGGATTGAATTTCATCGATAGTGAGCCAAAAAAGGTACTGAAATGGAAAGAAGTCATATTTGTCCCTCTCATCAGAACTCTTTCATCTTTTGGACCAAAAGTAAAAGAAAAGGTCAATAATCCTTAGGAAAAACTGTTTGTCCTTCTTGACAAATCGAGGCTCTCTGGTCGCATATAGAATGGCTGAACGGATTGCGGTCGCGCTGCGGTTCGAGTCGTAACACATTTCGAATCTTGCGATCAAAAATGTTTGCCCGCTTCAAGCTTCTCAATGAATACGCACCGTCCTTTTCGCTTCGAGCCATTCTCTGTGCGACGGACTTTCTTCACTTTATGAATCGACTGTAAAAATTAACTGCCGTTTTAAAATTTCCTATGCTTATTCATATATTTTTCCGGTGAACTTTTTTTGTTCTGTTTTTCTTTCTCTGGCTGGTGGTGGTTTAAAAAGTTTACAGAAAATTTTTTCATGTTAACCTTTGTGCTTTGAAATTCTGAGAAAGTTTTATGTTTTTTTTTTTTGAACGAATTTTGCAGTTTGACGAGGAGGCAATGACTCCAATCCGAATGCGTTTGGTATGTTGCAAAAAAGATGCTTCCCAGTTTTTTTTTTCTTCAAAACATATTTCATTCATCGATGATTTGAAAACAGAAAAGTGATGAATGAATTAAATTTCGTGTCAACTTGAATACAACTTATTTGAGGAGTCTTATTCTCATTTTTTTTTTTTGATGACAGCCTGTTTTTTTTTCAAACTTTGTAAGACTGCTGTAGATTATATATCTACAACGTTGTTTTCCAAAAGTTTTTTTTTCAAAAACTTTATTTTGGATGAAAAAAACTGTTTATCAATGTCTTTCTTTAAACAGAACCTATGAAATAAATTCAATTAAAAATAAATGAGTTATGAAAAATGATTTGACGCTTTTATTGCATGAATTCCTGTATGCTTCATTCATCACAGCTTCTAAAAGATTGGAAAACGCTGCATATTTCAAAAAAGAATAACGGGATCGTGATGATTTTTATGCTAACGATGAAAGAAGTACGCATTTTGTCCAATCTGATTTGCACGATCACGATAATTTTCCTCGGTTTGCTTTTTTTCTGTTATTTTCGAGCCAATGTAATGCTTTCTCCGCTGATTTTGAGTTTTGTCCGATTGAAACTGATTATTCCATTGTACTGAGACTATTTTTTTGTTATATAGTCTGTTCATGACAGCTTTTTGAGATCTAAGAGGGCGTCTTGAAGCGCCCTTTATGACTTGAGAAATCGCCTGTGAATGAATAGACTATAGGATTTTTTGGAAGGTTTATTTCGTGGCCTGTGATATGGTTGCAGCTTTCGAATTGATTTGGATAGTAGTATAGAGCAGTTTTTATGATTAATAACCAAAATAGAGAAATTTAAAAGTTCGTCCATTAAGATAAGTGACAAAGTTTTGAAAAGAAAATGTAAATTTTTTTGCGTCGTCAATTTTTTATGTAGTTCATTTACAGACACCCAGACGAAAATTTAAAGCTTTCCTGACAAAATTTTTTTTTTATTTTATAGATAATGATCGGGGATGAATTTAAAATTCCTGTGATTTCCGATTCCCACTGCAGCTGTTTTATAGTGCACCACATTGCTATCGTAGTCGAGTCAATAGTACGTTCATTTTCAGCTTGTCAATATTTGAAACTTCTGATTGGTTGGTCGCGTTTTTTTTTTCGACGATTTAATGCCCGTCCAATCAATCAAATCAGTCCTAGAAGTTGCAACTTGTTAGATTCTGATATTTTCTCGATTTTCTTGACCAAAGTTTATTCCGTGAAGCTCCTGAAGCCTATTCCGACAACTCTACAGACTGAAAATGAATGAACTATACAAAACGAGTGTCCTTTTGTTTTTGACGGAATAAGGATGGGAAATTGTTTCAGCGATCGTCAAGCTCTGGAGCGACGCGAAAAATTTCGGCAATGATCGATAGGAAGTGGAGCATGTTCACGAGGAAGAAGAGCAGTCCGAACGCCGACAAGAACGGCGGCGTCACTCCCAACGCTTTACGACAAATCGAAGACGGCGAATCGTCGCCCATCAACGAGGTGCAGTTTCGACTGCCCCTTGGCGACCGAAGAGTCTCGTCGCCGTCGTCGGACGTCAAGGTGCGCGATTCCGACGCGCGACTCTTTCAAAGTGGAAACTTGCAGAAGAAGAGCAGCAACGAGGAGGAGATGGACAACGGCGCGAAGAAGTCGTTGAGCTTCAAGAATCGCAAGCTCTCGTTCGGGATGGTTTCCTTCAAGGTCACATTCACTTTGAAATAAGATTGTTATTGAAAGAGAATAGACTGAAAAATCGGCCTTACTTCGCCTTTTTCGATCCTTTATTCAGATCGCTAGCTTCACAGTCATATAATGCTTGTTTTCTTCCCATTCCGTGGTTTTGCAATTTTTTTCGTCTCATTAACATTTTTAAAATTTTGAAAACAATTTCTCACTTCAAAAATTCATTTTCTCATTGCAACGTCCTCCAAGTGGGAAATAATTAAACGTTCCCACCGATTTTTATTTTTTTAATACTGTAATTTTTTTGTTTATGAAGCTCAACAAATTACATATCAACGGATAATTTATGAAGTTAATGCATATTTTTACCTTGATAAGTTACAACAGCATTCATTTCTCTGTTAAAATGAATGGTCTGAGGAGCTCGAAGAAATGAATATTCAGAACAACTTTATCCATTCCACTTTCAGAGCGGAAGTGGTGGTTCTGTGGAGACAATCGCTCAGAATAACACCCAAATCTACACGAAAACGGCGATTTACAAAGGCGTTCTCGTTGCCATCAAAAAGCTCAACATTGATCCGAAAAAGGTAGGAAAATGCAGCTCGATCCGTATTGAAGACTCAAGTTTTCAGTATCCTCGATTAGACCTTTCGAGGGCGCAGCTGATGGAACTGAAAAAAATGAAGGATCTTCAACATGACCATATTACGAGGTAACAGGCGTGGGAAGTTTTGTTTGGAAATTTTAGGCTTCATTGACATTTAGGTACAAAAGTGTACTGATTTGAAAAAATAAGTTTTGTTCGCAAAAAGGGAAGTTTTGTAAAAAAAAAAAGAGAAAGAAAAGAATTCAAAATGAAACAGGAAAAAGTCTTTATTGACGTACATAGACCTGCGCCTTCAATAATTACTTTTTTTCATCCTTTAAAAATAAACTTTATGGTCTCAAATACAGTACCGTCAGAAAAAATACGAAAAAGCGACTTTTGTCACAACTTTCTTGTAAAGAATTCAATCTCAAAATAAGAAGATAAAAAATATTTTGGAAAATTTAGAAAAGATTCGGACTACAGAAATTCAAGACGTTTTCAGATTCACGGGTGCTTGTATAGACTGCCCACACTACTGTATCGTGACCGAGTACTGTCCGAAAGGTTCTTTGGAAGATATCTTGGAGAATGAGAAGATCGAACTCGACAAAATGATGAAGTACTCATTACTTCACGATTTGGTCAAGGTTCTTATCATTTTCTTGGAAAAAAGCCTAAATTTTCATTTTCTAGGGCTTGTACTTCCTACACAACAGCGAAATCCGTTCCCATGGACGGCTGAAATCGTCGAATTGCGTTGTCGACAGCCGTTTCGTGTTGAAAGTCACCGACTTCGGGCTCCACAAGTTGCACTCAATGGAGGAGAACAATGTCGAGGAGCTCGGCGAGCACGCCTATTATAAAAGTTCGTTGGCGGGATTTATGGAAAAAAGTAAATAATTGGAAAAAAAAAATGGTCATTAACGTGTTTCGCGCTTCGAAGACAAACGCTTGCGCACCCGGACCTTGGTAGCGCATCACGAACGTGTCGAAGCATTTCTAGTGACCACCTTAGTGGCGTCAGCACTCTCGAGTGATCCCTAGATTCGCTCAGAAACGCTCGGAGCGTGTCGGGTTTTCGTTACCGAGAAGCTCATATTTTCAATTTTTTCTGTGTTTTCTTTTGGAATTCAAACTTTGCAGAAATGCTCTGGACGGCTCCGGAGCTGTTGCGAGATCCAAACGCTCCTCCGCAAGGCACGCAACGCGGCGATATCTACTCATTCGCCATCATTCTACACGAGATGTTGTTCCGAAAAGGCGTCTTCGCTCTTGAAAACGAAGAGCTCTCGCCACTGGGTGAGATTATGTTACAGTTCAGAAAATGATTGAATATAATCTTGCAGAAATCGTGAAGCGGGTGGAAAAACCCCTGATTGGCGACGAGGAGCCCTTCCGACCGTGGTTTCCAGATCCGGTCGAAGGCGAGGAGGAGGTCAACGAGACGCTGTTCCAACTAATGTTCGCGTGTTGGTCTGAAGACGTTCACGATCGTCCTGAGGTCGCGAGTGTCCGCAAAGCCGTTAGAAGCTTGAACAGGTGATTTTAGGGGGTCATTTGGAGACGAAGTAATGTGATTTCAGGGATAACGAAACGTCGAACCTTGTCGACAACCTCCTGAAACGGATGGAGCAGTACGCCAACAACCTGGAAGGCCTTGTGGAAGAACGAACGCAAGAGTATTTGGCTGAGAAGAAGAAAGTCGAAGAACTGCTCCATCAGTTGCTTCCGCCATCCGTTGCTGACCAGGTCAACTTCAATGTCAAGCCTTCCCTCAAAACTCCTTTCCATCCAATCCTTTTTCCTAGTAAATATTCTTCCTTATTTTCAGCTGATCTCTGGCCGAGCGGTCCAAGCAGAGTCCTACGACAGCGTGACGATCTACTTCTCGGACATCGTCGGCTTCACGGCTCTTTCCTCGGCTTCGACGCCGATGCAGGTCGTCGCGTTGCTCAACGACTTGTATCTGGCTTTCGACGGGGTTGTTGACAACTTCAAGGTCTACAAGGTTGAGACCATTGGTAAGCTTGTCGTTTCCCTCGTCCTCTTCAAGAGATCGGCTCTTAGGCGACGCCTACATGGTGGTCTCGGGTCTGCCTGATCGGCGCGACGACCACGCGTCGCAAATTGCTCAGATGTCCTTAGCGCTGCTCCAAAAAGTCAAGAACTTCATCATCAGACATCGACCGCACGAGCAGCTCAAACTACGTATTGGAATGCATTCGGGTGCGGAGGAAACATTTTGAAATGTTGATTCTATAATTCTTGATGCAGGTTCTGTGGTTGCGGGTGTTGTCGGTTCAAAAATGCCGCGCTACTGTCTTTTTGGTGATACGGTTAATACGTCTAGTCGGATGGAAAGCAATGGACTGCGTGAGTTTCTCTTTTCCTTTCGCAAAAAGTTATAATTTTCCGTTTCGAACGTTTCTGGTCAGTTGTTCAGGGATCAACTCCTTAAAAAAACGGAGTCAGAGTCGCTGTTTGTTTCATTTGAGAAATTTTCAAATTTTCAAAAGTCTCAGAAATTATTTTTTTCGACCAGAGAAATGCATGAATTATCTCTTTGATCTTGTAAAAAACCACCGAAAATCCTATATATTCGACCTCAAATTTCGAGAATGTCCAATTGATTTTACATTTAAAAAAAAAAGAAAAAAAAAGTAGCGAACCAACCGCGTAACTTGGCTTTAAAGCTTCATTTGTTGACTTATCTTTTCAATGAAGTTTTTGAGAGCTTAGTGGTCACTTTTTCGAACCGAATCAAAAATGAGAATATATTTTCGGCCTAGGTATTGTTTTTCTTTCATCCTTGAAGGTTATTCTCAAAGGAACAACAATTGAAAACTACTCAAAATAAAATAAATACGACCACTCAAAGATTCGAAGCACATTCCAGCTCTTCGAATCCACGTGTCGGAGACGACCCATTCAATCCTGACCCGAGATCCGGGCTTCCGGCTGGAGCTGCGGGGAACGGTCGAGATGAAGGGCAAGGGAATGCAGACGACCTACTGGCTGACTGGCTACAACGACGTCCAAATCCCCGACTTTGGCGACCAGTACAAATAGTCATCTTGCTCTAGTTAATTCTTTTTTGCCTTACTTTATCATTTTTCACTTTTCCTTTTATTCATGTATCTAGGGATAAGATATTACTCCCCTCTTTGTTATGCCGAACTTTTGAGTTTTGTTGGTGCAAAACAGTTTTTCCGGATTCTTTTTCAATGATTCAGTGGTGATGCACACAACCGCGAAGGCTGTCCTGAATTGACTTCTTCGTGAACTTTTCTACCCGAGAATTACCAATGATTGACACCGGTTTTCAGCGCGCTATTATCCTTTTTCTTCGCCTATTCAATGCACGCATCTTGAGCGGTTTCTTCTTGTTTTCAAATTTCATTTTGAAACATTTAACGAGAATACATGTGTTTCTTTTATCTGGCTTTGTTAAGTGCCTCGAATAGTTGCCTTTTCGCTTCTCTTTTACATCCATCCTTTACTCATTTACTCGTACCAGAAATAACAATTTTGCGTTTCGAAACATTTTTTTTTCCACACAGTTTGACGGGTCTCAACTTTCTCTTTCTCCATTTTTTGATTTGTTGTTTTTTTCTCATTCTTAGTTTTATTCAGCGCTAGATTTTTTATTTCATCACGCTGCTCAAATTACTTATTTTATTTACTTGATCCAAAAGCTTGTTTCTTTTGTAGCTAACTAATATATAATATCTATATATATCCAGATAAATTTTATTTAATTTCCCCATACGGTTGAAAATCTTTAATTTTTTTTCTTCTTGTTAGCATGCATAAAACGCTTTCTACTGAAAATTGAATTTGTTTTGAAGTTCAAAGAACAGAAAAGTCGTCTTAATATCGTACAATTTCAGGATTCACATCGAGTCAGTCGCGGAGTCGTCCACTTCCTTCTCCGTCTTGCCGGGCGTCCCCTCAAGTAGCAACTTTTAAAATTTTTCACGGCCTGAAGAGCTTCAAGTCTTCTGCCATGCTGTCGAATCGGCGTCACTTAATCTTTGATTTCGAGCTTCTGAAAAAGACTTCAAACTATAGCTGATTCACGGCTGGCTTGATCCATCAAAAAAAAAAGGTCCCTGCACGAAAAGGAAAGATGCACTGCCTGTTGGTGGAGAGCGCAGACAGGCCCCGCCTTTTTGCGTCCCGAGATAGCCGTAATGTAACATATACATTGAGGCAGTAAGATTCAATAAAAAACAAACCTTTTGGAAAATTCCACAAAAAATGTGAAAAAAGGGCATTTTTGAAAAATCTTTTTGGCTTGAAACCTGTTAAGACAGGGTTGCATGGGTGGAGCGAAAAATGCAACTCGCGTGCGCACCTCCACACACTTGTTCTTTTTCGAGAGAAATAATAAATAATCGTTTTTAATGTACCTAATACATTTTCATCATGAAAGTAAAACTCATTCAAACGGATGAAAACAATTTCAACGTGTATAAATCACAAAAAAAAATAATAATTTAAATTGTCCTTGAAATAATTTCGAAAAGCGTTGCGACGCGAAAAATTGTTCCTCCCGCATACACCCCCTCATAGCAGTGCATACGCTTTTCATTTTTTTCATTTTTTTTGCAATTTGTTAAGGACCTATTTCTCGAGGTTACAAGACAAATTACTTCGCAAAAAGTACACAAGTTTTCTTTTCATTACCCAAAAACCTCGCTTGATTACCGTAATACGACCGGCCGCCTTGAACATGCGTGTTTGGGTGTCATTTTCATTTCTTTTTTCCTCTAACGTTCAAGAGTTTCGATTGAGTTTTTTTTTCTTATTCTATTTTGACAAACTTCAATTAATTTTTGAACATAATATATCTTCATAAGAGCAACTGGATAACTGTCAACCGTTCAAACATACTGGGCATCGTAAATCCTTCACTATCAACTTTTTTTGAAATTTTTCTTTTTACAACTTCAATATGCAATGTTTGCAACAAATTTGAAAAACAAAAAATCATATGGTTGTCACTGAAAAATTTGCTTTTTCAAAAAATATTTTGCTTCAATGATTTTTTTCCGAATTTCAATATGAAATTCAGATTCTAAGTGTAAAATAAGGTCTTGGCCAACATTATTTCACTCAATTAAGATTACTATGCGCGCGCAATCGGAATAGCAAAAAAAAACGAAGTACTGAGCAAAAAAAAAGGGACCCCGCAATTGAGCGGACTTTGGCGGTCTTTACCCATAATCTTGGAAACCACAAAAGGCATAAAAAAAAAATGCTCTTCCAACCTTGAAAATATCTCGAAAATTCATTCAGATCAGGAAACAACAGACACAACAAAAAAATATAACAAAAAGAAAAATGTATCTGTGGAAGGAGCAACCGGAACTACATTGTCAGACTCATGATCGCGTTCACGATATCGTTATCAGCCTCTTTCAGGGCACGTATAGCTTTGTTACGAGTAGTGTTGGCCTGCGAGATCACCAGTTCGATGTCTTTTTCTTCGATACCAGTAGCATCCTCCTGAATACACAAAACTTTTTTAAACTCAGATGGAAAAGACAGGTCACAACTCTTTGCGAAAAAAAAAAACTTACTTCAACATCTTCGTTATCGTCTTCTTCAACCGTCTTGAGTTGAGGTGCTTCTCGGGTTGGCTTCATGTTCTCGATGGCCGACATTTGGGCATGCTGCGTGAGATCTTCAATCTTAGCTTCTCCGAAGACGATGTAAGTGTCTGATCCGGGGCTCTTGTAGACGTCAGGCTTGTTAATAACAAAGAGGATATTCTTGGACTTTCTGATGCACACACGAGAAACTCCCGTAACTTGTTTCAACCCAAGTTTCGAGAACAACTTTCGAGCCTGAGTTTTTTATTCATATTATATGTTTAATAAGGTAATTACCTTCTTCTCCGAGCGGCTTTGCTTAGCTTGTTTGTCGACCTGGTCGCCGAGTCCAGCGGCTTCAGCCACACGACGCTGTTCTTCGGTGAGCTCCTGCTCGACAGCTCCTTCGTCATCCGAATCATCCGATCCATCGACAACTTGAGGCTTAAAACAGAAAAAAAAATCGATAAACCACCTAGAGTAAAACTTTTTAATACTTCTTTTTTAACTTCTAAATAAGAAAAACATTTTAACGTTTAATTGCTTCATCTTAATAACTAAAATATTAATGAATTATTGTACTATTAAAAATCAAAACGCAATTTCGAAAGAATCCCAACGGCGAATTCTTGTCAAATGAACTAGAGGAAAAGGAAACTTTGAACAGATATTTTTACTTAGAGATGAGCAGAAAAACTTGGGGTTTAAAATTTACCTCCTTAGATACCTCCTCCTTGACGTGTTCGGCCGCAACGCTTCCGGTCATTCTTGATATGCTCAACCCTTAAAAAAGACTTCCTAGTTTTAAAAAGTATCCAGAAAAAGATAAAAAGCGATTAACACGAAGTAAAAATCAAAAATCAATAATAAAAGAAAAGTTTTTATTAGTAAGAAAATCTTAGTACAGTGCGGAAAAAGATAAGCGAGAAAAAATTCTAAAAAAGTTCAAACTACAGATAGATTATCGAGGGGCGATGAAACATAAAGATATCTGGCTCGTATGAAAGGAAAAAAATAATTACAATATCACAAGCACAACCGATAAATCACGTCCTAAAAAGGACCTAAATTGGACAACCCACATTCAGAAGACTAAAAATAGATCTTTAAGAACTAAGTACATAGGAAGAAAAAATATACAATCGGAACTATCACAGTCAATATCACACTTTGGTAAATAATATCTATTCGTTGCCAAAACCTTCTGTCATTTCTATGGCCATATTCAACTTTTCTACAAGCTGTTCATAACTTTTGTAAGGGGGAAGGTCGAGTCGATTGAAACAAGTATGTGAGCGTGGTAACCAGTTTTCTTTACCGACCCGCTCAATGCAAAAAAGTTGGGGCCCAGTAGAACCCATGAGCTCTGCAAATCCTCCAACAGGAACGCGACACGTGCCTGTTACAAACTGAAGAAGACGCGCACGCTTTTCTTGATCGAGACTTCGTACCCACGTCCAGAACCACGAAACCTATGAGAAATAACGTAAAGTTGAGTGTTTTTAACCAACTTGTTTGCTCTGAGCGGCATAGTGACGATAGACAGTATTTCTTTGCCAGTCGTCCACATCAACATTTTGCATTCCGCAAAGTAGAAGCTCCAATTCACGTTCATCGAAATATTGCATCCATTCGAGAGGAAAAACGGAGTTGAAGCCCGTGAAAAAAGCTCTAGTTTGCTGTTCGACACCTCTGTTAAAACGCCATTCTACCAAAAGATCAATGTATTCGTTCTGAAATTGATGATCAGAGATAAACTTCGCAGCAAAGGTACCTTATTCGATTCATTAACAGGAATGTCCTCGCCGCCTTCTTTTAGTTCATGAGTTTTCACTTCTCCGAGAAGTTCGTAATAGTGTACAAAATATAACATCATGTCACATTCGTCGATGTTATTTTCTTTTATGAAAATCAGAGATTTGTAGAAGTCTGTGTCCACTTGTTCGATGTCACTTAGAGTGATCTTTTTATTGAGCATCTTCTTATAAAACGGCATCGTGAACCCGCTATATATGAACTTTCCGTGGAATAAAGCCTAAAAAATTAAATTTTAATACAAAAAAATCAAAATAAAATAATACCATTGCGATGAATCGGCCTATGTACTCGAAATATTTCAGATGATCAGGGTTGACGAAAGAAGCCGGATTGATTTGCAGACTATAGTTATTTTGGCCCGCATACATGAACAAGCAGTACATCGGGTTGAGAACTTCGTGCGACAGATGAAAGAACCACTCTCTAAATTTTCAAATTTTCTTTTTTTTTTAATTCAACACAAAATAAGTACCTAGCAACTCCTCCGTAGTCTAGCCCCTCTTCTCCTTTGAATTGGATGTAAAGTCTTCGACGCAAATCAACAGCGTTTTTTCGCATAATTTCTTGATACGAATCTTCGAAAAGATTTTCCCGTGATACAGTGATTTTGACATGGTTCGGTACACTATTTGACTGAAATAAAAAATAACCAAAATAATCAGTTTCAAACTTACCAAACAAAGATATCTGAACTGAGCAATCTTCCAACGGAAATTCTTTTCGTAGCTTTGCACACCAGCAACTCCGAGAGGACCAACAGGTTTTCCAGTTCGCGGATCGTTATATGTAGTGGTTTTTGTTTGATGATCGATGAAGAATGGCACGCCCTGCTCAGTAAATCTCATCTCCCATCCCTCAGGCAGAGGCTGGTCCGAAATACTAAATTGAAAAATTATCAACTTTTAAGGGTAATAAAAATACCCTTGAGTTCGCGGATCTTCCCATTGAGTTGTCCTGTTGACGTGGTTTACAAAATACATCCTTGCTGTTTGAGGATCTTGTCGTTTCTCCCATCCATTCGGTAGCGGCCCAAGTGGATCATCACTTGACGTGAATGAGTTTTGCTGAGAAAAATAATATGAAGAAGTATATGCAAATTTTAAAACGGTGACACGCTTTAAAAAGTTGAAAAAAATAGCTTCAAATTGAAAATTTTTTCTAAAGAAACCTACTTGTAGCAAAAAACGTTGTTCCCATTGATGCATTGCTTGATCTCTTCCGGACTGCCACTGTTCGTGTGCCTCAAGCATGTCGACTGTTGGCCTTTGCCATGTAGTAGTTCTAGTATTATGGTCGACATAATAAACCTGAACAAACGAACTCCAGAAGAGAACTTTAAAAGATTTCTCACGCGTCCACGAGGATCACGACGCATTTCCCATCCTGTGGGTAGAGGTTGAGTTGAAGGTCTTTCCCATGTTGTGCTTTTGGTAGTGTGATCGACGTAATACTTTCGACCATACTGATCAAAACGCATCTCCCAACCGCTGGGCAAATCTTCTTCAGCAACGGTTCCCGTATTCTGACAAAAAATTATATATTTGAAAACTTAGTTAAAGTACCAATGGGACTGCATCTAAAGTATCGCGTTTAGCTGTTGGTGGCCTTCGTGGGACATTTGAACTAGAAGAAGTTGAAGCTTCAACTGAGTGATTTTCTGCTTGGCGTCTAGTGGCACTTCCTATAGTTTCCGTTTCTTTCAGTAAACAAAACAAAAAAAAAAAACCACTTACCAGCACTTCTGCGCTTTTTTTCGATGTTACCACTGAAGGAAACTTTTATAGAACCGACTTTCGCTGCGCTCTTGTCTTTCCCACTCAATTGTAGAACGATCTCAGAAGTGTTCACTGAAATCAGAAAATTTCTTCTCAATTTTCTTCAAACTTTCTCACGTCCGCCCTCTTCGTTCCGAGTCAGCGAAGAAATCTTCAGCTTATGAAGCCCTATACAGCTATCGTCGAAAATCCTCGTTTTTCCCATAACACGAATCGTCAAATTTGATGATTCAGAAACGTTCAAGTTGAATGATTCTCCCCATTCAAGTGCATCAGTCTTTTTCTTTGTAGATGTTTTCTTTGTTTCTGATGTTTGCAAATCTGTAGATAAGTCAACGTAACATTCCGCAGGTTTTTTTAAAGTCGCAGAAATAACTGAAAAATACATGAGATGAATAATTATTTTTTAAATTAACCTTTGATGGAAATTTTGGCGGGTTTCAGAGAGCCGTTCTGTTGAGCAGATGATGAGATCCCACCGCTGCCAGAACTACCCGGTTGTTGGGTCGACTCATTCCGAGCCATGCGCGTTTTGTCTAACAGCGGTTCTGGAATTGACACTAATAAAAAAACTTCCCACTTGTAAAAAAATACTTATTATTAAAAAAAATATGGCAAAGGAATATAAGATCAAAAGATATTATCTCTTTTCTGTAGAGAAAAAAAGGCACAAAAAGAAGCAACTCAAAAAAATAATCATTGATTTTTGAAGGATAAAAAAATCTTCACCTTCTTCGACTAAAATCTTATTTTTCCGCGATTTATCCTCGTAACTTTAATATGAAAAAGATTTAGAGCTTTTTATTTAAAAAAACATATATAACAAATAAATCGAAAAACCCTTTCCCTTTAAAAAAAATCGGAAAGTACTTTTTTTCCGTGTTCCAAATTTTTTGAAATTTTTTCCTTACACATCTCGTTTTACCCTTTCAATAAAAGTTTTAGAACATGATATTAACAATGTAACAAAAAAAAATAACCGATTACTATTGCGGCATCAAAAAAATCCATAGCTGGTCGAGAAAATTTCTGATGAGGGGGGGGGGACTATTCCAAGTGACGTGATAACCTGCACATCTTAGCTCCGCGTCAGCGGTCCGGCGGGAATTGAAATCTTTGTATCATTCTTGTCTGAAAATGCTTGGGTTTCGTTTCAGTTTCGCCTCAGGAGTATATAACTGTCAAAATTTCCAAGATATGAACAGCCACAAATTTTAACTTTAGAACATGTTTGAAATGATTCTGCGGAATTGAAAACAGTCGTGAGAGTCCGAAAAACCTATCTACATTGTAGAGAGTCAGAGATTATTTTGAATTTCGCGAAAATTACTTGAAAGCGGCTTTGAAATTTGTAAAAAATACTGAAAATTTTTAATATCTTTTATGTGTTCAAATGTTTCAAGTGCCAACACAGTCTTCGAGATAATTTCGCAAATTTCGAATTATCTCTGCCTCTAGTTTTTTTTTATGTATTTCAATCTTTGACGTTACTTCAAAAAAAAAAGCTCCTTTGAACACAGCATACGCTTTCACGAGTAAACCAACTTCTCAGTGGGAAAAGAAAAAAAATTAATTGTTTATTTTAATTTGTTGTGAATAAGTATATAGTCTCACACAATATTATGGATTATATCGCAGCAATAATCTGTACAGATTTTGAAGGTCAAGCAGCTTACTCCACCTCCAAGGCTACAATATCTTTCGCGTCAATGTTTTATCTACAGATGACGATGGCCCTTTAATAAGGCTTCATTTTTTGACTTCTTTTCTATAGCTGATTCACGGCTGGCTTGAGCTATCGAAAAAAGGGTCCTGACACGATAATGCACGAGACAGTGCCTGGATCGTGGAGAGTGCAGAGAAACCACGCCCCTTAGCGTCCCAAGCTAGCCGTGAATCAGCTATAGCTGCTTGGCATTCAAATGATGCAAAAGGGAAAAAAAAATGAAGAATATATAGTTAAAAAAATTAACGAAAAGAGCGATAAACCAGTTCTCCAAATAGTCGGTGGCGGTTGAATTGAACTCGTGCCAAGAACCGCGAACGAGCACGCTGCGGGTCCCTCTACCCTCGCCTTCCAAGTCGGGAAAAATTGACAATATAAAAGCTTCCCGACAAAAATTGACAATATAAAAGCTTCCCGACTTGTCAATGTCACTATCCATGACCATGACCACAAACACGGATCGATGAAGATGATCATGATTTCATCTCAAAAGACAAACAATTTTGAGATCATCAGAGAGGATCTAATTTATCTATTGAAAGACCGTCTTGCGAGATGAGAGAATTATTGAACTTCTGCACTTTGTATTGATGAACTTTGAGTTCGATTATAAACTTCAACGATGTTCGACAGGAATTATTGAAACTGTAAAAAAACTATCTTTTATAAAAATGTCAGTTATATTTTTACAGAATAAATTATGAAAAAAACCAATACAATCTATAGTTTTCTTTTCCTTCTCGATACAGTAGACGTGCAGTTCAACCAGTCATCAATGTCTAGTTTGCAAAGTTTCCCAGTTTCAAAAATTGCTTCTTCTTGACAGTCCAGCTTGTCAGCTTTCATTTCTCCATGGAGAGCTTTCGCGACCACACCTGAATTTCGTTATAATTATACTGAAAAATTATCTGATGAACTTCCTACACGTTGAGTAAGAGTATTCAAAATACAATTAGCCAACTTTGTTGCCGTTTCTTGATCGTCATCTTTGAATAAATGGCAGAGCTCTATTCCCAAGACGTAGAAATATTTTTCGTTGCGGGCGAGGTTCACCGAACGCGCATCAGCTTGAAGCACGCTTATCATACCGGGAGTGAAAGTTTGAGGTAAAGATATCTGGAAACATTCAGAAGCTAATTACTCAAAAGAGAAAATACTGTGCAGTGTGAACGAACGGAATCTACCAACCAGAGCGGAACTTCGGACGAAAACTGTTTGTCTTCAACCTGTTTGGTTTTTCTTATTCCCAGCATTTCGGTGAAGAAATCTGAAAAAAAAGTGTTATTACACTCTCCTAATAAAAATTTTTTTAAGAGAAAAAAATATATATAGAAGACAGGCATACATAATCAAAATTTTATCAGAAAATTTTGTTTCGCTTCAGTTTCCGCGGGACTTTTTTTCAAGAAAAATTCTACCGTTGCGCTCATTATTCTTTTTTTTTTTTCGTTTTTTGAAGGTTTTTTCGTAATCCTTTAAGGTCAGAAGGGTAGTTACGGCTCAACTTATTTGAAAATTTCTGTTATCCAATATATTACAAAACTACCGTATTACGATCGACCACTTTGAACAGGCGTAGCACCAAGGATTTTTGAATAGACTATAGCCCATACCGCGCAAGCTTGTTCCGTTTTTTTTTCTGCAAAAAAGACTGTATACTAGAATGTATCAATTTTGAACCCTCCGCTTCGAGAACTTTTTTTGTCGTCTTTTTTGCAGTTTTTTAAAGCAAAAGCGCACAGTGTTTCCGGAACTGAATCCTGCTTTTCTCACGAATTGTGAACGTCAAGCGTGGAACTCACTATATACCCGATTCAGACTTTGAATGTCAAGTACAATGTCATCATTCGAAAACCTGTGGATGGATCGCTCTCTGATTGGCTAATTCAGAGATTGAAGACCGATTTGATATAGTCTGTTCAGATTTTTAATGTCAAGTGCAATGACGTCATTGACAAACACTATGTGGATGGCTCGCTCTCTGATTGGTTTATCGCACCATTAGGAGCGGAGCTTGAGCGACCACTTGACTTTCGAAATCTGAACAGACAATATTCAAAATCTAAATAGACTATATCGAAGATGTGAAAGTTGAACAAAATTGTATTGCAAGCAACTTACAGAACCTTAATTTTTCTCTTTTTTAAAACTTCTTTTTGAAATAAAAAAACAGTTTAAAAAAATTCTTATAGTTCGATATAACGGTGGAAACATACCCGCTGGTGAATTTTTGTTAAACAAACAAGATACGCCGGTAGACTTGGCTAAAATATCATCAACATCGTAAAAGTTCGATTCCACGTCTTGGTCATTATGTGGCATCTGATTCTGAAAAAAAGAGGGGAGGAACGCAATTATTTGCTTGATAACAAGAGCTATATCGCTTAATTCAAAGAAAACATGAATTAACGGCGTTAATTAACTAAAAATGCAATTCAAATTAAAAAATTTTTTCTTTAAATATTTTTCGCAAAATGCAAAACTCTCTCTGACGCCCCAATATTTTTTTCTATTTTTTTCGACGGCTATTTCGAATTCTGCAGAATAACTTTGAACAGAGCATATATAGAACTTTTCAAAAAAAAAATTCCAATGTTCAAGGAAATCCTTTCTTTTCTGCTCATTCAAAGACGTTTCGGTATAATTTTTACCGTTCAAAAAGTAAGATTTAAAAAAAGATAGACCAGCAGCGATTTAGGGTTTTTTTAACACAAAAATTTTTTTAAAATTAATAGCAAAAAAACGATTATTTTTCTACCCCTGTATATCTAATTAAACTGTCAAACAGGATTTACTAAGGTTTAAAAGAAAAATTTGAAAATAAACGTTTTTCATCGATACTCTTCAAAGCTCAAACTCTGTGAAAAAGCTGTCCCTGGCTAATACTAATAAAAAAACACCTATCTATAAAATAACAATTAACTATAGCCTATTCCGCGCCAGCTTGTCACGTTTTTCTTCCCGCCAAAAAGACCGTATACCAAATAAGATCAAATTTCTGCTTTTATAACGGCAAGAAACAAAGGTCTTGAAGCGAAAGTTGGTTAAATTTGACCTGGCTTTTTGGCGGAAAGAAAAACGTGACAAGCTAGCGCGGAATGGCCTATATCACGAAAACAAAAAAAGAGTTGAAAACAATATACTTCAATCGAGTTTGTGAAGTTTGGTCGACCAAAATTTTCAGCATGCCGAAAACTCGAATGACAGTTTTTATCTGTCACGATTGACCTCTTGACATTATTTTAAAAAAGGTACTTAAAGAAATTTATGCATAATACGAGATTTATTTTTTCAAAAAATGCGTTTGGCGCGCAAAATCGGGCGCAGATAAATGGGCGTGGTTACATCTCCTGTAGAACTTTTCACTCTTCTTTTGAATTATATGTAACTTAGCTTTTCTATGGCGTGTTTAAAGTAATTTCGGCTACTTCAAAGTTGACGCGTTATTCGTTTGAATGTATTTCCCGAAAAATACACAAAAAAGTTGAGAATTACTGGAGCCGTTAGAAAAATTGGGTCCTACAATATACCGCAATATTGTGACTTGCGATGGTTTTTACGCGCAAATTCAAAACTTTCAATTAAAGATAAAGTAATTTCAAAGTTTGAAGTAGTTCAAAAAAACCATTGAACTGATTTTTAATATATTGAAACGAGATTTTTAAAAAAATATGGTAAAGATAATTTATTTTTCATCCGAAGGAGAAGTTCGTTAATTTATAAGAAAAAAATCAGAAGAAAATTCATGAAGACAAAGTTCGATTATTTGCCGCAGGGGCTGGTGCAGCCAGGAGTTCCACAGCAGCTTCCACCGCCGCCGATGCACGCGAACGTCTGAGCAGTCATCATCAAGAAGCAGACGAGGACGAGCTGCGAAATGCAATTTTGAAATAAAAATCTAACAAGGGGAACGAGATAGAGGAAAATTCAATAGGATAATAAGCATGTTTGTCATTAAAACGTCGAAATTCGAAAAAAAAACAGAATATTTCGAATAGCGTTTTCATGACTTTCAGAAAGCCTCCTGACTCAAATTCCAGATAAGGCCTTTTTCAAACATTTCATAGGCTCACGTTCGTCTTCGCGATAGAACTTTAAAAAAGAAAAGAAACATTTCCCAGTCTCCTCGCTTCGAAACGCTTGGGTGGCTCAGAAAGTCAAAAATAATCTTAAAGAAGAATGACCATCAAAGCTCAAAAACTTAAAAACTTCTAGTTTCCAGAAAAAAAAAACTCACGATCGGGGCGAAGTTCTGAGCGAACATTTGAGAGAAGTTTGAGGAAAGCCGAGCTGAAGCTTCTGATTGATGGCAACCAATCCTCGAATATATATACCTTGCTGAGAGGAGGCGCTAAACTGCCCGAGGCGGCTTTTCCCATTTAGACGGCTCAACATCCCATTGAAGCGACGCCGCATGTGGCCAAGCCAGCCACCGGTCCGTCCGCCAGCCATTCCCATGCAAATTGCATGTTTCTTCGACGACGATCCTTGATGCTTTTTCAAATTGTTTCATTCATACTGCATCAGCTGAACAACCTGTTATTTGCGGATCAACGTTGGCGCGAGGCAGGAGAAGGAGAAAAAAGTTGTGGTGTTGAGATGCTGAACTCATGTTTTAGAGAAAAAAACTCATAAATAGGGAAGTAGATCTATTCGTAGGAAGTGAAAAAAAAGATGAAATCTAAAAATATATCGAAGAGCAATGTGTTAGATTAATAAAAATACTCAGATAACTTAAAGGAACGGTATCGCTCAGTGTTTCTAGACTTTCTGAAAGTTGGCCAAAAAGTTCCCATATGTTCTATTTACATGACTTTTATATAAATGTAATTATAGAGGTAAAAATATTCGTTGGGGATATACTTTTTCGATTTTTTCATGTCGCTAGGGAACTTTCTGACGGTGAAGTTTCCGGCGAACCCCTTTCCGACTTTTTATCTTCATTTTTTTCGGTTTATAAACCTTCTATTAACATTTTTTCAAGTCTTTGTTCTTTAATCATGAATCAACTACCTACTTTATATAGGAATATTCAAAACGAAGAGTTTATCGGAAAAAAAATTCGGAAGTTTCCTAGCGACATGAAAAAATCGGAAGAGTCGCCGTTTGAATTTTCGCAGGTCTTTTTTTCATACCACCAAAATACTTAAGTCTCGATCCATTGAGAGATGAGGTGTCATGAATTTTAATGAGCGAGAAATCGGTTTTGAAGTTCTTTTTCGAAAAATGGGGAGCTGCGTTCCAAATTTAGGAACCCTATCAAAACATTTTAAGAGTTACCAAATTTAAACATTTTCGAGGCTTTAACTGGGGTCCGTGACATCCTGAATTTTCGGAATCTTCCGAAATTTCTGCAATGATTACAGATTTCTAGAGAAAGGATCTGCAAATTCTGTGAAAATTTACCGCTTGTTGTATAAAATTTTCACTCTAACTGAAAATACTGAATCAATTATTTTTGTCTTTGTCGATAAAGTTGAAAAATTCATTTTCAGTTTATATCAAGGTGACGCTCGATCCTGCGTCTTCAAACACATCGGAATGCATTTCGAATGAATCCTTTCTCTTTTCAGTGAACCTTCTGTGCTTCAGGAGCGTAGCCACTCTAAACTTTTCCGCCTACTTAAAAGACATGTTTCTCTCGCTTTCAAAAACGCAAGCTCTTGATGTTTTTAAAAGCTTCTCCAAAATTTCTCGGAGCAGTAGTTATGAATACAAAAAAAAACTCGAAAACAATTTCAAGGACTTGCGCTTGTCAAAAGGGAAAGTTTTCGAGGTGGTGGCGACTCTTCACTTTGTTTTAACTCGGTCAAGGCGAAATCGCGTAGTTCCTACGGGGTTGACGTTGAATCGGAAGCGTCATGTGATTGTTATCATGTTGTTTTACATAGAAAAAGGGCACAGAGCCTTCGAAATCGCTGAAAAATGCGGAATTTTCCGTTCATTTCCGAAAATTTGAGAAAACCTGTTCAGGACAAAGTAAATTTAACAATTTGATAGCGACGATAAAAGATGATCTTCCTAGGGAGCATATTTATATTGAATTGAAGATCGTCTTCTTACAAAAATATCATTCCAAGACTATTTTCCAAAAACTACCATGTTTTTTTTTATAAAGTTTCAAACTACCTTTTAAGCATTTGAGAATTCAATGAATTGCTTATTTTCAAGCTTGAAATTTGAATACTGAAATAACAAGCAAAAAAAGCTCGATTTTTGAAGATTTATTTCTTTTCTCAGCCAAAGAAAGTTCAGGTTGCACTAATGTCGTTGGGTTGAAGGTCTACCTCGTGGGATATTTTGCCCTTCGGAGAAACGTCCTTGACGACAATGACCTACATTATGAACTTTCAGAGCCGAATACTTGTTTGCATTTTTTTAAAGATTATCAAAAAGATTTCTGGGAAGAGGGGCAATATAGAAATCTGGCTATGAGAAAAATGTTTTTTTCTTTGAGTTCGGCTCTTTTAAAAACATGTAAGATGCGATAAACATTAATAAAAAAAGGAACTCGATAAGAATTGATTGAAATCTACTTTTGGATCATCTTTGACGGCTGCGGTTCAAGTTGAAATTTCGAGGCTCACAATTATAATTGGAAAACTACAACTCTTGATGCTCATTCATTCCTTAATGTTTTCCAGTCATTTAGCGTTAGCGGAATTGCTTTAAACACGCCATGAAGATTGGCCAATAAGATACCTACAAGGGAGGTCATTTTAAATATAGCTTTAGAACTTTCCTAAAATTCATAATATATACTGCTGGATGTACTTAACTGAGCTTCTTGAATTTTTAAGGAGCAGGTGTCTCTAGAGGTGCTTTCTCGCTAATTCGAAAGAAATAAGATTTTTGAGGTTTCCGTACTCGGCAAGAACCGAAAATATTCAAAGTAAAAACTTATAAGACATAAATCTGGTACACCAAAGAGTATTTTTACTGAATTCCAGAAACTCCTGAAACTCCCTTTATTCCCAGTGTTAAGATGGAGCTGACACATCTTTAGAGCGGAACAAGCTCGAAAAATCGTTAGTTTGAATAGAAAAAGTCTTGGTTAAAGCCTCGGAGGGAGGGAGGTTCATTACAAAAAATATCCTGCCAAAATATTAAATGGAAAATTTCAGTGAATTACCAAAGTTTGGGTATTAGTCCAAATAGCTCCGAGTTTCTTTTCTCGAAGAAAAATCTCGTGGAAAACGATTAAGATAAAGAAATTAAAACGTTCTTTGATATATTTTGAAATTGTTTTCGTTTTTCGGCGTCGTCGTGGACTTCGTTGCAGCGACAAGCTTGATTACGCAACCTAGACGCCATTTTATTTTCAAATATGTCTGGATCTGCTTCAGTTCTCGTGAGGCTCACGTGTGTTGATAATACGCAATGATTAGGTCAACTCCTCCTGGTGGTCGGTGTTGCTAAGACGCCTGGTACGGCCCGCCCTCGACGCCTTCGGCCGACGACCGTCGTGCCAGGAGCGGACATTCCTCTCCTACAGTCAAGGTTTCTCGCGCTCAAAACAAAAATCCTCCCACCTTTCAGATATGCATCCTCCGGTGATGTCAGAATGTTCTTTGGATCCTGTGAGTAATGAAAACACTTCGCCAGGATGACGAAAACTCCAAATGTTTGTCCTGGAGAGATCATCGATAACAATCAGACCGGGATGTAGGCTACGAGCATCACTGAGAATGGAAAATGAATAGGAAACATTTCTGATTGAACTTTCAGTTGCTCTACTTCTGGCAGCTTTAGAAGATTCTCTAGTAAAACGCTATCTTGCGAGGAGAATCATTTAATCAGATCTTCAGATCCCACTCGAGCACTCTCTGACGTGTTCAATCAAATCAGTGATCGACAATCAAACGTATAATCGGAAATAAAAAACATTTTTTAAATTTTCGAATTTTTTTTGTTGATAAACAAAGTTTTTTTAGCATTACATGGAGTTTCTGCTGATTTTTATATTCTTCAATAAGTCGATCTCGAAAAAGTTGTTCTCTTTATAAATGATAAAATTGGAAGACAGTTATCAAGGGCCAGTGACTACTCCGACATTGTCATAATTGTGTAACTGTCTCCAACGAGAGTATTGATATTTATTGTAATCTGACGGAAAAAAAAACGATCATTGTGGATTGGCAAAGAACGACGGTCCGATGCCACGCAACTGCCGCTATCGGAGAAGGTGAAATCACATTGAGGCGGCCGAGAGAAGAACAAGAAGAAAGCTGGTTCGGGATCGTCACGAATGAGTTTCAGGTTCCTTGTCCGCTTCGCTTTTTTATCTCTTCTTTTTGCGTTCCGAAATAATGCGAAACGTGCCATCGGTCAGGCTTTTTGAGCAAGCTTCAATACTATTTCTGGCGTTTGAAACCGATGAAGGCCCGGAAGTTTATTGAAGTGCTTCAAAAAGTATTCAACTTGATAATTAATTGATAGATTACGCGATACACTTCCGAAAAAAATCTTTAAAAAAATGTAAAAGATTGCATTGGGGGAACTATGAATCTTTTCGATATAACACGACCGATTGGCTATCTGATGGAGAGGCGGCAGATCATAATTCAAGTATTCTCGGCGGCGAAGAAATTAATTTATTACGTGTTTAACCATGGGATGTGGGTGAGGAAGGATTTTCCGGTTCCCGCCACTCTCGACTCACCTTTTCTTTTTTTCGATTCTCTTCGCAGTGCCGACCGCTGACGGGCCCATCACGAGAGCCAAGGATGGTTCTCATTTGCCGAAATCCTCCTCTCTGAATATTTTGCATCAAGAAACACGTTAAGCACAGAAAGTTGTCGACATTCCAAAAAAATACACAGAAATTCGAGAAATTCAAGCTCTTTCAAGGAGAAGAGCGGAGCCTTCTGGAGAAAAAATTGTACAAAGTGATTTCGTGTAATTTTCGTACCACAACAAAATAACACGAATGCAAATTTTTTTTCATTTCTGAAATTTGCAGTTTGCATTGCAAACACGCCAGTTCAAAAAAATTGAAAAATATGTAAGACTAACAAAAATGAAAAATTAATGGTTGCGATCTTGGACGAATAAAAATAAAAAACAAATTTTTCCTAGATGTCGTACACTTGCCGCTTTCGGTTTTTTCAAATCTGCGAATCTGTTGAAAACTTTTTTATGAGGCCGTACATTTCAATCAACGTTTACGAAGCTTGAATGCGAGGGCACAAAGGAGATTGAAGCAGATAAACTTGAACTTTTTTCACAAGTGCACGTGTATCGAAGACTTAGGGTTGAATAAGAGTAGAAACATGAAAATTTTCTTTCAAAAACTAATTTTGTACGCCCTTCCATTCACGTTAAGTTGTTCATGCATGTGGCTTTTCTGCTTATATTGAAGATCCCGTTGCCAAAAGTTTATAGAATTCTCGGTTGGAACGTCCGAAGAAGCATCGTTTAAGACATCGAAGTTAGTGGATTCTTGCTTGATTTCACGATAAGTTCATATAAATTAAGCTTCGAAAATATTACAGTGGTTGTTGTGCACATAAACAGCTAACAGAGCCTAACTGTTATTTCAATACGATTTCTGTGCCTTCGGATATCGTCTCAATAATATCTTGCGAAATCGAGATCTTGGTTTGCAGAACTGAGGAAGATTTAGTATGCTGCCGGATAGCTTATCGATAGCTATCTCACCTCGTGTCCTATTTATTGACGGACTGTGTGGACACCTCGGGTGACCTTTGTTTTTTGAACCTGAACAAGAAAGCAGATTTGCGAAATATGTGATAAAATCAGTGTCAAACATCAAGATTAGAAGATTTGCCGTGAGTCACTGAACATATAATTGAAATCCTCGGATCTTCATTGATGTACTCAAAAATATTGATGATTACACGAGAAATAAGGAAAATGACGTAGGTTTTTGTTATTGTTGGAGGGTATGCGGAGAATGAGAATTATTTTGTTGCGTTGGTTTACCGGCGGATCTCGCGACGCCGACGAGATAGATCAGTCCGGTAAACAACCCGAAAACGCTTTTGGGCAGTGGCCTTTGCACACTCACCCCACTTTCGGATGTTTCCGCCGCGGAACAATCGCACTTTCGCCGTATTTTCCATGACTGACCATTTTTGGCATCTTCCTTCTTTTTTTTTTCCCATTTATGCCTTATTACGCCATATTTCGACCATCAAACAATAACTGAAAGAAGGAAACTTTTACTATCATTTTTTGAAGTCAACGAGTTAACAGAAACCATCTAATAATATCATTTTTACTGGTATATGAAGAAATTTCCGGAAAAAAAATGAACCATTTAGATGTCTATGTTTGTGGTCGATTGTCAATGAGAACTTGACAGCTACTTCATAGATGAATATTTTAATAATGTTTGAAATAAAAGCAATAAACGGTTTTCTGGAGAAAATTCAGATGTTTTATGCTTTATTTGAATACAAGCAAATACAAGCCTTGAACTTTTATCCTTTTTGACACCTATGTACCTAACACAATGGGATAAAAGAAAAATAAAGACCTTCCCCCCTTTTTTTTGTTATCATTCTAGAAACTTCAAGTTCTCGAGATGTTCTTCTAAAAAATTCTACGGAATTTTTGGAAAATAACTCCAATCTTTGCGAAGAATCCAAGAAGACTATTTTCCTTAATCTTGAAAAAAAAACGACGCGGATTGTATCGGTTGGAGTGTCGAATCGCCTTCAAGGTAACTCTCGACAAGATATGGAATTTTGGCCATCCAACATTCGACCTACTTTTCCATTTTCCCGCTCGTCTGTGTGTCCGTACCATTACATTTTTTTCAGTTCTTCTTCTTCTTCCTAATTTATCTACACATTCACTTAGTTCTTGAGGATTAATTAATTGGAAAACAAGGCGCGGATCGACTTTATCTGTGTGGTCTTGGGCAAAACGACTTCGTGGCGCCGCCGAAGCCGTCGAGTAGGCGTGGCAAATGTGGGCGGCGCTGTAGGTTTTGGTCATGCTAGCCCTGCTGGCCTGATCCTCACTACTGCCTAGCATTCTCGAGACATTGGACTACCCGGGGCGGCTTCGGCAATCACTTATTCTCTTCAACTTTCCAAATTTTCATTCGTCCAGATAGTTTTTCTAGTGAACACCCCGGTTTTTGTTTTCCTTGGCTTCATTTGAATTATCCTTGTTGGTCATTCCTTCATGCCACGTTGCAAAACAGATAAAATACTCCCAAAATGAATCCTTTGCTATATTTGAATCCTCACGAATTTAACGGATGGATTACAATTGATAAAAGCCGTGCTCCTTTGAAAACCCAAGTAGAAGCTTTCGTTGAATCAATCTAACAGAACATCCTTGATTCAAAGGCGTCGAATCCTTTTTTCGATCCTGAATCTTCAGTTTTCTGTTTTATTTTGTTGCTTCTTGTTCTCGGCATACAACTTTTAATTTTTTTGCTGAAAAACCTTTGAAAAGCTTTCTTCATCGTTTTGAAGTAACTATTAAACGAAGTCCACTTTCTTCAGGAACTTAGTTCAAACTCGACCGAAAATGCTGCCAGACTCGCCATCGCCACGCGCGGCTCTCGCACTCTCCGACCTCCAGCCTCAAACAGGAGCCTCGACGTTTTCAGTTGGCACTGGATCTGGAAATTGGTCAGTCCTAATCTTTCGGACAATGGCTTCTGAATGAAAAAAGAGGGAGAAAAGAAAAATAAAGATGACGAGGACAGATCCCGACAAGAAGACAAGCGCATTGCGCAAGGGTCTCGTTTGCCAGACGCAGTAGATCGCGAGGCGAAGCTCGTTTGCGGCCGAGAACTTGCTTGCGATTGGGTCGGGCACAAGCCGTGCGTGTGTGTGTATATGGTCGATACCAAATATACGCGCTTTTTTGCTTTGGAGATCGGCCACACGAGATGACCAAATTAGTCTTGGAATTTGATCACTTCAGACTTCTGTCTTTGCGAAAAAACCTTACTAGTTAGCAACATTTTAGGACCTACTAAACCAAATAACTGTACAACAGATTCTTAGAAACCAAACTCTGATGCCTTTCGTAGTAAGATACAGTAACGTTTATAAGGTACAGCTGTCAGCAGCCGGGCTATAATGTCTTCAGAAAGCTGAAATGAGATCATCTACTTGATTAAATCTATGTGTCATGAAAAACCCATACGAAAATTTGGCAAACTTTGAAATATAATCCATGAATTAATCGATTAAAGGTCTACGAGAGGCGTCGGCGGTGTTGGTGGTGACGCTTTCGAGAAGTCCGGCAACGGCGGCGGATTATTTGGCGGGAACAGACAAAATGTTAGTCCGCAGTCTTTGAAAATGAAGAACTGTCATTTAATAACGATAGCAGGAAACATTTGAAGGGAAACGATCAAAAATGAAAATGAGTCTTGTCATAGTCTGCCCCAAGCCCTTGTGGTTTCCCTGAAGCCTTTAATAACACTACGAACGGATCTGTTCTTCGAAACCTTCAATATGATTCTTCAAACATCCAGAAAGTTTTAAACAGGTTCTGTTCGAAGATCTCTAAAAGTTTCATCCTTTCTGCCACCTGAAAATGTTGATTTAAGGGTAGAAACTTTTGATAAAACTTCAGAAGCGGTGAAACGCAGTGACTTTCTCTTGAATAGGAAACTCTCTATGATTCGAGAATCGCCTTGGAGGCGTGGCAAATGTTATCACCTGCCCCTTTCTTCAACCTCCAGAATCCGGCTTTTCCTTTGTCCGCTTGACCCCTTTAAAAGTGGTCTCCAGCCCGCTCATTCTTCATTGTTTCTTTCACTTCTACGGATAGTCATAGTCCTTACTTCATTATTTTATATTTATTCGTTGATTGCCTCCTCCATTATTTTATTCCAAAACTGAGCAAATTTCGAAAATAGAAACTCATTTATTTCATAGTTGAGATAATTTTTATTAGAAAAACTTTTCCGATCAGCGGAAATCCTTGATGGAATTCTCTCAATGGTTCTCCAGTTTGGATTCCATCTATTTAAAATTGTAGAATCTCGGATCTCGGTAGAGCAAATCCGACGTGCCCCGGACGTTTGTGAGCTTCAGTAGTGAACACTTAAGAGTACTGACGTCGCTGAAGGGTTCACCAGTACTCAAAAACGTACGGAGCAGCTCCGGCTTGCAATATCGAGGTCCGAGATTGAGAAAAGCGTCACGAAAAATGATTTAGCCATAGGGTTTTCCAAAATCATGCACTTACCAACAGTCTTTTCTGAGCTGCAACTTTTAACTTTGGATAGGATTGTTTTTTTTTCATATATTTTGGTGAGGAAAATATTATTATGTATATCTTTCTGTTTTCAAACAAAATTCTTACCTTGAAAGATTAAAATCTTCAGGACCGATTCGAGTTGGGCGGTAACGGCGGCAAGCAGACTTTGTTCGGCGGCGGCTCCTCCTCATCTTCCTCGTCCTCTTCAACTTCAGGCGGAGGCCTCTTTTCTAGCAAGTGAATCCGAAGCTATCAAAGGTATAATTGGTAAAATGGATGGAAAATAAAAAAGATTTACCTTTTCAGGATGTATTTCGCCGCCTTTTTGCTCACTTTCCTGACCACTTTTTCATCATGTGTAAATAGCGAACTGCAATTGCCTGATTGCAATGAAATCCCTAAAGTTTTGTGCTGTACTCAACGTGTTTTAGGTAGAGTTTGAAGGAGAGAGGAAATTTAATCGAAAAAATTGCAGATAAATGTATGTCTGGTTGTATCGACTACGTAACGGAGAAATGCCCACATAAGCTCGAGAAATACGAAACTATTGAGAACGAGAACGAGAACGCCGTCGAGGGCACGGTAACTATTTTTCTCTTTCCTGTCTGATAGACTATTGGTTTCAAGATCAAATCGAGAAAGCCTGAGTCGGCGGAAGATGTCAAGACCTCGAAGCTCGACAAGATGGTGGAGAAGTTCGTCGACCGTGATGAAATCCGACGAGCGCCACAAGGTACCAAAGAGAAAAAAAAAACTCTTAATGAAAAACTCGGAGGCTAGGCTTCAAATTATATAAGAACGCATATAGATCGGTTTTTCATGATGATATAAAAAAAAAATCGCATAATGCGTTTAGAGTAATTTTCGAGCGGAAAAGGAGGGAAACTTTTAGTTCAAAGTGACGTCGAATTCGACTGAGAGCTTCGCAGCCGCAACGCGCGCCCTTCGATGCTATTTTTCTCTGGATTTCTTATTTTCTATATAAATTTGAAAAGGGTTCAACACATTTTTGCTCAAAATTTCTTTGAACGCGGTTTAGAAATACTTTATTTGTAACCAAAACTGCTATTAAAACAAAATTTTCCTTTTCATTCAAATAAGTTTTGACGTCAATCAAAAAACAATTTCTTGCGTTGTGATTTTATCCAAGCATTTCTTTTTGCTACAAAACCTTTATGTATTTCTTTTAATTTCCGAAATTTCTCAGAAAAAAATATATCACTTTCTCGAAGCTGATCGAAGCGATTCCAGGCGGTGACGTGAAACAGCTGAACGCAGAATATCCCATCACAGAGGTGTCGGACAACGACCTGACGTCAGAGTGCGGGACGGAGCGCAGCCAGCCGCCGTTCTCGCCGTGTCTGTCGAGGAAGACGGCCGACGACGTGTTCCTCTCGTGCTGTCGTCAGCAGGTGCCGTCCAACTGCCACTCGCTCTGCACCTACGAACACCGGGAGCACGTCGCCGCCGAGACCCTGATCGCGGCCATCCAGCAGGACGGCTGCGACTTGAAATACCTGTCCAGTCTCCTCTACTGCGCTAATCAGAATCGCGACAACCGCAAGTGCTGCTCCCACCTGGGAATGTCCAACTCGGACCTCGGCGTCGGCGATCGGTACTTTTTATTACATTCAAAATGGTTATCTACATTCGCTCTAAGAGGAATCCAACTTCAATTTTGTCAAGTCGAAAAAATGACGACTATATTATTTAGAGCTTTTTGAAATTACGCTTTCTTTGGGAATAAGAACTTTTTTCACGAGGTTTTTACGACCTATCCATCTGAGTTAAGGCTAAAACGTCGAATCAGAATGAAATCAATGCATTTTTTACGGTTTCATGAAGAAATCGCGTTTACAGATGCTTGCGGATGTGCAACATTGCGCAGAGCGGCAACCGCGTCGGTTCCTTGGAAAAGGAGGACCTCGTCTGCTTGAGCAACTGGAACGTCATCATGTACTGCGGCAGAGGCGGCCTTCGCACCATCAATTGAGCTTCTTCTTCTTCTTTTTCTTCTCTTCCTTCTCAATCGTTTCCGTATTTCTCTTCAGTCTGAAAATGAATTGAAACGTGAACTTTTTAGCCGTGAACTGTAATTCTCACGTTTCAGGTCATTTTTCCAAAGTCGATCAACCTTTTTTTCACGAAAACGTCTTTCTCACACCTTTGGTGACCTCCCCTGTGAAAAATACGATTTTTTGTTTTGTTCAGTACGGAAGGTGTGAGAAAAACGAGATGAAAACGTTTTTGGTGCTGGCACCGTCACATTTTCACAGTACCTTGCTGAGTTTTTGAAGGCGCATGTCCTAATCGAAAACTGATGATTTTCATCGAAGATTTGATCAAATTTGCCTTCTGGTCCATCAAAGAACTTCAGCAGGAGCTTTCATGTGGCTTTCCTCCTTCAAAGACAAATGGAACTCTATTTAAACTAATTCTTCTTCATTTTTGTTTTTTTTTTTTTTTGATTTTTCCTTTCCCCTGTTTCCAGTTCAACTTGGCATGAATCACAGATAATAAAACCGACAAATAGTTCTAAATAATAACGAAAATAACGTAGAAAAAACCTTTTTTGTCGTTTAACACATAAAAAAATAAGCTCCGGGTGAATATAACACACACATGTCCTATTTATTCAGTCAATCAATAAATTATTTAGTTTTTGTCTCGATAGTTTCCTTATTTATTTGGTCTTTCGCTAATTCCATCCATTGTTCTTCCCTACTCCTCAAAAAAGTGCAAAAAGTATTGCAATCGGATTATTCACACACATGTTGAATTTCAACCAATAAAAATACAAGCATTTATTGAATTATTGCGTTTTTCTTCAAGTTGATCCTAAAACAATAAATTATATGTATATATATAACCATTAAGGTCATATTATTAAAGGCAACAATTGAGATATGTTAAGGCATTATAACGTGTGAGCAAAGGTGATTATGCAGGTATACGATGAACTGAAAGGTAGACAATTTATTTCAGAATAGTGAGACTCTACCGGCTTCTTGATACAATCTTGAAGGGCGTGAGTATGAAGATACAAAGTATTATGGCAGCTTGAGACTGAGGGAACTACTCGCTAGGGGAAACTCGCTCATAGCGAGCTTTATGAAGGTGTGCTAGCCGTTCCCGAGCGTCGACCAGCTCCTTCTCTTTCCGTAGAACCTGCTCCTGGGCGTCCATGACCTGAGCGATGCCGCTCACGAGCCGTTCAGAAATAACAATGTTACGATCGTCTCGGGAGACGATCTGCTTTGCGTTGGCCACAAGTCGTTCAGTTGCGTTCTAGAAAAAATTCATTTTTGAAAAAAAAAAACAAAAAATAAAAATGGGTTAGCGTATGCGGGGTTCAGACTGTTCAAAGTGGCTTGTTTAAAAGAGCAAATGATCGAAAAAAAAAGTTATTATGAGTTGCTTTCTAAGGTTCTCAAAAATTTGGACACACTTTTAGACACTACTCAACTCAAAAAAATCCGTTGTTTTTGATTTTTTCATGACTAATATAAAAAGAGGTAAAATAGAAAAATTGTGAAAACGCTCATCAAAACCATTTTCATGGCAAAAATTTGTTCAATACTTAAACAGGTAAATAATTAGCCAGTGAACGTGTTGATGTCTTCTTTTTTATTTTTATTCTCATACGCATTATTTCTATTCCTTATTTTCATATGTTTGCCGAAATTTTGAAACTTCACTGAAAAATCATGAAAAGCTGCTGGAAAATTTTGAAGCCTGCTAAAAATATTTTTCAAATTCATTTATTGTCAATTTTCATTACTTCATTTTGTTAAAACGATAAGGAGGACTGAGAAAAAAACCTCAGTCGGATCAACTGAGCAGAAAACAAAAGTAGAGAAAGTACCTTGACAGCTTGTCCAGCGACCTGAAGACGCTTCCTGGCCTGACTCTCCATGTCGGCCTTGACGTTGCAAGCGAGCATGAGCTGGGCGGTGGTAGAGGCGACCTGCTTGGCCGCCGAAATGAGCTTTTCCTCGCTGGCGTGTCCTTGCACGAGGGCGTTGGCCGCCTCGCACAGTTGCTGAACGGCGGCGGCGACGAGTCGTGCCGCGCTCACCAGGCCTTCTGACCACTGATAGTCGCTGCTGTTCGCCGTTGTCACATCCAATCGTCCTGAATAACCAGTCGGTTAGAAACCTTTTCCAAGAAAGTGAAAAAACGTCTTCTAGGAGAGTTAGCTCCGTGAGTCGCTCTCATGGAAAGTTCGAAAAGGAAAATTGTTAATGATTGCTGAAAAGCAATATTTTCATACAACCACAGTGTGTACTTGCTCTTTATAAAACATTGACCAGAAAGGAATATGCTTTGAGATCAAACACAAATTGTAGGAATTCACAACTTCGTACTGTTTCAAGACGTTTTTTTGAACATTGCCATGAAAAGAGGGAAATCGAAAAAAAAAATAAGAGAAAAAGTTACAGCCTAATATAAGTTTCTGCGATATAACTTTTCAATTGAGAAAGATAAGAAGTTAGATTTTTGTCAATCTCGGAACAAGCTGAACAATTGGTCGAGATTTCATTCAGTTTGTGCCGTAACCATCAACTTATTATGGTTCTGTTTCTTCTCTCATTCATCAAAAACAAAAATTGTGTATCGTTTACTATTTTCTAGTTAATTCACCCAGTAATCTTATTAAGTGATTTATTAATCATCTAAAAAAAGTTATTTATTCAAAAATCTTTTTTTCGAATCTTTTTCTTTCTCGTTCTTTTTCATGATTAAAATTCCCAAGCTCTCTGATCTAATCTCGTTTTTGCGCGTTTATCCTCTCACCTTGGGCAATCAGCTCTCTCTGTGCGTTGGAAGCTGCTTTGACAAGAGTTTGTACAGCAGAAGTTATCGATTTCGCCGCTGACAATATCTTTTCATCGAATCCTTCGCCATCAGCGCCCCCATTCTAAAAGTCATAGAACTGTTCAAGTCGAGTAGTTTATGAAAAAAAAGGTCGCAATGACTCGAAGGGGAAAAATGGCTGACCCGACCTTCGATATGTCTAATATGTCCGGTTCCCGCTTGAACCCAAGAATACCAGACATATCATAGCTCAGGCAGCATGGTGTGTGGGAGGGATGTGGAGAAAAAGAAGCAAGAACCTGATCAAATGATCTTACCTCTGCAGTTTGCGATACTCGAGGCCTGAGCTCGGCAAGTTTCAGAGAAGCCGCTTCAATCGAAGACGCAGCACCAAGGAGTTCGCTCTCAGCCTGGGCCGTAGATTCGGCGTCGTTCCACCCTTCGTGAGGTCCAAGTTCACAGGCGTTGATCAGATCACGAAGAGCCTTCGAGACGGCACGCGAGGCTTCGATCAGAACTTGTTTGGATTCTTCGGTTGGCGAACGTGTGAACTGAGCGTGGAGGGCCACGAGAAGGCATTTCATCTGATTAGCGACGTCACGACCACCGTCCAGTATCCGATAACGGCTTTCTGGAGTATCAACGTCGCTTGCGATGGCTCTAGACACTGCAAGAAGGCTTCTGACAGCCGATCTCGCCGAGTTTCCAGCTGCAATCACGTCGTCTTGTTGCATCGAGTTTCCAGCGAACGTGAGTTTCTGCGTCGCCTGAGATATTTGTTCCGCTGCGGTCGCAAGATACTCGGGTCTAGATTCTGTCGCGTACGAAGTACCCTCACTGACGTCCGCATCAAACTGTCGGATCTCAAATGTGACGGCGTCGACGGCTGCTTCGAGGGCTCGCGTTCCTTGCTGTTGCTTGTCTTCGACGCTTTTCACAGTTTTCAAGAGGCCTGTTACATTGGATACCATGACCTTGGCAGCATCCTTAAGTTGTCCCATCGCAGGGTGTTGAAGCGATCGACCAGAAGCGTTCTTGGTGGCTTGAATCAGAGAGGCCAGTGCAGCGGCGACGTCACGAACGGCATGGATCACAAAAATCTGAGCTTCTGAGTTCTCTCCACTCATGCTTCCAGCCCCATTTTTGACTGCGTCCGAGAGGTTGACGATAGTTCGAACGGCGTTTTGTGCGGCCACAGCTAACTGTTCCTGGTTGGAAGCAGCGCCAGCGACGAGTGCCTTCGTGTCTTCCACAAGGGCCTTGGCCGTTTTCAAGATGATATCCCGATGAGTAGAAAATGATTTTGGTTGATCACTAGTGTTGAGAGTACCACTGCTGGCAAAGAGAATCGTCGTTTCCAAATCGCCGATAATTCCGCTAACCGTGTTGGCTGCGTTGATGCAAGCCTGCGTTCCACGAGAAGCCTCATGCAACGCCGCCAAGACCTGGTAGACGCGTTCGATGACGACGTTGCATTGGACGTTAAGCTCTCGGTTGATACGTTCATCGTCTGGATGCGCTCTTCGTTGCCCAGCCACTTTGACGGCATCAATGCATCCTGTTCCCAACTTTTGGACAGAAACTTTGAACTTCTGAGCAATATTGGCTGACGGGAGCATTCCGACGGCTTGTCTGGTGTCGCTGGCTAGAAGACGGTACTTTTCGCTGAGATTGAGTGACAGACCACCAAGAGATTGAGTGTTAGAGGATGGCATTTGCTCAGCGGTCCGCCGAATATCTTCAAGGTAGGCCGTCATGCGGGTCTGAGAATCAGCGAAGGATCCTTGAGATGAGACGGTGTGGTCTGTGCTCGCAATAGACGTAGAAATCGTGTCGACCATGCCTTGTACGACACCTTGTTCGTTGCCAATCTTCGCCAAAGTCGCTCTCATATCTCCAAGAGCGTGTTTCAACTGCACCGTGGCATCGTCAACTTGTGAGTGGGCGTGGACGGCATTAGGATTGCCGCCTGAATCACGACAGGCAAGCATCATCTGGAGCTGAGCCTCAACAACGGTTCGGCATTTCTCGAACAAATCATTCTGTTGGTTGCTGTTGGCCGTGAGAGTTGCAGCTGCACAAGCCGAGTTGGCAAGATCAGCCGTCAGCTGCCAGTGAAGTTCAACACTGTGAGGAAGGTGCTCTCCGTGTGCGACAGCTGCAGTTCTCAGAGGGTCGACCTCTTCGATGAGAGCGTTCGTGATGTGCTGGATTTGCTGATGTAGTTGCTTCTCGGCGGCCGGGTTCCTTGTCACACCGTTTGTATGCTGATAGGCGTCCATTGCGCTCCTTTCGACGTCTCCAATCAACTGATGCAGTAGCTGAATGACACGTTCGATTTCGACTTGACCAGGAGCCGCATCACGAATCGATTCAACAAGCTTTTTGATAGACTCGCTGACCAGCTTGCTGTTGTCGGCCACCCTCTGCCAGATGGTAGCATCCATGGGCGAGACGGCCAAGTCCTTGGCAGTCCTGATCATTTGAGAGGTTGCGTCGAGCATTTGTCGACTGGATGCAAGTACAGGGATCTGTGCTTCGCGTCCACTGTCGCTGATTCTGGCCGGGATCGGAGAGAAATCGGGATTGTCCACAAACGATTGGAGTTGTTCGGCCACGACGCGAACTTCGGCACTCGTGCGGACACACTCGGCTTCTGCTTCAGGTGTACGTCGATTGTCCAATTGCTTGACCGCCTCTATCAGGGCTGCTGTTTTGGAGGCGAGGTCGTGCGTCGAGTTAACTAGATGTTTCCGGACGTTCATGTTGCTGCTGACGTCAGAGGCGTTACGGCAAATCTGAGCGATCGCAGAAGTGTGTTTGGCCGTCGAAGTTGTCGCCTAAACGATATTCTTTGATGAACTTTTTCGATGATTTTTTTCAAATTACATTTAGTAGTTCTTCTTGGCTGAGTTGTCCACGTTCGATCGCTTCACAAGCCTCCTTGACAGCTGCCACAGACCTCGAGACCGTTGTCATGTCGATGAGCGCAGCTCTGCCAACGACGCTTTCCGGATGGGAGACGCCGACCAGATAGGCCGACTGAGCTGCGGCTTCAGCCAATGAACAAACCGCTTCGGAAGAGTTCCTTAAGAAAAAAATATTAGAAACTATTTAACCGTGAAAAAGGTTACTGTAGCTGTAACTTGACGCTTGAAGAAATTTAAAAAAATTTTTTTATCAGTGTTTCGCTGAAAATTTTTTTGATAGAATCTTTGAGATTTTTTTGATTTCATCAGTAGCTAACTGACTGAGCGAAACAAAAAAAAAAAGATAAAAAGACTTCGGTAGTAAAAAAAGTTGCAATTTCTGTTTTGATCGACGAAATATCATCACGCTTTCCTAGTAGAGTTTTTCGATTTATACAAGGTTCGGAAGTTGAAAATCAGTTCAATATGAGAAAACATAAAAATTTTTGAAAATCGTAGAAGGCTGACCTAACACTGGCGCAGAAGCCAGCCGTGTCCATGGCCTTGGCATTCCTCGCTATGCTGGTCATGGCAGCGCCGAGTTTCCTCGAATGCTCCGTGACTGCGTCGAGAGAGCCAAAGTGAGAGTCGTTATTGAGTGGGACAGTCGCGTTCTCGGAAAGATGACGAACGGATTGGATTTGGCGGAGAGCCGCGTCACACTCCCTGACCCACGGATGCTCCATGCCAATAAGTTCGACGAGCTCATTGACGCTTCCAGCGAAATGACGGGTTTGTTTGGTGAGCTGTGTGGTGGAAGTGGTGTCCGATAGGACGCTGGCGCGGCTCAGGTTGCTCAGGACGGAGACAGCTTCTCTTTGTACTGTCTCAAGCTTATCGACGACTGTCTTGCGGTTTTGAGCCTGTTGTTGTTGTCGAACTTCGGCGATGACAGAAGCGTGCATGTCAGTGTAGGCGTTAACGAAAACATCGACGGCTTGTTTATTGGTGGGCATGCCGAGGGTGACGACGAGCTGAGAAGTAGCCTCGATGAGACGCGAAGCAGCTGTCCGCAGGTCAACGGCTTGTACATTGGCCGTGGCGTTCGAGGTCTGCACCTTGGCGATGGCCTTCTCGATGTGCTCCGTGTCGGGGATACAGGCAATAACTTGTCTCAGGCTCGTGGAGACCTGCTTCGCGGTGTCAGCGAGAACCGGCGGCGGCGCTTTTTCACGGACTCGGTCGAATACGCGGCCAGACTCATGTACCACTGATCTGGCACAGACGATAAGCCTGAAAAAAAAAATGAATTTTCGGATAAATCGCTAATTGTAAACTTCTAGGTCAATATTTAAATTTTACGATTAATTTTCTCAAAATTATGACATCGTCTGGGTTTTTTTCTTATCATCGTTCATTTTTAACTTTCTGGTTTTTTCAACGTCCACAGTATTATATCATCCTTAAAAAGCATTGTTATAAATCTCTTGGAGCAATAGAATGGAAATACAGATAGTTTATGTATATGAAGCTCTTTAAATTGAGTCAGTTGATGTCCTTATCATGGAAAAATTTTTCCCAGTGTCGAACTCAAAACATTAAAACGATCACGAATAATGTTAACCTGCCCTTTTCAGTAATATTAGCTGTAATAAAAACTCAAGAAACCGCAAATTAAATCTGAAACAATGAATATTTACGCTTTTCCTCACTTTTCAAGCTGAATATCCGTGCGAGTGGCGACGACTTCCGTCACTGAGTCGGTGAATCCCCTCAGATTTTGGGCCAACTCGACGGCCGAAGAGCCGATGTGTCGCTCATCGGAAGAACTAGCGGCGGAGATGAGCTGAGCAACGCCACTTCCAACGTGCCTCGAGCTGGACATGAGTTTGCTCGTCGATGTTGTTGCCGTGGCACCGGCTGGCGGCTGCACGCTACGCTGGCCGCGCTGGGTTTCCAGGAGCTGCTGGTCGAGTTCACGAATCAGCTCCTCACTGTAGATGAGCTGCTGGGAGAAGTTCAGCTGTTGGGCGTCGTTGAGTGCAGTCCGCAACTCGGCCAGTGTCGTATCCAGTCGGTTAGAGCTGTCGGAAAGGCCGGAGGCGAAGTGGACCTCACTGATCTCGCTGACAGCATTCCTGGAGCTGTCGACAAGCTGCGTGGCTGGCGTCAACACCTTCTGTGAGTCACGGATAAGTCTACTCTGGGCGCGGAACCTCGAAGACGGATCTTTGGCGCTTTGGCTTTCGCGAATCGAGGTGATCAGTCTAAAAAATCAAACAATAGATACTCCATTTTTTTGAATTCTCTTAATGAGTGCGATAACAAAAACTTTTTAGCTTAGGAATCACTGTTAAATTAAATTTGAAAATAGGTTCTTGTTTTCTTGACTATTTACCTCGGCAAGTGTTCCGCGGTCTGTGCACACTCATAGAGCAAATTCTCACAGCTGGACTGCTTCGTGACAACTTCCTGAAAAATAAAAAATTCATTCGATTTTTCAAAAAGTCTGGAAGACACATGATTATTAGTACTCCACTCGAAACTCTGATTATGAACCAAAAATAGAAAAAAAATTTAGTTGATTGAAAACTTCGCATGAGGACAGGGCAGGCAACGCAAAAAATTTATAACGGAAGAACAACTCCACGGCATATCACTTACACTTCCTTTCCCGCGTGACTCAGCTTTCTTCCTCTCATCCAAAAAACAATTGGTGACACCCCCAAATTCCAGCCGAATAGTACTAATATTTATTCTCTTTTTACATGAAATCAAAATTTGAAAGATGGAAAAGGCTTAAGATAAAGGCAGACTCGGTACTGATATGGTCCATTATGGATATTGTAAAGGCAGTTGTCCGCACTCGATCTATGCACAGTTTGGGTTTTTGTTTTTGTTCAAGTCATTTGACTAAAAGGCGAAAGAAAAGAAGCAATCAGGGAAATCAACGAATGCGAAGAATTGTGTGAGTGTCATCAACTAGAAGTTGCTCAGTTGTTTCCGTTCGTTTTCGGGCCTCCTGAACCAAATCAGTGCAATGTTTGTGTGTCTGTGGAAGTGCCTGCCCTTTGCCTCTATTTCATTTTGATTTTTGCGCGAAGTTTCTTGAGAACCCATTTCCAACATGTTTCATCAAGAATTCAAGTTTGGGGTACATTGAAATCGTACTGGATAGGCTTGAATCTTGCCAAGTTCTCAAAGTTTCAATTGACTTTTCTCCATCTTCATCCCAAATTTTCAGACAACGCTGAGGCTTTCAAGGATTTGAAAAACAGAAAATCGCCTCGGTCCAGCGCCTCTTAACATCGCTTGAAAGTTTCTATGAAAATTTTTCCGGATGAATACGAAATTAGTAGTTAGTTTTCAACAATTAATAGTATCGAAAAATGAGAAATTTGTCAGGTTTTTTTTTTTTACAGAATCCTCTCCAGCCCAATTCCAATGCATATCACAGAGTCCAATCCAACATTCCCAGTCCATTCCGGAGGAAGACCGACCTTGGCGGCGTTGGCGGCTGCGATGGTCTGCGTGGCGTCGTAGGTGGTCTGCTTGGCGGCCTGCTCCAACCGCTGCATGATATGCTTTTCCTGCTGGTCGCTCGTGGTTTCCGTCGTCACTCGGGCCAGTTTTTCAGCCGCCGTTCGAAGGGCCATTTCCGATTCGGCTTCCGTTGGTCGCGACTCGCAATCCTGGAAAAAAAAACATGGTTTTCGTGTGGAAAAAACTTGGTGAGGATCTTCATAAAAGCTTCGAACATTCATACATTTTTTCGAACCGAAGATGTTTGAATAATTATGCCACTGAATTTGAAAAAAATATATAATAAATTTTTGAATTACCTCTTTATCATTTAAGATCTACCCTATAATGAGGGTGATTTTTATTCTACTTTGCGGTTGGGATTTTGCTGAACTTTTCAGAACTGGTTGTTCTCCAAAAAGTAAATTATTACTGTTACCTCTCGTTCAAAGTTATTACAGTGAAATTCAGAGCAAGTATCCAATTATTCTCAATCAAACGCCCAAAACGAACTCTAGTGGCGTCGATCATGTCGGAAGTGGCGGTGGCGACTCTTCTCGCGGCGTCGAGAAGTCGGTCGCGCTGTTCTGGCCGCTGTGTCGCCTCGTGCTCGAACTGCTCCATCAGGATTTGGCTGTGACGAATCACTTTTTTCGCCTCGCGAGTCAAGTCTTCGCTCGGGCCCTGCCAATAATCTTGTCGTACGGAGATGACTTTTGACGTATATGGCCTGGCACTCTTTTCCTCTTTCTCCCAAAAACCTTCATCTATTCTTTTTTTTATATTGAAGCTGCGTTTCAAAGTATACTACTACTTTGAAACTATAGTTGAACCTATTTTAGTTACTTTCTGTTTGATCTTTAGAAAACGTTAACATTTACAGCTAAAAATCAAATTTGGCAAACATTTTCGAGCTGAAAGACGCAAAAAAATTTTTTCTTTACATTCAGTGAAGATTCCGTGTAAAACCTTCCCTTGAAGATGTTGCTCATATTCCGAGGAACTATTCTTTCAACTCTTTAGATTAGACGTTTGAACTTCTAGTTCGCCAAAGGCGGTTGTTCGTTATTGCTTGAAAAGTTCTTGTTGTAAAGTTACATCTACGACCAAAACAACAAAATAAATGATTGATTATTCATGAAAATACTGCATTTTCCGATCTTTACAGTCTGAATATGGCTTTTCATCTTTGAAACTACCGATTTCAGAATATAAGTTATTTTTTCCCGCATTCGCAAGTCCTCCAAATGGTAGGGAGAGACCTCGATTACAGTAGGTACTTTTAAAGTTGAAATGAATCCAAAGATATTCTCGGAGAAGTTGTTTACCTGATGGGCGATCATGCGATTGGTGCGACGGAGGACTTGGTTGTACTCCTCCTCTTCCTCGGTTCTGCTCGTCGTCGTCGTCTTCGGACTCGTCTTGGCATACTCGAGTAGGCTATCCAACGCGTTCGTCACCTTCAATTATCCTTTCCTTTTCGGGAGGCCGCCGGGCTCGCTCTTTCAAAAGCTTTTCCATCTTCCTCTCCCCCTCCCCCTCCTATAGCTTCTTCTCGTTGAAGGCACACAAATGACCTCAATATTTTTTTTTTCCTGACCTGTCGCGCAGCGCTGTGGATGTCTCGCAGCGATTCTTGCCTTGGTTGCCGCACCGAATCCGCTTCGTAGATCAGCTTCTGCACGTTATGTGACACCTGCAAAGAAAAAAAACATGGCTGTTAGTCGAGTTCAATTATTTCATGAAAATTACCTAATATTTATGATTAATCAATCTTACAAGGTCAAGCTTACAAGGTGTAAATAAAAAAAAATTTTTTTCATTGCAAAAAAATGTTGAAATTCAAATTTGGAAAAAGTTGAGATATTCCTTTTGAATTAATAAACTACCAAAGCTCTTTCGAAACAAGATCGAGTGGAAAAAAACTTCAAGTATTCGAACTTTGAAGCTTTCATGCATTATTATTGGTTTTTCAAATCGCTCTGTAATTCAAAAAACGTTCGAAAATAAAAACTTTTGAATTTATTATAATTTTTTTTAGGACGATACCTGAGTGGCGGCAGAGGTGAGTTGCTGCTGACAGGCCGGGTTCTCGATTGTCGGTGCGACGACTCGCGCGCAAGCCACAAGCTGCGACGTCGCGTAGGCACAGTCGGTCGCCGACCGCACCACAGTCTCCTTCTGATCCTCGTCGCATTCCGCCGAGATGGTTTTGGCACTGAAAAGAAGCTCTCAATATCTCGAAAGTTCTCAAGGAAATCTCTGTGTTATGACGATTACAGATAATGGTTCAAACATCATAATTGCTTCGAAATTGAAAAAAATAGATGAATTACAGACTTTTTGAGTCGACACGGGTGCTTGATTGGCGTGCTACACGGATAATAGTTGAATATTTGGACGTCGCTGACAAGTTTTCTGCGTCTAGGAACCGCAGGCGACGAGGACATTAGGCGGCTGGATGGACTTAGGAGAAGCGGACTGTGGAAAACGCACCGAAGGCGAGGCTTTCAAAGAATTCCGCCTCCCATTCCAATCCATTTTTCGGCGTCGTTTGTTGCCTTTTTTCAGCTTGATGACGGTAGCGTTGGGGTGACAAGATAACGATGATGTCGGCGCGCGGCTTAGAAGGTCGAAAATTCACTGACACAAAACAGGTTTCACACTCGGAAACAGGCAGTGGAAAACGGCTTCCAGTCATAAACGACGAAAAAAAGTCATAATGAAGAAAAATAATGTTCACGTAAAAATGTTGCGTTCAGGCTTTTAAATGTCTTCTGTGATTATGACTTTTCTCAACGCTATTTCCAATACTCTAACATGCTGATGAAAGACGAAAAATTGTAGAGAAGACAGTTAACCGCTTTTAGCGATGTCAGACTCCGGCATCGAGAGGGCCGCCACTGGGGGTTCTCAAAGGCCTTGGGGTTCATAACTTCCAATTTTCCCAGTGAGTCGGAAAACAGGCTTAGCGGTTTGGACTCTTGGCGCATGAAGAGAACCAAAAACTGGAAGAATATCGCGAACTTGGAGACTGTGTGATTTGTCTTTCTTATTTCAAGTCACGAAGGCTGAGTGAGTCTGAGACTTACGAAGAAAATTCAAAGAGAATTTGGAAAAATTCGAAAGTAACAGCTTTGAATTTGACCGCAGTTTCGGAGCTGCAACTCTACTTCGCCATCCTGCGTGGTGGTCCTGGCGAATAGAGTAAACACGAAAGCAAAGGCAAAGAACAACATGAACTTCAAAAGCTCTAAACATAGGAATAACTGGGCTCGGGAACAAGCCGCTGCCGCTGCCCTCGAGACTACTACGAGTAAAAGAGTAAGAACGGAAGAGGCGGAGGAGGCAGTTTCTGAAAGGGAGCGAAAGCCACGCCCACTCCGTTTTCGCCTAGGACAGATGTACGTGGTTCGACGAGAACGACGACGACGCTCCCGTTTGCGCGTGCTCTTTTCCCGCCGCACTGCTCGCCGAAACACCCATGGGAGGCGAAGCCGTGGTAAGAGTGGCACGAGACGTGAAGGGAGACATTTACATACCCATCCATCATTGGCTGGTTTCGGTCGAGCTCTCCAAGGACCTCCACGGCCGAGCTTACAGATGGCTCGCAAGGGACATAACGGAGCCGCCTAAATCTGGCCAACCGCCGCCGTCCTTCGCTTCCACTACTACTAAACACCTCCTTTCCGCTTTCTTGGGCCTTTCAGGCCAATCAAGACAAATGCGATGAGGCGTACGAGATTCACCAAGCTTACCAAACGCACAGAGAGCTGCGCCTAAATAGAAAATATCAGTTCATTTCAATTTAAAGCGTGAAACGCGTAAATCACGTATGGATTCATGTTTTTGAAGTAATTAATTGTAATAAAGTTGCTCAATAGTTCAGCTAAAATCAGTCAATTTTTACGAGTATGTTCTTGGCAAGATTAGTGAAAAATCTTGAAAAACCGAGAAGCACGGGTGTGTCCAGGTTATTTGGAGTAATACTTACTAATTTTGCTCTTTCAAAAATTTAGTTTGAAATTTCCTTTCAAGGGGATTTTATAAAAAAACTTTTGACTTGTTGACTATTTTCGGTTCAAATACCTTTTTTTAAACTTTTAATATTAAAGGAAGTACGCGTTTTAAGAAATAATTTGATTTTTCGCTTTGGTAATATGTTTTCTAGATGATCTGTTATAACGTTTTTCTTATAGCTTGGTAAAGTTTGTCATCTCTCGCGAAAGGAAAATCTGACTGCATTCGATCCCGAGACAGCCAATCAGGGACACAAATTGGGCGACGTCGACGAAGAAGGAGAAGCGAAAGAAGAAGAGAAAGAGTTTTTCGTGAGAGGGTCAAAACAAAAGCAAAATCCTCCTACCAAAGGACTAATTGGGCAGTTGAGGTGGCGATGTGCTTGGCGCGCTGCATGAACGTTTCGTCGAACGATTGCTGGTACTCGGTTCGCTCCTCCATGTTGTTGATGACCTGCTGCGAGAAGTCGCCGACGCGGCCAGCCGCCGCAAAAACTTTGGTTCGCTTCTCCTCGTGCTCCGGGTTCACCGCCGTCATGAAGTCGCTGAAAGCTCCGCACAGACGTCGAGTCGCTTCCATCAGATCTCCTCTGCAAAATATATGATTATATCAAGGAAGAAAAAAGCTATTCAGACCTCGATTCCTGCGACATCATCGCAGAGAAGTCGCGAACGTTGCGACTGACGTCGGGCAAGTTGGATCCGATGGTCGCTATCGCGGTTCCGACGCGATCGTCGTACTCGTCCTGTTCTTGAGTCGCCGTCCATTGCACAACCTGATACCAGACTGTTTTTGAGAGGATTCGAAAAACTTATTTTAAAAAAATGTGAGAAAATGGCTCAAATACGTCAAATTTTCAAAAATTGCAATCATTGGGCACAAAAAAAATGATAAAAAAAAGTATCGAAGAACAGCGTAAGGAAACAAACCTTACAAAACTGATAAGAGAGCGTCTTAATGATAAACAAAGGAAAAGATAATAAAACGAAAAAAACGAAAGTCAGGGAAATTACTTGTTTTTTTAGATCCTCCGTTTTTACGCACTTTTCTAAATAATTATTTAACTGAACTTAGGTTTTGAAGACTTTAGTTTCTATTAAATTTTTGACCTTCATTCGGCGCTATCATGAGACAATATTTGAGAATTTCGCCTCATCATTGGAAAAGAAAGTTTGTGAGAGGAGAAGTCTTGTAAGAATATTTGCCCTACATAGACGATTCGGGATCAGACAACAAAAGTATACCGAGGACATACCTCAAAATGGATCCGGATGGTATAATAATATAGATTTTCATCGTCATACCTGCGGTATACACTTCAGCACTATCGGGGCTGTACCGATAGTGCTGAGTGGTATACCGCGAGTCTATTGGCTTTTCATGTTTTTGTTGCAAGGTATCTCGCGGTACCAACGCTATTCTCAAAACCCTTCGATAGACTACTGGTACTATCGCGACCCGTGTGTGTAAGCAAGCGAAAAACGGAATAGATGGATGGCAAATCGTTTGGGAAGAAGATGGACGACGCTCACTTGTGCAGTGGCGGCTCCCATGGCAGCCAGCCGCTCGTTGACGTTCTCCTTGTTGACCGCCATCTGCTCGTCGACCCAGCGGTGGGCGCTGTGCTCGTCCTTGAACTTGGGCAGTTCGATGTACGGCTCCGCCTGCAGCTCTTCTTCGGCTTCGTCGATCGCGCGGATCGTCGCCTCGATGGTGCCTATCAAGGCTCGCTGCGGGTGTTCGTGCATGTCGCTGATCATCATTCGTTGTGCCTGCAAACCGATTGAATCTTCTTTCATTTCGTTCGAAATAAGTTTCTCTCCGAGTCGTTGGGCTGTCTCACAATGCAAAGCTAAAGGATACTACTTGACATAATTGAAGCGGGACAAGAACGCTCAAAAACCAAAAAAGGCTTCTTATTGTTAAAGTTCTCTGGTAAAATTTTTCCACTTCGAACTAAATGACGCATTCTTCGAAAAATATACGCAGTTCCTACATGTTTGCACGGAAGACATATCAATTCCTTTAACAGATTGTATTCATTAAATTACTGGCTCTGACGAACTCCTAGATTCTCTCTCGTTTTAAAAAAAAATTTCCCCGTTTGTTATACCTATTATAGAAAATTCAGAAAGCACAAGAACAGTTGCCCATAATAGCTTTTCAAAAAACCGTGAAATAAACTTCAGTAGCCAGAAGCAAGCCAACTTAAATGACTTTCAACAAAAGCTCTAAAGATCTATTGGAACGGTACACAAAACATAAAAATTCGTCTTACTGAAGGTGCCGGCGCTGGAAATCATTTTCAATGTCCTCGAGCTTTTTTCTCTTCTGAACTCACTCTGGCCATGTGCTGAGAGGTGACTTCTCCGCTGACGGCTCCGTATTGTGCTCCGTTGATGCCGTAGCCCTGGTGGCCCTGCGGTGTCCGCAGAACGCCGCGCACTGCAACCGCATGGTCTTGCTGTCGTTGGCCAGCGCCAATTTGTCCGTGAGCTACCTGAAAAGTTTCGAATCATTGCGTTGGAAATGTCACTTAGTAACAGTCTTTAATCATGCAGGAAAACATCGAGTCCAGGGTTCACTTTTCAACAGCGAAAATTCGATAAGTTCTGTTAGGGTCGGAAAAAATGAGAGTTTAAAAAATCTAGTTTGAAATTCCTGTTTATAGAGTCCTTCCCGTGATATTTCAGGTTAAGCGAATAAAAATAATTGTTTGATTCTTTAAAAGTTCAATTATATAAATAGAGATTGATTGCAAAAATCGTTCGAAAAACTTTATATCGAAATCCCAAAACAGAATGCCTTTTTGGCGCGTTTTGTTTGTTGCTCTGAAAACAACTTTCACGCGTCACACATTCGCGACATTGACCTAAAGTTTTTGGAAACGGATCGGACTCACATTGAACTTTTATTCGGTTGATAGTGTCACAACATGTCTCAAAGCTAATTTTAATTGGAAAAAGTTTTAGAAAAACTTGATAATACTTATAAAGACAAGAATTTCTTTCGATAATTTTGTTCTTAAGCCGAGTAGCAACTTTAATGAAAATTTTTTATTGATGAAGTCCCTATTCAATGGTCATCGTAAGGAACCCTCCATGAAATTTCAGAGTGTTCACTTAAGGTCTTCTAGAGAAGCCATATTTCTTATTACCACTGTCTTGTAAGCATTCTTAGCCACTTGGATGCTTGTTCAAGTGGCTTCTCAGACCAAGTAGGAGAGCCTCTTTTGCAAACAGATGGCATTTTAAAAGGCCCCTTGGGACAACTCAAGGGATCACTCAAATGATCCTCGCGGAGCGACGCACCAATGTGGCCTTTGCCGGCGCGACGACATCCTCGAGCATGGTCGAGCCCTCGTCTCCTTCGATTCCTTGGTGGTCGCGGGTGCGTTTCTTCTTGAGGATTATGTCGATGTAGCCGCCAATCAGCTGGCCGATCTTCTCGCCGTCCGACGTCTGCACCGAGTAATAGCCGTCTTGGTAATCTCCGAAATCCTGCAATATGTCAAACTTTGGTTCGAGGCGGCTCCTTCTCTCCTTCTCTCTTCTCATCAAAAAAGAAAGCTTCAGAAAAAATTAAGTCAAAGGATTTTGTTTGAAAAAAGCGAAAAAAAAAATCATTCAATTATTTTTTTTTCTTCAATTTAAAACATGTTTACATTTTCCTTATTTCCTCCAGCTTCAAAAACCGTGATCACACGTAGATTGGCTCAAAGCGTCCACTTCAGACGACGCCACAACTCGTTTCCGGTCGGACATTTTGAAAGCAACCGTTTCGTAGCCGTTGCCCGTGCGAACAAAGCTTTCCAAGCTGGAGCAAGCAAAGTATATGATTGATTTGAGGAAAGTGGAAGAGATTACGTAGAACTTGCACATTTTTTCCCCAAACCCAAAAAAAGTACTCGCCAGGTTGAAAGTCTTTCCGGAGGAAGCCCATCGGCGGACCTGCTCTAGAGGCCACTCCTTCAGGATTTCCTTGGTCTTCTCGTCGACTCGCATCACGCTCTCCTTGTTAACGCCGAGCAGCCGCGGCACCAATTTGTTCTTGCCAGGCATCTTCTCTAAACGCTTTAACGTCGCGTTCCCTCTTTTCAGCAAATCACTTGTGTGTGTGTGTGTCTAGTTTTGCAGCAGATGGCGGCGAATATTCAATTCGCAGTGCCGCGCCACAAGACCCCCAATCAAAAGGCCTACTGAAGGTTTCGTGAGTTCAACTTAGAAGCTTTGGAGCAAAGGGATCCACAGACAATGCGAGAAACGCTCAACTTTTCTTTTTTCAACTAAACGTTTTCCGTTATTTTTTTTAATGAATATGTTAAGTGAATACACAATTGTACGTAGCTTCGACTTCATTTTCTGAGCTTCCTGTGATCGATTCTTTCCGACTTGAAAGACGATATGGGTAGACAAAGGTGACTTGTTACGTACGCGACAATGCTTTTGGCGGGAGACTTGAGGTCAAACGAACACACATTGTTCAAGAGCTCAAAGTTTTTGAATAAGAATGTTCTTGTTTCATTTTCTAATTCAGTGTCCGTAGGAATTCTCTAACTAACCTTTTTTATGTCAATTCAGGCTATCGAAGCCTTCAAACACCACGTTTTTTTGTTTTAAAGATGTTGCAAATGTTCTGCTCATTCCACTAGAATGCTCAGTTTTTCACCAACGGTCGTCGTTACAGACTTTTTTTAGTTTTAAGAAAAGAATAGAGCTCGAGTTATCACTCCAGGCCGCAGAAATCGAAGTAGTACACACCTTTGACGACGAAAAACGTGACTCCGTAAGTTTTGAGCTCGCGGCACAGATGCACGTACTTGCTTTTGGCGTCGAGCTCCTGCGTTCCCGTAAGCTCTTTGTAAAACTGCAAGGGAAAGATTGAAACAGGCGTTTTCTGGGGGAAATAAACCTGAACGACTTTTTTCTCATTTTCTTTGTTCTTTGCGTACTCTTTGGGCAGGAGATCGCGGCCGCTGCAAAAACCAACGATTGGAAAATAATAATCGAGGTAAATCTAGTACATGGAGTCGCGCATGACCGATTCGAATCAGGCACACACGCCACGCTCTCTACGTACGAGTAAATGGACGAAATTCATGGACAACCCCTCGTTTTCTCGAAAAAGCGCCCTTCTCTTCTCTCCCTCTCTCTCGTTGCAGAGTATTAAGCATGCATGAACAACTTCAACAATTCACAAAAGGCACAATTGGCGCTCTTCGCCCTGGGGACCGCCGCAATGGCCGTCCTTTTACGGCAAAAGAAAAGCAAAGGACCTTCGATTTTTCAACAAGAACATACAAAGCCTACTTCCTGAAGAACTTTCGAGAGGAAGACCTCCCTTTTGGGGTTGAGAAAGTATTTAATTTTTAAATTTGAAAAACAAGAAAAATCGTAATCTCGTTGTATAGGTTTTTGTTTTAAACAAAATTATTCCAACTCTAAAATTTTTTTATTTTTAGAATGGAGTAATTCTCGAAAATCCGAAGAAAACTTTGCATAGTTTCAAATCTTTGCAGACGTCCGAAAATATTAAAAATGCATGGGAACCAATAAAAACGACAGTAAAACTGCTGAAAGACACTGCGAGCTATAATTGGTGCATAAAAATTGAGCGCATTTGCTGGTGTTTTGGGAAAGCTTTTTCTCAAAGCCGCGGCCATTTATCGCCGAGAAAACGCATCATGAAATGTGCGTTGAGCTCATTTTTCAGACCTTCGAAGGTTTCTTTTTCAGAGTGCGTCAATTTTGATATTCATCCCAATAATAAGAAAAAAAAAACCTACTCTATTTGGAACTTTGGTTTGTCGTGCGGGAAATCGCCGTACTGTATGTGAGCCTGAAGCGCTGCGAGATGCAGGGCGGTCTCCTTGTTGACGGGATGGAGGCCCTATCAATGCATTACAATAGTCGTTTCATTAGATTTCGCTTTTTTTACATTGCAAATTTGGTGGAAAACTAAATTTCGCCCGTCCAATCATCACAAATTAACAAGAAATCTTCGACTCAACTTAAATTATTGAAAAGAAAGAACTAAAGTTTGGTTTGCACATATTTTTCTAACCATAATCAAATATTTTTTAACTGGGGGTCATAGAAAAAAACTGGAGACTTGAGATCCTAAAATAAGATATATCTTCCAGGGATGTGATGAAGTGCGATGATGATTGATCCCTCTAAACATCTTTTCTTTCGGATCTCTTACCCTCAAGACTCCATCGCGGCACTGAACGTAAAGAAGGTTGAGTTGCACTGGATCGCGGCTGTCCACATTCGTGTCACTTAAACATTTCTTTCAGAACTTTTCATCGTTCCTACGTAATCTTTCAAACTGAGCTTAAAAGGGAGCAGAAAGTCATAAACATAGTCAGAAAAAAAAAACGTTTCCTAAAGAAATTACTTCGGCAGCTCTTGAAGTTAAAATTCCAACTGTTCGAAAATTGAGCATAAAATTATTGACGAACATTTTGAAGTGTTAGGCTGACAAAAGCCGCACAGAAGTTGATTTCAAATTCGTCAAGGATTATTTTGCAACAAACTCACCAATTTTTCTCAGAAAAACCAGTTTTTTTAGGGTAAATTGTTGATTAGGATACTGAAAAAAGGACGCTAATAAGGGTCCCAAGCCCATTTACAAAAGCTTTTTAGGTTTTGAAGCCCTCAAAGTCTCAAAATCCACATGTTCCCAGTTTTCAAGAAAAAAAAAGATCTAGAATTTCTGTTTTCTGTTTGCAAATTAGATTGTTTTTCAACCACCAAAAGTAAAAATGTTTTGCGAGATTTTCATGTAGAAAGTCTTTGAGTCTACTTACAGGAATTTTCGAGTAAAAGGGTTTTAGCTCATTTGATATCTAAACTCAACGTTTCGTGAGGCTCAGACCTGAAGAAAAATTTTCTGCGGAGCAGCAAGGTCTCGTCATCGGCGATGTTCTGCTCCCTGAGCGTTTTGCCGTGCTCGACCCAAGCCAACTCCTCGTCAGTGTGAAGTTTGTGACGCATCTCCTCCATCTTCTGATCTTTGCGCCTTCCCAGAGTGCCCATCAGGCCCCCTCCCGTCCTGCGTTCGACGTCGACACTTCTGGAGCGCTCCTCTCGCAGATTCCAGTTGGATTGCGAGTTTTCGTTGTTGACGAGGCCGGGTCCGTCACGCACCAGACTGTACTCTTCGTAGTTCGATATGCCGATTTTGTTGCAAATCGTGAGCATGAGCTGGCTGACCGGCAGGCTCTCGTCAATCTGAACCGCCTTCACAGCGCCGTCGAGCATCCGCACTTTCAAGAGTCGGATCTTTTTTTTGTATTCAATGCGGTCTTGGTTTCGAACCAGGTAATACTCAAGTGTTCGTCCGTTTTCCATCCAGACGCATTTTGACGGGTCATCCTCCATTCGGAATAGGCCATATTCGTTTGCTGAAACGTTTAAAAAAATACACGTGTCCATTCGATCTCGAAATTAAATAGTTTCTGACCAATTTTGTATGAAAAGCATCAATTTATTAAAAGACACATTTTTTCAATTTCTCATGATAGTTTCATTCGTTTCTTAATTTGTAACAACAAAAAATGACCATTTTTGCTTTTTTTTTTTTCATCACACCAGATAAGGTTCCGACGACAAAAGTTTGAATCTTTTTCCGACTTTTTTTTTCGTTTCTGGTTTTTATTTCACACTATTTCACTCATTATATCTTTGTTTCCCTGATTCAGTTTCTACGATATATTTATATAACTTACTCAATTACATTCAAAACGAAGAAAATGTTAAACAAAAAGTTGGAAAAAGTTTCTATAAGACGCAGTTGAAATTTACCCTAGCGGTCAGCTAATTCTTAGGTTCCAAAAAAATCTGGATGAAAAAAACCATTTCTTAAAAAGACAAAGGATTTCACTACATTCAAAAAAACGAAGTGAAATAATTCCAAACATAAAATATCAAGTAAACCATTATATATTACTTTAAAACCCTGAAAACATACGGTTAATATCGTTCATATTGAATTTTTCTCGAATGAGTTTGGCTGCGTCGAAGACAAGTGTGCTCGGCTCAAATTGCATTGTCTTTTTGACGCCTCGCTCCGAGGAGACCACGTTCAGACTTAAAACACCCATTTGTCTGATCTGCTGAAAAACACAATATTTTCAACTCAATTCAGAAAATGAGATGACAAAAATCGCGTAAAAAGATGTGTCATGAATCACACTTTACAATCAATTCTGTAAAAGATTTTAGAAAAGAAAAAAAAAAATTAAAAGTAAGATCTTTTCCCGAAAATTCATCGATCCTGTAAAGTACTTTAAACCGTGGGAAAAAAAGCTGAGATCACTGTAAAATATTCTCCTTTCTAACTTTTCCGCCAATTCCAGGATCCTTAATTATTTCTTCTATTTTTGTGAAAAAGCGCCAGTAACAGAAAAAATTTGAAAAAAAAACTTACCAAAAGAAAAATAAAAAAGAACGGAAAATTTAAAATTGAAAGGAGAGAAATAGGACAACTGACGGTTGGATAAACCTCGGGTTGTTGGGCGAAGCGAAACGGAATGAAAAATGTTTTTTTTTCAGCCGCCCTTTGTTCGGAACGCTTTTCTTTCTCGATATCCCAGGAGATACCAGTCTGGTGTTTAAGCAAAAGTCTTGCTTCCAGCAGAATATCCTACTCGAATCACCGTGCACTTTGAATGTTTGAAGTCAATCCTCGACTTTCGCTCGTTGGCAGTTTTACTGCGGCTTGAAGAAGGAGACTTGGCAGAGTGTTACAACGAAGGAGCCGGGGGCGAATGGATAGATAGACAGATAGATAGCCCGACATCAGCTTTCAAGAGAGAACGTATAGTAAAACTCAAAGTTTTGAACAAAGTCCGCTTGTTTAGTAGAGCCGAAAAGATGGGAAAAACTCAATTTATAACCGTTGAAAAATCCAATTCTTCAAAAATAGTACTCTTCCGTAAAATGTATTTAAGATTGAAAATTTCGAATAAAAAGCAATTTTAAAATTTTTATCGATCCGAACCAAATAACCTTAAAATCAGCAAGTACGAAAAAAATTTAGCTCTGCGAACCATAATTCGTTGCAATCTCAGCTTCCGAAAGATAACTGGAGGTGAACTAACTTCTTTGAAAGAACTCCAAAACGCAAAGAACTGATATGCTAGTTTGAGCCGCTTTTGTTTGTATCTACAGCTGTGCATGGTTTGCGGGATTCGAGCCGATTTAGAGGCTTTTTTTAGTTCTTGATTAAATCGAAACAATCTCTGTTGACAATCGTACGATGATGACAAAAAATGCTTCTATAGGAAGATTCAACATCTTCTCTCCTTTTAAAAATGTGAGGATGAAAATAATATACACCAAAAAAAGAAAATTAAGGCTTGTTGTTCAGAAAAAAGCTTCGAGATGCTAAAAGTGTATAGGGCGCGTGGGAGCATTTGTTGGTTGGGAGGATAAGGATAGCACTGGGCGAGGATCGTTACAACGACAAACGCCCTCCGCTGCGTTGGCATCGCTTCGGCAGCAGCCGCGGCAGCTGTCTCCTTGCATTTTCCCTATGCCTTCGAGCCATGAATTCCTGCCAGAAACATGTCAGGGATCTCTGAGAAACAAACATCCTGTTTCCGAGAAAAAAGTTCTGTTCGTTGAAATTTCACCCCAACTTATTGAATATTTGGTTCTTAGATCATAAGGACCATACTTTTTCTATTCTAAACCTTTCGAGGACAAGGCTAAAGAAACCCGTTCGCTCTTTCAAAAATCAGGGAATCCTTTTTCAGGACCACCCAAACTGAATAAGCCTAAGTTCGAATCAAAACTTTAAAAAACAATTTTTTGAACGTTAAGCTTTAAAATCCAGTCGCATAAGTGGTTAAGATAACGTTGCAATGCTAAACTCGAGCGATATCGCTCACTGAATACCTCGCCAATGTCTTGCGCTACATCTCTCAGTGAAAAAATTTCCTTCAAAACTTGATTTTTTGAACCGATTAAATCTATCATAAAAGTCAAAAATAAAGACAAGCTGCCGAGCGATGGTAGCGAACGGTGACGTTTCCGACTTTTTTCCTTGAATTTTTTGGTTCATAAAAGATCTATTAACATTTTTTCCCCTTTTTGTGTTTTGATTATGAATCAACTACCTATTTTATATAGCAAGATTCGAAAAAGGGTTTATCGAGGAAAAAAAGTCGGAAAAGGTTTAGTCGGGAACTTCTTGCCATCGGAAAGTTCCCTAGCGATATGAAAGAATAGGAAAAGTCACCGTTCAAAAGTTTCGCTGGTTTTTATTTCACACCACCGTAAGAGCTTTAGCAATAAAACTGAATTTTATTCTTGGAATGATGAAATTGCAGTGAAACAAAAAAATCTTTCAGAAACTCTTCAGAAACAACTATGAAAAAGCTTATTTTGGAAACGAACACCAGAAAATATGAAGGACGTCAAAATTGCGAAATACTCGAGTCAGCGCCGTCTCGAGTGATCGTTTAAATGAAAAAAAGGGATGATTGATTTACAAATTGATCGAAAAAAATTGACCAACTTTTTTTATTACTTTATAATGCGGGAAAAAAATATAAAATATAAATTTGCTCAACGGAGCTGAATTCGAGATTTGAAAATGAGAATTCGACAACGCTAAACTTTTTCTGCCCTAAAACAGGAAAGAAATTAGAAAACTGCTCGAAAAATTAAAGTTTTCAATCTATTATTGACGAAGAAGACTGTTTAATTCGAAGAACGTGTCTTTCGTTTCGTTTCAAGTTGAATTCAATGAAAAACAAAAATGAAAAAAAAACAGAAACGAAAACAAAAATTTAAATTTATCCTCTCATATCAACGAGACCATTTTTTTCTTTTTTTCATTTTTAAAAAGAAGCGAATATTTTTTTATAATAATTTGAATCATAAAAAAATCACTACAGTTATGAAAATAAGTGGAATCTTTATTCTTCGAATGAAGGAATGCTTTAAAAAATCTCTCAGTACAGTTGACATTTAAAAAAATTATCCTTTATTTTTTTAGATTTTTCTCAACGAAAAAACCATTTTGCTATGAACTCAGCTAATTGAGAAGAAGTTTTTAAAACTGAACGGAACAATACGTTGCTCAAGAAAGATATAGGTACTACCAAGTCGCTTTTTGAAGTTTGATATTAAAAACGTTGACATTTGAAGAAAATTAACGCGAAGACAAAGATTTGAATAGAAAATGGGATAACTTGAAGCTTTCCAAGAATATACTTTTCAAGTAGAGACTTTAGTGATAGTCACTATTTATCAAGAACAGACTTTAGTCAATTCAAATCGTCTCAATATTTAAAATATGCAAATTTATCTAAAGACAATCCATCTGGTAAGTTGGAAAAAGTTCAGATTTTGCCACGAAACAATACGTACAATAGTGAGGCGCTGGTGCTGTTGATGTCCAAATCAAGACAAGGGGTGCTCTGGCCGCAATCAGACTGCCTGACGGCGGTCAGAGACGAAGGGGCATCGCCCAGCGTCCTTCTTTATTTCTTCCCGTTCGACCCCGCGTCGTACTTATATACATTGGAGCAAGGGGTTCGACTGATGTGTGAGTGGCCTTTGTCGATTCGAAGCTTTTTTTCGGGACAAAAGCTCAAAAAAGTTCTAGACAACTTCTAGAAAAGCGATTTATGAAATTTAAACCCTTTAAAGTGAAACACAATTAAACTTTCTTGATGGTAAAGCAATATAAAATATGAGGTCGTTTTCAAAGGGATTCTGCAAAACTCAAAATAGCCGTCAGAGTGGAAAAGATAACTAAAATGAGAAATTCAGAAGAAATTTTAGTTTTTTTTTAAAAATTTAATTTTAGGAAAAGGAAAAAAATGAATTAAGTACTAATGATTTAGAGAAAAGGCTTTGCAAAGATGAATCGGGAAGACGATACAAGAAGGCACTGGATAGAAACTTCAAAGTCAATCGGTCGTCATTTATATGCAACCGGGTACTATCTTTATGGTACCTGGATACTACCAAATATGTAATGGCAATTTTCTCTCCTAGCAAAAACTAGAAAAGTTGAAAAGAGTCCAGAGAAAGTAAATTCGGCAAATCATGATGGCCAAGTTAGCGAAAAGGATGAAGAACAATCGTATTAATTTATTTAAGAGTCGGAGGTGGAGAAGAGGTAGAGAAGAAACTGAGCTCCAGAACGTCCAAACTCGTCTACTACTGCATATAGTATATTCTAGCTCAAGAAAAACGGGATGGTCTATGCGCCGTTCTTGATCAACAAGAGTTTCGGGTACCGACAAATGAAGCTTCAAATTTCGTGTTCAAACTAAATTCGGCCAATTAAAAATCGACGTTTTTTTCGCGAAATAATCCCAATCGAATAACGCGTCGATTTTGAAATAACCGAAATTACTTTGAAGAGAGTCATATATCTTTTGAAATTCGTGAAACAGCTTTGAACACATGGAAAAAGATATATGTAATGAACAAAAATAAAAATTTTCATAAAAATATAAATATTCAATTACGAGAAAACAGAAATATATGAACGCTCGTTTGAACACTGGAATTAAAAGAAAACAGACTCGGACATTGGTAACGCGAAACGGACGTGCTCCGGACGTTTCTGGGCAATTCTAGGGATCACTTGAGAGCGTTGAGGCCACTAAAGTAGTCACTAGAAATGCCCCGACACGTCCGATTCGCGTCCCGTTCGCGTTACCAAGGTCCGAGGAAATATAGGAACGCTCGTTTGAACACTGGAATCTTTACTTAAGTGCGCACTTGGCATGTGCCAATTTTTTAACGCCCAGTATGTTAATTTGCGTCGACAGTATGTTAACCAAAAACATCGTATCTGACGACTTTTCTGAGGGCGGGGCGGAGCACTGGATTCGCCGTGAAAATTAGTGACGTGTTTATCAGAAGAACGGACCATTCCATCGGCGCAATAAAGTTGCTCAAAAACAGTACTAATTTTTTTTTGGAGCAATTTTCCTGCGTTTCGGTAATTTTTTTTAATTTTGGCGTATGAACGCGCTTTGCTGAAACAGACATTGGTAATGTGTGCGCGGCGTCTCAGACGATTTGAAAGAAAATTTTAGATTTTTCCCCTTAATGGGCTCGCATTTTTTTTTTTTTTTGATAACCTATTACTCGAGTAACAAGAAGAGTCGCGCTTTAAAACTTTTATACATTTTTGTTCTATAACCAATTTTCTAAACTTATCCTATCGATCGCCTTGAAAAAGCTTATCAAGATTCTAAATATGGCTTTATTAATTTCAAAATAGAGTTCTGGTAAGAAAATAAATTGATTTCAAAGTTCTTTCTATGCCTAAAAATCGCAATTTTGAAAAACTAAAAAAAAGCAAACACATTTAAAAAAAGATAGCGAGTGAACAAAAAATTTGAACCTGACAGCGGGCGCGAAAAAAATTGGCGCTTTTGGCCGCCTACGTACCTGATTCGTCTCTTTCTTTCATTTTCGAGTCCATTCAATGCTTCACTTTTCAGATGCCAGAAGATGCTACAAGGAGCGATGATGACAAGAGAAACAGCGGAAAAAGAGAAGACTATCTTGCTTGGAATGAATACTTCATGTTGGTTGCAAGAGCAGCTTCCATGCGCAGTAAGGACCCCCAGACACAGGTTTTCTTTTTCATTCATTTTCCATCTCTCCTAAATTTACAGGTTGGATGCGTAATAGTCAATGAGGACAAAGTTATTGTTGGAACAGGATACAACGGTAATTTTATACTGAGTTAGAAAATTTGCAAAGAGTAGGAAAAATTAATTGGAAAAGAAAAGCTCAGTAATTTTTGAAAACCTGTTTTTCAAAATAGTTTTTGAGAAGAGATTAAAAAGTTGAAGAAAGAAAAAAATACATCGAATTCCCAGGACTTCCGGCGGGTTGTGACGACGACAAGTTCCCGTGGGGTAAAGGCAACGAGAATCCTTTGGAAAACAAATATGCGTACGTCGTTCACGCTGAGCAAAATGCCATTATGAACAAAGTGAGGAATATTCGAAGAAAACATTTTTTTCAATACGAAAAATGCGGAGCAAAGTAATTGGATAGATGATCGAAAAAGGGTATATTTTGAGGCAACATAGATATCCAATTTCTAGTTTTTGGAGGTCGATGCATCTTTCTATTGCAAAAAAAAAAATGCAAATTAATTGGAAAAATGTCGGAGTTCTTTATTCATAGAACTCAAATACCCGAAGAGATTTCTTCGAAGCTGCAACTGTTCAGGAAGAAAAATAAGAATACGAAATTCCACCATCGATGTCTAGAAGAGGCAACAATAAACCAAGAAATTTGAATTACGATATCTTAAATGAAATACTTTTTAGATCGGCGGTAGTATAAGGGGCTGTACACTCTATACGACACTGTTCCCATGCAACGAGTGTGCCAAACTCATTGTTCAGGTTTTTTGTAGCGCTTTTTAAAGATATTAAGTTTTGCAGTCAAAAATCGCGAAAATCGTCTACCAAAACGACAAGGAGGACTGGCGGTCAGCTGCAGCACGGAAAATGTTCCAAGTTCAGAATCCACCCATTCTGAGCGAAAGATATGAACCATCCGGCCGAGAAATCCGAATTAGTCTGTAAAATTTTTTCTGAAAATAATTAGTATTGTCGAGGGGGTGGTAAGACGACAAAAAAAGCCTTTTTTTAACAGCGCTCATTCGATAACGAGTATCATCTTCTTTTTGTTCATTCGATTTATTAAAAAAAATTTTTATTTTTTTAAATGATTGTCCTGCTATTTTTTTCTATTATTGACAAAAAAACAAATTTTTATCTTTTTCTTAATGGCTCACATACAGTGACGATCAAATACGATTGTTGATCTTTTCCGTTTCATTCATTCAACATCTCCTCAATACTAAAATATTTTATTGATCAATCAAAAATTTTGCGTGTGTTAAAAAATCTTACACAACAGTATACAAATTATGTACAAAATATACAGAAAAAGAAAAAAATTTGGAAGAAGAAGTTAATTTATTGGCTTTCACGTCAAAAACGTACTGAATTCCATGCGAGGACCCTCTGTATAGTTGCGGAACACGTCAAAGTAGTAAATGCTGAGAGACGTGCTGAAGACGTCCAATATTAGTAGGAAGTAAATAAGGTCTGATTCTGTTTGCGAACTTTAAGAGAAACCTTTTCTTTTCAAAGCGGGGTTTTTTTTCCAAATATAAATAGAGGCAACTTTTTTTGAAAATTGAAAGAACTTTGTATTTTGAAGATTTACTCTCTTTCTCAAATAAACACGGCCGAGAAGCAAATTTAGAAAACTTCAATGCCACTTTTTCATAATTCAAATATATTTTAATTTCAATCATGAATTGCATCGCTTGAAATTATTCCTTTCTGAAAGGAAGGGATTTTTCGGCGGCCTGTTTACTGATGAGACAACAAGCAACGAACAAAGCTTTATGATGCTGACGAGACGACGACATGAACGAAGTTGTCGGCATGGGCGAGATTCTTGGCAATGTAAATGAGCGGAGTTTGCAGCGGCACTTGGATCCCGTGCGAGACAAAGTTCAACGTCTCAAAATCGGCGTTGGGAAGAACGGTCTGCAGAGCTTCTCGGAAGGTTTGGTACCGACCGTTGACGTCTGTGCAGCTGAGTTTCACCTGCAAAGGAACATTTTAAAAAAGGAAACAAAGAAGTATACAGTGAGAAAAACAATCAGTTGACATATTTTATTCACTAACGAGAAAATGTTTATAGCCCATTCACGGCTTCGAAAAGTGGCGTTGCTTGGGTAGTTCCTACCAATCACACGCTTCTTTTTCCTTTTGCTTTAAAACAGCCGTGAATTGGCTGTACCGTGATCAGCGGAGCATCGTGCAAAACGAAAATGTTCGGACTTTTTAAAAATTAATTCACGTGAAATAGCGGCGAACGAAAGATTATTGAATGATGAAAGATGTAAATTAAATGGGAAAATAACGAATTAAAAAAAATTGAAACCAACCTGCCGAAACGGTTTATCTCTTTCGTAGAGTCTCAAAGGTACACTTTCAAAGTTTCGGTCAGTCGTGTCCATCAACTTCTTATTAATGTTCCAAAAGTCGTCAAATCTACCTAAAAAGGAATTTTTTTTAATGAAAAATTTTGACATTGACGAACCAAGTGCAACGGAGCTCCACAACTGTTTGTGCTCCTCACTCTTCATTGCGTTCACAACCTGAATATGAAACATTTTCTTCCAAGTTGAATTGAAATGAGTAGGATATGTAAGTCTCAAAATCAAACGAATACTTGGGTGCTTCCAAATATTATCAATTTTTCTGCACGTTTTGATTTTTATTATAATAAACCTCTGTTTTTCGTTTCAAATAAGCGGCTTCTTTGAGAGACTGCATGAATATCGACTCCATCGCATCCTTGTCAATGTGAACGTAGTCATCAGGCTGGCGGCTTGTCCTAACAAATATTAAATCAGATGGAATGCGTCACTGTTTTATTCAAGTATTCATTCGAAAGTTCAAACATTTCAGACTGTAAATATTAACAAATGACCCAGGATACCTTATATAGACGGTCCAGGTGACATCGTTTGGTCCAGTGTACAGATCATAAAGAGCACCGATCGGTACATACAGCTTAAGGGGACTTCCGTTGGATTCCAACCAAATATTTTCCGTCTCGAATTTTTCATTGCTTTCGCGAGAGTTGAAAAAATTGATTACCTGCAAAATTTCGGACCTTTTTTTTCAAGTGTTTCAAATTTCTCGCGCGTTTTTCTGATTTCCCGAATTCAAAGAGAATATAGTGTGTTCAGCGCGAGACGGTAACGTTTCAAAACACCAGAAAAGAAAAAGTTGCCGCGAATACAACCTTTTCTCTACAAAACGGCTAAAAAGACAGCAAAAAAACAAAGGTCTTGAAGCTAAAATGCTCAATTTTGATCTAATTTGATATGCAGTCTTTCTTAGCGAAAAGAAAACGTGACGAGCTGGCGCGGAAAGGGCTATAATACAAAAACAGCCTGAAAGAGCGTTAAGTATTCATTAGTCATGAATTGATATAATTTTTCACATATTTCACGGTCCCGCTTGCGGGAGACTGACCTCTTGGGCGTTTTAGTACGCGGAACCGCTTTGAGCACGCCATAACGGGCTTTAGTTAATAGTGCTCCTGCTTATTTTTTAAAGCTGTTTCGAGCACTTTTGCACGATATTATGAAAAAATATTCGAGTGAAAGTTTAGTATTTAGTGGGATAGAACTTTTTATAAACTGGGGCAGTGCGATAAGAAAAAAAGGAACAGACATGAAAATTATCAAATTCATTTTTTAATTAGTTAAAAAGATAAAAAATAAAAATGACACCCTGAAATGCTTACTTTGGGAAGAGCCAGTGAAAAATAACTACATCTCGGCAGCATAATGTACAATGGAACAGATTCGGTATCGTCGCTGGGCCCGAGACAAAACTCAATGGCCACCTGAGATTCCCAGATCTTACGGGACACCTCGTAATCCATCTGGAACCGACTTTTTGATTAATTTCGAAATTCAGACGTGATCCGACTGATGGTAGCCGTGAATAGCTATATCTTTTTTTGAAAACTGGCTGCAAATCAGAGAATCTTTGTGATAAAGTGCATCAGCACAAATAGTGAGGAAAAAAAAAATAAATAAAAAATCTCAGACAAGCCAGTGCGCATACTTCATTTTAGAGAAAATGGTAAACTTGGAGTGACCAAACTCGTACTCTCCACGTGCTACACGCTGTCTATGGACAAACGAGATGCATGACAATAACAGAAACAGAAAACGACAGGTTTTTAGACAATGCGTAAAACGTGGAGACTTTCGAGAGTATGATTCTGATCTCTCCGCATTTACCGTGCTCTCTGAACTGATGTATGCGGGCAGGTCTGCCATTTTTCTTTTGAGTGAAAGGAAGTCGTAGGGCGCTAAAAACGCTTTTTTGGTCATTTGTTATCTTTAGCCGATAGACCAGTAACCATTTTTTCCCTTTTTTTTTTAAAGCTTTTTTACCCAAAAAGTATTCCTGAATTACCTTCTTAACTAACGTTAGGTTTTAAAAAAACAGCTCAGAAATTATTAAAAGCGGATTATTAAATTATCCATTTTTCAGAAAGTTCCAAAACCGTAAAGCCTTCTAAAGACGCATAGCAATCAAGATTTATGAAAGATTTTTTTAAAAAGTAGTTTGCAAGGTTGAAAGAACCCAGTATTTATATTAAACACAGAAGAACTGCCTCAAGCAATAAAAAATTGAAAAATTTATAACTTGTACTTACAACAATGAAAAAAAAAAACGATAAAAAACAAGTTCTACATGCCAAACATATTGAGAACGAATTCATCGTTATCTAGTGTACTCGTATCATCGGAGAAAGTATCGAAATTCAAATAATGACTATCAGTTGGTTCTTCTGAATAAATTGGCTGAGGATCACTGTGTAGGGGGCTAAATTGTTGAGGAACGACTTCCACGTTAGGTTGAGGTCCAGGGTGTTCGTAATCGTCGTAAAGCCCGCCCAGATTGAGTGACCACTGGTCTGTTGGGCTCGAACTTTGATGATGATGATGATGATAGTCGTTAGACGGATCGGTCTCTTCCACAAAATTCGAAGAGTTGACGACGGTTTCATATTGCGTTTGCCGCACAGCGGAAGGCTGTTCTTCTTGGACTCGTATCTACAAAAACATCCTCATTGAAATAGATAACCGAGATTTCGGCGGTGGGGACAGTAAATATAGCTTGGTCATGTAACCTTCAAATCAAAATAACTTCAAATTCACGTTATAGAAAAATAACTTCAAATGTTCTGTTTGATCCTATCTTCCTTCGCTAGCGATCACGTGAAAATGATGACGTTCGTAAATCTCATTACAAAAAACCCATTTACAACTTGAAAAAAATCAATAAAAAACCCGCAATGCATTATATTGCCCTTAAAAACCTCATCGCTCTCCATTATGCAGTCAAATTTAAAGAAAGTAGACTATTTCTATTTTAATCCAAGATGCGCTATACTCAGGGTTACGTTCAAAGTGATTGAAAACACAAAAAAAAATTAGAGTTGTAGGCTTCTTAAACTTTTGTTAACTCCATCGCAGCGCTCACCTAGAATCCTTTATAGGGAAATCGCTTCAAAATGCCAAAAAATTAAAAAAAAATAGGTGCTAGAAAACTTAAAACTAGTACCAGCGGGAAGCATTGTGAAAAATAAAATAAAATTTACCATTGTGAAAAAAAATAAAATAAAATTTACCCTTGACAAAACCCTGGCTCTCGCACTATCGAGTACTGAAGGTTTTTGCTGAGGAGCGGCGAAAGACGTTGCAACGTCGTTGATAACCTGAGGAACTGGTGGCGGATCAACGGGAGCCACAATCTTCATCTTTTTCTTCAATCCCTCTGATCGCATCGATTCCTTTAAAAGAGAAAACGAAAAGATCGTAAGTTTTCGATTCTTAACTGACCAGAATTTTCGTTACCCGTTCTCGCAATATTTGATGTTTTGTGAGATGAGGCGACCGCAAAGAACTGGAAGAAATAATACGCGGAGGCTCCAGACCCATCGCTTGAAAAAACTGATCGCCGGTTGATTCTCGCATAGCGCGCAATTTCTTCTGAAAACAGTCGGGTTTTAAACTAATTAGGGATGTTTTTGAGATCTTCATAAAAATTTGCTGGAATTTTATCTTGTGCCAGAGAAAATCTTCTTAATTTTTTCTTCGAGTTTTGGCCGGTAAAGCGGCATATTTCGACTAAAAGAAACAGTCGAGTTTATTTTTAGGCTCTCGAGAGCGTCTCAGCAAGGTTTCTCAATTGGTTTTATTTTTTCAAACTGGTTCTGTTCGTACTTGCTTAGGTAGAGCGTATGTGGGAAAATTTTTAGTCACTTACTGTGTTAATGACTCAGAAAGTTCAAATTTTATCATGAACGGAAAACTGGAACGCTGGAAATATTGAGCATGTAAACTCATCTACACAACCTGTGGAAGTTCCCGCACAAGACTCCGCCAAACTCTTACCGCATTGATGACGTTTCTTTTGGCAGAAGAAACATCCATTGCGAACACGCTTTCATGTACAGCCAAATCAATGTCGTCCATTATATAGGATGTCATTCTGGAATACACTTTTAAACCATAATAAGTTCTAATTTACCTCGCGGCATCTGAAAATCGAGCTGGAGGACGCGACAAGTCAAGCTGATCCACAACTCGCTCAATGACTTCTCTGAGTGAAGCGTCCTGGAATAAGCAATCATACATTTATTTTCAAATTTCGAATCTCACATCCATATCGGCCATCGTGTTAGCTGCCGACCTATCCTTCGTGATTTTCCCCATCACTTTTCGCAGACAATCGAGAAGGGGCAACGACTTCCTCTTCAAGGTTCGAGTGGGGCGTCGATTCGATTCGTCCATTTCTGTAAGCAAACCATTTTTTTTTCAAGTGCTTGTTAGTTCTTCCGTTTAACTAGTTTTTTCAGGCATCCCTAGGCAAAATGTGCAAAAACTAGCCTGACAGCTCGATGTCCCTATCCAAATCGTCGTCCGCCTGCATGGAGTCACATCCGCGCGAGGAGGTGTTTCCAGAAAAACTATCCGAAGTTTCTGAATTTTCTTCTCGAGCTGCCGAGCGATCTGCGGTTTCTTTTCCACTCTGAAAGAAATTTGAATGATTAAAACTTCTTTTGAATGTGAAGTTTTAAAATTATACTAAATTAGAAAAACTACAGCAATTTTAACAGAAATTTTTAAGATCAGGTTGATTAAACTCAAGTTTGGCTTCAAGTTTAAGTGTCAGTAACTGGGAAGTTATTGATCAAATCTAAGGCTAACGAGATGGTGTGCAGAAAGAAGATGTCAGAAGATTCTTCATTTTAATTTTTCTCAAAATTTTTGATTAGATTATAGAATGGTGGACTTGATTTCTTTCAATTTTTTGAAAAACAATTCCTCATGATTCTGTTTTTATTTAAAACTCTTCGCTCACGTTCATATAAATAATGAGACACCCGAGTGTCAGAATTTAGTAGAAAAATGACTAAAAAAAACCTCCGAATCCAACTGAAGATTTTTCAAACAATTGGCGTCAACGCTAGATTTGCTAGAATTCGCAGAATCTCCTGAGAGAGCAGAGCTGCTTCTTTCGTTCGAACCAGATAATCCCGAATCATTTGTATTGGCACGATCCCCGAACGTGGTATTATTAAAATGCCGAGGAAAATTCAATGGATACAAGTGTCTGGAAATGAAAAAAAATAGAATAACATTTTTTTCGAGATAACCTGAAAATAGAAGGTAATTTTTCAATGTTCGGCAGTGGAATAAAGCCGTCTTTTTCTTGCTGTGGAACTTGTTCTACACAGAAAACAGTGGAGGGCATATCTAACGGAAAACCACATTTCTGAAACAGAAAAGATTAAGAATTGCATGACTTTTAAATACGAACCTCTACATTTCGACACATCCACCACACCTTTGTCTTCTTGCCTCTGACAAAATCTGGTTTCATCGGTGATTTGCATCGCGGGCAAATGAGAAGCTCGCGGTCTTTCTAAATAATGAACCTCAGGGACACTTTGCGAAATGCAAACGTATGTTCTGTTTTGGTTTTTCAACCGCATGTAGAGTTATTGACATTATACATTTGACGCTAGATTTTTTTCAGAACTTAGAGCTTCATTAGAGTTAGTGACGCGAAATACCTTTCAACGCACAAAGAAAAACTTGTGAAACTAGCTCAGCAGGAACATTTTGCGATCCTAACCAGAAGATTTGCTATTATGCGAGAAAATAGCTAAGAGCTGCTTTAAAACACACCGCTTTTTTGGAGAAGCTCGAAATGAGCCGGTTGACGCGTTGCGAATCGTTAGAATCACGCGGTTGGTGAACGTTCATCATTTTCGCCACTAGAATGATTCAGAATCAGCAATTACTGTCATGCTTCTCATCCGATCCAAGGAATCATCGTATTCATGACATATGCTTTTATGACTTACCGAGGCCTCACTACAAGCGCGGGGATTTACGTAGAAGTTCAAAGAAATAAAAACTGAAGAAAGAAAAATCACCATCCCTTCAATTCAAGGTTACGCATTGACCCGTTGTTAACTAATTGCGGAAAAAAAAGAATTCGGATACTTTATAACTTGTTATCTATTCCACGAGCAGCAATGTAGACCACTTAACTATTTGAAGTTTTATTAAAAAAATAACAAACCTGTATACTTCGTCGTATTTGAATGATCGCCATTACGACTTGATTCTGGAAAATGCTTATTATGACAAGAACGGAGTTCAAAAATAGGACGAGAGATATCAAACGGCGCAAAACTACTTGCTCTATTCGCAAGAACGAAAAGCGAAAAATAAAAACTTATAATTTTGATAAAACGCGATTTCTAAAAATGAAAGCAAATGAAGAGTATCATAGTGTACCTCCCTTGAAAAGAAATTTTTAAAATATCTTAGCAAACACGATATAAATCAAGACGCTTTATAAAGCTTGGGAAAGGCATTTTTGAACCAAAAAAATCTTTTTTCTCTTTTTTTGCTTGAAAAATTTCTTTATAAAGCGTCTTGATTTATATCGTGTTTTTTTCAAAATTTACACATCAAAGAAATTTTTCAAGCAAAAAAAGAGAAAAAGATTTTTTTGGTTCAAAATGCCTTTCCCAAATTTGAGAACTTCATCTTCGCGGCGCTCGTGCTTGGTCACTGTTTTCTGCGAACCTTTCTTATTTTTATATATCTTTTGACATAACCAGGAAGGGGGAAATAAGCACGTGATATCAAATAAGAGGGTTCGAAATTTTTTTTTTTTGAAAATCATTTTGAACGCGACATGTATGTCTTGGTCAAATCTACATTGAAAATTTTGATGGCGTGTTCATCGGACAAAAAGAAAATTTCTCCAATACAAAATCTAGTAGTTTTGGAGCAACTTTGGCGCGCCGATGAACACGATTTTTCGGTTTGAAGCACGTTCCGTTTCGCAGATGGACACGCCATGAAAAAACTCGCGTCAGATTAGCTTCTGCCGTGTTCAAAGTAATTTCCGCGAAATGCAAAATACCCGTTAGAGAAAGGAAAAGATCACTAAATTTTGGAGAGTCAGAGATCATTTTGCATTTCGCGGAAATTACTTTGAACACGGCATTCTAACGCGGCAAAATGAAAAAGGTTCGACAGAATTTTTCGAAATCGCCGCTAACTTTCGCGGTGAGACCTAATTTATGGAAACAACGCGCCATCGTACTCTAACTGCAGACGATCGTGTTTTACGCGGGTAGTTCCAAAATTTGGAGTAATTCCTAGCATATTCAGAACATGGCACTACTGTCATGAACATGCGTGATTTCCGTCAGGCTTGTGCAAGGACCTGCCCTTCAGCCTATTGTCCATTTTCTGAGCCCAACCCGGCCATACCGAGGCCTCTACGCAAAAATGACGCCTGTTGAAGGCGGCCGGTCGTATTATCATCAATCATCAATCCATATTTATTGGTTGTTTTAGTCAGATGGAATCGACTAGGCGGTGAAAAAATTGCTCTTTTGAGCGGTACTAACACCGCCTTTGGCGAAAAAGATGTCAAAACGTGTAGTCGATTGAATTGAAAGAATGGTCTTACGGTCCTTCGCCTCGTTCTTCCACAAGTAGATCCCTCTTTTTCGCTTGTACGGGCACGGCGGTGATGGTGGGGCTCGGGCACGGACGCCGTGTACACTCTACGGTGGCCTCGGCCGATTGAGAGAGCTACCACTGCGAGTGAAGAAAATACACGGAGTTGATTATGGTATTTTAAATAGGTTTTTTGGTAATAAAATGGAAGCTTCTATACTTTTTTGACGTAAATTATCTCGTAACTTCGAGAAACAGAATATCAACAATTTGCAAAAAAAAAAGAGCGTTCAAAAATTTCCTGGCTTCCAAACTGACGGCGTAATATTGACCGACCGCTGTATAGCACTGTCTCATCCATGCGCTCCAAAAAGTTCAAACTTTCTTCAACTTGAAGTTCTATAGAAACTATGAGTTCTAGTCCGTTTTTCGCTACTTGAAAATGCGGGACTTCTCTGCGCTCTCCTCGTCTCTCGACGACCCTCTCATTTTGAAGGGCTGTTTTCATGTTTCTCTGATCTCGCCGGTGGAGCGAACAGAGAGACGCATATACTCGAAAACTGTCAAGCCGCGGCGGACGGTATGTAACAAGTAGAAAGAATTTTTCGGATGAAAACTATAGATAACTAAAGTTTGGAGAAGATTCAAAGATATTTTGCATTATCTAAACCAAGAACGTTCTTCGTGCAATCAACTCACGTTGAAACTTCATATATCACGCGTAGATTTATCGAACGAGATGTCAAAAAGAACTAAAACTGGAAAAAAACAGGTTTATGCACAATGGAAACAACGTAATTCAATAAATTAAAACCGTAAACGTAAGTTATCTCTTTAAGGTGGATATGTACAAGACATTGTTGCCACGGATGAACGCATCACCATACTTGTTTTGGAGTGTGCCGTTGCTGTACTCTTCCGTCTGCTCTAGCGCAATATTCATGAATCTGAAGTTTTTTGAATAAATGCAGCTATAACGATGGTAGGAGAAAAAATGTAAGAAAATTTTCGGTATCGGCGATTTTGAAGGCCGCGACATCGCTTGCAAAGTTATCGCGCGTTATGCTTTTGTTGTTTTCGTTTTTTTTTCTCGTTCTTTTGTGAAAAACTTCACAAAAAAAGGGTAAGCAACTTTTAAAAAAATTTTTTTAAAAAAATCTATGCTATATATGATATATATCACACCAGTTCAGACCTAGAGGTCCGGTTTTGCACTGCTCCGTCTCCGCTGGCCATACTAGACCATTTGCGATCATTTTTTCTGTTTGATAAAAAGAACAAGGCAGTTTCCGACATTAATAGATGAAAAATTACAGAAAAAAAGCTTTTTACTTACTAAAGACGCATTTCCTAAATTAGGCCATTTTTAAGGCTTGCTAGCGTTTGCAAAAACTTAATCGTTGGAACTTAATTTGTATGATTAAATGTTCTAATTTCGTTTTTCTTCAAATTTTTTCTTTTTTCCCACAAAAAACTCGTTATCAACGAAGATATCGCCCAAAAGCCGCGATTGGTGTATGCACAATTAAACATACAGTGCGCGAAACCGAACGGGCTGAAAAGATGTGATATATGACTACGGAACTTTGCTATACATGACTAGAGAATGTTTCTTACCCTCCGATTGAACTTTAGATGAAAATTGGTGAAGTTTACTTCAAGAGCTCCTAATTACAGAACAAGAAAAAAAAAATTTCTCGCACGAGATTTCGTTTGCGAGTTATGAAGCCTCAAAGTTTGCAAAATACATAAATTATGGCGAAAAAAGCGCTATTTCAAGCTTTTGAAGTGTTTTAACTCGAAAACTGGATCTAATGCGAGAAAAGTTTTTTTTTGTCTTGCAATCAGGAAGCCCTAAAGTTAGGGACCGCAGACGAAATTTCAAAAATTTTTTCGAACTTCAATATTACTATGGTTGGATAGCTGCTCTAATTTACTATTCAAAACAGTTTAGTTTTTCGAAAAAGGTTGAGAAAAAAAAAGTTATGGTCAAAACAGCAGTGAAAAAAATCGCGAAATTTAGTACTGAAAGTTTAGATTTTACACTTTTGGTCGTTCATTGTGTTTTCATATGGGATTTAAATTTTTTAGTAGTTTATTCCGGTTTTCAAAGTCGTAATAAGTCATTAAAACAGTATAAAACCACAAGTTTGAAAAGAAAAGCTTTTTTTTCTTGAAAAATAAAAAAAATGGCCGCTGCGAGGATTGAACTCGCGATATCAAAACTGTATGCAAGCGCACTTGCGCTGCTCCACACATCTCTCGGAGATAAGAGGCGTTCGCGCTATACAGCACTTCACCTCAAAGTACAGCATTTACCGACTATCTTGTTTAAAAAAAAGTTATGATAGTTGAACAATTATTAGTCACGTGTGTTCGGGCCACCTAAAAAAATAATTTATTCATAGAGATTCAGTTCAAAAATGCTTCCGTTTTTCAGTGTTTTTTTGTTATTTTTAAACGTTGGCTTCAAGTTAACAATAATTAAACTTTTTAGGCACCGCTAAAAATTTTTTTATTTTATTTTTTTAATTGATTGAAAATTGAAATACGCTAATATTTAAGAAATAAAAAAAGGCGCCAACGACATCTGACCATGTTAAAAATGAATTTCGAAATTTTTCACTGTCTATTTTTTTCTCAGAAAACAAAGTTTTTCGGAATAAGTTTTATATTAATAAAATTTTTAGTTACAATTTAATCCACAAGTTAAAATAAAAAAATTTTTCTACTTACACGCTCTCGAAACCGAGTACAACATTTTTCAATTTTGCGCGGCCTCACGAAGATTAGGCACCGTAAAAATTTTTAATTTTTTTGTCTTAAAAAGATTTGTTTTTTTCACTTAAGAATCGAATTCGAAAATAAAAAAAGGCGCCAACGACATGGAACTAGGTTAAAAACCCGAAGAAAAAAAGTAGTTTTGGTTTTTTGTACGACACTCCGCTAAAACGCTACGAACATTGGGGGAAAAATAGATCAGATTGAAGAGGAAGGTTTTCTCTATGTTTCTCCCAATTTTCTCTGTGTTTGGTTCAGTATTGTGCTTTTACGATAACATCAAACACGAAATCTAAAAAACCAGTGCATTTCACCATCGCAAAAAGGGGCGTGGCTCTGCGGTCTCTACCTAAAGTAAACTTAAGCGAAGTTTCATCAAAAGTTCAGCCGGGGAGTGAAAAAAGTTCCCTAGATATTCATATCGGAGGTACTTGAGAGTATGTCTCAAGTCTATCTCATTTCCCTCAAAATTCTCAGAGATATACTCGAGGTACCATCGATAGACTTCATACCCTGCAATATACCTCAAAGGTTATTGCGATACCCTTTCTCGATTCGCCTATGGAGAAGGTTCATTAAACTAATGGAGAAAAAAACAATCAAAAGCCGAGAGATAAAAATAACTTACCCATCAAGGCAAGCTAAGATTCCTCTATAATCAACTCCAGAGTTGAGTTTCACCACAACCGGCTTTCCTATTATTTGTTTCAAAAACTCGGCTGGATTTTGGCGTTTGCTCATGATTCTGTAACTGACTGTAACAGAAAATTACTTCTTTTCACCTAAAAGTTCTCAGTATAAAATGAACGTCTCAAACGGAAGTACACAATTGAAAAATCACACTGATGAAGTATAACACGTATTTATTGAAGTATCATCAAAATAATTCATTCTAAAAAAATTTAAAAAAATTTAGTTACAATTGAATATAAATTGACAAGGCAGACGATTTAAGCGAGTAGAATGAAATGTGTAGTACGGAAATTTACAAAAAGAAATACAGAAATCAAGTCAGAATACATTATGATACATTTAAAAAAATACGATTTTTCGATCTTAGTTCAATTTTTTTCTTCATCGTAAACAATCAGAATCTAGGATCTGAGAAAACTTTGAATTTTTTTCAAGCTTCAAAACAAAGCTCACATCGTTCATCACCAATAAGATCGAACAACTTTTAACGCGAAATTTTAAACGTGAAAATTATAATAAAAATGCATTATCCGAATTCATGACATCAATAAGTTTTAGCGAGGATTGATTATTCTGTGTTCAAAGGAATTAACGCGAAATGCAAAATGATCTCTGACTCTCCAAGATTTAATTATATTTTTTTTTCTCTGACGGCCATTTTGCATTGCGTGGAATCACTTTGAACACGACATAGTGATGAGACATCGTCCATATTTCATATCGCAAGAGGTTAAGAAAGGCCTAATGAACAAGTTTTGCAGCCAGACATAGAAGTGATCGATGCGCACGTATGGAGCTGACAATTTATAATGTTTAACCGAGAAAATTTTCCCTCTGTAATATAAGTTCGTGAAAATGTTTGAGTCGCATATGTACATATGTAATCTGAGATAAAACTGACTAGTTTTTTTTTCGTTGAAAGAACTTTTCAGTTTTCTTTTACAAATTTCAGATGAAGTTAACGTCAGTTTTCGCCTTGTCCACTGTCCTCATCTTCTTCGTTGCATCCCTCTTCGTTGTCACTGCCGTCATCATAATCGTCGTAAAAATCATCATCTTAATGAATTTTTTCTGAGTGAAATAAATTACATGGAAAAAGAAATTAAGCTTCTTGAGATTTCTCGCTAAATTATATTTCAGCTTAAACAATTGCCAAAATGAGTAAAAAAATACAATGACCAGCGTGCTAGGAATCTAAAAAAAGAATGAAGAACACCGGTAAAGTTTCGTTACTTGTGGTATGAATTGAAGATGAGCAAAATTTTTAAATTTTTTTCATATTGCTAGAAAAATTTCACGACTTTTTTTCCTATTATAATTTTTTTCGTGATTTTTCACACTTTTTTGCTGTTTCTTTGTTTTTTTCCATTGTGAATAAACTATATTATTCGTATGAAGACATTCCGTACGTGTAAGTTCTGAAAAAAGTCGGAAAAGAGAACGCCGGGGACTTTTCGTCAAAAAAAAATCTCTATCAATATGATAAAGTGGAAAAAAATCCCGAAGTCCGCCAACTTTTAATTCATAAGACCAAGTTAGTAATTATTTTTTTGTTATACGCAAAATATAATTTCAGATACAAAGTGTGTAAAGACTCTTCACTAAAGAGGTAAAATTTTTTTGTTTTTTTCAACTTTTCAATTTCCAAACTGAATGAAAAATACTTTTTTTCCTATCTCCGATAGTCATTCATTTCTTTCATTTTTTTTTCAGCTTCACTCTGCCTTTTTTACCGAAAAAAGTATTTAATACTTGGCCAAAAGTCTCAACGAAAATTATTTAATTCGTGAATGAATTATATTTGGTGCTCATTTCTAATTTTACTGTTAAAAAAAGGAAAAAAATAAAATAGAAATAAAATGGAATTTCATATATTCACACATTCGAAGGTTCATAAATTCAAAAATTAACGACCTTGAGATTTGCGTGCTCTGAGATCAGTACTTCAAAGACTTCAGAAAAATCGTACCATCAAGTTCTTGCGGTTACGCAATAAGTGAAAATTGGTGAGAAAAATTCTAACCATATTCCATCGAGTCAAAAGCATCGTCTTGTTGAGGTGGACACCATTTAACGCAGTATTCTTCAACGGTTTCTGGAACGACAACACCGTCTCTTTCCGCTTCTTTTTTAGAATCCTCTACTTGCTTACTGAAAAGTTTCCGATAAGAAGCGATTCACGAAATAGAAGTATACCCAACAATAGTCGCGTACTCCGAATCGCCGCCATCCTTCCACTTTCTGTACATGACCGAAGCGTCAACATTTGCTGGAGAAGACGTGTTGGGCTCGTTGAGAAGGGAAATCACAGATAGCAAAATAGTTCTAAAAACTAAGTTCATTTAAAGTGAAAAATAACACTAAAAATTTTTCTTTTAAACGAGATATTATAGCCTATTGCGCGCCAGCTTGTCACGTTATTCTTTCCCCCGAAAAAACCGTATACCAAATTAGATCAAATTTCCGCTCTTATAACGGTAAGAAACAAAGGTCTTGAAGCGAAGTTGGTCAAATTTGACCTAGCCTTTCGGCGGAAAAAAAACGTGACAAGCTGGAATGGCCCATATATGAATCGAAGTTGTATAGTTTTGCGTCAGAGTCATAGCCAGTCAGTAGAAAGTCATTAAATTGGAGAATTTTCAATTTTCTTCCAAACTTCATACTAACCTAACATTTTGTGTCGGGTTCCATCTTTCACACGGCAACTCTCCACTATGCGGATCATCAATAGGTGCGTGTAAAATACTGATACAAAGATCGCCATTCTGCAATAATTAGAAAGAATCAATAAAAATATATAAAACAGCAAGAATCACGCTACTGGAAAACCTGTTGAAGTAAAAAAAAAAACCTCGTAAACATTCGGATGCCAAACTTTGTTGAGAAACTTGACAGTAGGTGGAGAATATGGATAATTCGTTGGAAAGCGGATATGAGCTTTGAAATAACCACCCTAAAAAAAGCAAGGTGTTTTTCCATTAAAATTAAGAAATCTTTTTTTATGTGGATTATTTTTTTCTTTATTTTTCAATCATGCTGCGCCGGGTGATCGGTGCCCACATCTTTCAGTGTTCATTTTCGTTGACGGAAAAATCGTGTGAAAATTCATTCGGAACCACAACTGTAACACGAGAGCGGCAAAAATTTCGTTTCGTGTGAAGCCGCTGCATAGAAACGATTATTTCTACCTTAGAAAAGTGAAGCAAAATTACTAAATATTATTTTTTACCGTTTGAAAGTTTCCTGAACTTGTACGAACCTGATATATTGTCTTCGGTGCTCCGTATATTCCAACCGTCCATAAAAACAAGTTGTCCTCGTTAACGTTTATCGTAAACCCTTCAACGGGCTGGGATTGAAGATCTTTCAGTTCCAACGATAAAGCTCTCATCGCACCAGCAGATGTTGATGCCATAATAAACTTTTCCTGAAATCGAAAAAATTTTGATACAACAAAGAACATCAAAAATTAGTTATACATTGCAAAAATTTTAACAAAGGTAGTCACCAAGAGGGCGGGAGCAGCGCACGTGAATCAAATCGCTTCGCTGCGAGACCACAGGTTGCGAAAGACACACGCGTCTTCAAATTGCGGCACAATTCCGCCCCATATTTTCATAGAGAGCTCTCTCTAGAGAGATGAGATAGTGAGATTACAAAAAAGTATGGTCCAACACAACAAAAACAAAAAGGTAATAAATACGTACATGTAATCGCTGCATTCAAAAGTTTTATACAGTATATTTGGCGTTCAAGCCGCGTTCAAAGTGGTTCCGCGAAACTCATGATAGCGGTCAGAGAGTGAGAAAAGCAACTAAGTGTTAGAAAGAGAGTTGAAAACGATCGTTCGTTAACGACATTATAAAGTCACCAAAAAATTTGGAAAGCCAAATCTTCTTGAATTACGCTGAATTTTTTTGAACGTGGCAATACTGAAGCGTAATTCAATAAGTGAGAAAAAAAAATTTCTACAACAAAAACAAAAAATAAAAAAACGTATTTCAATTAGATTTTCTTTTACAATGTTAAACCGAAGCTTTTTCGTTTCGAAGTTTTGCTTTGGAGCAAAAAATTCGAAAAAGTTATCGCGTATTGCAATAAATTGAAATTTGTTCTTTATCCACTGTAGAGCAGGAAAAGCGAAGAACAGGATTTAAAGAAAAGGTCAAATTCGATTAGCCGACTTTTAGACCCGGGTACCCAAATAGTTCAAAGCGTTCCTAACTATAGTCTGTTCAGATTTTGAATGTCAACCAGCTAGCTCCGCCCCTGCTGAGACGGTACCTTTTCGCATCGATGTTTTATCGCGCGGGACTAATTTTGATCTTTTTTGATCTAAAAGATAGAAAAAGAAGTGCAAAAATGCAGCATTATTAAAGGTTCATCGTCATCTGGATATAAAACATTGACGCGAAGGATATTGTAGCCTTGGGGGTGGAGTTAGCTGCTTGACATTCAAAATCTGAACAGACTATAGAACGTTTTTGACGCCCCGGTTCGGTTGAACTTTCGATGGAAGTGCTTGAGTGTACTTGATGATCTTCTGATTGCAGAACAAGAAAAAAAAATCTCGCAATAGATCTCGTTTTTGAGTTTATACCAAAAAAGGGCTATTTCGAGATTTTCAAACGTGTTAACTCGAAAACGAAATCAATTGCGAGAAATTTTTTTCTTGTTATGCAATCAGGAGGCCCTAAAGTACACTTCAGCGAATTTTCATCAAAAGTTCCACTGGGGTGTGAAAAACGTTCCCTAGTGAGTTGAGGTGTTGCATTGTTTTTATAAAACTTTTTTCCCTCGAGTTATGTTTCACTTATAAGTACTAAGTCCTTTTACTTTCACTTCACTTAATGCCTTTCGATATACGGTTCCATTCACTCACCAATCCTCTTACACCCGACTTTCCTGCAATGTTTTAATACAACATTTTCGATAAACTCAGTTTCCCTTCGATTAATGCATGAAGATAGAAAATCACCAGTGGTCAAGCGACGTTAGCTAACCAGTGGTCGTTGGTTAGCTAACGTAGGACAGCGATAGCCCTCAGAAACCTTTCCGGTGTTATCCAGATATCATTTCCAAGTTGTCTCTAGGGTACCTGTTAGCTGATAAAGGACTACCAATTAGTTAACGCTTGATCTTGAAAAAGCTGTCCGTTTTATCCTCCTCCCGATTGATCTATGTAAAAACCGAAATTAATGCATTTGAATAGAATTTCATGGGTTAAACCTAGACCTTCATAATAATTTTTTCTTTCAGTTTCAGAGTGAATTACTTGGCAACAGAGAAAGCGTAGATGATCATACTATGGACGGTTAGTCTTGTTGCATGATTAATCTTTTAGTTTGAACAAACAGATGTTAAATATTCTAACCACTTAGTTAGTTTTTTTGCACTTAATGACAGGTTCGTTTATACTTATTTTTCTCTTCTTTGTACTCTGCGCCCTGATTGAAAAGCTGTCCCTAGAAATATCGGTAGGAAAAAATTGGAATCTAATTTTTAAAAATAAAATGATGAAAGGAAAGTATTTCATTTAGCGGCCGAAATAATACTTCTTTGCGTTGGAGGAGCTTTACTGTTTCTCGGGATCCTTGCCATTTTAACGACTGTTACGACCTGTCGGCGACTGAAACAGAATGAGTTTTGCAGAAATTCACAAATATATCTATTTCCAGTCAAGCCCGAACTATCGATATAAAAGAAACTTCGCAAGAGGTTAACCTCTCAGAAATTCCTTCAACGGCACCAGAAGTCGAGAAACGTCCGGAAATAAAGGCGAAGTACCGAAAAACAGATTTTACCGAGAATATTGAAGCGAAGCCAACCAAAAGAAGTCTCCTCAGGTTGGAATTTCTATAAAGCTCCTCTCATGACTCAAAAAGGGGCTCACCGAGAATATTCTCTCATTCAAATCGATCTTCACAATCCAAGTAGTTCTTATTTCGAAGATGATGGAACAGTGGAAAACCGCAAAAAACTTCAGACACACAAACTTGGTTCTCGCTCCACTTGAAGTTTCCGCTCTTCAGGCTCGAGCAATACAAACGTTTGTTTTTGGTCTCGTATAGTGGAATCATCAAAAACACCGCTAGGGAAAACTATGGATTTTTTTCTTAAGATATATAAGAAAATTCGAAGCTTTATTTAACCTCTTGAAGACATTCCAAAGAAAAATAAAATATTTTTGAAAGTTTTTTTCGGCTTTTTCAAAACGTCTCTTTTTCTTAAAAAAACATCTTTTTAGAGTGAAAAAAAGGCACGACAGAATTTTTCTGTTTCTAGAGACATCAGAAAAAATCGATTCTCGTTAAGTTCATATTATGGGCTACCAAAATTGTTTCAAATTCAATAAAATCCAGAAATTTTCATCTATTCAGAGAACATTCAGCGTCACATTTCTTTCGTGAGATGATGTCCATGCGACAAGACAGAGATAGATTGATAATGGACGAATTTCAAGTGAGTCTAACCACCCTTCTTCCAACAAAAATTGGAAGCTTCAGGTTCTCAATCAGATAGATTTGGGGAGAAGAAAAACAAGCATGGTGGCAATGCAAAATTTGAGAAAAAATCGCTACGCCGACATTCTAGCATGTAGGTTTTTCGATTTATGATCGGAGCGATTGAACGATTACAATTGGAAGAATTCAGATGATGAAACACGTGTTCATTTACTGGGAGACGTTTACATAAACGCCAGTTTTATCACGGTAAGAAAATATTTGGGAAACTAGATACTTACTTAGTTACTTGAATACTTTGATGGTCCGTCTTGGCTGATGTGCTCAGTGCGGGCCACACGTCCCCCATTTGTCCCTCTCTCTCTCTCGATCATCCAATGTCGGAACAGAAAAATAGACAATAGTGGAAAATGTTCAGTCGGCCATTTAAAAAAAATTGATAGTTAGTAGAGAATGTCTTTGAGAGGCCGTAAAGATATTTCAGTCAACATAGAAATTCAATCAAACGGCCACTAAAACAATTTTTTCATAACTAGCAAATTCTAGGAAAATGGGAATCCTGAACGATATATAGCAACACAAGGGCCGATTGGAGTGGAGGAAGAGGCAGAAGATACCGCGAAATCCTCGACGATCAACGACTTTTGGGCCATGGTCTGGCAGCACGGAGCCGTCTGTGTTCTGATGCTCTCGCACCACTTTGAACACGGCATAGTTTGATTTGTTCAAAATTTCTCACGTTAAGTCGCGAAAGTCCTAGGCTTGAGCATAGTCCAAAAAAACTTGAGAAGACTGATTTTAATGATGTGTTCAAAGGGAATTCGTGAGACTCGATATAGCCGTCAGAGATCGAAAAAGATGTTATTTTGGAGAGTTGTTGATAATTTTGCATTTCGCGAAGATCACTTTGAAGACTGCATAAGTTATAACCCTAAGTAGCTAATCTAGGTTATTACATTTCTATTGTGCGAAATTTCTCTTTCTGACCTGAATAAAATGTGAAAAGTGTTCTCTAACTGAAAAGCGATAAGGGCAGGTTGCGTCCTTATTGCGGGAAACTGGAGGTCAAACGTGATCGTCGAGAAAATGTTGAAAAATATTTCATCTTCAGAATGGAAAAAATATTTTTTTTTTGCAAAACTACCAAACAAGATAGAAACTTTTAAAAATTGGCTTGCATTTAACCTAGAGTCTCCCGCTAGAATGCTTCGCGAAAACATAGACCTACCAACCTGCCTAAATAGCCCTCCGGTCCAGAAACACTTTTTTCTGATCCACGTAGAAATGTTTTGGAATTTGCCTAAGCACTAAAATAATCTAAATAATCTCAATATATGCACTTTTAGCAAAAGTGTGGATATTACTGGCCGGAAATTGTCGGTGATCAGAACAAATACGGTGAAATTGATGTAAGGCTCGTTACCGAAACCGAGTCTTCGAGCTTCATTCAACGCGAATTCGACTTGTGTCAGGGAAAAGTAACCAGAAAAGTAATGATTTTTTTTTCCAAATAAAACCGTTGCAGCCTAACCTTCTTTACGATTTTTTTGAGTTGAAAAACAATTTTTTTCAAAATGGTTTTGATTTTTGAACAGTTTTGAAAGCCAGTGCTGCTGATGAAACAGGGGCGCCCCGCGAAGCGGTTACTTCGTCAAAAAAGCTAATTTTCTTAGTTTTTTCAATAACTTCCGTGCTTTATTTTCGTTCAAATTTTTAAAATGTTTGTACTCAGCGGGGTGCCCCGTCAGCAGCACTGGTGAAAGCTCACAAAAATCATTATGTCATTTTTTTTAGAGATTAGCCAGAACACTTTTTCTTTGCAATGATTATCTAGGAGCTCTCAAATCGTGTCGAACACCTCGCTCAAAACCTTTTCTCAACTTTCTTCGAAAACTCTTGATAAATGCCAAGTACAGCTATCGCACTACCAATTTCTACGATGGGCTGACGCAGAACGCGCTGAACACGATTTTCATCTCCTACAATTCATGGAGATCGTCCGGAAACAAAATTTCCCTCCACCCATCATTGTCCACTGCAGGTTAGTGCAATGAAGAAACGTCCTAGGTCAACAAATGCTGTTCGAAATCAATTCAGTGCTGGCGTGGGTCGCACTGGAGTGTTCATTTGTGTTGAGAATGTACTTTGGCGCGCCAAAAATTATGGCATCGTCGATATTTTCAGGTGAAATTTCAATTGATTACCAAATTTTCCTTTCTATCTCTGTACATTTCGCCAGGCTTGTGCGTCAGGCCAAGCCGGGCTTCAAAAAAAAATTTTAAATTTTATTTGAAAAATTTTCAGCGAAATGTGACTTTTACTTCTGAAATCAGAGTTTTTGTTAAACTTTAAGTGAAAAAATGAGCCAAAACATAATTTTTGTCGTAAAAAAACTTGATATTCGACTCTAAAAAAAATTGCGCGCTTTGAGCCGGGCGGGTCATTTTTTCTTGAGGCCCCGCTAAGACCGGGTCGGGGGCCGGGAGGGTGACGGGCCGGCCCTCGCACAAGCCTGCATATAGCTGAATTTTTAATTATACAGATTTATCTTCAAAATCAATCAAATCATTTATTTTGTTGTTTTAGTCTGATGTAATCGACTAGGCGGTGAACAAGAACTTTGAAAGCTATAACGAACAACCGCCTTTGGCGAGCTAGAAGTCCAAACGTGTAGTCGAAAGAGTTGAAAGCATGGTCTTACGGTCCTTCGCATCGTCCTTCTGCGCGTAGTCCATCCAGTTGCGCCTTGACGAGCTCAGAATGTAGTGGATGGTGTAGCTGGAGCCCGGAGACCGTGCTCTAGGTGGAATTCTCAGAATGAGAGCGACCACTTCGAGTGAAGATTTTACACGGAACTCATTAAAAAACATTTTTTAATATTTGTTCATTCTATCCGACCTGAATAATCAAAGAAACTTTTTTCAAAGTGAGACGAACCGCTTGAGACAATTGCGACCTCGGATGGTGCAAACGGTAAAGCAGTATGCAAGCCTGTACGACCTGGTCCTGCTCGCCCTCCACACCGAAAGCTTTTAATTTGAATATATTCAAGAATTTCTTCAGGGAATAACTTACAAGAAGCCTTGCAACTCATAAATTTTGTTCAAGATAGTTTTCAAGGTTTTAAAGATGAGCAAACGCAGCGCACTTAAGTGATCACTAGAATGGATCAGAGACGCCCGGGGCTCTGCCGATTTGCGTTAGCATTGTTTGAGAGCTACTAATCTAACAGGCTCTTCGTTAGAACACACAAAATTTTTTGCAAGATAGCGTTTGACATCAAGTTTCGTGTCAAAAGCAGCGTCGCGTACTTCGCCCTTGCCATTTTACCCACCTCGCCTTTCAAGTGGGGAATAATCGACTATACGTGTCCTTCTAAACATCTCGGATTCCGGAAAAATATTTTTTTCATCGAATGCCAAAGATTCTTTTCAAGTTTCAAACGCACGAATAAACTTTTTTATTTCCAATAATAATCTCAAATCGGAAGATCAGACCACTTACATAATATGCAACAATATTTTGCACTGGGAAAACTGTTTGGGAGCATTTATGAACAAAGATTAGCTGTGTTTTGATATTCGAAGCTGCACTGTAAGAGAAATGGAACGAAGGAAAGGAGTTCATCACAGAAAGAAAAAACAATTTTTTGCAGGTATATAATAAATAATGCATCTCACTAAACATAACTCTAGGAGAACTTCACAAAAAAAGAGAGTTTGAAAAAAGAAATACACAAAAATAAATCACAGACTCGTTTTTGCTCAGTATTGTGTCAAATTATAGAATTTCTGATCATTTTTTCGTTGTTTAAGTTGAATTCGTTCGATATTAGAGAGGCACTACCAAAACAGTGTGTTCTTCAATGAAGCAATGACTCTTCTCAAAAAACCTCACTGATGTAAATTAAACCTTAATAGTTGAATAAAGGTTCAGTCAAGCTAGCCGGAAGTTGACTATTGGAGATGAAAAATATTAAAAATTCAAGAAGATATGTGCAATAAAATCTACAAAGCTTTCAGGTACATATAAGAGACAAATCGGAGGGTACAGAAACAGCTGCGATCAGAATAAACTCACAATGGTGGATTGTTCGGGGGAGGAATCAAGCTAGAACCACATTTATGTACCCCGTACCAAGTTTTTACCCATTTTCGCGGCTTTTTCTAACGAAAACCCAGAAAAGTGAACAAAGAGACTAGTATGAACAAAATACAGAGATGAAAAACCTCACTTCAGTCTTTGGGTAATGCTGGCGAGAGCGACAGCAAAAGCTTGGCTAGCCGAAAAAGGCTTTCTAAAGTCCAAAGTGTAGGCTCCTCCTTCGATTCTTCCGAATTGTAAAACTTGTTTACCATCCATTTCAACCTGAAGATGTTTTTCTTATTTCCCAAAAACAGATGGTTAGAACAGAATAATAATTAGAATAACTAGGTAATCAACATAAATAATAATTGAAATATACAGGGTGGCCCAAAAGTATTGTCGCATATAAAAAAATAAACGTAAACTTGTGCAGACACAATGGATTTTGCTGGAACTTTTTGAGTCAGACTAACATGCACTATAGATAGATAAATTAAAGTAAAACGTTCCTACTTTGGTTCATATGCGTAAAAAACGATTTTAAACCATGTCGACTAAACCTGCTGCCGCACGCAGGGGTCATGTTAGAACTTTAATTTTTTTTAAGGTCTCAAAAATTTTTTCTGGAGTGGTCAATTTGGGCATCAAAGGTCCACACTATGAGTTTTAAAATACATAAAGATGAAGGGCTACGAGCTTACAGCTTTTGAGATTTTGCCTTTCTTCTAAAAAGTCAGGCTCAGGCGAAAAATGACCTTCCTGACGCTTTTTTACGTTTATGCTTCTAGATTTCCTTTGGTTGAGCCCAGTAATGTGAAAGTTGGCATGAGAAATGATAAGAGGTTTCTAAAAATATTTATCACTTTTATTTATCTGTGTTACACTTCTGGCTCGATTACCATCAAGAAATCGTCGGCAGACCCACACGACATGATCGAACTTAGAAAAATTCTCATAAGTCAGCTTCCCAAAAGTTTTGATTACTCATCTTTTGCAATCTACACCTTTTATCAATGAGGTACATGAAGAAAAAAAAATTATAAAATTTAATTCTACGAGAGAAAAGAAAAATTTTTTTTTCGCAATCGACTCTTGAGCTGCGTGCCAGCAATGTTATTTTTTCGTCTGTGTCAGCCAGACAAAACTTGCTGCTATTTGTGTGTACCTCAGCCGATATCGGTGAAATTTTCGGGAGACATAGAAGAAGGGACTAGAATGCTACAACAAAAGTAACTTCTGTCCAAAACTATTTTTACTTATTGAAATGACCTGTTTGTTTTTGCGACCATACTTTTGGGCCACCCTGTAAGTAATAATTTCACGGATTTTTCATCATTTCATTTGACTGAAGTACGAAAAGAAAAGGCTAGCATTAAGTCAACTTTTCCTATTGTTGAGAAAAAATGTTGGCATTTATTTTAACTTATCTGCCAAAAAATCAAAAAAAAAAAATTTAAAATTATCGCAGGTCAAACTGTACGAACTTGGAAATTTTTTGCCGACTCTTGCGTCACCCGGCCGCCAAAATCCAGCTGATAAACTTGATTGTGCTCATTCCAGAATGGCGTTTTATTATGCATTGTGATGATTCGAGACGAAAGACGAGGCGAGTTGAAAGTTCCCTCTCCGAGTGTCTGAAAAAAATCCTTTTGACAGGACGTTAGGAGAAACTTTACCAAATTTAAACCATGCTTCCACGATTTTTGGCGAGGTTAAGGTGAAAAGAAAATTGGCATTTGAATGGTTTTGGTGTTCTTTTATTTTTCTTTAGAAAATTAAATTTGAAACTATATGTTATTATAGTTTTTTTCATGTTTTTCACTTTTTTTCTTTGGTAAAGTCCCAAAACCGTCACTATGATTTCTTTTTTTGCTATTTTTAGTTCGCAGAAAGACTTTTGGGAACATTTCTACTCAGAAATATTTTTAAGAAAAAAACTCAAAAAAAGCCGAATTTTTGTTATTTCTCGGTAAAAGATACCTTTTTTTCATTTCTTCCAAAGTTTTTCAAAAAGCTGGCGTACTTCGACTTTGACATCACCAGTACAAACCTTAAAAAGAAAAAAATGAATTAGGAAGAAAAAAACTTCGAAAAAAATACCTTTTTTTCGATTTCGTTGACTCTTCTCAACAATTCCTTCATTTGAGATCTCATCTTCGAAATAGATGCTCTGTCTTTTTTCTGAAAAAAGAAAACTATACTCCATTTTCTAACCTTGGAATTAAATTCCTATATTCAAAATGATAGAACTAACCGAGTTGAAGTCAGCGTGTTTTCTGGAAAGTTGCGAGGCAATGCTGGCAAGCTTATCAACGTGCGCTTTTATTTCTTCGGTCTCTTTCCGACTCGGCGACATTGATCCCGCTGCCTGAGGGTTGAAACTGATCTTTCGAACTGTGCTGCTGGTTGCCGGGATCAAATGACCGTCGTCATCTCCATCTGAGAGAAAAACTTTTCAAACCCCTTCTTTTTTTTCAAATTACAAAAATTAAGCTCTCGCAGTATGTCGTTTGAAATTGCAAAATTGCGCAAGTTTTGTTCACTAATGCCGTGTTCCGAGCCGACAGCCATCGTTTGGCAGCTAGAAGTTTGTTGCAGTGGCTAGCGTGGCAGCCTATGCCGATGTTCGAATACCTTTTATCGAAAAAAAGATTCAATCTGTTGCTTTTTCCAACCAAGACACGCAAGGATTTTCGATGAAGCTTCGATGCCTTCCTCTTATTTTTTTTTTCTGCTTGATTTTCAATTTAAAATACTCAATGATGTGAAGTCTTCCGAAGCTTCAGCGTTTTTTCTAAATTATCATTCACAAAAAGTGGGATTTTCGATCAAAATGGCTGTCAAACGTTTGGAACGGCCCTTAACATTTCTTTTTTACATCACTATTTCAAAAAAAAAAACTAGTTAAGAAAAAACAGCGACAAAAGGATTTGAACATTCAAACGCTGGCTTCGCTCGGCCACATTCCTTCTGAACAAGTTCACGCAGTTCAAAAACTAATATCTTTAAAAAGAAAAAGTTTACGAAAGCCACAATGCGGAATCTAATTCTAATCTATCAAAAAGTGATTGAGTAAAGATACAAAAAAAGGTAGACGATTTTGTGTTGCTTTTTAAAAAAATTTTCTTTTATTAGAGAGGCATTATTTGTTGTTTATTTGTACGTATCTCGACAAGATAAACCGATTGATACTACTTTAATGGCAAAAATCAGCCTGGAAAGTGAATTTGGATTATGCCAATATTTTTTTTTTGTTCGTAGTTTAGTAGAGTGAAAAGCTTGGAAATTCAAGCCAAAAAGTTCTTTATTTCTTTCTAAATGAATCTACGAAGAAAATATCTCGATCTTGTACTCAACTTTGGACTTTAACTTTTAGAAACCATTATTCAGAGATTATTACCGATGAACTCGAGATTCTCAATTTCTTCGTGCCAAGTGCTTGCCGAGCTAGCCATACTCGTCACATCAATGTGAGACTCGGTTCTAGAACTGCTAGTAACAGTTCTTTCTGGCGCTTGATTGGTTCGAGCCGATATTTCTTTAACCGCGGAAACCTGAAAAAAGCCTTTACTTCACATATTATTGAAAAAAATGTTCGAACTTAATGAGAATCTTCAAATATTTCTTAGATATTCAGAAAAAGAACGACAAACTTGAGAAGTGCCCTGTGAAGCTGAGAGGTTGATCGATGTGGCATCCATGGCTGCCCGCAAAGACAAGCATTCAGTGAGAACCTCAAAATTTTCCATTCTTTTTTCTTCCTCTCTCAAAGAGCTTGAAAAGAATTCAAAAATAGGCAATTTCACAGGTTTTATTAAATAAAAACAACGGCAGGATTTTTCCAATTGAAAAAGCAAAAATCAGATAGGACCAACATTTTCCGACCAGTCCTTGAGTACGTTTTGCGACACTACACTCATCATAATCTCCCTGTGCCTTCAAAACTGTCCAAAACTGTTGATGATGATGTCTACCTTCTCGAAAAAGAGCCGTTCCTCTGAAGTTAGTCCCTCGTCGGCCGTGTTGGAGGCTTGCTGCGAGTTTTCGTCTGTCCCCTGTTCCTTGGCCGTCGTCCCGTCGTTGGCCGAATTCTTGTCCAAACCCAACATCGCGAGGTCGATGGTCATTTGCCGCGGTTGCAGGTGCAGAACTGACGTTTTGTACACAACCTTGAATACACCTTTTTTCTGATCCTTTTCTTTTTTGAATGAACCTGTCCCAAAAAGTATGGAAGGTAAGATGGGGAAAGAGATGAGATGTTGAAACGCGTACACCAAACATTCGAGGAAACTTGTACTAATCGCATTTCGCTGCGGTTCGATCGCACGTGCCTGAAAATAAATTTGCATTTTTTCGGTGAAACTAAACGAAAAAAAGATCAGTGAACGCGATAAAAAGATTCAACATCCATAATGGTCCAATTTTGCTTCGCTAGGAAACTCAAAAAAAGTCGAGCTGTTTCTACTAAAAATTTGTGCGTTTTTTTTCAATTTTGATGTTGAAACGAAAATCTAAAATAAAATTTTAAATTCCTTCACAGCTAGTTAGCCACAGCTTCAAACAGCAGAGTTTTCTCAGCGCCCTCTTTCTCTCTCGGTGACGCTTTCCTATTTATGTACTTTTCCCATGTTTCTTTGACCTCGCCTAGAAAGAGAAAAAAAAAGAAGGAAGAAAGTTTCAAATCTGGGCGAACAAATCATACCTCATACCAACTTTATCATATGGATAAAACATTGAAATTCAAAATTTAAAGACCTAGACATCAAAGCGCGTATTTGACGTTTGCTTCTCCTCCAAAGGGAATTCCGCCCAGTAGAATTTCTCACTAACGCGTTCACGTCTTCTGGAAAATTATATTTAAAGAAAATCGCCAAAGTCGTTCACTGACCAACTTGAGCGTTTGAGCCAATTGCAGGTTGAAAAGGTGAACTGGGGTGAAGGAAAATTTGAAATTGAGGTAGGAATCGATTAACTTGCCGTCCTGTAAACAGAAATTTATCGAAACTTTGAGTTACCATAATTATGTTCCCTTCTTCGAACTTATTTATCAGTAAGAAAATGAGGTTAGAATAAGTGCTAAACTAAATTTTGAACTCTTTTGTTTTCAAATTTACTTATTCTTGCAAAAAATAAAAAAACTAGGATTTCTCCAAAATTAAAAAAAATAATAATAATGAAAATAACCAACCTATCAAAACCGGAACCAGTCCGCCGAGATGCTCAATGCAAAGAACGTACGAGTTGCTTCCTTTCGACATTGGCCGAATAGTACAATAACATCTAGCGTCAATCACACTACACACAAACGAGCACAGATTTGACGTTCGTGGAATTCGACACTGAAATGAAAAAAATTATAATTCATATCACAAAAAAAAATCTGACGCGGATGATGTGATGATCAAGAGCCTTGACGGCACTCATCTCTCTCGCAGGAAGCGGCAGTTTGTCTGCACGCTGAGAACTGTGGCCGACAAGCTTCCACAAGTCGTAGGCGACGATGTCGAAGAGAGACGGTACACCTGGCAGGATCTTTCCAATTGTTAGTCGTCCGCCAGCAGCCACAATCACCGCCTGGCCGTTGTGTGCCCATGTGAAGGCTGTCAACGCCTTTCCACGAGCGATTGTAATCGTTTCCCGATGAACAACCTTGGCGCTTTCGTTGAGCATCACCAGCTCGTTGTTTGAGTTTATAAGCCCCAACAGTGTGCCGTTACAGTTCCACTGCATTTGAAGGATCGCGTATGGCGATTTGTAAGTTTGAGCTTCGATCTGGTCGTACGCGTTGATCATCATGACGCGGTTCGCAGATGTCAGCAAGGCAAGCGTCCACTCTTCGTTTCGTAGAGAAGAAAACGCCATGTTCTGGACTCTATCGTCGGTGAACTTTTTCTCGGTGATGTTGGCGCCTTGGTTCGACAGCACTTGAATGTTTCCAGAGGCGAAGCCTAACACCAGTTGCTTCGAGTCCGGCGCCCAGACGCCGCAGGTAACTGTCGTGGAGACACCGGTCGGAAAGGAGTTGCTCCAGATTCGTTGCCCTGACGCCGATCCGATAAGCACAAAGTTGTCTTCATAGCAAATAAGAGCTGAAGATCCGCATGGACTCCAGCTAAGATCGTTGACTTTTACGCCGCGGTCGTTGACTAGCTCAACACTCCATCGATCTTCGTTTCGCACCCATACGTAGATGATACCTGACGCATCGCAGGAAGCCAGTTTACACTGTGTCTTGTTCCATGTGACCATACGGATTCCTGTGTGATGACCGCGCAGGTTGAAATTGTATCTTGCGTTGTCATCCGGTGTCGGCAAAAAGTCTGTGAGAGTGATGCCGACGGACCCAGAGTCGCTACCGACACCAAGCAATCCATGACCTGGCTTTTCGGGTTGTGGAATCCATGAAAGGTGTGTAATAGATGGCTCGATTTGCGCACCAGGCCAGTCTTCGCTCTCCCATAGAATCTTCATTGGACTGGCATTGAGGAAAGGATTAAGTTCGTTCGAAATAAAAGGTCAAGAGATCAGATTACTATCAGAAATAAAAAAAATAAATCGTGACGGCGGAAGTAGCAGACAACCAGAAATTCTCTCCCCCTGCGTCTTCACTGTTATTAAATCGTTCCCAGCGCGTCGCGGCGAGACCCTTTTTGCTTGGCAGTGTTCCAACTTTGTGTCTTGCAATCATTTTTGCAAGCTCTCCTTATTTGGAATGAATTAATTTATTGTTCGCAAATCCACAAAATTTGAAATAACCGTCAGAGAGTGAAAAGGAAAGATAACCGTGTTCAAAGTGATTTCGGCGAAATATGAATGATCCCTGGCTTTTCAAAATCATCGTTCTCTTTTTCACTATCAGATGGTCATTTCTATATTGGTTGAAATACTTTTGGACGCGGTATAAATTTCGAAGAGCCAGAATTAATTTTTAATTCCGCTGAATTCCTTTTTACAGTTTTTGCGCTCGTCTTTCATTTATTTTCATAAATTCGGTCCCCATTTAACTCTTTTCTTCAGGTGTTTCCATCAAATATGGCGCTAAATGACAACCCTTTTGCAGATCCATTTTCGGTGATAAATTTTTTTTGAAATTAATATACGGGATATGTTTTAGGATCCACCTCGAGCCCCTGTTGAAACTGTTCATTCTAATTCTAACCATTCTACTGGGAGGACCCAACCTGCAACAAATAATGCAGAAGATTTCAATCCCTTCGCAAACAGAGCTCCTCCAGCTTTGAATAATCAGGTGAGGAGTTTTTTTTTTTGAAGGTTTAGTAAGCGAAAATGGAACAGCGCTGTCATGGGAAATTTCATTATCAGAAAAAAAAAACTTTGATTTACAATAAAAAATTATCAATTAATATTGAGGTAAGAGTTATGCAATATTTTGTTTCATAGCCCATAATTTGGTAAATGATACATTCTCAAGCCATAAATTTCCTAACAAATCCTTTTCCCGCATGCACGTATTGATTAATCGAAATAGCGTTGCTCCATTTTTCTAGTTGTTTTTTTCCCCTTGGATTAGGTTTCACTGAAAGGAAACCTCTTCTGATCAATTTCACTGCATGTTTGAAATATTATTTAGGTCTCTGGTGGCAACGTCCTGGGCGGCTCGAGACAAGGAATGGATGATGAGCTTTTCCGCAAGCAAGAAGAGCTTGAGCGTAAGGCTCAGGAGCTCAGAAGACGCGAAGAAGAGTTGGAACGGCGTCAGAGGCAATCCAACAATAGTAAGTTTTTTTATAATAATTAAAGTAATTATTATTTATGTATCTTACTGATCACCTTCTATTTCTTGCCCAAATTTTTGTGTTTGAATTGCAAACGTAAAACGTTTTTTTAGAACTAAGCAAAATGCGAAAAAAAATAGAATATGAAATTTAAATACAGTTTCAAATTGTTTATCTAGTGAAGAAAGTTTTCAAATTCAGCTGTTTTGTATTTCCAAATTCATTTTTTTTAAATTCAAGTCTTGCGTATGAGAAATAAAACAGCCATTTTGATTTGATTGATAAATCAGAACCCTATGAAGAAGTCTGGTTTTGAAATCTATTGAGAAAGATATAAGAAAATCTAGAAAAAAAAGAGATTAAAATAGTTGCAGTCGATCCCAACGCGACAAATCAGCAAAGGCCTCACAACTGGCCTCCACTTCCGACAATTATTCCAGTAGAGCCCTGTTTTTATCAGGTTCAGTACGAAATTTTATGAAAAAAAAAATTTTTTTTAAGGATATCGAAGTCGAGATCCCAGTACAGTTCCAGAAAACTGTCACTTTTGTATATTATGTGTTTCTCGTGTACGTTTTGGCTTTATTGGTGAATGTTGTCGCTTCCCTTTTCTACATGATTTTCGCTTCAGGTTGGTCGCCGATTTTTTTTAGAACTTCATTATTTCATGAAAAAAGCTATTGTTGATCTCTCATATTTTTTTTTCCATCAGCTGATCAACTACTAAGGTTTTCCTCAAAAAAAAAGTAGTAACCTGTGCATACGAGAAACGGAACATGTTTCAAAACCGAAAAAGCGTGTTTATCCGCGCACTTAAGTTGTTTCAAAACGGTACTAATTTTTATTTTAAAGAAATTTTCTTGTTTTTTGAAACAATTTTCTTTTTGTCAAATGAACACGCCATGAAGGTTGATTTTTTACGATGCTTTTATGTCTTTTTTGATAGTAAAAAAATTTTTTTTTTTACTTAGTAACGAATTTACTTTTTTTGAGCTTCATAATAGCTTTTTTTGGTTCAATAATGATGCTAATTCTAATTTTATATAAATGTCCCGTCCTGATTTTTCATCGATTTTTTAAATGATATTCAGGACCTATTGGCCAACTTTTCCTGGCGGTTATTCAGCTTGGCCTTTTCTCGCCTTGCTCTTTTCTTTTCTGGTTCAGGCCTGTGTACAAAGCCTTCCGAAATGATTCTTCCTTCAACTTCATGGTTTTAATATAGAATTTTTTTTTTTGAATTCTATATTTTCACAGGTTTTCTTCTTTGTGTTGTTCTTCCATTGTATTTTCACATTCGTTCAAACACTGGGCCTCTCGTCATACGCCTGTGGTTGGATAAATGCTTTGGATACTTTCGGAGGTTATAACTGATAATTGAGGATGAAGGTTTTTTTAATTCCAGTATCGGTCCCGATCGCCCTCATTATGTTGATTTCGGCTCTTTGCTTCACAGCCGCTCTCATAGGAATGGTCGTGGCCCTAATTAAAGTTCACCGACTTTATAGGTGAGTCGACTATTTGAAATTGAAAAATTCATATTTTTTTCTCCTCCAGGTAATTCAATTAGCTTTTTTTAATATTTATGGTCAATAGAATTCTTTTTTTAACATTTAAATTTTTTTATTTCCGAGTGAAAGAGAACTTCGCAACGGTAATTTTTGAACAATTTTTTTATTCAATTTTTCTTTTTGTTAAACAGACTCTCGTTCGCTTTTTCTGATTGCTGAATAATAGTTCTGTAAAGTACTGGTGTAGTTTTTATCATTCGGAAATGTCGAAATCATTGAAATATTGACGACTTTCTTTTTTTTCGTTACTTTTTGAGGAGTAGCCTTTTCGCTTAGAATGAGAGAGAAATTCGAAGTCGCGTAGAGTTCATAAGCGGTTCATTTACGAGGTTATATATGTTCTGACCTCGCTTTTCGCGCCGGCCTAGCCATTTTTTTAGTGTAATAAGTTGCCTTAGCATTTTTAGATCTTATCTTTTCTAGGGGCGCTGGTTTCTCGATCGACAAAGCAAGACAAGAGTTCACACATGGTGTGATGGCCGACGCAAGTGTGCAACGGGCGGCTTCCGCGGCGACTTCGGCCGCGGCTGGTGCTGCTTTCCAACAAGCTTCTCAAGGCAGATTCTAGTCAATTTCTTTTTTCGATTTTCCGCTCGACTTGTATGTATCGACATGCCATTTTTCCATCTTATTTCACAGTTTTTTTCGCATTTTGATTGACTTTTTGAATATTTAGAACTCACTGGTGTTTTTTTAATCCCAAGTTGAAACACATTTTCCCGATGATATTTATTTATTTATGTATTCGTATCCCAACCCCTTCAAAGAGAAACTTTTGTCGTCATCAGCCTCTAAATTGTGTTTTTGATGCGCTAAATAAAATGTTACTATTGTAGTCTTTGAACTTGAATTCCAGAGGATGGTTTGGAGACGAACAGAGGAGAGAGGTAATCGAAATCAATGAATGTTGATGATTTGAACAGGGCGACAATACAGCCGCCCCAGCCGGCACCGGTCAAACGAGCGCCAACAGCTCCGCCATCAACATACTTCTTGGTGAGGTCGTCCAGCTCCGAACAGCTGCATTCGTAGTCCTGAAGTTCTTTTGACCCTCGAATTGATTACTCGAATAGGTACCTTCGAACAACTGATATGACTTTCAGACATTAGCTTGCCCATCGCATCGATGTCGTTGGATCTGCAAGCCTCGGCAAACTGCTCAACTCGGCGAGCTTCACTGAAAACGTGTCGACCGCGGGACCTGATGGAGAACGTTCTCACTGAAACATTTCACTTTTCAATTTGCATTGAACGAAAAAAAAAAACTATTTTGAGTGTTTGCGCTCAAACACTTCTGTAAGTTCTCTTCTCCAATGGCTTCCACGACGTCCTCGCGACTGACGGTTTCGGGAAACGTCTCCACCGTTTTCAGAGCTTCTTCGAAAGATATATCGCAAGCTTTTTGGACGTCTTTCAATCTCAACGACGAGCAATCACAGTCGAAATACTTCAAGAGCAACTGAACCGAAAAAGTTTCTAACGAGGAGAAAACAAAAATTTACCTTTGCAACGATTCTCCCCTCTACCACACGTTCATTGAACTGTGAGGTGGCAGCTTTGTTTAGAGTCGCGCCGGAATGCGCAACAACGAACACGGCGCTTTCAGGTAAACTGATTCGCTCACAGGAGAGAGGATTGAAGTTAATTTTCAGGGCGCTACCTTCTTTTGCCAAAACCTAAATCAATCCTTTCGTACAATAAATGTTTCCCGTATTGAAAGGTGAGATTAGAGTATAAATTTTGTATATAGATTGGGTTAAAATTAGTGAGACATCTAAAAATCGATGTAGGTTCGGCATCTATGAATAGATTATTCAAGTAACTCCGAATAATTTTCTTTCAGTTAATTGATATTGAACCCAGCAACGGGTAGGTCAGAAAAAAAGAGTCATAAATTTAGTTTGCATCAGCAGATTTCTTCATAAGCTCAAGAAACTTGGAAAAAAAAAACTTTGGATACCTTTTTTGGTGTGAATTCCATCGATAAGGTGTGAATTCATGCGGTTTCAGTAAAGTTTCTCTCTATATGGACCGACCTTGTTAAATAAATCAATTTTGCAAATGCGAACTTCTTGTGCATTTCTTTGGACAGTATTATGTCAGAAATTTTCAAATACGGCTTGTTAAGAAAAGTTTTTGGCGTTTTCTCGAAGTTTTTCGCTAGCTAGAACATTCTTGAGCCACTTCCAAACATTTGGAAATTGAAATATTTGCCCGAAAACCTCTGCTGCTTGATCCATTCCACCGCCCTGAGTGCCGACGTATTGCTCGCTTTTTGCGCAAATCTCTGCCAACTGTTCTCTAGAAAATTGTAGAACTCCAAAACAGTTTTTTTTTTCGAACAACCTTGACCACACATCGAAAATGTCTTTTTGTGGTTCGTGGATGGCGAGTGTGACCAAGGCAGAAGCACAAACAATGGACGAGCTGGACGAGAGGCCAGACGATTCAGGAATGTCGCCTAAAGCTAAGTAGCTTAGAGATTTATGCGAGGCCTACCGGCAAACAACAAGAAGATGCCGACGCTTTCGTAGTTCATTTTTTCGATGACCCCTTTCCAGCCACAGAGAACGTAGTCGTGCCATTGTGGCGGCGAGGCGCCGTTCCATGCGCTCGGAAGTTCAATTGTCGCACTTCTGAGCATTCCAAGTCGAAAAATCGAAGCATTTTACGAACTTGTATTTCTCATCAACGTTCGCGATTTTCAAGCAGTTCTCAGAATTTCTCGCGGCAAGAACCGTAGTAGAAACCGTGGTGGCCATAGGCAAAACACTGTATCCATGGTAGTCGATGTGTTCACCTAGAAAGGTAACAGTTTTTCGGGAAAAAAATTCTCTTGAAATTCAAGAGAAACTATTATTTGAAAAGTGAAATTTTCTAAGGAAATTTTTGATTAAGAATGAAAGAACATTTGATCGAATCTAAAATTTTCATTCGAAGCCTGGCCCAAGCTCGCGTATAGGCTTCTTCGCAAAAAATGATACTCAAAACCCGGGTCGGCCCCGCTCAGCCTGACGCACAATCTCCCATAAAATCGTGCGAAACGCGTTTTATAGTCAGTGTGCCACGACTTGGAATTTCCCCGAACGACATTCCGCTGTTCCGCTGTGTGCGGCCGCGAAGCGTTTTTGCCTTTGCGAGCTTCGGTAGCGCTATTTTCCGGTTATCATTGCTGGTAGATAGACTTTTTCACACGTAAAAATCAAGTACTGAAATAAAAGAAAAAAATTAGAAGTGCAACCGTGTTTTTTTAAGGCGAAGACGCTTCGCGACCGCACGCAGAGGAACAGCGGAATGTCGTTCAGTGAAATTCCAAGTTGTGGCACACGGACTATACGAGAGCTTGCGTAAAAATGAAAACGGCTTTTTCTTTATTTTCCTGATATAAGAAAATGCCTTGAACTTGCTTCGAATGATTTAAACTTGATATTTATTAATGTAGTTTGCTTTGTGTGAAGCTCCGAGAATGGGATAAAGAATTTATATGTAAAAATATTCTTCTCAAGAAACTTTCCTATTTCAAGAATGTAGGTAAATTTATTTCCTATTACATGTATGCAACCTCAGTTTTCCCAAAGCATCAATGAAAATCCGAAAAAAAAAGCTAATTAAAATCATTTTTGCTCAGCTCAGACGCGTAGGCTCATTCCATAGATTTATTCGAAAATATTAACTAAATCTTACCTATCAAGTTGACTCGCCCAGGACATCTTACTTTCAATTGAGGCTTCACACCATACAGCCGCTCGAAATTCTCGATGAGATTCTCCATGATTCTCAATTTTTAGCAATAATTTGGAAGTTTCGTGAAAAAAAAAGAATGCTTTATTCATCGCTGCTTGGGAAGAAAATAATCTGAAAATTTTTTAAACTATCAATGTCACATCCCTCACATACGGATTGGGCAAGGGTATCGCGATAGTATAATCTTTTCAGATTAATGCCAAGTCCTCGATGAAGCTCCGCCCCCTAATGGCGCGATAAACCAATCAGAGAGCGAGCCATCCACAGAGCTTTTTCGAATGACGTCATTCTACTTGACAGTCAAAATCTGAACAGACTATACCACTATTCTATGGAAGGATTCCTAGCCTAATGATCGCAACCCTTGCAAAAATTCATAAAAATGCGACAGAATTGCTAAATAATCCTCTAGACTCTCGGTACATCCCCGATAGTGCTGAAGTATACACAAGAGGTCTGACGATGAACATATTATAACACCATCCGGATCCATTTCGAGGTATATGACCGATATACATTTATTACCTGACCCCGATTCGTCTATGCATGAACGATGAACTACTGAAGCGAGCGAAAAAAATAAATTATATAATTATAAACATCATTAAAATTATTCTATGAGGAAACACCCATAACATCAATGTTTACTTGAGGGAATCTTATCAAATGGAAGAATGATAAGAAAACATCGAGATACAGAATGGGGCGTTCAGATATTTTTACCCCATCAAACTCAGCCTTTGAAAAAAAGGGGTAAGTGCTTTTTAATGTTTTTAATTATTTTTTTCGAGAAACGCTAGATTGGAGACAGGATTTCTCCTACCCCCCTAGAGATATTCAACCAAATATATAAAAATTCTTTTTCGTCATCTAATTAATATAACTGCAAGTACAGAATAAGAGAAACATTCTTTTTTTTTTGAAGCGGTAGCTGGTTTCGAGACTTCGATGAGTTGTGAAAGATATGATATCTTTCGGGCAGCTTTATGTAACTTTTCATTATTTACTAAAACAAAAACTCGAAGAGAATGGATCGTCGACTCGAGTATATGAAAAAAAGAGCTGCGAAAAGTGAGCCGCCACATGGTGCGCTTCTACAAAATTTTATCTTCTCTATATAGCCATTTCGCCAAAACTTTCTCTGCTAAAATGCAAAAACGACAGTGAAAAAGAATGGTCTCGAAGCGAATGGGGTCAAATTCGTTCATATTTGGCATACGTTCTTTTTGGCATGGATGAGAAACGAGAAAAGCAAAAGCTGGCGCGGAATAGGCTATAGCCTACCATACTCGGAACGGTTTCTGTTGAGTTTATTCAGAAAAACACCAGAAAGCGAATCAAAAGACCAAAAAAAAAATCAATAAAATTGCGTAGTTTATTTCACGCTTGTCCAATATAATAAACACATTCGGTTGAACAAAAGTTTATCGACCAAATAAAAACGACGTTTGGGGCAATCGATGAGAGAAGGGAAGCTGGGAGGCCACGAATGAGAGATATGGAAGAAGAAATAGATAAAATTTGTTAATGGTGGTGTTGATCCAGAAAAAGTCTACCAGTCCCAGATCGGCTTGGGCGCCTCTATCTGAAAAAATCAAGATTGAAAGATTTTGATCATGCGTTGCGGTACATGGCTTCTCTTTCCGAACTGCAAAGGTCGGTAGTCTCGCTTGCCAAACTGGAGAGGCCGGTAGCCATCACGTTTGCCAAACTTAAATTACGTTTTCTTCGATATTTCTGATTGGCATATATTTTTCTTTCGTTAGGATACACTATTCAGCAGCAGAAAAACGATTTATTCACTACATTCAACAAAAATCTCATTCGAGTTTACGACAGCCATCCCTACTTTAACGATTCGAAACGTTGGATATTTCAATTAGGCGACACCGCCTGAGCTCTCGTCCACATACTAGAACTAGCAAGAGAACTTTTCCCACTTCACAAAGAAGGTCATTTTACTTTGTGAATGGAAGCTTTCTAAAAATTTGAATACTCCTCGATAAACCGAATAAAGACTCTGAAAGAAGCTTCCTTCTTTTTATTTTTTTACTACCTACAGAATATTTTTAAAAGAGAAAAAAAGTGAGTTTTACCGTTCCTATGATAGTCTTTTTCCATACATTAATTAAAAAAATCTTTTTTGAAAAAAGAAATGAGAGAAAAAAATTTTTTTCAGAGTATTTTTTTCAGAGTATTCCGTGCATTTTCTTCACTCGAAGTGGTAGCTCTCTCAATCGGCCGAGGCTACCCTAGAGTATACACGGAGTCCGTGCCCGAGCCCCATCATCGCCGCCGTGCCCGTACCCGCGAAACTGAGGGATCAAATTGTGGAAGAACGAGGCGAAGGACCGTAAGACCATGCTTTCAATTCAATCGACTACACGTTTTGACTTCTTTTTCGCCAAAGGCGGTGTTAGTGCCGCTCAAAAGAGCAATTTTTTCACCGCCTAGTCGATTCCATCTGACTAAAACAACCAATAAATATTGATTGATGATTGAGAGTGAATAGTATATTTCAATCCCAATAGATTTCTGTTTTTAAATTGAAATTTTTCAAGTTTTCTCAAATAAAAAGGCTCAGCGCTTTGAAAAAAGTGTCCGTTTCTACACCTTTTCAAAATATATGAGCCAGTTGTTGCAAAAAGAAATTGAATTTCCCACATGCAGCTGTAGAAAAACGTAAATTTTGCTGGCTTGATGGACAGCGAACGTCCAAACGAACTTAAAAGGCCTTAAAAAGAAGAGGCTTTTAAGTTCCAAAAAAGGTGTTAAAAGTTTCTCGGAATCTTTTTTCCGCCTTATTTTTCTAGTCCTCTTTGAAAGGTCTTTTTCAGAGAAAGGTCTAGAAAAAAAAGGCGGATTTGAGGCCTTTTTTTCCAAAAGTCCTTTTTGAGACCTTTTGGACTTTGCCCGCGTGAAAACTCTCTAAAAATCGAATAATTTAGAAAGCTGAACAATCAAGGTAATAAAAAAAATTTTCATATTTTTATGCATTTGAAGCATAATATCACAGTATATCAAAAACCTGCAGTGGTCTGTAATCGCGGTCTTGCCTGTCGAATGTCTGTGACTGAGAGGCAAATACTGAAAAATGTTGAAAAAAATCCTTTCATCCGTTCTTGTTTACATCATATATATTTTTTCAAATTAAAAACTGCAAAGTGAAATTATAATAACCCCTACATTCTTCGACTCGAATTTCGAATATAAGTACCTGAAACGATGAGCAGCAGGATGAGCGCGCAGCTGATCATGGCGACCGGTGAAAAATGCGTCTTTTCAAAGACTCCGGCCTTTTATAGGGCCGATGCTCGTCATCCCATCCTGATGAGTACCACACGCATCTCGTCACTTCTATCCGCTCCATTTTATTATCACCTACTCTTTCCCCTATTTTTGGAAAATTTCGTTGCTCGATTTTCAATTCGAAAACGTTTATGTAAAAACCAAGAGTGATATGATCAATGCGGAAACACGCTTATGGAGAGAGCAAAATTGAAGAGAAAGTACTAGGTACAGTAAAAATTGAGATGACGGAGAGGAAGTTAATTCTAAAAAACGGTTCATTCGTACAAAGTTAATAAGAATCTTGAACACGGGGACATTTCATCAAGAGATTATATATTGAACATAAATAAATGGGTTAAGTGATAGAAGAAAAAGTTAACTAGCCGTCTTGTTTCAGAGGGAGTTGTCAACGTCAGTGGGTGAACGAATAATGTTCGTATTGTCCACAAGGAAGAATGAAAAGACAGCCGACGCCAAAAGCGCAATCGTGATGACAACCTGAAAAATTTTATTTCAGAATGTAAAATTCTGTTGGCTAAGGCATAATAGAACAAAGTTCAGGGAACTATATTTCGAAAAACTACCCAGTTGAGAGATGATGACTTGGTAACTTTCACTGATTTTCTGAGCGATCTTTCACTCGCAAGCTCTTCATCACTCAAAACTCTCATCGACTCCTCGCCTTCGTAGTCATCGACATCTTCTTGCTGGATCGCACCCTGAACAAAAGCAATCAGATAAAACGCTAGAACAGAACGAACATTGGGAGAAGTGTTTACGTCGGTGAAACCAAGTGAAGGTGAATGATTATTGAGTGGTGGGATTGGAGAAAGGCTTCGTCTTGGAGGAGTGGTCTTTCCCTTTAAAAAAAAAACTGTGAAAGCAAATTGTAGCTCTCATTTATAGGGAAAAAACTTATTTCAAAAAAACGAACGCTCATAAAAGACTTACACTGTCAATCGCGTAGTTTTGCTCAGATGTATCTTCGGAGAGATTCATCTCAATCGGTTCTGAAATACTGTTAGGAGATGCAATTTCCAAACAAAAACCATTCTCTTGGAGAATTTTTTGCAGCTTTTTCTCGTAAAGAGAGCGAGTGGTTGCGTTGACAGGACCGACTTTAGAGCCGTACGCGAGAAGCTTCTAAAATTTTTTAAATGATTGTGATTTCCTTTGAATAAGCTTTTTCCCGAAGTTGAGTTATATAATAAAACGAGAACTGAAATTTTAATTTAGAACATCCAACTCAATTTTTCTCAAGAAAAAAGTTTTTCAATAAAAATTTCAGCAATTGTCTGCCAAATAGTTGTTGAAAGTGATAAAATCCCACCTCGCGAAGTTCTAAATCAGTGAGAGAACTGACGGAGTCCATGGCTGAGCGACAAGTACTAAAAATGCAGCTTGAAAAGTTTGCATAGGCAAAACGTTGCAATAAAAAAAACTTTCCTGGTCAAACATGATATGGAAAAAGCGAGTTTGATGAGTCTTATAAACGATGGAACTAATCGAAAATTTTGGTACTGAACTTTGGGCATATATTATATTATAATATTATTCATCTGCCTAAAAAAAATTTTTTTTTTCTAATTCAGGTGCAGAAAAAATTGCATCCTATTTTTATTCCTATGAATGACTGCCTTAACTAGAAAACGAGATTGTCTTTCGAATATTTCGTCCTGATATATAACATGATTTTGGAAAAAAAAAAGTGAAAAATAATAGGTACAGCTCATGAAGTAGACATGAAAAAAAAAAACCAAAAACCTGCACAAAATAACTATTTATCAAATAAAAAAAAGACTACAGAGGATAAGTAAATTTGTTGTTGCTGCTAGGTTTTTTCAAATATCCTAGAAAAGGTTGCTCGCGAAGAATACGTCGCATCAGCATGAGTCGTCCACCTCTTGTTTTTGTTCGCTCATCCACGGTGTCAACGTTCAACTTTTCTTGCATTTTGAACGGGAAGAAACATGGTCGAAAACTGTTTCGATGCCATGGGCAATTCCAGCGTACTGACCGCAAATTCAGAGACTGTGTTTTCAACAATTGCAGCATTTCCTAAACTAATGATTTGGAGCCATAAGAAAACACAGGAGAAACGGAATCATCTCGAACCTTGGTAACGAAAACCGGACGCATACAAACGACTATACTCTGTGCAGATTTTAAATGTCAATTCATCGCTCTAGCTCTAACCCTAATGGTGCGATAAACCAATCAGAGAGCGAGCCATCCACAGAGCGTTTTCGAATGACGTCATTCTACTTGACAGTCAAAATCTGAACAGACTATACCGATTAGCACATGCCAATTAACTTTCTTGAAATTTGCTACACGATAGCTATTTGTATCGACCTCCCTTTGCAAAAAGAGCTTTAATCTCTTCTTTTTGAAGTAATTTAGAGGTCGTTTGGAATTCACTCATGTGTGATTTTTCAGGACGGTTTTTAACGATTCGCATATATATAAAATTGAAAGATATGAAGTGCGTTTAAATCCGGATGTAATTTTTTTGGCGTGTTCAACGGAAAAAAAAATAATTTTTTTCAAAACAAAACAAAACAAGAGTAATGGCGTTTTTCATCGAAAGAAAAAAATGAATGGTGTTTTCAAAATGACTCGGCAATATGCAAAATAACCTTCAGAGAAAAATTTCTAAATTTTTGGAGATTTAGAGATAATTTTTTTCATTTCGCGGAAAATATTTTTGAACACAGAAATTGCTGCAAAATGCAGCAAAATGGCATCAAAAAAATTGGTATTGCGTCGAAACAAAACTGAGGCGCCGATCCGCACTCTTTTGCATTTTTGAAACATGCTCGTATACTGCGATGAAGGCGCCATTGAAAGGATTTTAAAGGCGCATGGCAAACGTGCCTCTCTGAGTTCCTACACGAATAATTCACTTCTCGAGTACGGTGAAGCCGTCCCAAAATTAACTATTTTCTTTTTTTTTTTTGATATTTTGAATGTTTTTTATTATTAATCGATCTGTTTTGATAGCTCATGTATTTAGAAATATGGAAAACAGTAAAATTGATGTAAAAACGGGATAATAGTGTCGAAAAATTCATTTTTTTTTTACTTTGTATTTTTTTTTTCATTTTCAAATAGTTTTTTGGAAAGCGCCTTTTTATTTCCAATTATTGTTTTTTTGAATTTGTGGCAGTTCCAGCGTAGGCCTGTTCAAGGCGGCCGATCACATTAATTGAAAATATCGTTTGTTTATAAAATAGAAATTCCTATATTCAAAACTGAATGGCGTGTTCATCGGAGAAAACGAAAATTGCTTTGAAACGCGAAAAATTGCTCCATAACAAAAATTAGTACTATTTTGTGGCAACTTTGGCGCGTCGATGAACACGATTTTTCGTTTTGAAGCTACGTTCAAATTTCACCGATCATGTAAACTTTTCGTTTAAGGTATGACTCGCCGAAGGCCTTCCAATAAGAAGCCGACTGGTTTGAATAAATCTCTTGGGAATTCGCTGAGCAATGAAAGAGATCGTGTCAGAAAGAGCCACCAGCGAGCAAAATATGATGGAAACGAAGAAGGGATTGAAAATCCTGCATTTACTGAAAAGGTTTGTTCGTTATTTTCATATCTGTTCCATTTTTTCAATTAATAACCTCGTTCAAAGCTATAAATTGTGAAAATTATCTTTGACTCTCCAAAATTTCTGTTTTTTCCACTCTTTGATTTTAATTTCGAGTTATCTCTTAAATATATTTGAACGCGGTATAATGGGGCGTTCAAAGTTGTTTCGCGAAATTTAGAATGATTTTTGGCTGCGTTGTTAAATCATCTTTTTTCTGTATCTAGCGGTCAGTTATATTTCGCCGTAGTTTCTTTTGGATCAGTTATAATTCTCTTTGCATTTTTTTTTTCTGAAATCTGGAAAGATCACTGATTATGCCAGAATGCTACAAAAAAGCTTTCTTTAAGACAACGCTTTGAACTTTGCGCTCGTTTCCGCCTTTACAAAAGCGGCCCTAAGAAGAAATGCGTTTCTGTGAAAAAAGCATAACGTTGATTTGCAGAAAGAATAAGGTTTCCCCTGCATGATGCTGCCATAAAGCACTGCTCTTTGCACGATTTCATTCGAGTAAACTTGTATTAAAAATTATATTTCACGCACGTGAAGCTGCTCTCAATTAAATAATGAATCTTTTTTGAAAAGATGCCATTTTCAGAGCACTAAAAAAAATTGAGTCTTCTAACAACATAGCGACTTCGCGAAACATCAAATTGCGAGGGCATGTTCAACAAACGAAATGAAACTTGCACCGAAACGAAATGAGTTTGCTCCAAAACAAGAATTAGTATTGTTTCCAAGCAAATAAGAGGCGTCGATGAACTCTCTTTCGTTTTGGAACATGTTCCGTTTATTCGATGAACACGTCACGAATTAGACATTTTTTGTGCGAAATTTTGAATGTGCTTTTAAAGGTCACATATCGTTGTAGGATCGGATGTTTTCAACGGCTCTTGGAATTTCTATTCTGCAAGATGAACTAAAACGCGTCAATTCAGAATTTTCCGAACTTACTTTGAACACGAAATCAGCTGTAGTAATCCGAGCCTTCAAACCAGAAAAATGTTTTGCTTATATTATTCTTGAACGCGGAATGTAATGCCGTGTTCAAAGTAATTTCCGCGAAATGCAAAATGGTCTCTGACCCTCCAAAATTTAGTTATCTTTCTCTTTCTCTGACGGCTATTTTGAATTTCGCGGAATCACTTTGAACACGGCATAATTTTAGAACGAAGACTCGCATGCATGTGAGTAGCACCCGTTTATCGCTAGTGAACTTTTCCGTCGGGAAGTTCACTAGCGATACGAAAAAATCAGAAAAGTCGTTCGAATTTTCGCTGGTCTTTTTTTCTTTTCTTTTTTCATAACCCAGGCGATCACCCGAAACTTTAAAAAAACACCGGGTGATTGGCACCCGTTTCGCAAAATTATGACGTATCAGCCCAACGAGTGCTGCTGGCCTGCATTAGAGCAGTCTCTTTCAACAGGGCATGATATCCGCTTTCCGTTTATGCTCTGTGGAAAACTGAAGAAAAAATCATGAATTGAATGCAGTCAAGTATACTTTTTTTGAGGAAGTTCAACACAACATCAATTCTATCACTGACGAAACTAGTCTCGAAGAGTTCCTAGCTAAAGCAGAGCTTGCCGGTACTGATTTCACGGCCGAAAAGCAACAATTTCACATAGTTGAAAGGTATTTCCCAATCACTTGAGTTCTGATAAGAATAAAAAAATTCGATTTGAGCTTTTTATTGCTTGTCGGACAGTTTGATCAAAAAATAAAAACTGGGCGCTTTTGGTTTTTTTACATGCTCGCTAGCCTGCCATTTTTCTTCTGAGAAGCGTGAATTGACTTACAGGAAACTTTTTACAGTACCTGCGAACGCAAATCATCGAACTTGTAGTTAAAAATTATAACTTTTGTTGAATAACCTGATATACGCCTCAAATCGGAACTTTTTTTCTATGTAAAAAGCACTTATGTAAACAAAAAAACACATCGATAATAAAAAGAAACGAAAATTATTGATTTGCCCATTAAAGTTTTTATAAAATCATTATTTTCACCAGAGAAGAGTTTTTGATATCAAAAAAATTAAAAAGTTGTACATTAATTATTTGAAGAAATGCAGCCATGGTTGTCCCCACGAAACTCGACTTGCGTAATAACATCGAACTGCAACGGCGAAATGAGTATCGCCTTCGAATTCCAAGGAGACCGAAAGATTGGGAGACCGTTGAAGAACTCACGAAAATGGAAAATGAAACATTTTTGCGATGGCGATCAGATCTGAACGAACTACAAGAGGCACGATTTTTTTAATGGCATATTATTTTAACTTTTTTAGTTAGATGGTCTCGTCTTGACTCCTTTTGAACGGAATCCAGATATGTGGAGAGAGCTTTGGCGCGTGATCGAGAAAAGTGATATTATCGTTCAGGTTTCTTTTTCTAATAATTTTTCTCATTACTCTGTTTCAAGTTTATATCTCTGAAGCTTTTTTCTCGTGTTTTTTTTTTCTTCATAAAAGTTGGCATAGTTCCAACGTTTTCGGCTTAACTATTACATAAATTGTTTTTTTTTTGTTGCTGTCGCCGAAAACAGGTTAATGCCATTCTCAAAGTGATCTCTGCGAAAGGAAAAACTCTGATTATCATAAATTTAGTAATTTTATTAAATCTGACGGCTATTTTGAACTTTACGGACATCCTTTAGACGGTATTAGATTGATGCCGCGTTCAAATCTAATTCGAGAAAGTTTTTCTGGTTCAAAACCACGAGCCGAAACGCAGCAGACTCCCACTGCGTGATTGGTTGGCCCCGCCCCGCTGACAAGAGAAATTTTTTGAAAATAAATGTATATTGGGCATTTGCCAAAAAGGCGGAGCCAACCAATCACGCCGTGGGAACCTGCTTCTTTTCGCCGCATTTCGGCTCGTGGTTTCGAACCAGAAAAACTGTTTCGCTGCGCGCGTCAAATTAGCTTGGAACGCGGCATGAGAGAGATTCGGAAAAGGAAAAAATGCACATTCACTGTTAGTTTGTGCGGGAAAATTTATTCCGTGTACCAGATAATTCCGAGATTGTCACTATAGCCGTTCAAGAGCTGAAAAACAACTAGTTTTTGGAGATACGCAATATCGCTATTTCGCGGAATTTCTTTTCACAAAGTAACTTAGCAAAACCATTAAATTTCCACAGAGTTGCCAAACCATAAATTAATAAAACGTCTATTTTAAAACTGCCGATGTTACATTGATCGCGGTATCGAATTTTCTTTAGGCATATTTGTCATTCATATGGTATTTGGTTGTTTAGAAAGTTTCTTGCAGATTGTTGATGCTCGAAATCCTTTGCTGTTTCGTAGTAAAGACTTGGATGATTACATAAAAGAAGTTGATCCTGTGAAACAGACGTTGCTGTTAGTCAATAAGGCGGATTTGTTACGACCAGAACAACTGAGCCTGTGGGTCGATTACTTCGACAAAAACCATATCAAAGCACTCTTCTGGTTTGAAAAAAAGGAATTTCATATTGTAGTATGTTTTCAGGTCAGCCTTGGATGAAATGCCAACAATTGATGAAGAAGAGAAGGAAGGAAACATTTCGGCTCCTTCAACATCTGCTAATATACAATTTGCTTCAAGTCGAGAACAACTAATTAACTATCTAAAAGAAATGGGGCGGCCATTGGATGAAGCTTGTTCTAAGCCGATTGTCGTTGGAATGGTTGGATACCCGAACGTTGGAAAAAGTTCTACTATCAACAAGCTCGCCGAGAGCAAAAAAGTCTCTGTTTCTGCGACGCCTGGTAAAACTAGACACTTTCAAACGATCCACATTGATAAACAGGTAAATTTAATCGAAAAAAAATTTCTCAGGAGCGAGATTTTACAGCTTTGTCTGTGCGATTGTCCCGGATTGGTTATGCCTTCATTTTCTTTTGGGCGCAGCGAAATGTTTTTAAACGGTTATCAATAATTGTGTATATTTAATGTATTTGTTTTAAGGTATTTTGCCGATCGACCAGATGAGAGACCACTTCTCGCCTACAGCTCTTCTGCTATCAAGAGTCCCAATTCACGTCATCGAGTCTATGTATTCCGTGATGCTACCATCAACAGATATACCTTCTGCATTCAATCTTCTCACTTCATTGGCGTACATGAGAGGGTTCATGTCGTCTGCTGGAGTCCCCGATTGCTCTCGTGCTGCTCGACTACTGTTAAAGGATGTTGTGAAAGGAAAGCTGTTGTGGGTAGCTTCTCCTCCTGGTTATGATCAAGAAGAGTTCGATACTATCACTTACCCACCTCCGTCAGCTCCAACTGCTGGTAAAGTACAGCTTGAGAAGCTGTCGAAGCTGCAATTGTTGGAAGGAGATGAAATCAAAAGAAGAATTTTGGATGCCCAATTTTTCTCAGAAGATAAAAGCTCTGCTCACGTCAAAAACTCCAAAACCGGAACCAATCTTCTTAACCTTGGCACCGTGATTCCTCGTTCGGATATTTTGCTATCTTCAGGGAAGAAACACTTCAACCGTAATAAAAAAGAGAAACTAAGACGCTTATACAACGAATAAAGTTTATATATGTTATCGTGATATTTTTTTAATAGTTTGGTTCCTGGGCCATTTATATTTCTCTCTGTCCTTTTAAAAGTTCGAACTTCTAACCACGTTTTCAGGTCAAAATGGGTAAAATTATGAAGCCTGGTAAGGTCGTATTGGTCCTCCGCGGAAAATATGCAGGCCGAAAGGCCGTCGTCATAAAGCCGCAAGATGAGGGATCTGCTGATCGCACGTACTCTCATGCTATTATTGCAGGCATCGACAAATACCCGCTTAAAGTATCATTCAAGATATTTATAAGTTCTGATTCTTTTGAGTTCAGGTCACGAAAAGCATGGGAAAGAAGAAGTTGGATAGTAGGAACAAGCTTCGGCCGTTTGTGAAAGTTGTGTCGTACAGTCACTTGTTGCCGACCCGCTATTCAGTCGATGTTGCTTTTGATAAGGCTAACATCAACAAGGTAAAAATTATAAACTCGAAGCAGAATTAAATTCATCTTTAGGAAGCTCTGAAAGTGCCAACCAAGAAACGCAGAGCCCTTCACGAAGTCAAGGCCAAATTCGAAGAACGTTACAAGACCGGAAAGAACAAATGGTTCTTCACCAAGTTGCGATTCTGAGCAACATACTTTAATTGTTTATTTTTGAATGAAGTTGTTGTTATGTACATCTTTTTTTTTCTTCAAGTTGAAAGTCAAAGAAACAATGTAAGATTACATATTGAAATGTGAGAGGAGAGGCATGCAGTCGCTCGCGATGTCTTGGTCTCGAGGCGATAAAATGTACGGTGGGAGGGCGTTGCGTGTTGAGCGCGTTGCGGGCGGGTGCGTCGCGGTCGGTTGGTCAAGCGATCAGCTTTATTGAAAGAGCGTTTCCGATTGTGATGTCTGTGACCTGATGTCACTTGTTAATTTCTGGTAGTCTTTGCGTTTATTCGCTGGCTTCGTCTGCGGCCTTGGTGGCGCTCCTCAGCCGCCATGGCCTGCTGTTTGTCCGAGGAGGCACGCGAGCAGAAGCGCATCAACCAAGAAATCGAGAAGCAACTTCAAAGAGACAAAAGAAATGCTCGAAGAGAGTTGAAATTGCTTCTATTAGGTTAGTTTTTAATTTTAAACATTTTTTAATTTTGATCGTTTTTAAAATTTTGATTTGCGTCAAATACCATTTACTTCATTTATAAGGTAATGCTGTTTTTTCTATCATTTTTTGTTTCATTTTGTTTTTGAAGCAAGTTTCACCTTGAGTATCGTAGCATTCTTAGTGATTTGTTGAAAAAGGACTATTTTACACAGTTCTCACTGTTTTGCCCTAAAATCAAACTTTGGTGTGAAGTGGTTAAACTTTGTTGAATTCTCTTTATTTTATATTAAACTGTAAGAAAATAATCCTATTTTCAATAAAAAGTGAGCGTCGATGTATTTTGAGACTTGGAATTGGTGGTTCGAAGTTTCATTCGCATAGTTTTGATTCTTTTCTTGAACTATCAAGCTCAATTTTGCGCTTTGGAAGTCTATCCGAGATTTATTAAGGTTATCGATCGATTAAACGTGGTTAATTTTTTTTTTCTTAGATTCGGATTTTGTTCGTCCCTCTTGAATTTCTCGTTTCCCTTTCTCATGTGCTGAGTGTGTGAGTGTAAGCGAAAGAGGTGGCTGGAAAAGTAGAGAGGCAAGTGCATTTGCATGTCGTGTCTATTGGTGTGTGTTGCCCTCACCGCCAATGCTTATCGATCGGCGCTCTTACAGCAAAAACGGAGGAGAGGAGACGTGAGTGAAGTGGAGCGAGCTTGTGTTGCGAGCGAACGAAACAACGGCAAAATGTGGGAGAGCCGCAAAGGAGTTAGACGCCGAGACGGCTGAAAAACGCTCACACTGCCGCACACACACCAAAACGCTCACACGCTGACACAGCTTCTTGCGAGAAGAGAGAGCGAGAGAGAGCCATCTCATCCATCCATCTATCCATCCCTGTGTTTCTCTCCATCTTCAAAGAAAACCTCGCCTCTCTCTACCCCCATGTGTGTGTGTGCCTTTCAGTCTAGGCCTCGCAACCTAATCAGCGCGCCCAGCCAAGCCCAAGATGAATTCGCATACAAACGGCTAATGGACATGAGTTCCACAGCTAGAAAAGTGATTTTTTTTGGGGAGACTGGCGGCCGCCTTTCAAATAAGGTGCTGCAAAATGCACACACCTTAGTGGAAGGATGGGAACCGAAAAAATCTGGGGTGCTGTACAGTCGTTGGAATAAAAAAATCTTACGCCTTGTGAATAGGCTATCAGTTGATCAAACATCCGAATGTCTATTTTAAAAATGGAGGAGTTTAGAGCGAATTTTTCTTTCTGGGAAGCGAAAAACTAGTTTTATGTAATCAGTTATTTCATGTATTTACCGGTTGAAAATTTTTAGTTTCTTGACGATTGAGACTTTTTTCAATCACACCCGTGTAGAGGAAAATCTTCTCTCTGGGATCCCTTTTTACTGAAAAAATTTATATGATCAATTTTATATCGTTTCATGGTCGGAATTTTACGTCGGAAATTTTTGTTGTTTTTTTGAAAACCCATGATCGATCGATGAACTCTCTCGAAAGCTTATGATCAAAATTGCTCTTGTACTAATTATACAGAAAAGAAGCTTAAAATCACTTTGATAACTTTGGAAAAAAAGGAAAGTACAAAGGATTCTTCCAGGAACCGGAGAATCGGGAAAGTCAACGTTCATCAAACAGATGCGCATCATCCACGGCAACGGCTACTCGGACGAAGATAAAAGGACCTACATCCGCCTCGTCTATCAGAACGTTTTCATGGCCATTCAGGTGAAATTCAAACAGTTTTTTGTCTAATTAAAACGTTTTTTTTTTTTTGAAAATTAATGTTGAGTTCGCCTATCTCGTTAAATTTGTTCTATAAGTTTACGAAATTCCATTAATCAACGGTGATTCGCGTTATGAGCTTTCATGCAAAGTCGGTTTCTCTTTTTTCAGCCTTTTCAATCGATTACTACATTCTTTCGCATTTGAATTTGAAGGGCTTTTGTTCTATCAAAACTCATAGAGGAAAAACGAGAATTTCTGATGTCCTGCTATTGCCGTGTTCAAAGTGATTCCGCGAAATCCAAAATAGCCGCCAGAAAATCAATAGAGAACTAAACTTCGGAGAGTCCGAGATAGTTTTGCATTTCGCGGAAAATGCTTTGAACAAGGCATATATTTACTGTGAATTCTGGTTGGAAATTCCTTGCTAAGACCTTTTTCATCCAAGAAAAACCACAGCAAGAAGTTTTGAATTGGATGTTTTTTTTAAGTTGAAAAAAAAGCTCAGCGAATATCGCCTGACAAAAGAAAAATTACTGAATTTTGCAGTCAATGATCAGAGCGATGGACACGCTGGGGATAGAGTTCGGCGACCCCTCCGAGGAATTACAAGTCTGTTTTTTTTCCTGTGGAAATTTCTATTTTTTTTTCTCATTAATCCATACAGAGTAGTTCAGAAATCATCTTTCAAAATTTTTTTCGAACTTACTCATTTATGAGTTTAAATTTGAACAATTTGTTTTTTTATTCTGTTTTTTTCATTCGTAGTTTTCCATTTAAATTTTTTTGAAATTATTTTGATAAAATTTCACGTTTTTCCGATCAGAGATTCGAATAATTTTTCTGTTAGAAATTTTTTTAGTGGCCAATGAGTTCCTCATGGAAAATCGATTTAATATAAGATTCTAAAATCAAATTTTGGGTTTCTCACTATTTTTGCACAGTGAAGTTTAGAAAGAGGGCAAAGTTTTCGTTGGAATTGTTTAGCTTTGAAAATTTTGTCGTTGGGATTTTTATTGAAGGCTGGTAATTTGATTTGGATATTTGTATAGTTGGTTTCTAGAATTTAGAATCATTTTTCGGTTGGATCGAATCGATTTTTTCTCGCCAAATTTCAACTTTTCACTTCAAAACGAAACTTGAGAGCAACAAGAGCGAATTAATTCGAGATTTGACGATTAAAATGAAAAAAATAGTCGAAAACAATTGAAAAACAGTTTTTCAAAAAAATAAATCTCAAATGTGAAGTTTCGCCTTTTTGGAAATTTTTTTTCTCGATATCGTCTCAATTTTTGAGACGAGCTTGCTTCTTGCCTTGATCTCGCCTCGAAATTTTTTTTTGGAAAAAGTTCTTGTCTCGGTTTCGAAAATCACTTCTCGTGCGACCCTGTTCTGTAGAAACCAGTATTGTTAAGATTTTTCCGTTCTCTTTTCGATGACTCATGAAAATAATCAGGAAATATCCCGTCTACGTCACAAGATTGAACGGTTGGAAAACTTCAGAGAATTTATAAGAAACAAAGAAAATAAAAAAATGCCTCGAAAAATGTTTCTCGTTGCAGTTGCAAGAAAAGGCGGCGGTGGTCCGCGCGGTGGACTTCGAGTCGGTGACGTCGTTCGAAGAGCCCTACGTCTCGTACATCAAGGACCTTTGGGAGGACTCGGGTATCCAGGAGTGCTACGACCGACGGAGAGAGTACCAACTCACCGATTCTGCCAAATAGTATGTCCCGAATTCGTTTACTTTTGGAATTAAAGATGATAGTACTCGGAATCAGATAAAAAACTTCCGAAAAGGACTTTTGTTTTTCAAGAAAGGTTTACAGTAACCTCATAAGTATTCATGTAGCGCATCAGCTGTGAATGGGATATCAAAATCTTTTTATTTGAATTTTTTTATAGTTTAGGATTTTTTTGGCGGTAAAACCTCTTTATTTGTTCAACCTTCTAAAAAAATGGTGTGATAAACACTTTTTGTAACAGTTAATAAGGAAATTTTTGGAAGTATTTTTGTTATGATTCATGTTAGTACTCAGATTAAATCACTCAATTTCCAGATTAGTGGAAACTGCAACGAATAATGAGACGTTCTGATGTTTCGAAGAGAATTTATATAAAATTATGAAACAGAAAGCGTAGCACCTAAACAATTTCAGAAATATCTTCACGATCAACTTTTTTCGAGTAGCCGCTGTAAGAGTTTACTATTTCTTAGTAAAAAGAATGTAAAAAGTCAAATTGTGCAAATTGAGCCGAAAAAGGTTTTTCCGAAGAAAGTTTTTCAGAGCATATAAATAAAAAAATTTCAAATTGAGATATGACAAACTTGAACGCAAAAATGAAAAAAAGTATTTTTGGCTTACAAGCAATTTTCAATTTCTTCGTTTCTGCTCAGACTTTCCCGTTTCTAGTGAAAAAAGCAGTTATAATTGAAAAATGTTTCAGTTATTTGTCCGACCTCCGGAGGTTAGCCGTCCCTGACTATTTGCCGACCGAGCAAGACATTTTGCGGGTTCGTGTGCCGACAACTGGTATTATCGAGTATCCTTTCGATTTGGAGCAAATCATATTCAGGTGCGCATTTTTATTTTTCGTTAAGTACTCCTACGGTTTGAATATTTTCATCATATTGACGCGTTTTAAGTGATTTCAGCAAAAAATAAATGACTATTAGCGAGCGAAAAGAGGGAACTAAGATTTTGGAACGCAAGATTTTCTTTTTCTATTTCACTTTGAACCCAAATCATTTTGAACGCGTCATAACTTGTTTTTTTGTGAAAGTGAAAGCCACTGAAAAATGAGTTATCATGATTTTTAGTGTAGTTGAAAAATTTGTCAGATTATCGTAAGTTAGTGCTCTTTTTTTGAAGACGTCATATTGCAACTCTGGAAAAACGATCACTCGTACAAAATACACATTTAGTGTGTCCTCACAGCCATGAAATAATTGAAGAGTTTTTTTTTATCGGTTCGCAAAACTTTCGTTGATCAAAATATAGTAGTGGACGACTTTCGAGCGTTCCGACAATCAAACGCAGATTCTTAATTCTAGGAGAGGTTCGACGTCTGAAAAGTTTTTTGACAACTGAAAGTATTCCAGAGGGATATTTAAGACCATAAGAAAAACTAACTAGGGTTTGAAGCAACCGAGAAGTCTGTTGTGAAAAGTAATCAATTGATAGGATGCTATAGAAAATAATAAAATCAACTTTTCAGTAAAGTTAGTTAGTTCCGTAAATTTTTTCACGAATCGAAAAGTTTTCCTATGTTTACCTCAGTTGGTTCTCATCTGCTCTGGCTTTCATATGCGCAGAAAAAGTATTTCCTTTTGCTGTGAAAAACACATGAAATCGTCTTTGAAGTTTGAGAAAATTTTGTAAACGAAGTATCACAAAAAATATGAAGTATGAAGAAAAATGATTTGGAATGAAAATCGAAACTTTCAAATCTTGAAAATGAAAGCTCTTTTTCAGAATGGTGGATGTCGGAGGACAACGATCAGAAAGGCGGAAGGTATGGTTTTTCATTGTCTGAAATTTAATTTCAAAAAAAGGAGGTAGAGAGACATTTTTATGTCTCACTTTCAGTTCTTCAAACTGATTTGGAAGAGTAGCGTTTTTGTTTAGGAAGTCGGTAGTATTTTTTTTTTAACTATATTGGGATTTTCTTGGTGAAAAGTTGACGTAAATATTTCGGCAGTTGATTTAAAGTCACGAAAAAACTTTTTACCGCCCATGCGTCTTATTTAAAATAATGAACCATTAAACAGATATAGATATTTTAAACAGATATTAGTATGAAGATAGGGTAAATGAAAAAAGTCGTCAATAAGCTGCCTCACATTTGGCTGAGACACAAAAAAAATGTAGCAACGTCTGAATTTTCACCAATCTCATGTTATCTTTTTTCCGTTCTTTGACTATCAGCTCAAGCTTATCTTAATGTGCTACCGTATAGAAACATGAGTAAAAAAAAAAAATGAATTGAGGACATTCAAGAAAATTGAAATTGTTTTCCAGTGGATTCACTGCTTCGAAAACGTCACGTCCATCATGTTCCTTGTTGCTTTGAGCGAGTACGACCAGGTCTTGGTTGAATGCGACAACGAGGTAATCATTTTGCGTCTTGTTTTGTTTTTCTTGTAAGGATGATTTCAAAAATTAAACAATCTGAATACTCATTAAATCCTCATTAGCTCGAAGAAAAAAGAGATGAGATTTCTGGAGTCTGCAGAGTATTTTCAAAGTTTTCGGTTCCTCATTGAAAAAGTAACAGACGTTTCTTTAGCATCTTTCTATCAGAGAAGAATTTCATTATTAGAGAAACTTTCAAAATAAACTTTTCGTGTTTTTTCGATTATGGTCGCCAGAAAAAATTTTTTTCATTTGTTTTACCTTATTCCATTCAATTCACTCTTTTGAAAGGTGTTCAAAAAATAAAAAATAAATGAGAAGATGAATGAAGTAACACAACGAAAACGCACTGAAGTATGTTATTAGTACGGAAGCTTTCAATGCAAAAGAGAGATCTTTGAAAAATAATTTGAAGAGGTTCACAATTGCATGAATCGATTTTCGCGTTCATCACATTTTCAGATGCTCTCACTGATGTTAGAGAAAAGTGCAGACAAACACAGAAAGTTTTCGTTTTACTATGACTTTCGAAATTGTTTATATTTTTCTGCATTTGAATGTTTCTTTCCAGAATCGAATGGAAGAATCGAAGGCCCTTTTCCGAACAATTATCACATATCCGTGGTTCACGAACTCTTCTGTGATATTGTTCTTAAACAAGAAAGACTTGCTGGAAGAGAAAATCCTCTATTCGCACCTGGCCGACTATTTCCCCGAGTATGACGGTCAGTTTTATTATTATTATTTATTTTTTTTTCAAAGAAAATTTATTCAATGAAAAAAATTAAATTTCGGGTAAAAGTTAATACGGAAATATTTTCAAAATAAATTTGATGAGTAGATTTCTCCAGTAATAAGTTTGAGATTATGTTGTCTATGAGTAAATTAAAAAGACGGATTTTATTTTTCAACTTTGGAATATACATTGAAAGCAAAAAAATGATTATATATAAGAGCTCTCAAAAAGTGGCCAATGATCGCGTTTAATTGTTGAATAATCTGACCGCTTTGTTCAAAAAAATATGAAATTAGTAGTAGAATTGATTTTAATTTGTTGACACGACAGTTCGATGATTTTTGAAAGCAGTTCAGTGTTTAGCTTTCGATGAAATGAACGTTCGGTGATCTTTTTCGTTAGAAATTCATTCAAACGAAAAAAAGAAATGAAAACTTGAAATGAAGAATGGAAGAAATTAAATAAGATTTTATAATTCTTTTTCCACCTTTTTCCCCGTTACCGTTCATTTAAATGACCGACCAGTCGTCGGGGACCGTTGAATATTTCCCAATGAATGGCCATTTCATTTCAATCGACCAATAGACTTTCGACTAATAGAAGTGAACGTGTTCATTGTCATCACTTTTTGAACTTTTCACAATGACCGGTTGGTTTAAAGGTGCCCGGTTGTTAATTCGATCGTTTTTTGAGTTGGTGACACGTATTTTCGAATTTTCGTTTAGCGATCATTACAATTACCGGCCTCTAAAAGTTCATTCGATTACCGGGCAAATTGGCATTTTGGAGAGCTCTATTATATAAGATTCAAAAATAATAACTGGGAAAGGTTAGATGGGGAACCCACAAAAATAATGTAGGTTCTTTAGAAAAGGTTTTTTCGAAATAAGTTTTGAGCTAATGACATCTTTTCTTTCTTTACGTTTTCGAAGTCGTTTCGTGAATTTAAAATCGTTTTTTGTTCTGTCAGTTATTCTTTTTAACCTGTGCAAATTGATGAGTTTGATGACCGGAAACCCGAGGATTTATATTTCATGTTTTATCAAATTGCGTTCACAAACTCACAAAAGTAGTTTAGTGAATCTCATCTTGATCAGTTTTATTATTTATTATTTTTTGAAGGTGAAATTGCATTGCAGAAATTCTCACTCAAGTTTTTTGAACTGTCTCTGTTTACAGGCCCACCACGGGATCCAATCGCAGCTCGGGAGTTTATTTTGAAAATGTTCGTCGATTTGAATCCGGACGCCGACAAAATTATTTACTCACATTTCACGTGTGCAACAGGTTTGATTCAGCATCCATATTATTATTTTCTTTTTTGATCGTAAAAAAGTTCTTTTGGTGATTAAATTTATTTGCAGATACGGAGAACATTCGATTCGTATTTGCCGCGGTGAAGGACACGATATTGCAGCATAATTTAAAAGAGTACAACCTCGTGTAGAGCTTGCGACTTCTGGTAGTTATAGCGTACTTATGAAAAAGAGAGAGACAGAGAGAGAGACAAATAATGGGCGAGCTTGTGCCGAACCTGTTTTTTACCTAATTTTTTTTCTTTATATGATTTTTACTTTTTTTTTGCGGTTCTCAATAGTCTTTTTTTCATTATGTTTCATCTGAGAAAACTTCTTTAGGAATCATTTGCTTGCTCCTTTTCCCATTGACTTTTCGGTTTGAATTCAAATTCAGATATTATTTTTTGCTCGTTCATTTCTTCTTCCAATGATGATATAGTCAACCTGTCCCCATCACTCAATCAATGCATAACATTTTTTTTTGCGTTGGAAAGACTAGATTCAAAAGAGTGGAGCGCCAAAAACCCCAAGGGTTTCAAACTGAACTTATAGTTTCTCGGAATGATTGTTCGCTCTGCTTTTTCGAATAATCACCTCCGGGCCTGTATTTGTTTTTTTTTTCGTTGTTTCGTTCGATGTTAGGTTATTCGCTGACCCCAGCCCTTTCTCAGACTCCTTCCATCCTGCCGGCGAGCGTCCATTTTTTTTTTGGTAGAAACACCCTCCAACTTATTGTCGATAAAGCATATAAGTTGAAAAATACCAAAATATTATTTCCTATTTTCTAAAATGAAAAACAATACATAATGCCGGCGTGCACTAGTCTAAACCATCGTGAAAAGATTTCTCATCCAACCGCCCCCAGCTTTCTTTCTTTCATTTTTTGTATAACTGTTTTTCTAATTTTTTTTTGCTAGTTGTAACACATTTTCGTGTTATGCTCTTTTCGTTTTATTGCGGCTTTCAAAGCAGTTTTCTAGATCTTCAGATTTATCCTTGATAACTTGTTCATTTCAAAACGAAAAAGAGTAAACTAGCGAAAAAAACAATTACAATTTTTATTGACATGGAATTTGGTCCGTGTCGCTGCATCATCGATCGTCATTTCCCCCACGTCTTTTCCCAGTCCTTGTCCCAATTTTTTTCTCTTTTTCAACATAATTTTTTTGCACTTCATTATTTTAATTATAAGATTTTTTCTCTTTTTGTATCAAAAAAATTTGCGATAGTTTTTTTAATTTCATATTTATTAATATTGAACTCATTTTTTTAATGTATAATGATTTGTGAAAAGAATGGTTAATTTTTTGTTTTTGTTCACAAAATAAATGAGTCAAAAGCTACGTGGTTGAAAAATCTTCATTACAAATTATTCGGAAAGTGTGACGAATTGAATTCGTTTCTTTTTTTCGTGTCGGGTACAGTTGATTCGCTTTTATCACTCCGCACAGATCTGAAATACATATTGGGGAATCATTCAAAATTATGATCGAAAAAAAAACTTTTCATATATACGAAAAATAGAGTAAAGCGTCTGAAAAGGTTTTAAGAGTTCACAAACAGTTAGCGGTCACTGGAGAAGTCAAAAATAGCTTTAATAATGGTAATTAGGAAACACCGAAGCGATAAAATTGAAATAAAATCCAGAATTTTCTCGAAAATTTGCCAGAATAGTGGAGACAAAGACCCTGAAAGTATCGACCTGCGCAAAATTCGTTAAAATGCGTCATTATCAGACGTCGAGGCCTTTTTTCAATCGGAAACTGATAAGTTGTACAGGCTGAAACTTTCAGGGTCTGCACTTTGTACATCAAAAAGCGATATGACATATTTTCAAAAAAAAAACGCGAAAAATTAGCTTCTTTTTCAAGAACTTTTAAAGCAATTTACAGTTAAGAAATTTTATGAATTTTCCGAAAACTCTGGAATTCCAGCTCCGGTTTTTTAAACCTGTAGTATTGTAGATATTCGATATCAGAAATCAGCAATGCAAACACTGATGAAAAAAAAACAGTGGATTTAAAGACAAATTTATGAAAATCCCTACTTCACATATTAAACTTATCAATGGGGGCCTTCACAAAGGTTTGCTAGATTTTATTAAAGAAACTTTCCAAATCCCTCTTATCATGCAATTTTACCCTTCCTTCAAAATTTTAAGCCTCTCCATTCGAAAATAAATGCCACAAACTTTTCATCGACAGAATGTTTGAGATCTTTCTTGAGAAAGCGCGTCAGTTTTATCTCAGAAGCCTTTGGAGTAGTTGGCTGTTTGGGCTCCGGCTTTTCTTCGTTTTCCGCCGAAACCACTGCAAATTATTTAGAAATTAAGCAAAAATGTCAATCAAAGATACTTTTCTTTTTCCGCTTTTTCGTGTCGATTAGTTGTGGGGAAGGCGGTCTCTCGATTTCTGCGGAATACTGCAAAAATAAAGTAACCTCTCTAGAAAGGAATTTTGTAAAAATAGAAATCGCCGCCCAAATTGAAGGTCCAATTCGAACCCCTTGGTTGGGTTGCGTCGGGGATCGAACTTGTGACCCTTTGGACCGTGGAGAGGCACACGCACCGCGATTCATGGCCGTTTTTAGCTTTGTTGGAAAAAATAGAAAACCAAATTTCAGAAAAGTTCCATCGAACAAGTTCACTACATCGTCAAACTTTTTTCGTAGAAATTCTTCGCCTACCACCTATTTTGCCGTAAAACTGGGATGAAATAAATCAAAATTTTATAAGTCTCTTGAAATATAGATTCTTCTTCTTCTTCTTACGCCTTTATACCGCTTGAGCGGCGTCGGCGCCCCTAGTCGATTAGCCGAGGTCCTATCCTGATATCAGTGGACTGGCTCTAGTGACATATCCGTCCTTGTGTGTGACGGCTGGGATTATGAAGCCGTGGTTTCCCACTACCAACATTTCTTAAACCCCTTGGTTGGGTCGGGGATCGAACTTGTGACCCTGTGGACCTTAGACAGGCACACAACCTGTTGCGCCCCTCTTGAAATATAGATTATTTTTCCATTTTTTCACTATCCTTAAATCCTGAACAGAATAAACTTCGATTAAACATACCGATGAGCCCCAGGCTTCGATTCGCAGCTTGATGAAGCTGCAGTAGCCTTCAAGAGAGGAGACGATGATGACCTTTCCGTCGTCGCTCCAACTGACGTCGGTCAGCGAGTTGTAGTGGATGTTGCCCACGACGCCGATCGGATGTTCATGCTGACTGTCGTACAGAAATACCGAATCCTTGGTTAACGTCACCCACATAACTCGATAGGGTAATCTGAAACATTGGGATACTTTGGAGGAACGGTACTTATTCAACAGGGTGGCTATCAAGAAATGCGATTTTTTGATAGCAGATCGTTTTCTTTTCTCACATTGAAAAATACAAAAGAGCAATTCGAAGCGTGTGATAGAGGTTCACAATAACATTTCATTTCAAATCCAGAACCTAAAAACCCCCTAAACTGATACTTTTCACCAAACACGAAGTAACTTCGGATTCGACCTGTTTAGACATGAAAGCAATCGTTTTTGTCTCGAAAGCGCTTTAGTCATCGCTAAGACTGTCTGAAAAGAAGCTGTAGTTCTTGCTGAGATTGGAAAGGCCCCGAAACGGGAAAGATTTCGTGGAAAAGCGAAGTAAAATAAAAAAATTCATATATAAATGATGCACCAAAACACGATCTTTCCAACTCTAATATATCTTCTCTATAGCAAAACAAGAAATCAAAACAACGCGCATTTCTTTTCAACCGCCTTAATCGGGACGAAGGACGAAATTGTGCGGTTGAGAATTCGAAGAGTCTCACCAGCTTCTGAGGTACGAACGAAGATATATCAAACAAACAAAAGAGATTCCATACGTACAAACTGACCCCAAAAAATTTTCCTTCTTTTCCAGAAGTTCCATGATGAGAGGACAAAACTTGACCAAGAAAGTTGGCTTCAGAGTAGGATAAAAAGCAGACGGCTCGTCTCTGAAGTAAAAAAAGATATTCGTAGACATTCTCTCAAACTTTTCAATCTGACTTCTTTTGTAGGCGTATGTACCGAAAAAATCCGAGGAGCCAAGCTCGAGATGAGCGCCTTAAACCAGACACTTGTTATTTAAAAAAAAAAGAAGGACGCACATGGTGCCAATATTAGTTGTCCACAGGGTGAAAAAGCAACACCTCGTTGAAAACTGTACAGCTGGTCGTCGTGAAATAATTTGTACGTCTGGAAAACTTAAAATTGATTGAGAAAGAATGAGAAACAAAAAATAAAAAATTTACTTGGAAAAATGGTAATACTATAGTATTGGTATTTATTTGGATAACATCCAACTATTCGCTTTTTTAATCATGCGACGAAAATCTGCATGATTTCGAAGACTTACAGTTTTCGAATCTCCACACGGCACAGGGGTGTTCGGAAGAAGCATTTGAAGCGGCAGTTCGGCGGATCCAAACGAACGGAGTCGTGTGCCTTTAGCCGCGTCGACAATGTCCATCTTGCGGTCAGCCGACATTGTCACAATGTACTTGCCGTGAGGGTCCCAGGCGACGCCGTTGGGAAAGTGGCGGAAATTCCGAATGGAAAACACCCGCTTACCTCAACCATTTCTTTTAAGAGGTTCCTCAATAAAAACTCGAAAAACTGTTTTTAAACGAAAAAAAAAATCACCTGTTGAAGCAACGTGAACTGATAGGCAATCATCGTTTGATACTGACGCGATCTGTGTGCCGTCGGGGCTCCAACATAAAGAGCTAACGTCACTATCATGATTTAACACCTGAACCAAGTTTTTGTTTGTCAACTCTTCGTTTAAACACAAACTTTTAGCCGGACCCAGTTTTCCTTGTTCGGTGGAAGATCGTCTTGAGGTGGTGGCGGCAGTGCATCGCTCAAAGTCCATATGAAAATCCGACCATCGCAATCTCCAGAAGCTAACAAATTGACTGAAACTGGCCTAGTTTGAGATAAATAATAGTGCTTGAAACTAAACCTTCTTTGTTCGGGCTGAACTTGACCTGATTAATAGCTGAGTTGTGACCGGTTAAATTTGCAAGAAATGTGACGGATAACGGGGAAACTTTCAAATTAGTATCTTGCTCAAATTCGAATTCCCAAATACGAACCTTAAGTAGAGTTGAAACAAACCATCAAACAGTTTAAATTACCTCTTTTTGAACGCTGCTCGTTACAATTTTATATTTTCGATGATTGATAGTACGGTGAATATCTGTTGATAGCAAAGCTTTACGGTCGTGCCAGAAGATTTGAGGCATATAGTGATCCATTGCTAATACGGTCGTGCGTTAATACATACAGTGAGGTCTGAAAAGATGAACTAAAAGTCCGAATTCAAACGAATTTTTGTTGTTTGGAACCAAAATAGGATTAAATTAGCGCATTCATTTTCTAATTTAGCATATTAAAAAATGAGGGTTAAAAGTGATTTCAACTTGAAAGCGGAATTAGAAATTTAGTGAGCGTTTCCATTCAAAACTAACGCTTCTGATAAAAGTTTAAATATTATACTCCACCACTCATCGCGAGATAAATTGGCAACTGGGGATAATTATTTTTGTGCGACACATGAATCTATCAAAACTAGAAAAAATTGAAAAGTAAAGTATATTTTATCTCGGACAAAAATGAAAAGCTCCTCAAAAGCTTTTCTCAAAAAAGAGACCTAGTAAGGGTTCGCAGCAGATCTTTTCATCTCTTTTAATCTCTTTCTTGCATCTTTCTGACATCCTTCAAAAAAAGATGCTGGGAAACAGCTAAGAAGATTGGAGATGATTCAAAAAGGATCCGCTGAGGCTATGAAAATTTTAAAAGGAGCTCCAAGCTTGTTCACATTATTAAAAAGAGAATTTGAACGCGCCAGGAGGCAAATTTGGCGCCAAATTTGCCAGAGCGCGTTTTGGTTGATACGGACGTCGAATTCTTTCTTTTTCGAAGCGCATATTTAATTTCATTATTTTTCTTTTTTTATATACAGAATTTTATTTTCCACAATACTCGCAGAGCTGCTGTATGCAGCTAGGAACTAGATTTTTTTTTCAAGCCGGAATTCTTTCCTTATCCGGGAGAAGGATAATTCTCGTTAGCTCAATAAATAAGTTCTCAATAAAATTCAATTTTGAGCATGTTGTCACAGTAACTTTCTTTCCTCAAAGTAATAGGTTTTTTATGTTGAAACTTAGTGAATCCTTTTTGGAAATGCAGTGAAAATCTTCCAAAGTTTGCGTTCGACGGGGCGTTTGTGCCTTATTTCTTTCTTTTGTTCGTTCTTTCGTATCGACTCCTCAGAAAAAACCTTCATTCTAAAACTGAAACTTTTTTTTCTTGTTGCTGTATGATGTTTCTTCATTTATCTGAAGTTTATCATAGCCGAATGAAATCTAATTTCGATTTTCTGATTTTCCACTTTCTGTTTCTAATTTAATTTATTTTCATCAATTATTATAAATAATATGCTTCCCAAAAATAAATTATCTGGCGAAATATAAATTAACTTTTAATTTGACAGAATGTCGTCGTGGGACTACATCGACGAAGTAGACATCCTCCCAAAGTTGCCGCCAAATTTTGAAGAATTGAGGGAATCGAAAAAATGGCAGGTGCACAGATTCAACAATATTAAAGAGGCTTATGATGGATTTTCAGGAGCGGAAGGAAAGTCTAGATGCCCTGCTAAAAGTTTTGATGGATGCAGAGAGACTTTCGACAAAGATCTCCTACGCCGAACTCGTCGGAAACTTGCAGACGGTTGGAAAATTTTTAGAGAAAAGTACGTTAAAAGGAATTTTGTTATTGAAGATGATTGCGAAAGACGCAAACATCAATATCCAAGCTCTGGCCGCCAAATGCCTCACCAGATTCGCTACGGGCCTTCGTACCAAGTTTGCTCCCTTTGCCCAAACGGTCAGCGAAAACAATTTGCGAAAACTTGAGTATTCATTTTCAGCTGCTTCCAATTTTGTTTGAAAAACTCAAAGAGAAGAAGCCGTTGTTGAAGGAGCCACTCATCGAATGCTCAGACGCTGTAGCTTCGACGGTGAGTTCCCCAGCGGATTGCAGAAGTTCTCTTTCTCTCCTGAAACTGCACTACAAAAGTATTTTCTGAGAATCTCAATAGCTGAAGTAATTAAAAGCACCATGATTTGGAAAAAAAGTTCTCCTTTCTTCCTATCGTCGAGCTATGACGTTTCCAACACACCAAACCCCGGTTTTTTCTTCTCACAGCACCGATAACGTTATACTTTCCGAAGGTTAAAAAGCAAAAGAAAAAAAAAACTTTTTTTCAAAATTTTTTGGTTACTTCTCGACATTTTTATTTTTTTACTGCTCTTTACATGAAACTTCGAAGTAAATTAACTACACGGAAGTTATTTTTGCCATTCAGATGCCGACCCTGGAGACATCGCAAGACGACATAATCTTGGCGCTTGGTAAACCAAATCCGCAAATCAAGCAACAGTGCGCCCTTTTTTTGGGACGTCAATTTGATCTGTTGAGTGCTGACAAGGTTTCTTATCAAGTTTCCGCTCTTTTCTTGACCAAGGTGTTCAGCAACCGAAAAAGTTGATAAAGGCAGTCGTTCCTGTTTTGGGAAAACTTCTGGGCGATGCCGACGCTGATGTGAGTTTCTTATATCACAGACTTCTATCAAGATGGGAATCTAATTGGAAAGATCTAACTTGAATTCTGGCGCGACTGATTTTTGAATAATGTATAATATGAGCAATATTGGCTGTTTTCAGTGAAGAAGAGGAATACATGTTGGAATGGTTGAAAATTTCTTGTCTTTTCATAAGAATCTTCTTCTCCAAAATATCTAATGTTCTCTCCAGATGATGTATTTAAAATACCTCACGATCATTTTTTGAGGTTCGCGAGGCGGCCACGACTTCACTCGGCGCGATCCAGCGGCTCATTGGCGAGAAAAACGTGAAATCCATTCTCGGCGATGTCGCCAGTGATGAAGCGAAAATGAAAAAAGTAACTTGAGGAAACTTTCTGAATGCCTTTTTTCGATTGAAAAGCATGCAAGCTGTTTGAAAGCAAAACATGTTTTCAAGGTGGCGGAAGCAGCTGAGAACTCGGCTCAGAATTTTGCTGAGATCAGTTCAAAGCAGCAGGCGTCGGGACCGGCTGAAGCCCCATCCAAAGAAGGTTCATCAAGCGCTCCGACTTCATCCAAGCCCAACGGCGCTGTCAACTTTTCCGCACCGGCTAAAGTATTCTGTCGGACTCAAATTTTTGACGACCCATTTTCATTTTGTAGGAAGTAGACGAGTGGGACTTTGCCGATCCTTTCCATCTACTCGGGAAAATGCCTGCCGATTTCGAAACGAATATCGAAAGCAAGAAATGGACGGAACGGCGCGATGCTCTGCAGGTACTGGAGTTTTAGCCTTTTTTAGAGAATGGTAGTTGAATAAGTTTATCTTCTTCTCCCTACGACTTTGTACCACTTGAGCGGCGTCGGCGCTTTAAGTTCTATCTTGAAATCAGTGATAATATGTGAACTTCCTTCAGTGACATATACGTCCTTGTGTGTGACGACTAGGGATTTTAAAGACATATTTTTTTTCCTCTATCAAAATTCCTCACATCCGTTGGTTTATCGAACTTGTGTTCCTTCGGACCGTAGGCAGTCATACAACCTGCCGTAGTTAAATTCGTCTATATAAGCTTTGAATGAAAGGATTCCTTCAACTCGTCTCCTCGAAAGAAAAAAAATTGGCGCATGTAGAATGACTAGAGTCCTAGACTCAACACAAGAAAAAATGTTCGTTAACCATGGGATACAGTTGCGCAAGATTCTCACAAAAAATGATCAATAGGACTTCATAAAATGAAATACAGAATATGTTTTACCGTGTTGCTTTTCAGGCTCTGCATGATCTGTTGAAAGCAAACGTGAAGCTGGACGCCAAAGGCAACTATGGAGAGCTTGTTGGCGTTTTACGAAAGGTCCACCTACAATTTTGGGCAATCAATACAATCAATACAAGTTAAGGTGCTCGAGAAAGATGCCAACATCAATGTCGCGGCTCTGGCTGCCAACTGTTTGAAAGGGATCGCTGACGGGCTCCGCCTCAAAGTGATCTCGAGGGCTTTTAGAGCAAGTTTCATGATTGAATTCTAGTTTCAACCTCATGCGGCGGCTGTCATTCCTGTCATTTTCGACAAGTTCAAGGAGAAAAAACCGTTGCTGCGCGACCCGCTGATCGCTTGTATCGACGCTATGGCGGCCACGGTCCGTCCAAGATTGGAATTCCGACTATTTCCGTTTTTCAGACGAACCTCGAAGCAATGGGAGAGGACATCCTTGCCGCGTTGGCCAAGCCGAACCCCAACATTAAAATTCAGGCCGATCTTTTTCTCTACAGGTAAAATTTTTTTATTTCGTTGACCATTTTGCCATCCCGCCAGTTAAAGTGGTAACACGAATCTCGAAGGTTTTCACCTTTCTGTTAAAAAAAAAGAGAATTTCAGAGCGTTCAAATTGCTAAACTCGCAAACGATGCCCAAGAAGACGCTCAAGTCGATAGTTCCACTGCTTATCAAAGTTTTTTTTTCTAGGATTTGTCAATAAAACTGATATTATTGCAGCATTCTGGTGATTCGGACCCAGAAGTGCGTGACGCGTCCTACGCCGCCATGGGATCAATGATGAGGACGATAGGCGAAAAACCTTCGCTGCAGTTGCTCGCCGACATCGTTCCCGACAAGCTCAAAATGGACAAGGTCTTGTTCTTTGCAAAAAAAAAGAAATTTAAAATAACTTCAGAGAGTTTAAATATGACTAAACTTCAGAAATTCGGAGACAATTTGTTTCTCGCTGAATTAATATGAACATCGTATTGCAACTTCCCCCCAATTTGTCAAACTTTTAAATTACTTCGATTTTTATTATAACCAAAAAATTCAAACTATAACGATAAACCAAAGAGTAAATATTTTTCTTTTTTGCCTTAAGAACGTCTTTTTTTAGTTATTCAAGTGTTCGCTTACTCGTTTAGCTAATACAGGCTCTTCTCATGTCAAGCCGTAGAAAAAAAAACCTGGCTTTCTATCCGTTTATGTTTTTGAAACTGAATTAATTCTTGAGTTCGTTTTCAGATTCGAGATTTTCATCAGAAGGCGTTGGAGGAAGCTGGAGCAGATGTCGTCTCCCAAATGGTCCAGTCCGTCCACAAAGCTGATGTCAGAATAATTCAACTTTTATCATCCTTTCGCTTCTGTTTGATTCAATGGCTTGTGTTGGTGTTTGTGATTTTCGTTTGTTGCTCAGGCTCCTGCCGCAGCTGCAAAGACCCCGCTGGCAGCGAAACCTGCGACGGTGAAAGAAGACGCGGAAGAAACAGAAGAGGTCCTCTTAGATTCCATTTTTTCTTCGTCCGTCAAAATCTTTTTGATATGGTGTCGTTTGGTATACGTTTTGAAGTGCATAAAGAACAGTAGTTAGAAAGTTTCCAAATTTTAGTCGGAAATGCATTTTGACTATTTTTTTTTCGTTGAAGTTTTTCGTGGGCTCGGGTAAAATTATCAAAAAGTTATTTTTATAATTTTATTTTTCACTATCTTTTTCGGATCGTTAAGATGTCAGCTTGTTGCAAAGGTTCATCTTATAGAGTTTTTTTTTGTTCTTTCTTGCTGAAAATCGCACATTTTGTAGAAATCTTACCTTAGGAGTAGTCGGTTAGCGAGAAGTTATGAAGCTTTCGATTTCTAGGCATTGAAGCAGAGCGGAGGAGGTGCTGCCGGCGCAAAAAAGAAAGAAGCTCCGGAGAAGAAGAAAGCGCCACCGCCAAAAGAGGAAGAAGATGAGCCACCAGTCGTTGAGAAAGCGGAAGTCATGCTGGCGCCCAACACAGGAAAGGCCCAAAGGCTGAAGGACGAGAAGAATCTCAAGGTGCCAGAAAATGACAGAGCATCACGCATGTTTAAAGGCATAGGGGCAGTAAAAAATGGGGTTTCAGGTGAAACCAGTATCTTATACAGTTTTTCTTTGCGAATCGAATGGTGTACTCAAAAAAATTACAGATGTGACAACTTTAGAAGAAAAACGCGATTTTACTTTCCCGCCTTTAATTTTGAAAAAAGCTTTGGATCGGTATGCAGACAACTGTTTACAGTAGCTGTGCACGCGATGTTGCGGACGTCTCATTAGACTCGCATTTTGTGTGAAATAACCGCCTTTCTGCTCCAAATAAAGGGTTTCTTCTCTGAAAAATCGATTAAGAAAACAGAAAACACACATTGATAATAAAGAAAACACAAATAATCGCTATCCCAATCGAAACCTGTGTAAAATCATCATTTTTCACCAGAGAAGCATTTTTGCGATCAAAGTTTGCAAATTTAACATGAATATAAAGATTTTGTGACAAAAAGAACTTTGGTGACAACAGAAAAAATTAAAAATTGAAAGCAACGAAGAAAAAAGCGAAATTCCGAAAAATGGCGAAGCCTGTTGTCCATAGAGCAACTTTACTGCAAAGCGCCCTTTTCGTGGGAACTCAAGCTTTCCTTTCTCCGACTTTGAATTATTTTTTCTTCAAAACTAGGAACTACTGTACGTTTCCAAGTTTACCGTTCGATTCGCAATGAAAAGCTCTACAAAATACTGCTTTGAACTGAAACACCGTTTTTAACTGCCCCTATGCCTTTAAGACTGTGCTACGGCGGCCGGTGGACGGTCAATATTGCGCCGTCAGTTTCGGAGCCAGGATATTTTTAAAATTTTTTTTCTTTTTCGCAATTTGTTAAGGACCTATTTCTCGAGGTTACAAGATAAGTTAAGTCACAAAAAGTAAAAAAGATTTTATTTTAATCCCGAAAAAACTAGCTTGACTACCGTAATACGACCGGCCGCCTTGAACATGCGTGGCATTCGATTCAAATTTTCGATAATTCTTAGAAATGTTCTCGGATTGATAAACTGTGTATGAAAGTTCAAAAAAGTCATTTAACAGATCCTGAAGTGGAACTTCACGACGCCGACCGACGAGCACATCGAGCAGCTGCAGAACATGTTGGGAGCGTACGCCAAGGTGTCACTCATGTCGCAGCTTTTCCACAAAGACTTCAAAATGCACCTCAAAGCGCTCGATCTTCTCATCAATGTTTGAATATCCCTCTTTTGATGTATTCCTACTTTTTCAGCTTGCGAGCAGCGACGAAACAGCTCTGACGTCGAACAGTGACCTGCTGCTCAAGTGGTGCACTTTGCGCTTTTTCGAAACCAACCCTGCAGCCTTAGTGAAGGTGAGATCTGAGCAGAGTTGAAATTTCACTGGTTTCTCGGCATTTTAAGAGTGGAACTTTGCAAATAATTTTATGTATGACACGGGGAGAACACGGAAGATACAAAGTGTTCGAATCTTCTGCAGAAGGGTGACGAAATTCTCGCAGATCGTTTTTCTGTGCTGAATTTTCTTCGGCTTTTTCTTCTTACATAAACGTTCATAGTTGTGCTTTACAGGTTTTGGAGCTGTGTCGAATCGTCACGACATTGATCCGCGACACATCGACGCCCATGACGACCGAGGAAATGACCGCATTTGTTCCCTATTTGCTTCTCAAAACGGGCGATCCTAAGGTCAGTCTATTCGAAATTCGAAGTTTCAAACTAGAACTTTACAGGAAAACATCCGGAACAGCGTTCGGGAGATTGTTGACATCCTTTCCGACATCAACTCGCCGGCTAAGATGGCACCATTGCTTTTGGGTCCGTTTTATACGTGGGCCAACCCAAGGCTGCCGAAGAGGCGCCCCCGGGATCCCGCCCGACTCGAAGCTGTCGTCTCGGGGCGGCCCGACCAGCAATGTTGAAAAATAAGTGAAAAATCAGTTGATCAAAAATTCAAGAAAAAAAATTGCTCACTTGAAAAAGTTCTCGTTTCGCGGGGCGGATCGGGCGCCCCGCGAAACGTCTCATCAGCAGCTCTGAGCTAATCAATTTGGTGCACCCCTCGATTTCATTTAAAATTCAGTTTCGGATCTGATTTTGAACTAACTTAATATAAATGTTCAGAATATAGAATCAGATCAGCTTTTAGGTCGATTGGAAAGAGCTTTGAGAAATTTTTAGCCTCACACTAGGCAAACCACGAAAGCGATAAAAGCTGTCTTAAGGCATTCATGGCCCGTGTGGAAAGCTCCAAGGCTCAGTTGAAAGTTTAAAAAAAATGAAGGGACTTGTATTTGAAGAAGGGCGTTTCGATCTGAGGTCCAAGATTTTCTTGAAAGTCTGAATATTCAAGTTAAAAAAAACGTTTTGAAATTCGAGAACTGACTAGAACAGTCAGATCCGTGTGTGACGAGGATTTTAAAAAATATTTTTGCGGTAGCTACTATAAATTTTGCAAAAAAATAGGGGGAAAAAAATCAACTTATACGCGTTACAGGGTAACGAAAATAGGCATGTCAAAAAAATTGCCAAACCGTGCTTTCTTTTTTTCAATAAAGTCAGTCTGAGAAAACCAGTTTTTTTGAGCTTTCTCTCAGTACGCTCAATAGACGTTTTTTTGTTGTTCATGTAATTTAAATTTTTAAGACTCTTAAATTACACGTCAAGCATTTTTTTCTAGAGAGATCTTTTCAAAAAAAATATTGACTAGCAGTGTTTTAATCGAATGTTGCTTGCAGACGGGCTCAAGTCGAAAAACGCTCGACAACGCGCGGAATGTCTTCTCGTAGTGGAGAACTACGTGACGGTGGTCGGCATCACCACACTCAAAGCGGCGGTAAAAACGGCGTCTGAACCAAAAAAATGTTCAAATCTTTCAGAACATTGAGAAGACGGTGGCGCCGCACGTCGGCGACAAAGACGTTGGCGTTCGCAACGCCGCCATCAACGTCCTGGTCGCGTGCTACCGATTTGAGGGCGATCAAGTTAGTATTCTTCGTTTTTTGTTTTGTACCGAGGGCTGCCTACAACTAATTTGAATGACTTTGTACATTATCTTTTCCCAAAGATCTGGGCTATCTTAGTGGTAAAGAATTTATCGCTAAACGCAGGAATTTTTTAGATCTTGTTCAGCTTAAATGCGAGGAACCACTCTCCTGAGAAAAATTCTTATTCAAAAGGAAAATTATAGAAAAAAGGATTATTTTCAAATAGGGCCAACATCAAAGCTTCTAAATAGAAAAGTTGTTCGGGTAACAAGTTGTTTCTTTTTTTGTAATGGACGTTAGACCTTACATTTTCATGTAGCCGACCTTGGTCATTTTCCAACTTCTCAGAATCGCCTTCCAGGCTTGCAAACGTGCCGCGCAACCGCGGTAGTTCATATTTTCAAAATTAGGAGTTTTATGAGGTAACCTCTTCATTTAGACCCGATTAAGTCATGTTAAAATAACTTCTATAGTTATTAATTATTAACATCGTGATTGTTCAAGTCTTTTTTTTTAGCTTCGAAATAATCTTTTATGAATTGAAGATGTGGAGAGCGGCCGGAAAGATGCCAGATAAGGATCGGTCACTCGTTGAAGAACGAATCAAGAGAAGCGGGGTGGCACCAGGAAGCGGAGTGCCGCAGGGTGGCGGAGCGAGAGTCGTCGTCCCCCAGCAAAGTCGCTAACCTGTCCCCGAACCTATCTAGTGGAAGTCTTCAGGCGCTGCCACTGCAGTCCGAAGGTCGGCTTCCAGAACACGAGAGCCGGATTCTGAGAACATTCCCTCGGAGTCGGCAGCCCCAGACTCGACCTTCGCTCTAAGTTTGATCTTTGATATCAATTCAAATAAATGAATATGTATAAATATTTAAGAAAACAAAACATTTTCAGATACGCCACGACGACCGATCGGCGAAGTTCAACAGAAGTCGTCAAGATACGCACTTCGAGACGATGTATCGATCTTTTCGAAATGCTTCTAGAAATATTTTCGGTTTTTCAGTACATCAGCTCGCTGGCTGGGCTTGCAGATGGAACTATTGGGGGACTGGAGGCGCCGCACAAAGGAGCGAATCAAGGGTTTTGGCCGAGCACGCCGTTGAAGTTTGACTCTTTTCGCGAAATAGAGCGTGTCATTTGGGGGCTTCAGACGGACAGGCTCATCCTCCTCCATCTCCTCGGTTGACACGTCGGACCAGCTCGAGCGCGCCATTCAGAACATCTCCTCAGGTCTTCCTGATGTCGCCAGAGACGCCATGTTTCAGGTCGAGCTTTTCGAAAAGGAAACCGTTTTAAAAAGAACTGATTTTTCAGGTCACATACATGCTGGATACGCGTGAACAGAGACAGATGATTGAACGACGAATGGACTTGGTAAAAAAAAGGAAAATTTTATCGTGGATGTTTGTCGTTATAGCTGTTCCGTATGGCGACCGTTCAAGTCCAGTTCCTGACCAGAGTGCTCGAGGAGAACAAAAATCAGTTCAAGGAAATGGCAGACGCCTTGTCGCAGTTGTTGTTCAGGGTCCGAAAGTTATTTGGAATTCGTTCCTTCAAAAATCTCTTCATGTTCTCAGCAAAATCCCACTTGATGAGGGATTATATATATGGGCGCGAATGAGCTTTTGGTTATATATCGGTATTGATTAATTAATTTTTATTGAAAATGGTCAACAGAGAAAAATACGTTCCTATAGAGGAGGGGTTTTTTTGAGAACGCAGGGACTCAAAAAAATACCTTCGTTTTGGTAGAAATTTATTTCTATTAATTAAATTATTGAAACTATTAATTATTTTTTTCAAAATTATAATAATTTTACTCATTTTCAAACTTCTCCTAATTTCAGGCTGTGGGAGGTATCGATGAGCCGAATGCGGAGGTGACGATCTTCGACATCACAAAAGACACGATCGCCGACCTATTTACCGAATTGTTGAAGATAATTTCGGTGCTCGGGCGGTCGGAAGACGTAATGGTCCGTGTATGGCCTGTTTCATCAATATTTCATCTTCTTTTTTCATTCATAGATGTATTTGCAACTGAATCGTGAAAATATATTGAAAAGTCTTTTTTCTTTAAGATGTAATGAAGACATAAACCTCTTTTTTTTTTTTGAAGATGGCGAGGTCCTTCAACCGACTCACCATGCGAATCGTCTACAGAATCGAGCTGACGAGCCTCCTCTGCGGCCTTGTAACCGGCATAACGAACCGATTAAAAGCGTCCGATGAAACCATAGCAGCTCTCTTTGCCAAGGTGAATAAGAGAAACCAAAAGAAAAAAAGGGATCATTTTCAAATAAATAATAATTGTTTTTCTTTTTAATTTTAATTTAGCTCGAATACGTTTTTGATCCGAAGCAAACCAGGAATTTTGCAGCTTCTCACCAAGTGGAAGGAGGAATTGGACAAAAGAACGCGACAGATGCGTGTTTCCGATATTGTTGCCTGCTGTGACACTTTCTTCCATTTAACTTTAGGGGTATCGTGTCATCACCGATAAAACATAAAGTTTGGGAATTTTTTCAGGAATTGAAGTGGGATCTCACCCATCCGCTGGTCACTTCTGTCGACAACGCCATCGAATGCGTCGTCCTGCTTCAAGGAGAAGCGGTATGGATTGTTTTTATTTCTCTGCGCTCAAAGTTCAGTGATTGCTGTGTTAGTAAAGAGGAATTTAAGAGTAAGGTGTTTTTTGAACTTTTTAGTAGTAGCTGAACTGAAACTTCTTAAAACGCTATGAGTAGGCGCCTCAAACCTTTTTTTCAAATTATTCGAAAAAAATACGTTCATCTGGAAAAAGAAGAAAAAAAGTTATGACAGAAAAAAAGTAGCCAGCACCTCAAAAAAATGAGTTCGAAAAAAAGTGTGAAATTTTTTTGTTAAAGCTGATCATTTTTCAAAACGTTTTTCCGTGGATATTAATCTTTTATTTTTTTCATTTTTTTGCCGTGGAATTACTCTATAAAAAAAGTCACAATAAAAAGCTTAAAAGATTGTCGTGAAATTATAAGCGAGGTATGAGTGAAAAAATAGACTTTCTCAGGTCCTCGACGCAGTTCGACGTCTTTTGAAGCCGCACATGCACCTCACGAGCATCGTCAACAAAATGCTCCAAGTGATGAAGGAGCAAGGGAAAACTCCGGCCCTTCCCGGAACGGTCTCTTCCTATTTGAATGCAATGAACAATCAGTTTTCCTTCTCAGTTGGAAGATCTTCCGGCTGAAGAGGAAACCATCATCTCACGCCCCATCCTGCAGGTCCATATCGACAACATTATTCGGGATCCGTCCAAGGCAATCTTTACTACATTAATAGGAAGATATTCAAGTTCTTCAGGCTTCGGACCATGTCGAACGATTGAAGAGCTTGTTGTCAGATGATTTGGAGGCGAGGAGTGACTTTCTGCGCAAAACCTCATCGGTTGGGAACTTCACTGGAAGATTGTTACTTTGTGAATTCAGATGCCACTGGGAAAGTTCGTTCAGGAGATCACTGAAAGCAAAAGACCCGTCGTCGGAGCCAGCATGCCGGTAAATTTATCTCATGGCTAATACTGAAAATAAGCTAGCTCTTAGTGTGTCAAGTTAGCCAAGTATTTCGGCTTCTGAGGTCAGAAGTTCTGTTCTATTCTTCTAAGTTTCAATTAAAATGAGATGAATTGACAGTCCGCAAAAATTGTAATTTGAATAAATGTTTTTAATCAAATTATGATTGTGAACCGGTGCTTCCAGATTTCGGCTACAATTCTGCTCGAACTTTCGCAACTTCTCCACGAACTGGACATGACTACGACGCCATCTCCTGATGCAACACCTTCGTCACAAGAAACTGCTCCAGCAGACCTGACTCGGTTCTAAGTTTCCATTTTATAGGGATTCAGCATCTGATTTCAGAACTTTGACGAAACCCAAGCGTGAGCCAGTCGATGCACAGCTAAAGAAGAGGCGAACGATGTCGCGTGCTGCCATCAGCGAGATGCGAGCCCGGTTCGATGAAGCTCTCGGCAACAAGTAATATTGAAAATCGCGGCCAGGTGACCCGCATTTATTTGCATTAATACGTGTGATATCATTCATAATTGTATAATGATTATTTTGTGGCCTGTTTTATGAAACTTTTCCTTTTTTCGGTTTGGAAGAACTTTAAGGTAGATAAGAACAATAGATAACAATTACAGCAATGTATAACAAAGTGTTAGAGGAATTAGGACCGTAAATGCTATGACAATATTGGTGGAACCCGATGGTTTTTTTTTCGTGAAAAAAAAATTAAAGGAGATACAACGAGTTAAGAATGTGTAAATAGAACTTTAGTAAGGAAATTACAAATTATAATGATCAAAGTTCAAGCGAAGTACATCTTTTTGACCATACGCTCGTGAATCTGAAATTAATAAAGAAACAAAAAGATAACCTGCAAGACGACGATATGTTTCAACTGTACATTTTTTAAGGATGTTCATTGTATTTTGAAAGTTTTTTTTTTAGCATTGTTTGTTTTCAAAAAACTCCAAACGTCTGTCTAAAGATCTATTTTTTAATCTTAGGAAAAACATATCATAAACACAAATTTGTATCCAACCTACTAAATTATTCTGTTCAAACTTACTTCAACAACTTGCTGAGCGACATTGTGAGGCAAGAGGTCGGACTTGCGAGTGTTTCCATCGCTGGTGTGGTCAACGACGTGAAGTCGCGCCCTTTGGCCGACGAGCACCGCGTAGTAGATCGGCGCAGGAATCGATATGGAGCGGGTGCAACGCGCTTGCGTATGGCACAACTGGAAGGAATGTAAAATACAGCACGCATGTTTAAGACAGTGTTACGGCGGCCGGTCAATATTGCGCCGTCAGTTTCGGAGCCAGGAAACTTTTTTGATATTTTTTCTTTTTCGCAACTTGTTAAGGACCTGTTTTCTGAGGTTACAAGATAAGGTACGTCTTAAAAAGTACATTCGATTTCATTTTATTACCGAAAAACTTATCCTGACTACCGTAATCTGACCGACCGCCTGACAGGCTTGACAGATCAAGTTTTTTTTTCTGATTTGAATTTTATTCAAAACAAAGAATTTCAGATTGTTGAAAACGGTTGGTGATCTTTCAGCGAAGTTTCTAAATCTTCTTGTCATTTTTTGTGTGCTCGGAGAATATTTTCAATGTACACCGTAAACTCTTTTTCAATTAAGAACTCTATTCTCGACATCCATAAACTTTTCCTCTTCTGATGACTAACAAAGTAGGTTAACTGCTGGATTTCATCGGCGGTCATCCGGCTGTCGTCCCAAAGCACCTGATACCGCGTTGGACGAGAAGTCCCCTCAAATCCAGCTCTATTCGATTTAGAACACCTCCTCAAAAACCTTCATTCCGGAATGGGAAACAAGGTAAAAGTCGAAAAATTCTTTCGAAGTGATGACCGTGTCGACGACGGTCCCCGCAGGTACGTTGTCCTGTTCCTGCATATTTTTACGCATTGATGTCTTCCATTTTGAGAAACAGAAGTGACCTCAACGGTAGCCGGGAATAATCGTGACCGATGAGTTAGATGGACGGTAATGAAAGTGATGGCGGGGTTGTAGTCCTTTTCAATGGAAAGGCAGGCGTCTCGAATAGCGCGAATTTCGTATTGGAGCACCTAAATGCGTTTTTTTCAACCAAACATAATGAAATGATGAAAAACATATTCAAGAAGATTCTCGTGAACGTGGTCCCGATAATAGACGATGCGACGCGGTTTGAAGTTGCTCATTCGAAAAAAGTTGAGAATCAGCTCTCGCACCATTGAGCTCAGTTGCTCGATCACGAAGTCGGTGTCTTTCTGGACACGAACAGCAGCAGTGAATCTGAAACGAAGGTCGACCCCAAGGTCCAGCAATTTTTCGACCTGCTTTGAAAGCCGCCGGCCGAACCAACGACACACGAAACAGACATCGGTCCGTTGCCTTCTCTCCGCGACAATTCCATTACATTCGCTCCAATGAACAAGACTGTAAAGATTAAATGACGAAGTCTTATTTTCCTTCTGAAAAATCTCTTGTGGAATTTTTAACTGACAAGGGAAGTGTTTTTGGTGGCCGGTTGAACTTTTGTTGAAACTTTGCTGAAAGGTACTATAAGACCTCCTCTTTCCAAAACACGAATAAAATTTCTCGCAATAGATCTCGTTTTCGAGTTATGAAGCTTCAAAGTTTGCACGCTGAATAAGTGCTGCAAGCCAAGAGGGAATCTGGCTCGCCTACAATCCCTCTACTCCAGTTGGCTACGTGGTGTAGTGGCTAGAGCCCTTGCACTACAGTGTCTATGACCGGGGTTCGAAACTTTTTGAAGAAATTCGTTTTTGCCAAAACTTTCCTAGGAGGAATTTATCGACATTAATAAAACCCATAAACTTTTTTTCCCTCTTAACCTATTTTTTTCATTTTGATTCGGTATACTGATTAAAAAGTTTTCATTCGCTTATAAACATGATTAATAGTCCCTCTTTTTGGGAAAAATTTCTACGGGCCTTTTTCATCAGCGTTTCAGTCCAGTTGATAATTTAAAAAGAATCAAATAGAAGCTTACACCACAGAAATATGAGTAAGTCTCCCTTAAATTCTTGAAAAAAAAATAATACAGAAAGCGATCTATTGATCATGCCTATGAGCCAGAGGAAAATGTCTGTCGAAAGTCTTGGAAAATCGAGTGAAATGAGAAGCTATGTTATTTTGGAAAGAAAGTTTTGGTCCATTTGCCCAATTTCGATAAATTCCTCCTAGGAAAGTTTTGGCAAAAACGAATTTCTTCAAAAAGTTTCGAACCCCGGTCATAGACACTGTAGTGCAAGGGCTCTAGCCACTACACCACGTAGCCAACTGGAGTAGAGGGATTGTAGGCGAGGCAGATTCCCTCTTGCCTTGCAGCACTTATTCAGCGTGCAAACTTTGAAGCTTCATAACTCGAAAACGAGATCTATTGCGAGAAATTTTATTCGTGTTTTGGAAAGAGGAGGTCTTATAGTACCTTTCAGCAAAGTTTCAACAAAAGTTCAACCGGCCACCAAAAACACTTCCCTTGTGAATGCAGAGCAAATCTCAAACTTTCCCATAAAACAAACCAGGCTCCTGAAGAGCCGGCAGGTGGACGCTGTTTACAGCGACGGAATTGACGCCTCCTAGCTTGATGTTGATTTTCATACACAGATTGATGAGCGTGTGCTTGACCGGAGCCACAACGTTGCTCACGTGGATGCACTGCGTCGTCAATCCGCACTGAGTGTCGCCAACTCGCTTCACCTTTCCTACAGTCCCAATTTGGTTATGTTCTGTACTTTCTTATGAGAGAACGAGGTGAAGTATGAACCTTTTCAAAACACCTCGTTTTGTTTGACCTGAACTAATTTCTACCGTAAAAAGTGTTGCAGTCGCGATGGGCTTTTAGGGAAAATAAAGATTGAAAGACAAGTTTTTCACTTTTTTTTTTGATGGTATTCTCATAATTTATTGCACTTTATTGGCATCCTAGTAGAATAACAATATAAAAAAAACTGTTTTTTTCCACCCTCGCGTTTGAATTAGCATTCCTCCCCAAGAGCCTCGTCGCGACCGTAACAAAAGCCGTGAATCGTTGGCTATAGAAGTGAAAATTTGCCACGGGCTATTTCTTACGCTCTCAAAAAATCAAAAAAAGAAAATTCGGATTTCTTCTTTTTTCTATCAGTTCAAAAATCCTTACTAGTGGGTTTCTCTTAACCCTCTTTCGAAATTCGTTTGTGTCTTTTTGCACAAAAACTCCAAAAAAAACTATATAAATTCCAACCATAAATAGCAGTTTTTCCAGTGAGCACCACAACAACAAGCTGGATAGGATGACTCATCTGTGACAGGTACTTGAAAACCGGTTCGATGTGCTCTATATTGACTACATATCTGAAAAATCAAAAGGATATTGAGTAGAAAAGTAAGAAAACGACTTGCAAAACGACGGGGCGAACACGAAAGGCATTCCAACCATCTTGCCGACGTTGCGAAGTTGCGAAACGAAATTCCGCAGAGAAGTCTGAGAGACCTGGTGCTGCTGTGCGCAACACACGAGGGCCCAGCTCTTAAAAATATAAATTAATTGTAGAGTTCTATTACATTTGAATAATTTTTGAGGTGCATTCAAAACCATATTGGATGCCCAGAAACGCTGGGACGACAAAAAGCACCTTGATGGAAATGCCATCGAAAAACTTGTCTCTCAAGTTCCAGCGGCCATTTTCTGGAACAACCGTCGTGTAGGATTGCTGCTCTCCGCGATAGACGATCTTGGGCGGCGGTATGACACGAGCAGTAAGTGACGTCATCTTATCTTCGATTTTGATTCCGTAGTGCTGGAAATCGGAGAAGATGAAGAGCATGAAGACGAACTAAACTTCCAGAATCGGGTCCTCGTTTGCTATAACTCCTGAGACGATTTCGCAAATGTCGAACTTGCGTTTCGCCGGCGTGTGCCGCGTGGTCTGAACACACTGTTTTTTTTTCCAGAAAAAAGACCGTTGCAAGAAAAAAAATCGGGTAACCGGCTTTAAAAACGAGAAAGTTCAAAATTTAGTCGTTTCATGTCTGGCTTGAAAGTTTAAAAAAAAAGTTTCAGGAGAACTTTTTAGAGAGATATTCTTATTTTTAATAAAAAGAAAAAAATAAATTAAAAAGACTGAAATTACGTCGCTACCGTCATAAAAAGTACGAAGTTGAGCCTCAGAAAGTTTTTTCGGACAGCGCTGCTTAGGGGCGATTCGACAAAGCTCGATCGGAATCATGGCTTTTTTAGTAGTTCCAACCCAAAATTAAGCATTTATAAAAGTTACAGTCAAAAGAAAACTTCCAAGCATGGAAGATGAAGGAACTTCAGATCGATACCGTATCTACTCTTGTAATATTCTGTCACCGGCACAACATTCCCATCTGACGACAGCTCTCCGGACAATAACAGACTGAAATCTTTAATTTTGAAGGGCCGAGCAGCCGAGAAAAAACAATCATCAATTGAAAAACTTTTTAGAAAAAAAAAATCTCCGGTTATAGGTAGACTCTAAAAAATGTTAGCTTAATTGAAATTAATAATTTTGTGAGAAAAGGTCTCAGAAAGTCGGAAAATACTCCTTGAGGTCCAGGTAAAGACCATGAAAGTGATAATCTGCAAAACTAACTAGTTTTAAATAGGCCACCTCAAAGTCAAAGAAAACTTCAAAATCCGTATAAAATGCCACTTTGAGTCCTTATTTCTCAAAAATAAGAAGTTGCGCAGTATTAGACTTCCAAGATATCTTTCGCTACATTCAGAAGTGCTCCGGTCAATTTTCCTACAATTTCCAATCTTGTAAAGACCCTAGACTCGTTCAGAAGTGCCAATGTCAAGCAAGATCGTTGGAAGTTACCACATAATCAAAAATAATAATAATAATACTTGAGGTTTTTAACTGGAGTCGCTTCGACGCCGGTGACTTTGTAAGTTCGCGGGCCTCCACAATGGGTCGTTTCCACTTTGAGACCGACGATCTCTTCGGAAAACTGCCGCAAATGCTTCTGTGTCAACTGCCGTCCATCCGTCAAAGCCTAATCATCAAACATCAACAGAACTCAATAGCCAGTGTTTTTGTTTCTTGTTTCCTTATGAATGTACCCATAATTCTTATATTTCAGCAAAATTTTTGAATAGAGATGAGACAACTTTCACAGCAAAAAAGTTGTAACACAAAGAGCTCTAGTCTTTATTTTCTTCTTCTCAGGCTGTAAAGCTTTCAACGTTTTTCGCCGTCAAAGTAATTCATCTCTTTATGGACTTCCTTTTTCCATTCAAAAATTTTCTGAAAATTTTCCGACCTTCATGTTGAAGCCCAAGACCTCCGCCAAAAAATCAAGAACGCCTATCTGCTTGTAAAATGTTCTTCGAGATACTGAAAAATGTTATGTACAATGCTTTTTTTTTTACATCGAACCGTCAACATTGAGAAAAAAGTCGTTTTGCCCCAAGTTGACGCTTTGATGGAAACCAAATCGTGCTTCTCGTGCACTCCCGAGGTCAATATTACCCCAGCCGAGGTCGAGCGACCGGCGTTCCAACTCCAGAGAGTCTTCGAACTTCAGGAAGAAGAAAAATCGCGATAGAGCAACGTTGTGCAGCGCAGAAATGCTTTGCAGCACGGCTTCGAAGACTTTAGCTGTCTGCGTCGCCAATTTCTCATCGATCCTTGAAAAATCAGTAAATCTGTCAAAACTGAAGGATAAAATACACCTCGAAAGTTGGATTTTTCCTGAAGGCTCTACGCGCACTTCAAACTGGTCTGCTTTGAGCACATAAAACGAGGAAGAAGTGTCGAACTGAAATAATAATCAAAGCTTGTGAACCAACTTCCGACATACCATATCATATTCAAGTTTTTCTTTGCTGTAAATCTTGGAAACACCGTCGAAAACCGCAAACGCCGAAGTTTCTTTTAATCGCGGGGTTGACTGCAAAGCTTTCATAACGATTCTTCTGAAAAGTTAGTTCAGAGGGGAAGAGAGAGCCCTGATAAACCTATTCAAGTTCGAAGAATTCGTTCCGGGATTAATTACCACATCGTATTGAAAAACAGTGGAATTGGATGGGTTAGTCAGTCCAAAATGATTTGAAAGAATAGGTATAACACGGCCAAATGTTCCACCTTTCAGAGGGCGCGACGCTATCGCGAATTTGTACATTTTTTCGTCTGAGACTCTGAAAATAAATAGAATTGGAGAAAGAGGATTTTGAGAGTCAAGAAAAAAGAACCTGATGTTCGTGTTATAATTATTGAAACCATGAGTGAATCTTGTATTTTGATCGAGAATAACTGCTGAGGCGTTTTCATCGTTCTGAACATTGAAATTACATAAAACGTGTAGTGATACGTAAACTTTGGCGTGTGTTTCTTCAATAACCAGTTTTTGAGAGCGTCTATTCGAACAGAATTTCTCTCTGAAAATGCTCCTTCTCCGTGAATCTGATTGGTAAATGTTTGACACTTCCTCCATCGGATTCACTGAAAGATCACACCTCTTTGATTCATTTTTTTTTTCTAATTTCTCTCGGATTCGTAACGCGAAACGGACGTGCCTCTGGACGTTTTTGAGCAGTTTTTGGGATCGCTAAAAATGCTGACGCTACTAAAGTCCATGGTTCTCTTCCTTCACGCCACAGATTTCAGTCTGTGAGCAAACAATAAACGTTTCATTTCATTGCAAAATGAAAACAAAAAAATATTATATAGGTGGTTACCTCTCATCGAATAAACATTTATAAATATGAAAAAAAGATTGAAATGAGAAACCTTCAACAGCACTCAAAAAAATAATTCACATTTTAAAAATTAGCATCAGAAAAAAACAGTTAATAGATAGGAAGTTGTAATTTTAAAAACCGAGTGTTTTTTTAAATAAGTTCGAAAAAAACCATCAAAAATTGAGAAATAATGTAATTTAGATTATTTATATAATTAAACTTCAAACTTCATCAGCAAATTCAATCATTTAAGTTACACGAATTATGTTCTTATAGTCGATGTGCCACGACTTGAAATTTCATGGAACGACACTCCGCTGGGTGGCCGTGAAAGCGCCTTGCCTTTGCGAATTTCGGTCGCGCTTTCCATTTTTTCTTTAATTTGAAATTTCGACTATTTCTGTGCGAAAGCAATAATAGTTCCGTTTTTGGCACATAAAAAACAATTAAAAAGTTGTTAAAAAAGGGAAAATATCAAATAAAAGGAAAAAAGGAAAGCGCGACCGAAATTCGCAAAGGAAAGGCGCTTCGCGACAGCGCGCACTAGTTCCACAAGAACATCGGAGTGTCGTTCCATGAAATTTCAAGTCATGGCACATCCACTATACAAGAGGACAAAAAAGATACAAAACCGTAGAAACATATGACCCAAAGTTTATTCAGAATAAAAATTTTATTCTCTGCAAAAAAAAAACGTGAAACCCGTGGCAATTTGTCATTTTTCTGATATCGAAAAAATTAAATGCAAAAAACCACGTAACAACGTGTCATTTATTCTTGTATAACCTGGCTTCAAATATCATTTCTGCTTCCCTCACGTGTCGTCTTGCTACTGCAGCCAACGTCAAGATGAGTTTTGAACTTCCATAGATTAGATTAATTTCCAAAATAAGTTTCTAAGTTGTAAGCGCTAGTAGATTAGGCCCGCGGGACTCCCGGAGTGCCGATCCTTTTTGCTTGCAAATTGGATACGCAAAGTCACGCCGAAGCCCATTCCGGTGGCCGAAGCACAAACTGTTGGCAGCGCGAAACTGACAAAGCGATGATGGGACCCCCGCGGAAAATGCCGTCACGGCTTTCGGCGTCTAGGATTCTTAGTTATGACAAGGCCTAGCGGAGCTCTAGCGCACTGCCTAGTTAGTTCTTTCTGACTGGATAAAGTTTCTCTAACTTACTACGACTTTACATAGCTAATCAATCAAAGCATTCAAAAAAACTATTTATATCCTCTTTCTCCGCATTTGAAAGTCTCTTATCTTTGGAATTCAGTTAATCGCTATGACAAGAATTCCGCCTTCCTTGATCAAAGTCGCAACGACGTTGTCAAACTAGACCCATGGCGGACGGAGTTAGATCAACTGCGGCTGAACAATACCAGGTACCAGCCCAATGCTCTTAAAAGCAGCTGAGGGTTTTTGTGTTCTGTGTTAAATTGCAAAGGAGAAAAGAAATAACAGTAACTTCACAATGGCTGAATCGCTCCTCGCTAGTACAAAAAATGAATTATCGTTTATTCAAAACTGATTGACATATGTTCAAAACAGGCTAGCCAGGCTTGTGCGAGGTCCAGATTGAAAATAAATTGAACTTTTCTCATTTCAATCTTTTCCGCGGAATTCCATATTCATAAATTTTTATTCGATAAGAGGTGATCTACCTATATATTTTGTTTTCATTTTGCAATGAAAAGAGATGTTAATTGTTCGCTCACAGACAGAATTACGTCAAATACATGGCAAAAAAAAAACCGTTAATTCTAATTTTTTCAAATAGAGCGGTAAACGGCGAAGGAGCGACATTATACAACCAATTTAAATGGAGTCAAGGCTGACAAACAATATAATCACAAAACTAACAGTCAGAAAGAAACATGTGAAAATTATAGTAGGGTTTTGAATTAATCAATCAAGTTCCAAAACAAAATTAAGCCACACCCAGTTTTCTGCAATTGTGGCGCGGTACTTTCTGCCTAGTTTTTCTTCACTGCGCTCACCCACTTTTGTGGACTATATCGCAGCGAGAGTAACGCTATACCGCGGGGGAGCCGCGAGCGATATCGCTCGCCTCTCGCTGCGACCTCGCAAACGTCTTGCGCTATATCGCTCTCTGAAAAATTTTTCTTCAAAAATGTTTTTTTCTTGAATTTGATTGATTTCATCATAAAGTCAAAAATAAAGCAAAAAAAATGTTTTTCAAATTTCATATTTTTGAGAGGGAGCGATATGGCAGCGAGACTTTGACGAGGTCGCAGCGACACGTTGACGAGATCGTAGCGAGAAGCCTTGGCTATATCGCGTGCGGCCCGCTGCGATATCGGCAATTATGTTGGGTGCTGTTCCCTTTATGGCGCGGATGGTACGACAAAATCTCAAGTCCGCAAATCTCGAGGACCGTAATCTTGTGTACGCAGATCTAAAGCCCCATATACTTGGAAACCAAAATCTTGGAGACCAAAATCTTGGAAACCACAATCTTGGAAAGCAAAAATCTCCCTTTTTAGTCTTCTTTATTGCACTTTATCTACTTATATTCTCTTGTTTGGATCACCAAATACAAATTCTGATAAAATCTATTCGCAAAAGCGTTGATTTTTACTTTCCAAGATTGTGGTTTCCAAGATTATGGGACTTTAGATCTGCGTACACAAGATTACAGTCCTCGAGATTTGCGGACTTGAGATTTTGTCGTACCATCATGGCGCGCCATGGCGTCTCAGGCACTGGTGGCGCGCGCGCTGCGCTTCAGGCGGGGACGCGATAGGTGTCCCCGCTTATTTTTTGCCTTTTTTGTTCATTTAATCTCATAAATTCGGCTTTTATCCATTATCTCATCTTGATTCTTAGTTTAACATAAAATTCGACGCATAAAACTCAACTATATCCATTTTTCAATTAAAATATGGTTCTTCAAAAACTCGCACAAATATTCTCGAAACTGGTTTTAAAAGGGAGTATGCATACTGCAGTATGTACTGATAAGTATTACAAAAAATACCAACAAACCATTTTAAAAAGGTTTTCCCACTCGAAAGGCTAAAATAAGTGCCAGAAACCCGGCGCGTCCCCCATCAGTGCCTGAGGTGTACATCGGACAAAACGAAAATTGCTTCGAAACGCAAAAAATTGCTCCAAAACAAAAATTAGCAATTTTTTGGAGCAACTTCCGTGGAACACGATTTTCCGTTTTGAAGCATGTTCCGTTTCTCCTATGAACTCGTCATTATATAGGAAAACCGTGACCCGTCTGTTTTGGAACCTTGTACAGCAGGTATAGACTTTTACGCGCGAAACTCTAAATTTTAAAACGACTTGAGCATTTTTAACGAAAATTTCAGATTCGCACTTAAAAGTTGATCGTTTTAGGACCCACTCATTCGGCTCTCGGAAAAAAAGTTTGCGAATTTCGTGCCCTGTTCATGCCGTGTTTAAAATTATTTTTCGCGAAATCCAAAATCATCTTTGACTCTCCAAAATGTACAACAGTTTAATCGCGTATGTTAGATAAAGCTATCAACTTTTTCCAAGATTTCGCTGGCAATTTCCTTCGAGTATTCTTCTAATTGTTAATCATTGAATTTTTTCAGTGTATCTAAAGAGTCTGTCAACAAATGCAACTGCACACAAGCTGTTCATTTGTAAGATGGTGGAAGTTTGGACTTCGTCGGCTCAAGAAAGTAAGATCGTAATTGAGACATTCAATCTGGCTCTCTCCAGGCTCAAATACCAATTGTGGCCCGTAATTGTTGCTCACGTACAGAGGGACGGAGGCTCACCTGCACAAGAAGATATTAGGTTACAAAAAGGCTGGCAGATTGCCCATTTATCCTGCCCCATGTAACCACCTCGGGCGGCTACATAACGCAAACAAACACCGACGACGAGACAACCTGTCATTACGGCATCCGATACGAGAGGAGGAGGCTAGTTGCCTCTTTCATTTTCTGCACCAAAAAAAGTCTGAATCTGAATTGGACACCAGGTGAAACAAATGACAAAAAAAATGGTTCAACTGAAAAAAATTGAAGGCGAAAGTAAGCAGTATTTTCTTTTTCTTCTCAAGTTGGGTTTGGTTTGAATACAGTTTTCTAGCTTTCGCTAATTGGAAGAAAAACAATCTCAAGAGTTCATCGCAACGAGTAGCTTTTTTTCTTGAGGACACAAACGGAGCTTTTAAAAAACTCAGTACCGTGTATGGTCTTAAATAATTTCTCTAATGGATTTTGATGAATACGAAGAGCAAAAAAAGAGATATCTCCCTTTGATAGCGAGATAATTTTTTTAGAATTCTACTGCTTGTTCGTTTTACTAATTCAAAGAACTTAATTTCACGAAAAAGTTTCATTTTCAGACTCCCATGTAGAATTTATAATTGTGCGTGTGTTAAACTGTGAAAATTTCTAATATCATCATAACTAGTGAAACTCCAATCTTTAGCGGGCAGGAAGAAGGATTTATGACTTCTTTGTAATCTATATTTTTTCAGTTGTGGAATAACAGTTTTTCAGATCCCTAGCCATTTCTCGCGAATATTCCTGCAGCTCCGCCTCCTTCAAGCAACTAGCCAATCAGCGGCCCTGAAGCACCCGTCTGGCCACGCCTCTGCAGAATAGCTTGAGCGATTGGTGACAGACAGGCGGCTGGCTGAAAGGCTGAATATTCCTCACGATGACCCTCAAGTTCTCGGTAGAGCGACTTGTTGATGAACCGACGAGCACGAGGCTTGATGAACCTGTTGCTCAGACTCTTTCCTACTTTGATGTACTTCTTCCGCATGTTCAGGTTTACTTTTTTGGCTTTCTCGTTAGTTTTCTTCGTCAATAGTTTCCCCTGAAAATTCTCTAGACTCTTGTTCTCGAACTGAAGTTGTTTGAAACAAGACTTACGATCAAATATATTTCAAATTTTAATCAATAATCATCCATCTTCGTTAGAAGAAACGCGTTATTTTACGGTAGAAGGCAAAGAGGACGAGGTGTGTTAAAATCCGCAAATTGTTCAATCTTACTCCTGATTGCATGAAGTGAGCGAGCCAAAAAGATCAGTGGCCCAGGAACGATTGGTCTGACGGCTTGAAGTAAGATTTTTCCTACCGTACCATGAAATAGAAGTTTTTGAGAAAATATAAATTTCAAATTTAGTCGTTCTTTTTCATGTTTTTTTGAATGTTTCAAACCTTTTTTTCATATTATATTGCTGTTGATTTCTTGCAATTTGTACTATTGTCAGTTCACCGGAACTGAAGATTTTACCTGGTTTTTTGTTTTTTTGCGAATCTAAAAATGTCAGAGTAATTTCGCGAAACTCATTATTATCACGAATTTTCCTACAATTTTTGCATATATTCACTCTCTTGAAGGTACTTTTGAGTTTTATTTCTTTGAATGAGATATAAACTTTTGATCTTCGAAATATTTTCATCCTTAAGAGCGAAGCTTTCCAAGCGCTAAAAATTAGCCAGGCGTAAGTTTTAAATCTGGACTGTAAAGTGAAAATTGAATCCTGAGTTTTGAGAAAAAAAGAAATGCTGTTTCAGATGGCTTGCTCGAATCCCTTTCTTTCTGGCCTCGGCGACTCCCCCAGTAACCAGACGCGTCTCTGGTCACAACAGTGGATAGAACTCCTTCAGCAGTCCAATTCTTCGCAATTTGGTTTGTTTTGGATTATATCAACTTTTTACAGTAGATAAGGTCATTTTATTAACTTGGCCATTTTTGGAGATATTTTATAAGATTAAGGTTTATAAAAAAGTAAAAAAAGCTTTTTTTTTCCTACCAAAAGTTTTTTCTTACAGAGTTCTTAAAAAAATAATTTTCAAAGCTTCTCGGTTAGGATAGCAACATTTCTCAATGTTCAAGTTTGTTCGATTATTCAAAACGTTGTATCATCTCAGCCTTTGACGGTATGCAAATTACCGCCATGACCGTTCCTTCGCCCACTGGCGCGTCGATTAGTTCTTGAAGAGCGGCGAGGTCTTCTTTCCACGCACAAAGGGGGTACGGTATCAACGGTCTCGTCGCGGTATTTGCTGTGCGCGAACTTACCGCCGCTTTGCGATTGTGTTTCTTCTCCCAAGTGCGAGCTGCAAAACCGCTACTCACATCTTCTTTGCAATTCGAGATGAAGAGATTGATCATTGAGGGGCGCTAAGCATGGTTTGTAGGTCGGAAATATCCGAACAGCAGTTTGGGAATATAATCAAAGGTAGAAAAACTTAAATCGCTTTGTAAGGTTTTTTTCATTCTCAGTTATCAGTTTGGGAATGTTTGAAAATGACGAAACCGGGGACACGAGTGTTTGTGCTGGTTTCCAAAAAATTCCCATTGTTCGTTGTCATAGTTTCTCTAATGGAAGGGATTATTCCAGCTATACAGTTATGCGCCGCAAAGCTACGTATCTTCATCTATTTATTGTCGAAAAGGACTTACTTTTGCGCAGCGTGGTTGCGACTACCCAGAATGCTCGTCGAGGTACCAGCTGAGCTTTGTGGAAATCTTAGTATTCTCAACTTCCGGTTTCCAAGAAAATTAATAGCTCAAAGCCGGAAAAGCATATTTCAGCGGTCTTTGATGTTTTTTTAAACTTGCTTAGAAGTATTTTTTTTTAAAAAATAGGAAGTTGTACAGGTTAGGACTTGCAGGATCTTGATCTGGTACCTCAAGAAGATTTCTGGAAAATTTTTAGGGTATTCCTCACCTCACAGTGAAATGACCTTACTTTTTCTGTTGGTTTTTCTGATTTTCCCCACCGTAATCTCAAAATAATATTTTTGGTTCAAAAACGTAATGTGGTCAGAAGCATGTATTCATCTCGCTTGATCGATTTGAAATTTCGTATCTCAACTGCTCCAGTCGTCGAAGACTTTTTGTATAAAAAAAATTTTTTTTTCAAAAAAGACTCGAGTATCTTTTTGAACACCACACGCACAACTTACATACCGCTCGCAACTATAGAAACGAAGAAACATGATCTCATGAAAAAAATGATTTAATTATTTGTGACAAATTATTTGTTTTTTTATATTTTTTTGATATTAGCGTCTTATCAATTTGATAAATAGGGGTCCTTTTTATTTAGTGTCCACTAAAGGAAATGTATCTTCCAACATTATTCCTTGAAGATCCACTTCATTTTTTCCCAGTGCCAGAAGCCGCGTCGTGACCGTAACAAGCGCTACGATGCGTTCACTACTTTTCAATTTAAAAGTAATGACTATTCACCTTTGCTTTTTTTGTTCGAGTTTTTGAGAAAATTCCAAAATTGTACGAGGGTATTTTGGTTCAACTTGATAAAGTCCGTTTTACAGGCGAAGTAGCAGCGGGGCTATTTCTGCAGCCATTCCGAAAGAATAAACGAATCCGAACCGCATTCAGTCCTGCGCAACTCGTTCAGCTGGAAAAGGCGTTCGACGGAAATCACTACGTAGTTGGTAATGAACGTAAGCAACTCGCATCGCGACTGTCCCTAACAGAAACTCAGGTACGGACTCATTGTGGATATTTCGTTCAATTTTCACAGATTCTAGAATTGAATTTGCTAGAAAATCAGCTCAATTGGTTTTGGGTTCCATACTGGGCTTTTTTTTCGAATTCCAAACTTTAAAAAAATTTTGATGAAAATTTATTTTAGAGGTCCATTTTTAAAGTTCATTTTTCTTTTTTAATTAGTAGTTGACTTGAACTCAAATTTATTTTTCCATTTTTTTTTGTTTCTCAGTTAGTAAAATTGCAATCGGTCGACGACAGACCGTTTGTCGATATAAATAAAGCCGAGAAAAGACTAGACTTACCCTCGTTTGGTCGGACAACAAGACCGGCGACAATGATAATCCTACCGGGAGCTCGAAGCCGAATGCAAGCAAATTTTCGCTCGAGTGCTATTATGCGACGCGCCTTCTTGTTCTCTCCGGGCAAACAACCATCACACCAAATTGCAGGTCAAGGTTTGGTTTCAAAACCGTCGAACTAAGCACAAGCGAGTCCGTCTCGACAACTGCGCTTCTTCAGGTTGAATTTCATCCTTTTTGAACTTGAGTCATTCGAACTTAACTCTTTCAAAAGCTATAGGCCAGTGGACTCAAACTTGGAGCTCATTGATTTCTCAATCTAGAAGTAGTATTTATTCTTTTTTACCTTTTAGTTAGGCTATGAAAACTCAAAGTTCGTATTCTATCTTTGCATTGAATAAATGAAGGTTTTAAGGGCCATAACTCGGCGGAAAATGAGAAAAATGTTCTGGATTTGAGTTTTCTGAAAAGCGTCTCCTACTCGAAAAACATCTCAGAGGATTCTCAGCAAAATTCAAATCTGTCTCTGATCAGTTTTCAAGTCAGCTTGACCTCTTAGTTCGGCGCTATATTCAAAACGAGAGCTTTGAAGAAGCAGGAATTAGGCATGAATGTTCAAAAATATGCGAAAATAAAGTGAAAAAGGTGATTTTTCCAAGATATTCGTTATAAATTCCAGTGGCCGTAAAATAATCTGGAAATAAATGAAGATTTTAATAGTGTTTAATCTTTACAAGTTCAATAAAATAATAAGCAAGTGATAATGTTTGGTGGTCCATACAATAACCCGACTATGTGACGAGTTGGGAGCAAAGCGTTGCATAGAACAATTTTTGAAATGACATATTCGATTTAAAAAAAAAAAACAGAAAACGTTGTTTTTTAATAATATTTTTTCCAGAAACTTCGACAACGGCTGAAAAGGACGAATCACAACCATCTGAGCCGAGAACGCCCTAAGTTTGAAAAAGAATGAAGAAACTCTGTCTCTCAAAAACCCACAAGAAAGTATTGACGAGAATTTATTTTTAAAAAGTATATATATTTCTTGTTTTTGTTGGTTTCCCGTGCCATATTCGAAGAATCATAAATGAAATTGTAGTTTTTCCTTCATCATATGATCTTGTTCAAAACTAAATTCTTTCACACTGGAAATTAACGTTGGTTTCGATGGTCAATGGAGTGGAAAAGTACGAGAGGCAAAAGCGGCGCGAAGATTACAGTATTAAAAAGGCAATTGTGCGTAAATTTCCGCGTTTTGCACCACAAAATGACACGTTTTGTGGGTCTGTAATTGTTGTCTCATCATAAAAATTGAAATTAAGATCGCGTGTTCTCGAAAAGAAGAGAGAAAAAAGCGACGCCACGTAATTTGAATCGCTGCCAGCCTCCGAAAGGTTTTTTTCGCCTTGTTGTGAATGGACCAACTTATGGAAAAGGGGTCGCAAATTGAGAAACAAGGACGCGAATGTCTGATTGTTAATTAAGAAATCAAAAAAAGAAGAGAAGGAACTGGACTTTCGAGGAATTTTCTAGATTAAGGGGTGCTTGAAAGTTTTCTGATCCTAGGAAAAGTGAGGAATTCCTAACCGTTTAATATCTTTCAAAGGGTCTCACCGTCTTTACATGATTTCCAAGGAAAAATTGAAGTTAAAAATAAATAAATGTTTTCTAGCTACAGATGAAAGCTAACAAGGTTTTATTTTGACAAACTTCTGAGATAGGTAGTCCTAGGTATGAGTACTCGAAATTGGAAAGAGTTATCTGCCGAGCGTCAAAGGGTTTGAGAAATCGCCCATCGAAAATTTACGGGAAAAGCTCAAAAACCGATTTTCTTCGGATTTTTGGTGGCTTAAAAAACCTCTGCAAATTAATAGTTTATAAAAAAAACACAAGAAAGACTATTTTTCCTCAAAAAACTCAATGAGAATCATTTTTTGAGCTTCTAAATAACTTATGGAATTTGGCCGATAATTCTTTTCGTTTTCGAGTACTCTTGGACTGCCTACCACTGAAGGTTAGACCAGATCTGCGATGCCCTCAAAAACTTCCTTCGTAAGTATTTTCACAAAATTAGAACGTATTAAGGAGCGTAGAAATGATTTATAAACTGATCGAGGCGACAATTTTTTTTTTTGCAGTAGCTATACGTACACTGAATGAATTAAGTAATTTATTGTATTAATTTCAAAAATTTAAATTTCTTTTTTTGGAAATTCAGTACTGTATCTTGTTAAAGAACTAAAAAAGTCAGTCATTTTGATCCTTTTGAACTTACATAAGGAAACTATCGTCAATAAGACAAAAACAAAACTTTCTGGGATGTTCACTAAAAACAAAAAAAAAATCTTGCATTGAACGTACCAACAAGTTTCGATGTACATGTCATGAAAGTTCAAATACTTTTTGAGTTGAAAAATGAACTAGTCAGTTTGTTTTCATGTCAATGCGCTATTTCAGCCGAAGCGATGCTGAACTAGCTCGATGACCGTAGCCGTGGCCGTTGATCCATTACCCAAATATAGCAACATTCTTTGTCTTTGCACCTGTACCTCATTGTCAGCCGAGGCTTATTCACGGTTGTCAGGAAATATTCTATCTAGGAAAAAAATATAAAAACTTAACCCTTTTCAAAAAAATTCATACAATTGATTGTTCCTGCAATAATAAATTCAAAAAAAAAACGAGGAAAAAAGATTAAAGCACAATTTTTTATAAAACAGTTTCCATAAGGAAACTCGCAAATAAAGCTATTAAAATTACAACTTTGGTTGATACAAAAGTCAAAGTTTTTTCTTCCACTTTTTACAAACAAACACGATGGTGACCCGTTTTCCTATATAGCTTCGTGAAATGACAATTGCACTCGGGACTCATTCAATCGGTTTCAGTTTTCGTATACAAGTAGAACGGCTTATTTACGAATGAGCCGCGCGTACCAACAGCTTGCAACCGCAGGAACCGCCTGAAAATTGGCCAGTTTTTTTCTAAATAGGATAAGTTGGGTATCTAAATTCATACATGGGCACCTTTTTAAAAGGCTGCCATCACCTACTCCTGAGCCTTCCTAAATTGAAGTTCGTAATACCTGACTGAGTTCAAAGCTCCCTCTAATTTTGTCAACACTACCTCCCTGAGAATAAAAGTTTACTTTATTCATCTTTTTTTCGTAGGACAACTGTTCCCGGACTCATTAAGTTCCTAACTTGCCCACATATGTCTGAAACCAAGCTTTTAAAATTAAACCAAATTCAATTTTCGAGCCTGAGGGACTTCTTGGCGGCTCACTTCTTTCTAGCTAGATTCCCAGATTACCGTTAAGAATTTTACTGGAGAAGATTTGAAAGATTGAGGTACCTGAGCAAAACTATTGACAATGGAGAGCCAGGCAGCGACGCCGACGACATGCAGGAGGTCCGCCTGCAGAAGTTCGTAGCATGTCTTGGTGTGGTAGACGACTTCGCTGGTTCCAAACGGGTCAGTTAGACATTCCGATAAATATTCTTGTAGGCAACTGAAATTGTTAGATGATAACAAACATATCTCTCTTGAAAAAATCTTGCTGGGGTTCGAATGTTGAGGTACCAGGCAAATACTCTGTCCTGGACCTGCACTCTTTAGTTTTGTGCACAAGAAGCTCGAAGCTTTCGAAGGATTTCTTCATACATGGCCAGACCTAATTTCAGGGCCGCCGAAGACTTTCCAGGAAAAATACCAAATTTTCTCGGGATCATTTTTGGAGTCAGAAAACTTGCATTTATTTTCTCAAGTTTTTTTTTTGAATGTGGTCCTTAACGTTTTTCACAAAGTCCGTGTCAGTTATTGAGTTCAGATTGAGAATTATTCTTGGGAAAATTAGTTGGATGGTTAAAGAAGTCTTTTTTGCAAAATTTTCATTTCTCTTTTTTTCAAGTTTTTGAAATTCTAAAGCTTTAGCCGATGCACATTTATTTTTCTCTTGAGACCGAAAAATTGACTTTCATCTTTCATTTAAAAAACTGAACCCATAAAATCTCTTTTTCTTTCAAAATTTCAGTTTGGCCAAATACGATTATTACGCATTATTTTGCGTTGTTTTCAAGTTTTACTACAGTTTTCTTAAATAAGCTACTGGAAATGTCGCCTATTCGAAAAATCGCACGTGTGGTGTTTTTAAGCGTACGGAGAGCGTTCTGACTGATTTGAATGACGGTCTCAGCAAGGAAGGCGCACGCGGCATTCTGCTTTTTTGCACTCTGGTGCGAAACTTGGGAAACTCCAAGCTTGAGTCATCCGTGGATCGGCTTTAATATATTACAAATTTTTATTAGAATTAATCAAGGTTTTTCATTTTTATTTCCACGTGAGAAAATTTTCAAGCTTTTAGGAGAAATCCTAGGACCAAAATTTCACTGCCACTTTCTCAATTGTTTTTTCAATTTTTTCGGATAAGATCTCTTTAATAATACCCACCAAGAAGCCGGAAGGATCCTTTTCGGAACTTTTTGATGCATGTACCATTTGGAGGTTCGCCAAACGTGTGCGTCGTCCGTTCCGTTGACGCCACAACATTTAAACTGAGCAGAAGATTGGTATCGAAAAATACAATTAAGAACGAACGTTAGATTGCAAATGATCCCAAGACTCTGTGATCGCCTCCATTTGTGTCGTACCGTACAGCTCGCGCAGGGACGTGAGCATCTTGAGATTCAGTGGGATGTTGTTTACCAACTGGAAAAGAATCAAATCAAAGTCAGAAGGTCGGAAAACCTGATATCTGAATACAAAACCCATGATGCCGCCAATGAAGAGCATAGTAAAAATAACCAACGAGGCGATCGCACACTGTAAATTTCTTGATTATTGCGAAAATGTATAGTAGTGGCCCTAGGATTACATTATCTCATAGCTTTTAGAGTTTTGAAGCTGTCTTTCTGGATCATTGGAACTTTTTTTTGGTAGAATGGAAAAGGGTTGACTCACCGAGTAGACCCCACACCGTAACTCTTTGCAAAGAGAATACATGGAGATGGCATGGTTAATTATACAAAGAATGGAAATGACGACAAGGATCCGGGCTACGTCGACGTACAAAGACGGCGCCAGAAGCTCTGCGTACTGTGACCGCCTCGCTAATAGCCAACTGCCGTAACAAACACAAGATATTGAGAACATCTGGAATATAATCGAAGTTTCGGAGTCATCGTGCGCCAAGACTCACAATTGACAAAAACGAGAAGAAGAGAAAAGAGAAGCGTATGGTCCTGCCGACAGCCCCATAGGCCGACCAACGGCCAAACGTGCTCATCGCGAGTCTAAAACAACCGCTTTTTTCCATATGTTTTATGTGAAAGATGACGAACGAAGATAGATTTGGACAAAAAGCAGGATTCCAAGAGGAAAATGAATCAAAATCGAAGATTCATATACGGGTTGGATGAGCCTCGATACGATCTCAGAAGATGAGGTCGCGCAATAACGTCACAGAACCCTCATGAGGTTTTTGCAAATAATACATATGTAAAAACTTCCTCTTTTTTGTTTTAATTCAAATTTTTCACAAAGCAATACAAAAGCCATTCTGGGAAAAATTTTGAACGGCGAATGATATCATGGTTACGTCGTTGAAAACAAATGTAGCAATGAAGATGTGTGGAGAAACCAGTAATTTCTCTTTCATTTGGAAAAAAAAACAACGGAGTCTGGGAAGCGAAACGTCAGATTGAGATATCAAATAGATCATATCTAATCGAAGCTTCATCCTTAAACTGTTCCAAAAAAATGGAGTTATTGTTTTTTTCGAGAAACAATTTGAAAGAAATGTTTAACTAAAAAATTTCGTAGATCACTAAAAAGAAAAGAAGAAACGATTTTCATTTATATTTTTGATCCAGTAAGTTTTTCACTTGCATTCACAAATTTGGGATATTTTTGACGCAATTTTCACATTGAATATGGCTGCAATTGATTCAAAAAATCAGAAAAATAGGAACCTAGAACTTTTTTTTATGTTTTCATCATTACATGGTCGCAAAATGAAAATTTATCGGATACATTTGTAGAAATTTTTTATGACTGTGATGAGATGGCTTGTAAAACTACGATGAGATCTAAATTTGGAAGAATTCATTTCAAAAGACGTCTGGCGTAGACGGCGAGGCGCAGCGAACACCCTCAGTTTACACCGTCGGCCTGGGTTCGGCCTTGGTCCGCCGTTGCCGCGCAGCAGCAGTGCCGACGTCACTCGCTCTCGTTTGACGGGCTGCTCGACGACCACTCGTCGACCACCCCTTTTTTTCTTTAATTGCCAGAATTCAGAAAAAAAAGTTTGACACAAGCTTAGCATATGGGCTTTGTAGCTAATTAACGAGATTAAATTATCAGCAAATTAGTTAGAAGAGCCGCAAGGAATGAAGGTAGATAAGAACAAATTGAGGAAACTATAATGAGTCCCAATGAACATTGTTTTCTTCGGGTAAGACGGGATAATTGATAAATATAGACAAAAAAGGTTTTTGAATAACCAGAAACAATTTGTTATCGAAAAAGCAAACAGAGAGCAGCCACTGAAAAGGGCGCTATGAGTTCAATCATTTGATCTCAATGGCTGGAAAAAAAAAATGAAATTCTCAGTTTTTCCGCAATATTCAACCTTCCTCATTTCACATTTTCGACACTCTTCTACATGTTTATTTTTTTTTTTCAACAATGAGCTTTTGTTTTTACAATTTTTGAAATTCCATCAAACTGTCAAAATATAGAACATGTGAAAAAAATAGTTTCTTTTTCAATTCAAAAATGTGAAAACTTCCAAATAAAAAAATAACTCTGAAAAAAAGACAAAAGCAGCAAAAAAACGGCTATCTTGCTATTGAGAAAAAAATTTTTAAAAAAATCTCGAGTTGAAAAAAATTATAAGGAAAAAAATAAGGTTATGTATTTGAAAGTTTCACCCGCATAAGAAAAATAAAATGTTCGAGTACTGAAATCTTTAAATTAAAGCCTAATGACTCAAGCAAACAATAGCAGGTTTTTCTTTCAACAAACTGAGTTGAAAGGTTGACAAAAAAGGAGAGTGATGAAAAAAGATCGAAAAAAGCAACAACAAAAATGGTTTTCTCTGACTTCGAATAGACCTTTGATTTTCAATAATAATGGATTAAATAATGAAAAATTTCGAAATAGATAGTCAAAAGAAGAGAACTTTGAATCATTAGTTCGGGAAAACTGGTATTTAAAATTTTGATCGAAAAGGCAGAAGAAGAATCGATTTTATAATAACAGCTTAGTATATCGAGGAATGATCAAGTTTCGAAGAAACATATCAAAAATCAGTCAAACGTAAATTTCGAAGTTGAATCAAGCAGGCGGAAGTGAAATCGAATGAATATGAACGACCAAAAACCGATCCCAATGGATATCTCTAGAAAACAAAACAAAAAGAAAAGGGAAACTGGCGATCAAGGAGGAGAAGAAGTTGGGCAGAATCGATAGGACAGGCGAAGCGTCGAAGAGGAGGCGGAAACGAGTTATGCCACACGTCCACTCGTGGGCCCGAAGGCGGCGGCTGCAAGAAAAAGGAAAGAAGAATACGTGCGGAAGAAAATTGAAAATACAGAAGCGGAAAAGACTGCGGAGGCCGTATTTACTCGTCCACTTGTCGAAATGCTCAGGCCTGATGTTAAGTTGTAAGTGGGCGGTAAAGTAAAGGATACCACTTTTGCGGCCCTCTTTGAGTCAACATTATATGTGGTGTCGAAAAATGAAGCTTTTAGGATCGTGTCTTAACAGAAATCGTCGAGCAGAAACAGTGTCTAAGATAGCTTTCTGTAGGAAAACTTGAAAATAATCTCAAAAATGATGCGGATTCTGAGTGCGAAGTCTGTGTAGAAAGAATGCCACTGTAGGCTCTACTTTCTGCACGAATTTCGAAGAGAAGCTCATCACCAAACTCGGAGGACCAGTGAATATTCCAAAGAAGGATCCTGGCATTATTGGCTGGCTTTATGGCAAATTAAAAGGAAAAGCTTGAATAATGAGAGTCAATGCGAAGGTATTATGGAAGGAGGGAAAGTTTTGAGAAAGTGAGTCTGAGGTGGCGACACAATGGACCAACTCCAGCTGCCAACCGGTCCGCCGCTCCTCCCGCTTTATGACTGACGGAATGAGCGGCAGCTACCCTGATAGTTGAGTTTTTATTTACCTCGCACACGCAGAAATCAAATATTAAATTTCGAACACTCCTCGGTAGATTGCAATCCTGTTATTCATTGTTCTCACCTCGAACTACTTTTTTCCTTTCAATTTTTTTGCCGTTTCCAAAGTAATTTTGCGGCATGTTATTTTTCGTTGTGCGAAATTAATTTTAACACGGCGTAAAATCGTTCGTTTGAAAATGAGAGTTGAAGGAATTCTTAAAAAGCAAAGAATGAAAGAGCAGGACGAAATAGCTCGTCGAACATAGTAAAATAGACGTTTCATAGATGAATTTTTTTTTCGCATGTCGAAGGAAAAAACACAAATAAATAAATAAAAAGCTCAATAAAAGTTTTTTTTGTCTAGACGACTTAGAAAAAGTACAGAAAGCAAACCAAAAATTATCTTGCGGGGTTATCAAACAGGTGAGTATGTTTGCAGAGCCCTTAAAGTTTCGAGCAAGTGAGAAACTAGACCTGGAACGGAAAAGCTTTCCAGAAAGCCGTCCGTCGGCGCCAGTGCCTTCAATAGAAGTAGTTTTCAAAGACAGAGAACTTGTCTTGAAACGTTCAAATGTACAAATGGACACCTCAATGTTTTTTGTTATTACTCCGCTTTGTTATCAGTTTCACCTAAAGTACCGCAATACTGCTGTGTTTATTTTCATTGTGAAAAGAAGGGAGGTCAAACCGTTTGTATAATAATAGTTGTACAGTTTTCGAAAAGGGTTGCTCTTCTGTCTTGAAAATTTTCCATTTTTATTTTTCCTTTTCAAAAGTTGTAATGACCTAGATTGAAATAAATTTCGACGAGTTTAAGCAACAGGAACAAGTCGATCTGGTTGCCGATCTCCATGCGTAACTCGGTGTTGATAGAACTTATGGCCGTTTATCGAATGATGAAATTTGTAGGAACGGTCCCTAGGATTAATCGTATCATCAAGGTGAATTTGGAAAGTAACAGAAAGTTCAAGAAATGAAAAAACCTTCTTGTGAGGACTTTTTCGGCCGGACAAATGTTGACGTGCTTCTGTGTGAAGTCGCTTCTCTGAGTCGATTGTCCAAGGAATTCTCCGGATGCGTTGAGCCACTCATCGTGTGGTCGTGCAATCTCGGGACGTTCTCCTAAGCCAGAAAGTTCCACGTTTCGATATTTTTCATTTTTTCACCATATTTTCTACCGAAACCGTCGTGGTAGGTGGAAGTGGCGTCGAATGGCTCGTCGCTCATAAAAGAAACATTTGCCGGCTTCACCGAGATTGTTCTGGCGTTATGATTTTGTTGGATTTTGGTCACATGTAAGTAAGAAACTTGGTTGCAGGTTTAGCGATGAAGTCGTCATGTGTGGTTGTGGACTGAGCGAAATTCCCATCGAGCAGCAAGGACGAGGAGAGCGGTCGAACAGCCTGTGGTCGAGAACCCTACGTTTGAAAGTGAAATCTAGAAACGAAGCTTATTTTTTTCAACCGTTTTATGATTGAAATCGACGCGATTGGTAGTTGTGTCGAAGAACTCGCCGGACGGTAGAGATGAAGCTTCTCGCCGTATCGCAGGATTTCTCAGGTACTGCAAGAAAAAGGAGAATCAGTTAATCATTGGCAAGTTCAAGGAAGTAGCGCTGGCACAAAAAAGTGGTCGACTCAGAAGCCATCGAACTTTTTTTTTCAAGAAATCCCTGAAAAATTTCGATCTTGATTTTTAAATTTCAAGTACGGAATTTCCGAACACATATTTTCCCATATTCTCCCTACGTGAATTTCAGTACTTGTATGTGAGAAATAAAACATTTTGATTTTGATTGATTGTATCGCTTCTAGTTCAAAATATGCCAAAAACTACCTCTTTCGCCTCAAAATCAGCTTTGTTAGTGGTCGTTCCTGAAAATGGTCCGTCGCTGAGTAAATTTGATTGAATCGGTCGAACTACGTTCTGCCGACCTCCCTAAAATTTCAAGCTTGGAAAAAGTTTCGATTTAAACCTAATAAAGTTACCTGCTTCAGATTGAAGTCTGTTCGTTGGGTGGTCGCATCAAAGAATTCGCCCGAAGGTGAGGACTTTGGTTCTCGGCGGATGACAGCCGCTCGAGAGTAATGAAACGGTAAATTTATATAGTCTGTTCTGAGTTCAGGACATTTTGTGAAAGTTCTTAGAAAAGCATAAAAATCTCAGAAAGGTCTCGCTTTGAGACGCTTTTTGAGACGCTTTTGACTACGTTCAAAATAAGAAATATCTAACTTCTTTCTGATCATAGTCGTCTTTATTAGTTGTGGAGTTTTGGAATGGGTCTGTCCTTTGGAAATACGGTTGAGCATCAGGTCGGACTTGCTCTCGCGGAACAGCCTCAATAGAAAAAAATTTAATTTTTTCACGACGCTGAACCTCTTTCAGATTGAAGTCCGATTTGTTAGTGGTTGTACTACTGAAAGGATCCAGCCGAAGCTGTTGCTGTGTAGAAGGTCTGATGGCTCCTTGTCTTTCACCCTGATATCATTTTTCATCCTGATATTTTTCTTTAAATAAAGAAAACCATTTTACGATTAAAGTCAGCTTTGTTGGTTGTGGTTCCATTGAACGAGTCTTGCTGGAGGTATTGTTGAGTGGCCGGCCTGACAGCTCCTTGTCGCTCTCCCTAAATTGTTTTTCTTATAACCGTCGTCCTTTATTTTCGTTCCTGCTTCCGTCCATAATCAGCTTTCTGTGTGGTAGAGTCATAAAACTCGCCACCCGGAAGTCCGGCGGAGTTCAGACGTACGGGTTGATCTCGGATAATCTTCAAAAGTAGTTAGCCCTTGAGTGACTGGTTCCAACTACTGCTTTAGGTTGGTAGTCGGCTCGATTGGTGGTGCTGGAGTGGAACTCGCCGCTTTGAAGAAGTTCGTCCTCCCGTCGGTATGGCAGGGGACGTGAGCTCTGAACAGTTGTTCGAGAAGCCAAGAGAGTTTTGAATTCTGTTCGACTTTACGACTTGAGGTCAGCTACTTCTTACAGTTGCTTTATACCTAAATCTGAAGGGGCGAAATTTCTGTTGCCTATTGTTTCTAGCGAGATTTAGGTGTAACGGAAAGCAAATTTCAAATTTTAAAATTGCGGTTTTTAACATCTGCTTCTTTTTGTTCAATGAGTGTCGAATAATTGAAAAAAAAAATCTGAACCTGTTTTAGATTGAAATCGGTACGATTTGTGGTTGTTGCGTCGAACGCGTCGCTTGTAACGTTGGCAGGTGCAGCATTTACAGTTTTAGCCCTGGATGAGCCATTTAAAGAACAATATTTGCAGGTTTGGAAATTGGCAAACCTAGAAGCGTATTTTGCCGGGTACTGCGACGCATATTCGCTCTTGGATTCGCCGATTCCACCAGCTATTGCGAAATCTGCGTCGACGTGTTCGCATTTGTGTTGTCTGTATCAATTGATTTCTTTTTACACCAAAAAAGATATATTTATGGATATGTTGATGTTTTTTTTGTTCGTTAAGGTTTTATCGAATAATCCAATTTCCGGACGTAACCAGTTTTTTTTTTCAAAAAATTTGCAATGGTCTTCCTGAAAATTGATCAATGGAAGTTGAATTTGGATCAAATAATTCCAAAAAAGGGACTTACCCGCATTGACAGATTTGGCAGATGCACTTCTCCTCGACCTCTTCATTCGACATTTGCGATTTCACTCGCACAAAAAAGACGCTTAGTAACGAAAGGCCGAGGTCTTCCAGACTTTCGTTGTCCAGGTCCCTCCTTTTTCAGCCATGCTCCGTTGGAGTGTTTCCTGCTCGCAAAACTTTTCCCTTCATCCGCTCGGCACCATTATTCTACGTTTCTTTGGAGATTTCAGAAGGAAATACACGAAAAAAAAAATGTATACAGCAGTATGAATAATGGAAAAACCTCAGAATACTTGAATAAAAAAAAATTAACCGAGCACGCAAAGGATCGAAAAAAAAGAAGAAATATATGGTTTAAATGTATATATATAGTTTCTTTGTGTTTATAAATCTTTGTGTATATAAATGTATATAAAAATTTTTCTTTACAGGTGGGGTTAATCCACCTAGTGGTCTTTTTCCTTCCCTGCAACATCACCATACCATACCGATGTTGCGAAAATAAATAATTGATTGATTGATTGATACTTGTTCTTTAGGTATCTAAACACATCTAAACAAAACCATTAAACACAGAATTACTCGAAATCAGAGAGAAAAAATTTGAATTCCCGCCAAAAGGGCGTTTTGCAGTAAAGTTGCTCTGTGGACAACACGCTTTACCATTTTTTGGATTTTCGTTTTTTTTTCTTCGTTCTTTTTTTTCATTCAAATTTGATTTGCTTTTTTGTTTGCAACAAAGTTTTTTTTCACCGTGAAATCTTTTTGTTTATGTATAATTCGCAAATTTTGATCGCAAAATGCTTCCGAAGTGAAAAAGAAAAGATTTTATACAGTTTTCGGTTGGGATATCGATATTTCGCGTTTCATTTAATATCCGTGTCTAAATGATTTTTTAGATAAAAGAAAAGCTTTAATTTGAAGCAGATACCCGGTTATTTCTCACAAAATGCGAGTCTGATGACGTCCGCAACTTCTCGTGCACGGCTACTGTAAACAGTTTTGTGTACACCAATCCAGAGAAAAATTGAAGACGGAAAAATAAAATCGGGTTTTCTTTCAAAACTAGTACTATAGTCATATCTGTGATTTTGAGTACACCGTTAATTCGCAATGAAAAAATCTAAAAGGTACCAATTTAGCCTCAAACTCTGTTTTTTACTGCCCCTATATAGGGGCCTGAGGCGCCTGAGAGCTTTTGGCACACGCGGCGTATAAAAAATCGATTGAATTTTAGGGCGCTGATATCTGAGTAATTTATTTCAAAATCGTTGGATTTTGAATTCTTTTCTTTTCAATTCTAATTTTTTTTTTCATTACACTCTTTTGCGTCCGAACGAGCCGAGAACAGGCAAAGCAATTTACGCTTGTCGTTTTTTTAAGACCTGCTCATTGAGGCCCTATCACATTGAAAATATTATTAACCGATAACTTGGTTCGAACTTTCTTTATCGCCTAGACCCGAAGAATGAGCATCCAGCTTTCTTTTTTCAACAAAGATTTTTGTGTGAATTTCCTTTTCAAAGTTTTATGGCACTTTTTTGAAAGAACAGAAGCGATTTTGGATGCGTTATGACAGAAATGAACGTGTGTCGATGCGTCATGGCGGTTGTAAACAATTTCTTCCTCTCCCTCTTTCCCTTTTTCTCTGTTCCTTGCTTTTTTCGCGTTTGTTTTTGAATGTTCCCGCCAGCCGCTTCTGCGTCTCTACTGTTGTTTGTTTGAATCTAGACGCCTCATTTCGTTATTTACTTCGTTTTACCCATTCCGGTCATTTCGTTTTTCACTATAATTTCGTTTATCTATTATCAACGGTGTTGAGAAAGATTTCCTTTCTACAGTTGGGAAAAGATTCTCTGTTTTGCAGGCAGAAAGAAAAAATCAGCAGTTTCTTCTCAGCTCTTGCTTCTTTTTCACTTATAACGAACACGAAATATTTGTGTTTGAGACGATACACTTAGACTTCATACTTGTAAGGATTAACCAAAAAAAAAAAGCATATATACTGAGAAGCGCAAACGGGGTAGACAGCGTTATAAAATTAAAGCAAAAAGGTAAAAAATGAAGGGTTTTCTTTTTAAATCCATGATCTAAATGATAAAAAAAGGGTGCATATTTTTCAGGTTTTTTAAATTTTTTTTCTTCATAAAACAGAAACAGAAAAAATTGATCGATTTTTTTTTTCTACTACAAAGATCGTCCTTGGGTTCAAGTCCAGCCGATTCGAATTTCTCTTTCTTTTTGAACTATATCTTTTGAATGATATCTCTCGAGTTTGCTTCATCGGTTCCATTAAATGACCATTTTTCGCGGCTTTCTCCGTTTTTGGATTTTCATCATATTTTTCAGATATAAATATGGTGTTTGAATCGTTGGTTGCAGACCTTCTTAATAGGTTCTTAGGAGATTTTGTCGACAACCTCGATTCATCGCAGTTGAACATTGGAATATGGGGAGGTTACGCAGATTTTTTAGTTTTTGTCTGAAGTATCGTGTTTAAAGGAGATGTCAAATTAGAAAATTTGCAAGTGAAGGAGACGGCGTTGGATGACCTCGACCTTCCAGTTAAATTGAAATTCGGCTACCTTTCCTCATTGATTCTGAAAATCCCATGGAAGAATCTGTACAAAGAGCCAGTTATCGCCACGATCGACGGCTTGAACTTGATTGTGGTGCCTAACAAAGGCGTCGTTTACAGTGAAGACAAGGTTCAGTTCTAATGAAATCAACTAAACTGAAGTTTTTGAGGCGATGAAAAACACACAAGAAGTCAAGCAAAAGACGCTCGACCGGCTCGAGCAAGCCAGAAAAGACCGACGAAAGCCAAAAAACCCCGAGTCCGACACGTTCGCTGAGAAGATGGTCGCCCAAATTATCAAAAATTTACAGGTCATCCGCTTTTCTTTTTTTGAGTGTGAATAGTCAAAGCTCTATTTTTTTGCTTTGAAACTTTTATTATGATTCTTGATAGTTGTCTAACAGTTTTATTTTATTTTCGTAGTTCTTTTTTTTCTATTCTCGAAATTGAAAAAAAAGAATTGTGATGCAAAAGTCTTGAATTCATTCCAAAGTAGTCCGAATTCGAACCTAAGGAATGTTTAAATAAACTTGAAAAGTTATAATCAGTAGTTATCCCCTTTTTGACTCACTTTTGAAATTGAAAAAAAAGCTTTCGTAAAAGTTTCCAGATTTGCAATGGAAAATTTACTGTTTCTTGGTTAAGCGTGAGTGAAACTTCTATGCTTTTATTGGAGTCGTATGTTACCTTTTTTTTCTGTAGTACTAAAAACCTCAGAATCCGATTTGCAGGTCTCTATTTCGAACATTCATGTTCGCTTCGAGGACAAATACACGAATCGCCACCGGCCATTCGCTATGGGAATCACTCTGAAAAATTTGGAATTCAAGGTTTCTTTTTTTTCCCAAAGGGAGGAAGTCTTTTCTTCAGACAACTGATGAGAATTGGCGAGAAACGATTCACAAAGAAACGGTTAAAATCATATACAAGCTGGTTTCGTTGGAGAACCTGGCAGTGTACTGGAACTCCGATTCTGAACTGATTTCGGACCTCGAGGACAAGGAACAGATCCGTCGGAAGCTGCAGGAGACCATTCATGACGGCAAAAATGTCCCCAAAGGCTACAAATATAGTGAGTTCATCAAAGAAAACTCAAAAAAAAGAAATCGGTATTTTCAATTGCATGTCTGCAATTTAGGAGATTATTCCTTAATTGGTTATTTATTTAGCGTTTTTTTATCTCAATAGTTTCCTTTTTAATTATAATAAACAGTTTATTAGCAAAACTTCGCTCTCCCACTAACGAAACATATTTTCTTAGTTTTGCTCGAAGTATCTTATTTTTAATGAATAATGCTTAGTTACCTGTTTGAGAACAAATTTCTATGATCTGAAAAAGAAAAAAACGTTTGCATTCCAATCAACTGTTTCCTGCAGTACTGGAGCCGATCAAGATGCAGGCCAAGTTGAAACTGAATCAAAAGCCGGAAACAGACGGAAGCAACTGGAGCATCCCGAAAATTGATCTAGGAGTCGATATGCAAGCTTTAGCGTTGGCCATTGGAAAGTTCCAATATCAAGACGTGCTTCTTTTCCTCGAAGCTCAAGAAAGGTGCCGTGAAGTCGATATTTCTATACGGATATTTCTCATTTAGGTTCCAAACAGCCGGACAGTATTTGAAGTACCGACCACATCTCAATGAGTACAAGGGACACTATAAAACATGGTTTCAATACACCTTTTGCATAGGATTTCATTCTCAAAAAGAGTTTTCTTTCTCTCGAAATTGGGCGCAACCAAATTTTGTCTTTTTCAAGTTGTTCATTGAAGTCAAGATCTCATTGAAAGGGCGTCTCAAAAGCTTTTTTTAGGTGGAAGTTTGCCTACACGTCAATCCTGGAAGAGAAAGTGAGAAGACGTCGAAATAACTGGTCTTGGTCCCGCATGAAGGCCCATCGAGAACTCGTGAAGAACTACCAGCAGGCCTGGGTCAAGCACCAGACTGAGAGCAGTCCCGGTGGCTCTGTAACGGAGATCGTCAAGGTGAAATTCATACGGGATGGCTGGGAAATGTTTGTTCATAAAATGGTCGAATTTTTCCCAAAAGAGCTGAAGTACTCGAATATCGAAAACACCATTTTCAACAATTTCACTGAATTTCAGAACAATTGTGAAAGGAAAAAGTTTTTTTTTCAGCACAACTCTGTATAAATATTAAATGTGACTTCTTTTTTTAGTCGGAAAAAAAGTTTTTTTCTACGATGAAGAGCCAAAAAAACGGTTATAATTTTCTAAAATCTACAGTTTTTCAAATTTTCAGACCATCAGACAATTTATTGTAAGTGAAAAATCCAACCACGCATTTCGAAGTTGAACAAAACGCTGTCAAAAAAATATGGTGTGAAAAATTCAGCGGGATTCGTTGTAAATTTTGTTTTTTTTTTCCATAAGAGTTCTGATTCAAACAGCTTTGCAAGATATAATGAAAAACAAAGTGAACGAATATCAAAAAAGAAACAGCCGGATTTTAAGTAGAAAAACTTAATTGAGTTTTCGGATTATCCATGGAGCGGACCACTTTTACACCGGCGCGTGAGCCTGTTCAAGCCATTTTGCTCTAGCCGTTTTTTTGGGCTATTTTATATTTTTTTTTCTACTATTCAATCATTTACCCAAAATGAACTGAGAGATTACTTTGTTTTTCGAAATTTTGATTCTCGTTTAAGTCTGTTGAAAAATACTCGCCGTGGTCTTTGAGGAAGCATGTGAAAACTTTAATAAGGTGTTTGGTGAAGAGCTTCCATTCATGTAACTACTCTTGCGCCTAAAAACATTTCAAAATTTTTTTTCAACAGGCGATATTGTTACGAAACTTTTGGAAATTACTTCATATTACAACTGAGGCACATCCATGTGTTCAGGAAGCCGAAAAGAAGCTCGACGTGTTCAATTTGAACGTGGCTCGACAACAGGCTGAGTTGGAGATCGACAGGAAAGAACTCACGCGACTGGAGGACAAACCCCAGGGATGGGTCGCCTGGGGCAAAAGCTGGTCAATTTTTGTTCATATAATTTGAAGAAAAATCGAAAGAACTTAGCTTTTATCTCGTCAGAGCCGTACTAGTCCAATTTTTTTTTGCTCCTTTTCTCTGGCGTCAGAAATAAGTTTACAAAAAAACAGCAAAAAAAAATTGATTCTCAGGTTCGGAGGTAGCGGAGGTAGAAGCGGAGAGAAAAAGGACCACAAGGATATAACTTCCCAACTCCAGGAAGCCATCACCCCAGAAGAAAAGGCAAAACTCTTCGAAGCTATTGACTACCAGGTTCACTTTCCTTTGCCTTTTTTTCGTCAAAATTTTGTTCATTATTACAGGAAAACATTCCACCGACAAACTATCCAAAAGAATACATCGAGAACAAGTTCGAGTTCAAATTGGGACAGGTGAATTTGAAGTTTATTTGAAATTTCATGGTGATCGCTTCAAAAATTTTTAGTATTGAATATTTTTCTCATTGCTAATTTTTTTGAAAGTTTACGACATTACTGTTTGTTTCAAAAAAAAAAGCCCGGAATTCGAAACTTTCTCTAGTTCATTCAAATGTTTTCTTGTCAAAATTGGACTACCACGAGAAGTTCGAATCACACATTCGAAATACTGTAGTTCGGTTCGACTTACTTTCTTTTTTGAGCTTAATTTTAATTTCTCAAACGCCAACGAGTATTTCAATCAATGATGAATTCCGAAGGAAAACCAAAAGAGTAGAAAAAAATTTGGCTCAAGCGCGTCTGATTTTTCTAAAGTCGCCAAGAAGTCGGCAAAAGTTTGTGTTCGAATCATTTCTTGGTTCAGGTGGCCATCGTTGTGGATGGCGCCCTTTCTCTCCAGCTTTTGCATTTGAAAGCCAACGTCGAGCAACGACCTTCCGCAGCTGCCATGAAGTTGATAGAGAAAGAAAAAACTTGGAAAAGAAAAACAAATATTCAGCGTGTGTTCGTCGATCCAGGAGTTCCGTATGGATGGGTGTGGGACAGAGATCCTACGAGTTCGGGACACCTCGGTGCCGTGGATGATGTTCATGTTGGACACGAACCCTCTGAAGGGCGGCTACGACCAGCTGGTCAAGCTCGCCATCTCGCCGGTCAACATCAAGTACCACGCACCCGCCTTCAACTCGGCCATCGACGTCTTCAAGCCGCCTGAGTCGGTCCGGTTGAATCAGCTCACCACCCTTGCCATGTCGCGCTACGAGGAGGTTTATTTGCACCCGTCAGTCACCATAAATTTTGGAAAGAAATTATCAAAATGTATCAATTTGAGTCGAAAAAGATCTTCTGGCTCTTCACATCAAAAAGGCTCAAAATGAGAGCGACCACTTCAAGTAAAGATTTTCCACGGAATGAAGTCTTCACACGGAATTGATGCTTAGAAATCAATATGTGTAATAACGCAAATGTTTTTTTTTAAAGTTTCATTTCAGAATCGTTTTTTCAATGATGTTATGCTGTCACTCAGAATTTAAATTGCCAGTTTTTAGGTGAAAGCTCGATCGGCCACAGGACTCGCACACGCCGTCGAGAATCGTTCCAAACTTGAACTCGACGTACAAATTCACCCTGCGCGAATTTTCATCTCTGAAGGCGGTGTCTATAATCCGGAAAAGCCGACTTTGTTGGCCGATCTCGGTCTTCTGACCATCGTCACGACAACACAGAACGTGGTTGGACGATGCATCAAAATCTTGAAAATAACCTTAATTTCAAGAACGAATCGGTGAAGACAGACCGCTTGCAATCGCTTATGGAGCAAGCCTACGATAGATTCCACGTGAAACTGTCTAATGTGGTCATTTCTCTTGCCGAAGTTCGTTCCTATTTCATGTCAACTTTATGGTTTGCCTTTTTCAGAACGTCGCTCTCGCTGAAGAGTCGGTTCATCAGAAGGAGTCTCGTCTCCACGTCCTGAAACCGACTGGACTTGACATCGAACTGCATAAGAGTTCTATCGACGATCTACGATTGGCAAAGTTGGATCCTCAATCGCTATCTTAGTGATGAATCAACCACTAGGATGCGCATAATCGGAAACCTTCCGGACATTGTCGTCGCGATCTCGGACCAGCGTCTTCTGATGTTGATGAAGCTTCTCTTGTCGATCCCGAAGCCTGAAGCCGATCCGGAGACCAAAGCCATTCAGGAACTCCAAGTTCCTGCGCCGAAGATAAAGGATCGTGCCAAAATGCGAACCATCATGGAAGTTGAAGAGGTTTTTCTGGATATCCGCTGAAAATCGACCATTTTGATTCGGTTTAGATCGAAGAAGACGACACTCAGAAGGAGACCGAACAGAAAGATAAGAAAACGAGCGAGCAGCAAGTCCAAGTGGAGCTCGACCTCAAGCTCCACAGGGTACATATCAAGATCTTTGTTTTCTCAATATTAAGAAATTACTTTTCTCCAGATTGGTATCATCGTTGACCGTCATGGAGAGGTTCTTTGCGACCTTTCAGTTCTGGAAATGGCTTGCAAACTACAAATGCGAACTTTCGACATGGTTGTCACGGCCGAAGTTTCATATCATGCTAAGCTTCCATCATTCTTCGCCATTTCCAGCTCGGCTCTCTCCAAGTTTCGATGCCTTCCTTCAATTCTTTGGACGAGAAACGCAAGTATTTGTATCTTATTGATAACGTCGAAGAACATGGCGCTCTTATGCAGTTGAAATTCGTCCAGGTTCGCGAACATCTAGTTTTCATCGATTATTATTTCTTTTTCTTCTCAAGGCGAATCCCGAGTCGCCGTTTTTCGCCACTGAGTATAGATCGACTGAACAATATTTTGAGTTCAAATTTCGAAGCTTGAACGTCTCACTTCATCAGGTGCTGCATTCAGAAGGATCAAATTCATTGATCGATTCAGGAAGGAGTTCTGGAGCTGAAGAAGTTTGGCGAGGAGCTTCAGGCAAAGATAAACGAGCTGCAAGAGAAAACACCTGAAGAAGACCGAATCGAAGAGCAAGCGAAAAAAATCAGCAGGAAACTGAGTGATAGGTTGGAGTCGAAATTGAAACAGCTTCAGAAAAGCAAATTGTTGATCATTTTATTATTTCCAAAAAATCGGGTTTTCCGCTTTACTCATAGGGAGTTCCGAGAGAAATTTTCATGTATAATTCCAAAATCTTTTTTTTTTCAAAGTCTAGCTTTTTTTCTATTGCTCAGTTTAACTAAAAAAAAATTTGAAAAAGTTTTGACTAACTAGGGAACTACTCGGACTCGGGTACGCGGATAGAGTTCAAACTTTAGTGGTTTATAGACCTAAGTGAGAGTACTTGAAAAAAAAAAGTGAGAATATCTGCTAAACCCAATAGAGAACTGAGAAAAATAGTAGAAAATGTGAGAATTTGGCTTGAAAAATTTTTCAGAACACTGCTTTTTACCTTATTTTATATTTTAATTCATTCGCCTTGAATGATCCGGCTATGATAAATTCCAAAAAACCTTTTCCAGCCAAAAGAAGAAGGAAAGCAAATATTTGATAATTTTCAAGCCTAAATTGTTCATTTTCAAAAAGCTTTTTCTCAGAAGCCTATGGGGTTTAGCAGATAATCTTTCTTGTTTCCAAGTACTCCTACCCGGGTCTGTAAGCCACCAAAGTTTCAACTCGAAACGTGTACCCGAGTCCGAGTAGTTCCCTAGTAAGGAAATTATGCGTACAGACCATAGGTATAAAAAAGAAATCGTGTGTTCTAGTAAATACGTTTAGTCTTGCTTCGGTGGCGTCGCTGCACCGTCAATCGTCGCAGACGACGTCGCGATCTAGAAGGTCGACGCGTCGCAAAGAATCAGCATACCAACCGGAAAATGTCGTCGTCAAAATGCGCGTCAACGCTTCCTTCGACCGCCTGGGCCTTCTTCTCGGGAATTCCAAAGCCACCGACACCAAACTGGCTATTAAAGACGTATAAAAATGTTTCTGCTTTTTCCTTACTTTCCATTATAGATCGAGACCAATGTGAGGATGACAGAGAAGAAGACGGAAGTCGACGCCAAATTGAAAGCCATCGTCATGAACGATTGCACTCCCGGCGCTGTGTACAAGTTTGATAAGAGAGTTTTGTGAGAAAGCTGTCGGTTCTCGTTTGAAGGAAGCTGTTGCACGTGACAGGCGACGAAGACATGCTCCGGTTCAACATGACTCAGCACCAAAGGACGGATTCCGAACGAGCCTCGATGAATCCGACTGACGTCGATATGTTTATCAAGGTCCTGGAGAATGAGAAGTCATCTAATTTTTTTTTCGAGGAAATCTGAGTGAAAAAGTCTTTAAAAACAATCATAATTCTTGCAGGACATTTCTAACTGGAAATCACGGCGGTTCAAAGATTAAAGATGAAACTCTTGAAAGAATTTGGTATTGTATATCCCTAGGTTTTCTGTTTAAAAAAAAACTTTAAAATGCAGAAAAAGTTCCCGAAAATTTTTTTTATGGGTTATTTTTTTCAACCTATGTTTCAAAAGTGTTTGCCTGTTTTTTGATGCTGCGACTTTCATAGTTTGTTCCCCGTTTTTCAAAATTGTCGATTGGGTTTCAGAAAAATCTGACCTTTTTCCTGCGCTCCACGGATTCTCTAAATTTGGTGTTCATTTCATGTGGCTTTCAGATCAGACTTGCTCAGTTGCGGTTTGTCTTCCTGAACTTGTGGCTGTGTCGACTGATGGCTTGGATTGCGCCGTTCCAAGCAGAAGCAGTACGAGCCGCGCAAGCAGCTCAGGAGGTAGAACTTATCAGAAAATGAGAATTTCATTAAATTTATTGAAGGCGGCTGCTGAAAAGGCAGCCACGGCGGCGCAGAACGTCAAGCAAATGATGGAGGAGTCGCCGCCGCGAATCGCACTCGACGTCTTGCTCGAAGCCCCGCACATCGTCGTCCCTCGAGATTCCAGAAGCCTCGACGTCGTCGTTCTTCATTTAGGTCACTCTTTTCTCTCGGAAATCCTCAACTATACTCTTTCAGGTAAAATTCTCGTGCAGAACAAGATCGTTGGAGATAAGGAGTTCCGACAGGCGGTCTTGGATCGAATGGACATCAAGCTGACGGATATCAACTTTGGAATGTTTTTCAGCTAGGAAAATTCGAAACTTTCGATCTACTGTTTCAGCGGGGTGATGAACCAAGAGGTCACTGAAGTCACTTCTACTTGCGCCATTTTGAAGCCTTTGACGTTCACACTGGCTGTTCAAAGGTGAAAATTTAAAAAAAACCCAAGAGTATGTAGGAGAATTCAATGGAAGCGAGTGGAATCATTTTTGGATATACGGTAAAACCTTCTAAGGGGAGAAATGTCAGCAGTCAGACTGGTAAATAGAATGAGAAGTTCTAACTTCAGTGACACTCCGAAACTGTCCAAGAAGCTTTTTGAAGGGGACGACCTCATGAATTGGTAGTACCAGTGTGGTACTCCTTGTAGTGGACTCTTAGGATTGACGTGAAAAAACGTTCAGTGGGTACTTCGACGGACTTTTTGTAAATTTATCCGGTCTGATAAATTGTCGATATAACAATATCATAGAAGAATTTCTTTTAGCAGACTTCTGCTGACTTTTCAAGGCTTCCTTCACGCGGTTATTTCATCATGTGCCAGTTTTTCTAGTCAAACTTTGAACCCTTGAGAAAAATTTTTTTATGAAAAATCTCGTAATACTTTTTTTAAAAAGTAGTTGAAATTAACCAAGAAACGGTCTGAACATCACCTTTAAATAAGATCAAAATTATCAAATATAGTTTTCATCCTGAAATTCAAGTTTTTCAATCGTTCAATTCAAGGAATCTTACGTTCAAAATCGCCAAAGATCTCCCGGAAGTCGTTGTCGACGCTCATTTGAACACGATCGAGGCGGAAATGTCGGAGAGCGACTACGAGACGCTGATGCAAATGCTCAACGGAAATCTAGCCGAAGGTTCTGAGTTGATCCCGCCGCCGCCACCTCCGCCGACCTTGTCTGGCGGCGAATCGACGACACAAACGGCCCCAGTCGTAGCCACGCCCAAATCGCCTGGAGCCGATAGCAAAGTAGATTGAGTTTGGATGGAAAAAGTTGAGATTAACTTTAGGCTCCTAAAAAGGATCGTGAAGCTGACGCGGGTCCACCGCCCGTCGAACATCCCAAGCCGCGAATCGTATTTCATTTCGCGCTGGATAAGATTTCGGCCATCCTTTATGACGGTATCTTTACGATTGCAAAGAAAATTCCGAGGCTTAAAAAGAGGCTTCTGTTTTCGGTACATTGAAGAAACAAAAAAAAAACCGTAGATCAACAAAGGAGATAATTTTAATTTTCGGTTGGAATAATCCTGGAAATCGGCCTTAAGGCTCATTGATCTGCCAGGAACAGTTCCTGGAAGTCTCAACCTTCACAACTTCTTAGTTTTCGAGAGAAAAAAGGGGTCGAAGCTCCAAAATGGTCTATTTCAACGGTTTTTTTTTCAAATTATTTTCTTTGACTTCGATAATTTTTAAAAAACTAAAAAGTTTTGTAGGTTGAGACTTCCAGTTTGTTAAAGCTGCTTCATGAGTCCAAGTAATATCAGGAATTGAATTTCGATTTAGCTGACGCTACGCCTGGAGTTCGCGATGAACGCCACGCATTTGCATCTCTTCAACTTCAGAACTTGAAGCTTTCCGGAAAGATTGGAGTTTTCTAGTCTTCTATGGTGTAAAATTGTCGTGTTTTTCACAGGAAGACAATGCGCAAACCATCGCGATATCATTGGATGCATTCACGATGAACGACGAGCGGAAAGACAAAACCAAAGTCCAGCATCTGATGGACAAGAAAGGAAAAGATGACGAACGTTTCTTGGACCTCAACTTCAAACAAGACTCGGAGTCCAATAAGCAAAGTTTGTTATTTAAAATGAACAGAAAAACCAGTTATCAAGAAATTTGAGTTGGAACTGTTTCTATAGAGATTAGTTTCGAAATTAATAAAAAAAAACTTTCTTTAATGTCAAGTTTTGAATCGAAGTTTTTGAAAACGCTAAAAGAACCATTCGATTCGGGCCTCACTTCCCCGAAAAAAGTTCCTTTTTAGTTCGTCTCAAGATGACGGCGTTCTTCATCTGCTTGAACCCTGAGTTCCTTGGCTGTTTGACGCGGTTTTTCACCGTACCTCCGACTGAAGAGCAACGCGAGCGGGAGGAGATGATGGCGAAGCAGCAAACGCCGAAAACTGGACCCGCACAAAAGCCTTCCGGAACCATCGATCAGGCCGGAACCATCACCGTCGACTGCGATATGCACGTGAGTTTCGACGTCGCAGCGCCTTCTGAAGCTCTCTCTTGAATGTTCAGGGTGTCGAGGTGATCGTAATCGAAGATCCCCTGAACCCCGAAACGTCGCAAGCGTTGATACTCTCGTTCAATGTCAACATCAACGCTCAGCCCAAGGTGATGTTCCACGAGGTCGAAGCGCAGCGGATGAGCGGCGCCATCGAGAATCTGACCATCTTCAGCTCGTACTACGCGGAACATCGACGCAAGGAAATCACCTACGAGGTCTAGTCATTCGATTTGCTTTTCATGCTGAAAACAATGAGTCGTGGACAAAAGTAGACATCGGTCTTAAAACCGTTGAAAATAGTTTTTTAATGCTTCTCCAAATCGTCCCTCAAATCATTTTTTTTCTAATAGCTTTCTCTCGTGTATTCCCGGCTTGCAGCTCTGCCCTTTTGAATTCAAAGAAATTTTTTCAGGTCACCAGAAAAATGTTTTTTAATTTTTTAATTTCGTTTAGATCTCAGTTTGATTTTTGAAGTACTGGATCCTTTATTATTCTATATTGATCCTAGATTAGTAATGACGTTGGCATAGATACTGGCAGCTGCCCTAATCTTGACATGAATCTATATAAGTTTTAAACATTTTATTAATTTTTTTTCATCCAATAAGTCAATCAATAATTTTTGTTTTGTCGTTTCAGATATAATCAACTAGGCGGTGAGCCAGACTCTTTTAAAATCTTATAAACTTTTAAAGTTATATCGAAAAATCGCTTTTGACGAATTAGAAGTCCAAACGTGTAGTCGAAAGTGTTTTAAGCAGGGTATTTCGCCTCAATTTTCTTTAAATAGTCCATTCAGTTGCGAACCCAGGACAGAAACCATGTTAGAGGTGGAGCGTGAACTTCAAAACCATAACATATAAGGCATTTTGATCTACTGACAAAGACAAACATCTAAAAATCTAGCATCACTCAGAATACAGCGACGGGCTATTCTGTTCTGTACTCTGAAACTCCTGTTACGACCTTTCTTTCTGTCATAATTAGTATAGTCGCTTTTGAATTTCAGGTCTTGAAACCAGTGAACATTCAAGTCTTGGCACATATCCGTAAAACTGACAAGTCAACCGATGCGGTGCTGAAGATGGGAGATATGGAACTGCGAATGTCGCCTGCAATCATCAGACTTTTGTCCGCCGTTTCCTCCGAGTTTTCCAAGAGCAGCGCTGTGGTTTTCAACATGTTCAAAGTAACTGAAAGAATTTCCAACGGTTTAGGATTACGACAAGAGCGAAGGAAAGGTTCCTGCAATTAAGAGGAATCCAGATTATTGGCTGCCAAAAATAATCGATCAGAGAAAGTGAGAAGAAATCTTTGAAATCAACTTCTACTTTTTCTCAGTTTACGGACACTACGTGTTCAAAGAAATATGAAATTTCCAGAAATTGTTACAGAAGAAGACGTCATTCTTTTTTCGGTCCTTTTTCCGCGCTTTTTTTTGAAAATTCTAGGCAAAAGTGTACGGAATCTTGTTCGCTTTCTTAGACTTCGTAATGTTAGAAGCACTGGGAAATTATTATTTTTCACTACAAACCCGTTATTTTATACATGTGCAACGATTTTATTCAGATATTGGTTTTTCACTGCACCTTTGGCCGAAGAAGCAACTGAAGAAGATGACGACGACGAAAAGGGATCCAAAAAGCTTCCGATGGCGACTATCGAAAAGGCCAGACTCGAGTTCAACCGGATCAACTTCACCTTGGAAGCTGGAACTGGAGCAGTATGTTAATTATTTTCAATCACAGAAGGGATGACAAAAGTATTATTTTCATAGACAGTTCTGAATTTCAACGTTCGAATTCACTACATTAAAAGGTGTACTTATTATGTGAAAAACTGATTAGTCGAAACACATATACTTGGTTAAGTCATGCAGTTTTTGATTTTTTCTATTTTGGTGTTGAACTTCATCGAAATGAATTTTAACGACAGGAGGGTTTTAATATCCATTCGAATGTTAAAAAAATTAAATTCGAAAACAGAAAAAGGTGTTTTTAAAAAACACGGGTATGGCAATCTCTTGTCCTAGCACCCTTTTCATAGTTAGACGAACTCAAAAAATACCGGTTATTTCTGACCGGCGACCGTAACAGTATACCGAGTACCACCTTTGGGAGACCTTAACTCTACTGGAGTGGTATCTGGAGAATATTTCCCTCCGGCCGGTCTTTTACGAGTGCTGCTAGGTAGCTCATGGTTTGCTACCGAGTAGGTATCCGACAGCTACTTTATAGCGAGTGCCTCGGGCCGATCCACGGTGTTAATAAATCATTTGGAAAAAAAAGAAATCAGTTCTCAGTTTTTTTTTTAATGAAGTTTAGATTCCTGTGCCTTTGATCTTCCTCGATATGTTGGTTACCGCTGAAGCTGAGAATTGGACCTCTGCTTTAAAGTCCAATGCGGCGATTTCTATACAAATGTCGTATTACAATGAGGCATTGAGGTTTTCTTTTCCATCCATTTGTGCTTTCTTTTATTGATTACTTTTCATTGTTATAATTTTTTGTTCGCAGTGTGTGGGAACCGATTATTGAGCCTGTGGAGACCGAAGAAGGCAGGTTCGAACGCTGGGACCTTCGAATGACTGTAAATGTTCGAGACTTCTTCCCACCACGTTGTTGATTTGAAGGTGAAAGGAAAAGGGAAGAATGATCTGAATGAGTCGACTCCGGCTATGGATATCAAGATTGACGCAGACAAAATGCTCAACGTCACCATCACCAAGTCTTTCTTTGGCTTGTCTACTAAATTGGCTGAAGTAACATTTCTTCGTTTTCTCTCAAACGTCAAAAACATTTCAGCTCTTCGCGACGGCCGCCAAACAGACGTCGCCCACAAAAACGCGCCAGTTGCCTGGAATCTCGCCGTTCGTCGTGCTCAACGAATCCGGCGTTGCCGTCAAGATTCTCGACTCCGATACGATCAAAGTCAGCGACAGCGGACAGCCGATCGACGCGACTCACGGGTCTTTCGTCGACTTGCACCTCAAAACAGAGAAGAGGGAGAAGACTGAAGTGAGATATTCGAGCAAGTCGAAAGTTTATACCAAAAGGATCTTTTTTGTTGGGATACATCTGTCAACAGCTTTCTTTTTTCGCGACCAAATAAGTTGTGAGAAAAATTTTGAAGGCTTTTTCATCCGCAATCAAAATTTCCTAGGAATACCTAGAATTTCAATTAGTTCTGCGGTTTTCGACCCAGAAAAATTGATCCTCAGCCAAATATTATTCAGCTCGAACGTCTTTCTGTGGATCAAACTGAAGTCAGCGCAGACCTTCGACTCGACCTTCTCGATACTGTCAGAGAAACGAAAATCGGTCGTGCCGGCAAAAGGGCGATTCCGCTCCCGAAAGTTAGCGCGGGCGGGCACAAATGGATGGTTTAAACACTATACAAAAATAAATTGAACAATCAACCTAATTTCTAGATTATTGCTGAAACGACGATCGAAAATGGCCGGCGGCTGGTGACTCTGACGTCTCATGTGAAAGTCACCAACCACATGGACTTCCCGATGGAGATCTACTCGAAGCACGACACCCGCCTCGACCTTTTCGGCGTCATCGAGCCTCAGCAAACGATGCATCTCGCCGTGCCTCTCCTCTACTCTCCCACTGGCGAAATCTACCTGAAGCCGGCGGATGAGAAGTGAGAGGCTGAAAGAGAAACTCCGTTGCAACACCTTCCATTTGTCTTGTCTAGGTACGAAGTGAGCTTTGAGTCGTTGAGCTGGCACTCCTTCGAGCACGACAAACGGCAGGCTGTCCGTTGCAATGTCGAATCTGACGAAAACTTCCAAGGCCTATACATCGACACCGTCGTTCATGAGGAGAAAATCCCCGAATGTATAGTTTTTGGCTAGATCTTTGAGTGAAGTTGAGGGGAGAAGGAGTTGAAACTATATTCAATGTATTCGCGGATTTTCAATTGATTTTTTCAGCCTTGGGATCCGAAGTCAGCACCTTCCACATGCATCTCTACCCGCCTCTCGATTTTTATAACGTTCTCCCAATGGACGTCACTCTTGAAGCTCCGGAAAAAAAAACTGTGGTCGCTGGCACCAACGCGATTCTGAATGTTGTAACAGATGGAACCATCAAAATGGTGGTGAGCATTCGATTCATTTACCCACAAAAAGATATCGTCCGGAATTTTCGTGCTAGCGGATAGAACTTCTAATTAGCATCAAAACCGAAGTTTTGCTCTTATGGTAAAAACTGATTCTTGGACGTTGAATGTCTCAACGGGTTGCGATTGACCTTTTGCGCCAAAAGAAATCCTCATTTCAGCCGTGTTGAGACAAGAAAAACTTTGAAAACCTTGTGTTTTCAAATTGCACCAAAAAGTGTTTCAAACTTCTTTCAATTTAAGAAGTTTTACGTGGATTCTCAAAGCTGCTCAATATCAACGTGAAACCGTTTTTTTACAGGTTGATTACTTGAACGAGCCACACACACTGGAGATGAGGGTTCCCACGGAGAAGAAAGATTTGGTTGTGGTGAAGTTTGTGAATGCGAACGGCGGTCCTGATTTGGTAACAAAATCGAGAGAAAAATCGAGCTGAGAGTGATTTTTCCAGCTCCTTGGATTGCACTGGACGACAGAGTACGGCGTTCAAAAACTGTACCTCTATGCGCCCTTCTGGGTCGTCAACAACACTTCCAAGACATTGAGACACACGGTATAACTCTTCAAAAATCGATGTATTCATAATTAGTTGGCTGGAACCAAGATTCTAGCGATTAAATTTACGAAAAAGCTTGAGATGGAGTTTTTATATAATCTTCGATTTTAGCAAGTCTTCAGAAGTTTATAAGAAGTTATAAATTAGAAAGGGTTATCTACACAACATAACAGACGAAAGACACGGGATTTCGCTGCTCAATTAACAATTCGAATTGATCTGCGAAGATTTTTGTAGAAAAAAAGCAAAATCGTCAGTGTCATCCCCACGACGTCTGTTATGAATTTCTCTCTGCTTACCCCCTCTAATCTACCTTTTCGTAAACTTTCATTTGCGTCGAGACCGCCGTTCAAAAGTAAAACACATCCGACAAAACACTAACACAGCTCACGACGAATTTTCTCCACCCCGCTATGGATTTGTAGGAGACCAGCGGAAATGCGCTTTCAAACACGGCCCGTGGTTGTGTCCCATGCGGAAAGAAGTCGGCGGTGTCGACGCTGCAGGTGACCCCGCTCGTGTCGCTATCGCTTTTCCTTCTCCTTTTCAATGACGCTTTGTTTTCACTCAATTTCAACATTTTTTTTATGTCATTCGCCTTTCTCTCATTACATTGCTGTCTTACAGAATGAGGAGGCGTTATTGCATTTGCCTGACTCTAATCCAATCATTCTACCGTATCCGACCACGGACCTTGCCAAAAAGAAGAAGGTTCGTTTGAACGAAAACTGTGAAAGTTGAGCCGAGCATGTACATGGACAGAACGAATAACGGAAAAAATTGCTGATTTAGAAAACGTAAAAAATGCGTAGAAAATTCAGCAATTTTTTGAATTTTTGGCTTTGCCGCGAAAAGGCGGGTGTTTGTAGAGCAGTTTCTTGGTTTTCTTGTTTTTTTTCTTGTTTTCTGCTGTATTCAAAAATATAACTTTTGTCGTGAAATTCGCAAAGTGAAAAAGTTATGTCAATATTAAGATACAAAATGACCAGTCTAAAGAGCATTTTTTGAAGACAGTCTTGACTCAATATTAATAGTCTTTAAGCTTTCATTCCTAAACAAAAACTTCAGGCCCGCGTGAAGATTGAAGGCGAAAGTGACTGGTCGACCGAGTTCCCTCTGGACACGGTCGGAAATGCCGCGATGATCACCTGTAAAGGGCAAGGTCGAGACTATGACGTGAATAGAAGCGCGTGCACATGAATCGATAGCTCAAACATTTTTAGATGACAGTCGATATCAAGCTGTGCCAGTCTGGGCTGACGAAAATCGTCACATTTGCTCCGTTCTATCTGATCTCTAACCTCGGCAAATTCCCCATTGAAGTCAGAGAAGACGCTCAAAACTTCTGGACCGAAATCCCGGGAGAAACGGTATCACGTCTGAAAAAAGTTGCCGTGGTTTTCAAATGATGGCTCTAAACACTTGAAGGAGCAAAGACAACGCCCATCATAAGTATTTCAATTTATTTATATTCTCAGGAAAGTTCTAGAAAATTTCTTAAATTTTCGCAGTATTACATGTACTCCTCCTAGACTTCATACTAGCCCTAAGCTGGCAGACACCATAGGAACCGTTTAATATCAAACTCGTATGAAAGCCGCTGCAACTTCTTGATGGAGATCGATTCAGATTGAACGTGAGATTATAGTGCGTTGGTGTTTGGCCGATCGAACGTGGGAAGAAGAAGCTGATGTGTGCTCGGTACAAGGGCGAAAAGGAAGAGTCTTTACTTTTCCCGATTACGGAAAACATCGAAACTCTGTGTCATGTAGGAGAACAAAAGAACCTTCATGATCAGAATACGTTAATTCAGATCGATAGCGACGTAGTTGGTCTGGAAGTTTCGGTTTCGACAGGCGAAGCGTCGGTGGCGGTTCACATCAGTCCGTTCCAGCCAGGAATGGCTCCCTGCCTTGTTATGAACAACCTCAATGTGCATAGTTGCCTCAAAGAACTTCTCTAGTTGACTTTTTGCAGGTGCCTGTCACTTTTGGACAACGAGGCTATGGAAAGAAGACGGTGAAGAGCAACGAAATGGCCATGTTCACCTGGTCTAACATCGTCGCCCCAAGACTTTTGGAAGTGTCCGCCGGCGATTGGCATTTTGAAGACAAAATGGACCAGAACAAGTTTGGAGACGTGCAAATCGACAAAAATGTTAGAAGGTATACAGCTTTTTATTGTTCAGAAAAAGTTGAATTTGAGGAGAAATAATGTTCTACATGTTCATTTTTTTTTTTCAAAATATCATTTTGGACTTTATTGAGGAAAATATGAAACTTTTTTTTTAGGGATTTGAGGTATTTCTCCAAGATTTTTCGTCGGAAACAAGGGAGAAACTCCCTGCCAAGCTTTCGAGTTCAGTACTTTGTGCATGAAAGCTTGCCGCAAATTCATTTTAGGCTCTTAATTTCGAAATAAAAAATTTTCAAGCATACGCTTTTTAGCTGTAACTTAAGATGGAAAGTAAAGAAAGTTTAAGAAAGTTTTTTTTGTTCAAAAATCGTTGAAAACCTGTGATTTTTGTGAAGGTTCTGCTATTACTCGGTGTTCCTCGCGGGTCGTCAGCGGATCCTCCTACTGACAGCAGACCTTGATATCGCGAGATCTGCCTACGGCTCTTGGGAAACGGACAACGTTGATCTGCAAGCCGAGATCAGCCTTCAAGGCTTCGGCCTCAGCGTAGTCGACAATGTTGTTGGACGAGAGGTTTTCCCCGGTCTTCCATCATTGATTGATTATTTCCTTACAGATTATCTACATGGCTATTTCGTCTTCTGACATTTTATGGGAGGAAGAGATCAAGAAGGGACGCTTCAGACCGCTCGCTGTGAAACATATGCAAGAACTAGAGGAGAAGTATCAGAAGCATTTGGTGTCACCTAACAATGAGTTTGAGGTGAAGCCTCTTGGGAATGCAGAGCAAAAATGAAGAAGTTTCTAGGCTATCGACACTTTTGAAGTGAATATGGCGACGATGATCATCAAGAAGAAGAAGGGCAAGGAGGCGAAACTGAGACGAATTTTCGGTCAAGGCGTCTGGGCCAACTACGGAAAAAGCGCACAACGGACTCGTCTCCACGCCAAGATCAACCACATTCAAATCGACAATCAGTTGGATGCCTGTGTCTTCCCACGAATTTTGGCTGTTGTCCCGCCACCGAAGAGCGTCGTCGTTGATAACAGTAAGCACAAAATAAGAAGAGTCCAAGAAACCTTTTCTGATGGCTGGTCTTAGCTAAGATTATTGAAAACAAACAAATTTACTCAGTTCCATCGATTTGCGAAATATAGCATGCCGGAATATGCAGGAGAAGCTTGTAAACTTCTTTGAATCGAGTTTTTTTGATTGAAAATAACATGACTTCGAAGATGTTAAAAGAAACGAATTGAAACTTGAAATTCTCCTAGAAAAGTAGTTTATAATACACGTCACTTGAGAATGGCGAAAACCCATTGTTATGAAGATTCAAAAGTTATTTTTGAGCTGAAATTTATATAACGTATTGCAACCTTCTGAGCTTAAATTTTTACCAAAAAGGCTCCTCTATTTTGGCTTTTAAAACTATGAGTTTTAAGTGCTGGAAAAATCAGAAAAAGGGACGTTTTGAAAGTGATTTTTGTGCAAGTGAAATTTTTTAGGCTCATACTTGAAGTTTTGAGACTGTCTTTGAAAACAATGCCAGCGTAAACTAGATCAAAGTCCAAAGAATTTTTTGAAAGGCTCTAAGTCGACGGCTATTATGTCTGCGATTATTTATTGCTAGCCATTCTGCCATACACTCTTATTCGGTTCGCCTCAGATTTAAGCTCAAAAATGGAAGCTCCTTTCCGGTTTGAACTTCCTCTCTTTTCGAAAACTCAACTTGGGAATTCTGATGCCGTTGAATTTCAGCTCCGAAGCCATTTGTCGAATTATCTTTGCTTCAACGTCAACCTGAGTTCTCAAGCGTTGCCGAGGTTCTCATTTCTTCTCCAAAACTGAGACGTGTACCCAATTCAGATTGAATATGGACACGCTCTGATTCAAGAGTTCTCTGTGCAAGTCGATCAAGGGCTCATCAACGCCTTCATGCAGTTCTTGGCTGGTGAAGTCGAAAAGAAACCATATGGAGTTGGATTCTGAAACCCTAAATCGATAATAATGTTATTTTTTTCGAAAACAATGTTCGATGAGGATTTGGCGATGTGCTCGGTGGAGCTTTCAGCCACAGCCAAGGCTTACAAATCTCAGCGGCCAAAGAGCTTTTACAACGACTTGCACGTTTCACCGATCATGGTACACCTGATGAATATTTAGACTCATGTATGACCTTTTGTCCGCTTTTCTAGATGCACTTGTCTTTCTCGCAAGGTGGGACTACGGCTGAAGCTCAAACAGCCTCGATGCCGATTCAATCCGAATTCGTAACTGTACTTCTACGATCCGTCGGCGTCACTCTTACAGAGCTACAGGACGTCGTTTTCAAGTAAGTTTTATTTTATGACGTAAGTTTTATTTTATGTTTTCTTTGTTTTCAGACTAGCCTACTTTGAAAGGAAAAGCCAATTCTACAGTCCAGACCAACTCACCTCCGAAATGGTTTCACATTACACAAAGCAGGCTATCAAACAAGTTTCCATATTTGCAAAGTTGTCACTTGAGATTTGAATGTTCAGCTCTACGTGCTTGTGCTGGGCCTTGATATCATTGGAAACCCTTATGGACTCGTTCGAGATTTGTCAGCCGGTGTGGAAGATTTGTTCTATCAGCCTTTTCAAGGTGCCATCCAGGGTCCAGAGGTTTTCTATCATTTCTATGATTCATGGAGAATACCAGAGGAAAGATCTCAAAAAATGATCTGCTCATGTATGCTTTGAATTATTCAGTGAAAGCTTTCGAATTCAGGAGTTCGCGGCTGGAGTGGCTCTGGGTGTTCAGTCCATGTTTGGACATGCAGTGGGCGGGGCTGCCGGCGCGGTAGGACGCATCACGGGTACCGTTGGAAAAGGCGTCGCTGCTCTCACCTTCGACGACGACTACGTCCGACGACGGCAGGAAGACCTGAACCGCAAGCCACAGACATTTGGCGAAGGGATGGCTAGAGGCATCAAAGGCCTTGGAATGGGTGTCGTCGGCGGTTTGACCGGCGTAGTGACGAAGCCGATCGAAGGCGCCAAACAGGAGGGCGGCATGGGATTCGTCAAAGGAGTTGGAAAGGTATTGGCGCGTTGAAAGTGTTTTCGGCAAAATGGAAATGATCGAGAAGCGTTAGGATTCTAACTTTTTGATTTTTTTTTTTCATTATTTTTCGCTTGCTGACAGTGGTTTCTATTCGCCGAAATCTCTTTGAGCATGGAAATTTGTTCAAATCAGTAAGAAAGCTTCTGTTGAAGAATTTGAGAATTTTTTTCAAGTAGTAAGAATTTCTGCCATCGAAAAACTTCAAACTTCCATATTTTTGGCCATAGAATGTAGTGTGAACTAGAAAAAAAAAGTGTGTCAAAGTCTGAATCTACTGTTTTTTTTTTGTTCATTTTCTCAAGGATCATTTCATTAATTCTCCAAATATTTGCTCGAGCCAGTCTTGAGTCTAAGCTCAAAAATATAACTCAATTTCTCATTTCGTTGAGGGCAACCTAGTGAAACCAAAAGAAAAGACACCTTACTCTTTCCATTTTTGGTAAAACGAAGTTAAGGGCTTGATTGGTGTGGTCACTCGTCCAGTTTCGGGCGTTGTCGACTTCGCCAGCGGAACTCTGAACTCTGTACGAGCAGTGGCTGGCACAAATCGCGAGTCTGGTCCTCTGCGGCCTCCAAGAGTAATCAGAAGTGACAAGATCATCAAGCCGTATGCCAAAGGAGAAGCGTTAGGATTCAAAGTTTACAAGGTAACTGCAACCGAGTCAATAGCTTTATTCAATCAAGTATCATCAAAACTTTGACTCACGAGAAGCTCAAAACTGAATCACAGTCTCTGACAACATTTCGAGTTCTTCCTGTATTTCGTCCCAGTTCCTTTTCAGTATCACAAGTTTAGTCAATTTTAATATCAGTTGAAGCTGCATAAACATTTAGGCGACTCCGGTTCTTGTTTTCACCTCTCTTAAAATAGACATTTCGAATCGATGTGATTTCAAGAAATACTAAGAACTGCTATTTTAGGTTATTAAAAGTTCGTGTGAGAAAATCCAATTGCCCTTTTGCATTCTTTTTTAAAGCGATCGCCATGTTTGATAGATGAATCTTACTTTAACTTGAAGAAAAGTCTTTTTTGTGGGTTATGTTCTGCATGATGTTGTAAAAACGTTCAATTCAAGCTTCTCCCATTCAGGACACCGACCGGGGAGCCATCTCAGATACGGATGAGTTTATCACGTTTGCGCCCATCAGCGAAAGGATGATTCTTCTGGTGACTGATCGTCAGCTGGTGCTGTCGAAACGGACGGATGTGATGGGCACGTGGTCCGTTGACTGGTCTACCGAATACAACAAAATTCGGCAGCCTGAATTTGTTCCCGGCGGATTCAAAATCTTATTCAAGGTTTATTTTCATCGGAAAAACAATCATCACAAAGAAACATTTCCAGGAAAAGAAAAAGGGTTTCCTTGGAATCGGCTCGAGCGAAGGCAAAATCATCACCTTCCAAAACCCCGAGGTTTCTTTTATCTCAAAGATAGCCTTATATTTTTCATTTGTTACAGAAAATCCAACAAAAAGTTCTCGAAGCGTATAAGAACGCAACAGCGGCTTAGAAAATGATTTTTGGTTTGAAAAGTTTTCCTTTTTTCATCATATACGGCGCTTTATCTGGTATCGTTTTTTTCTTTCTTTATTATTCTTTTTTTATCATCTTTTTTTGCGTGTAATTATTTGTATGATAAATTTTCCATTTTCATGCCTTTAATTGAGATAATTTGGACAACTTCTTTTCATAATTTGAATATGGCTTAGATTCTCGTGAAACCCTTACTAGTAGTGAATTCATGGGTGATTCGATTCCCACTCAGAGTGAAAATATATACATATGTCTTGTCTTGAGATTTTTTTTTTTGAATGCCGAACTTAAAAAAATAAAACTATACGCTGGGAAATGTTTACAGATTCCGACGAGTATAGGCAGAAAAAAATACCGACAGGGCTAACCTTCCAATTTCTGTCAATTAGAAAAGGAGATTTTCAAGCTTATTATATGTGATGGATACGTAATGGACCTGACAAAACGTTTTTAAATCAATAAAACACTCATTCTTCAACTTATTCTGCTTGAGAGGACTTTTCTCCTTTAATAAATGCAATTTTGATGATCAATCCTTACTTCATTCGAAAGGCCAAATAAAATAGTGTTTCTCAGTTCATTCGCGCAAATATAAATTACCAATAATAGAAAAAATAAGTTTAAAACACGTAGATTGATCTGTTGGTCAGCACACGGGGGCCTGAAAAAGGTTCTTTCATCCTGATTTTCAAAGTCTTGGTGACAAACTTTGCACGTTCCATTTTTTAGATCTATTCTGACGTTGCATTCGAATTCAACAGCGACCTATAAAGAAAAAAGGACTCAAAAGAACATCGAACCAGATAAAATTCAAGAAATAATCTTGTAAGAAACAAAAAAAAACCTGATCTCCAAACTGGAAGGCGTGAGAGTGAACAGAAGCGCTGAGCCGATTATTAATATATTGTACACGTGGCAAAAGCACCGGGTCGGTGGTACACCTGACAATTTTCAAAGAAATACTGAGAAAGAAATAAAACTGAACTGAAATCTTTGAATGCTTCTCAGTTCATCAAAGACTGTGAGATTCTCTTCATAAAGTGAAGATTCTTCGAAAAAAATTGAGGTGATAGGAAACAGATTCATGAATGAACATTCGACGATTCAAAAGATGCCTGGTTAGCCAAAGTTGGTTTCCACGTGCACGGTTATTTGAAAGTATTCCCCTTTTTGCAGAAAATTCCGTTAAAATATTCTCCAAAAAACGGACCCTTTTTCGTCGAGAAGTTGGAACGAAGCGGAACCAACGTCAATCTTACACGAATGCACAGTCATGCAGAAAAGATCTGCAATTTTAAATTTTTCTAGATAAATGAATATAAACCGTAATATAGCCAATTGTTCCCGACTTGCAAGGCGAGGGAGGTGGAGAGGGGGCGGGACGCGTAGCGTGTGCGTACGCGGTTCTTGGCACGAGTTCAATTCAACTGCGAGCGACTTTTTGGAGGCCTCGTTTATCGCTGTCTTCGTTTAGTTTTTCAATTCTTTATTGTTTTTCTTTTTTTGCACATTAAAATAGTAGAATAAATACAAAAAGAGCGGAGAACGAGCTCTCCAAATAGTCGATGGCTCTTGAATGGAACTCGTGCCAAGGACCGCGTACGCGCACGCTACGCGTCCCGCCCATTTCTCTGCCTTCCACGCTTTTTAATCGGGATGGATTGAGTTTACATAGCCGCAATGGTTAAAATCATAAAATAGTTCAATGAGAAGAAGCGCCGCAAGCAGAAGAAACGTTCACAAAAGACCCAAAAAATAGCCGAGAGGAAATAGCTTTGATAGGAGAGTCGGAATGTGTGTTCGGTCCGGTAAAAGTGTGCTGCCCGGATAATCCAACAGTTAAATTCTAACTTTTCAGATCAAATAAATCTTTTCAAAATTTTCGATATTTATTCATTTCATCTTCAGATATATCCGGGGAGACCCATATTTGCCTCAAAACTGCACGATGAAAATTAGGATTATTTTTTCACAAGTGTTTTTTTTTGTTCTGTTTTATTTTGTCTGATGAATATTTAAAAGACATCTAAAATTCATCTTCGACTTGTCAAGCAAGCCGCAAAAATGAAATTTTTTTTAATCATGGTAAAATTTACCGTTTGCCTGGCCTGCCTCTGTGAGATGTGGTGCTACAGAAAGTGCGAGTTTTCCATTTCCGCGTTTTTTTTTTCAAATGATTGCTTCCTAATTTAATTTTTTAATAAATCAGAATGGACGTTGAAGCATTTTAACTGCTTCCTGTCTCTATGGTTCATTTCAATGAAGTTCATACACAATGGAAAAAAAAAGCGGAAATGGAGAAGTCACTCTTGTCTTAGCACCCCAGGTGTTTGCTTCAAAGCTTCAAAGTACCAAAAAGGTCCCTTCAGAACAAAATTCACCCTGATTGGGCCCGTCGCAGGTCCACATATGTCGTAGTGCAGTGCCGACGTGGACGACTTTCGCTGGCCGTTGAGTTTTGCTGTCGACGACCTCGTAGACACATTGCGGTCCATCTGCGACAGTTTCCACATTTCGTAGCACCTGCTCATCTGTTATTGCGCGTTGATTCGGGATGCCTAACCGTTGGCTCAACAGACAAAGAATATGAAACGACGTCGCCCGATGAAGTATAAAAGCAGGTGATGTTGTAGCCCTTTGGTTTTTTGCGGTAAGATTTGCTAACAACTTAATGAAAAAAGCGAAATTTTTCCTTACGCGGTCAACTTTGGTGACGAATTTGTTGTGGAAAGAGATGATTATTCTGACAGATGATTTGAACCCATTCGCCTGAAAAGAAAAATTTCTGATTTTTCATCGTCTCTCAAGTTGAAACACTTTAAGATTTTTCGAGATTAATTAATGAACAATACATATGATTAACCTACAGTTCGGATAGTTTCTACGCCGCAGGAATTCCTATCGACAACCAGAGAAGTTGTACGACGACCGATTTCCCTAGACCAGCAGCCCCTTTTTTCGGCGTGACCCACAACAAACACACGTCCTGGAACAGCTTCAAGAAGCATCAACTTCGAATAAAGACAACTACCTTGGAATGCTTTCTCTGTGAGAAAGACAGCCTCGATAGTTTTCTCACCGCATTCGATCTCGACATTACCTGAGAAGAAAGCTTTTCCAAACAACTTTCAACTGACCGAGTTGCCCGTTGGGCACAGGAATCGCGTCGAGGGACTGCAGAAGAGAAAGTAATATTCCGACGAGTTGAATCCACATGCCGATAACGTCCGGTGTGTATTGGCCCTCAACCATCTAAACAAAATTTTGGCAAGATCTGGTTTCTTCTGAACCTGAATTGGCGCCGATTGCGCAATCATCAGAGGAGAATGGCAGCATTTCCCTATCCAAAAAGCCTCACGCGCTCTGTCTGAATAGGGCATAGGCATGCGAAAAGTGTTTCGAACAGCAATAGGTCTAATGAAGTGAAGCTGTATCAATATACAAGTTATATACTTGAAACAAATTCAATTTTTCATTTGACCTGTCTCATCAATGGACTCGCATAACTAGTTTTACGTTAACTGAAACTCCTTTTCATGTATTCCGAATATAGTCTGTTTCCAATATCAAGCAGCTAACTCTGTCTACGCAGGCACCGTACCTCACGCGGGCGACGATAATTTTCAAGATCGCAGAATTTTATGAAAAACCCCAAAATATATGAAAAACCAATTGATCCTCCAAGAGAATTAGAATTCACTCATTTGATCCAATCTACTCTGAAATATTTTGGATGAAATTTTACGAAGTTTCAGTTGTTGGTTTCAGTAAAAAAGAAGTATCAATAAAAGGTAAAGAATGTATTCGAATAATCATCATAAACAACAACAACAGACAGCAACAGAAAAGTAAAGAATAACAAGGAAGAACTCAGAGAAAAAAAAAATTGAATCACTTTTTAGGCTTTTGTTTAAATGTGAAGCGAGCTGTGTTCTTCTTGCGATATCCAGCGCCAGAAAGATTTGAGCGAACTTGTACCTGAAAAAGTTCTCGAAACCGTTTATCTTCCCAATGCGTGTATAGAAACCTTGGGTTTGTTGCTGATGGGCAGGTCTACGAACGGAGGCACGGAGAAACCAAACGACTTGCTAACAGCAATCAAATCCAGATTTCCCACGTCAAAGATATCCTAAAATATATTTAACTAAAAAGCAAACTTTGATGGTACGAATCAATGGTTGGCAGGTGTTTGGAGCGCGAAATCTTTCATATCATATGTTCCTATTCCGTGTAAAATCTTCACTCGAAATGGTCGCTCTCATTTCGAGGTTTCCACCTAGAGCACGGTATCCAGCACAACATCCGCTTCATTCTGATTCTTCATGGCACAACTGGATGAATTACGCCCAGAAAAAGGAAGCGAAAGACCGTCAGACCATGCTTTCAACTTGATCGAGTACACGTTTGGACTTCTAATTCGCCAAAGGCGATTGTTCGTTATAGCTTTAAAAGTTCCTAATCCGCGCCTAATCAATTATATCTTTGACTAAAACAACGAAAATAAATGAATTATTTCTATTTCCTTTGCACGATTGCTTTCTTCTAATTTTTCTTTTTCTTTGCTTTTTTTTTCAAAATTATGATCTTACTATCTCTATTTTATATCAATTGATTTGACTTTTCTGAGAGAAAAAATATTTGGTCATTAATCAATTCAATTGACTTTTTTGAAAGAAAGAAAAAATATTTGGTCATTATTAAAATAATCTTGCTCGCACGACCTTCAGAGAGTGCGAGTCGTAGGCACGGACGTAACACTTGTAAGCTTCCTTTGCCGATTTGTTGAGGTAATAATTCTTGTCGATGAGGTTCTCGAGTTGAGTTTGAACGTTCGCCACCTGCGACATGAAAATCGGTTAGACGAAGCCGAAAAACACCGAACAAACTTTGGACCAAGAAAATTCGAATTCGTTCAAGACGACTTTGGCAGCTCTCAGGTACCGCAAAAAACCAAGCTCTTCAGGTCGTAAAACGAGTAGAGCATTGCCTCTGAAATTGTAATGTATGAACGGGGAGCATTACATCATTTAAAAAAAAATCATTAACATATTTTGTTCATTCTCTTCACAATTTCTCGCACCTTCCATCGTTTCCTCGCGCTGTCCGTCCCACACGATGAATGTACTCCCGGGGTTCATCTGGGGGATCGTATTGTACAATCCAATCAACAGCCGGGATATCCAATCCTCTTAATTATATCATTTTTGAAATGACTATGATATTCCTTCACTAACAGAAGTCTCAAATAAGTGTGATTCGAAATGTTTTAAAATAAAAGTTTTGAGAGAGAACATTGAGAAATAGTAATCTTGATTTAAAAAAAAAATTGTGGGAATGAAGTACCGTGCAGCTACGTCTGTACACAGCAATATCCCCATTTCGGCCTGACAAAATTGGAAAAAGGTCGTTGTCCGCTTCTGTTGCTTCTGTTTTCCCTGTAAACGTTGTCATTCACCTTTGAATACTCAACTTTCTTCAGAAATCTGCTTTAATATGAAAACAAAGCGGTAACTTTTCACTTAGTGAGAACCTCGACTACCTCAGAAAATTGTTCATACCAACGCAGCAAACGGCCAAAAATTCAGTTGTCTTGACCATTCTTTCAAAAAATTCAAAAACTTGCATGGATGGACATGCAAGGTATGTCGATGTAGTTGAGTAGCTCGTGGTGGAATTTCACCGAGTTGCACGATGAGAAGAAAACCATGACCTAAATTTTTTTTTATTATTTTGAAAAAGTTTGGTTGAACGAATAAAAGTATGAAAATAATATCAAACTGATTCTTTGCTTTTTTTTTTCTTTTTTTTTGTCCTATGATTGCGTTTGAACTCGAATTTCCCGCCAAAAAAGCCGCATCGCCTACGCAGCGCTACACTCTTGCCACTCTAACTATTTCGCCTTTCAAGTCGGGAAGAAAAGTAACTGTTACAGTAGGAATACTATCTCTCTCCGTTCTATTGTATTCATGTGTGAGCGATGCTCTCGGCGTGTAATTGCTCCGGCAGACACGCCTGTATCTCACTTGGTTCCCCTGCACGCGTCTTGGCCACACGCGTGCGAGGCTCACGAATAAAGACTTCATGACAGTCTGCCTTCAACACGTCTAAAGCTTACACGGAAGAGCCGGTGACCCTTCCGGTGTAACATGGAGGTCCCGACCGAAGAATAAGCCGCTGTGGCTTCACCATTTCTATCTCTTCTGCCCAGCCGCTTTTCGTGGTGAAATTCCACGACGAACTCGCCTTTTTCTACTCGTCCGCAGTTATTCTTATTTTGTTCGGTTCAACCTTGGCAACGACCCACTGATTTTTCGCTTGCGAAGCTCTACGAAGCCAGAAGCCGCAACCCGAGCCGGTCCCAGACAGCGACGACTTCATCGACATTTTGTACAAGTATATTGATCATTGAGCATTATTTGATTCATTTTGTTTACGCGATTAAACGGATGGGAAGGAGGGATGAGATTCAGTGTTATCGCGAGGCCTAGGGAGCCCTTATATGTCGATTCTGACCGTATATTATAGTTCAATTGTTGGTTTTTTTTTCCGCTGTCTGGCTCGTTTTTTACTGTCGTTCTGCCCACCGATGTAGTTTACTTAAAATAGAATTCCTCGATTTACATGTATTACCACTACTTTGACCGGATGCGCATGGTGCCTTGTTCTTTACCGGGCCACTAGATTAAATTCATGCGACTAAATCGTTGTGTATTTCTATCTGTTGATGAGTAGACCGTGTTGTTGTGTTTGACTTCATTGCAGCCAATTTTCGTTCATATATCTATCGTAACTCTACCAATTATCGTAATTTTCTTTCGGATCACCCATTTTCGTATCGACTTTCTTAATTTGTGAGACTCTTCCCAAAGATCAGTCCTACCTAGTTCAATTGTCTAACAATACAAGCTCCGGGACGAAGCTTTTTAGGGAAAGGGGGATGTTACAGTAGGAATACTATCTCTCTCCGTTCTATTGTATTCATGTGTGAGCGATGCTCTCGGCGTGTAATTGCTCCGGCAGACACGCCTGTATCTCACTTGGTTCCCCTGCACGCGTCTTGGCCACACGCGTGTGAGGCTCACGAATAAAGACTTCATGACAGTCTGCCTTCAACACGTCTAAAGCTTACACGGAAGAGCCGGTGACCCTTCCGGTGTAACATAACTACAGCCGGATCTCGGAGACCGTGCTCTATGTTCGAAATAAGAGCAGCCACTTCGAGTGAAGACGGAATTTGTTTAATGTCAATAATTAACACGGAATGATACCTTTTTAGTCTTGTTGCGCTTCAAAAAGGTGAACAGCAGTTGTAAACGTTTCTCAGAAGGACATACGACATAGCCCTGCAAATAACGTTGCTTGAGGTTGACAATGTTCGAAACTTGTTGGAGGCCCTCGACCGTCGCCACCTCCGACTTTTCGTTGACGGCGATCCGCACAGGGTCTGTCGGTAGAGCCAGCTTTATCAGCTCGTCAACCTTGAAAGAAAACATTTTTCGCGCGCTTTATATAAATAAATTATAATATTTGAAAATTTATTTCATTTTTTTTTCTCTACTTTCTCTACGTTTTCTCTACAATCTACGATCTAATTTATTACCTCAAAAAACTGATATAAAACTAAAAACAGCAAAGGATATGTAGGTGTACCTTTTGAGTGTGAGTCGCAGAAAATAACATCGTCTGACGTTGCTTCGGAATATGTCGGAGAATCTGAAAAGCGAATGAAGTTTATACCCAAAATTATGACGGGCTCATATCATAGTCCTTCAGATAACACATTTTTCATGAAACCCGGAGATTGCACGAAAAAAGCTATTGAATAAACACCTGTTGCATTTCGATCTCGAAGCCAATGTCGAGAATGCGATCCGCTTCGTCAATAATCAAGCACTTTAGATTTTTAACTAAGAACTCCTCGGTGTTCTGCAAGTGGTCGAGCAGCCGACCAGGGGTTGCAACCAGAACGGAAACACCCTGAAATTATGTCCCGTTAATGGAAGAAAACCATAAGTTTCCCTATACGTCAAAAAACAGAGCATTTTGAACAATTTTTATTTGTTTGTTCACGCTTTCTATTGTTTCCAGTTTTTGCATACAATTTCTCACTTTAGTCGTTCCACCTAATGTTCGATGAGCCATAGTCTTCAGAACCACCGGAGTCGATTAATTAACAGAAAAGAGGAAAAATACTCAAAAGAGTGGAACCGAGTTCCGCGTAGAATTGTGTCCCTTGATTTCCATTGATTTTTCATGAGGTCTTCATACTGTTACTGACGTTGAGTAATATTAGAAAACTCAAAAAAACTTATTAATATTGTTTTCTACGAAATTTTCGTCCTTATACACATACCATCGAAAAATATTTCATTTTTTTTTTGGCTCTTAGTATACTATAGAAATATTTGTTTCAGATAAGAGAGATAAGACATTTTTATATTTAAAAAAAAATGAAACCTTTGCCAATCGGTCTCTTTCGGCACTCCTGTTTGAGCCGCCCATTACCAAGCCGTACGTGATGCTGGACCCTAGAATCACAAAATATTTAGCCAGTTTGACCTCGAACCTTCAAGAAGCTCGGAAAGAACGCCATAAGTTTGAAGCGAAAGCTCGCGAGTCGGAGAGATGATAATGACGCCCGTCCCGTTGTGCTGTTTCCAGCTGAGCTTATGAAGAAGCTCGATGGCCGGCAAAAGAAACGCCAACGTTTTGCCGGAGCCTGTCTTTGCCGTCGCGATCACATCTTTACCCTGAAAATGAACAAAAAACGTTTATCCACTTACTTGGACCAAGTACAAATTTCTATTTATGGGCCAATTGAGAAATAAGAGATCTTTCAAGTTTTGAGGGAAATATCCTGATTGAAAACATTGTACCGCAGGTTTCTTCAAACACTTTTAGATTGAAACAACGTTTTTTTTAAATCCTGAATAGGAGTCGAAAAATTTCAACTTGAAAATGCAAAGCTCATTGAAATGAATCAAAATCATAATGAAGTTGTTCATTCCAACTTAGAGAAAAAATTCACAGAAAAAAAAACAAACTTCTAACAGAGGGTCGATAGTTTTGGCCTGAATATCGGTCATGTTCTTGAACTGCAGCTTGTGGACAGATTCGAGGAGGTTTTTGTTGATTTTTCCCTAAAAAATGGACATCTTTCGAGTTTTGAATCGATGAAGACGTACAGCCAGAGAGGCGAAGGAAGTTTTGGTCAATATTTCGCTAGAGTCCTCACAGCCTTCTCCCTGCTCACTCTGTTGATCTTGCTAAAAAATTTCCTCCGTTTCATCAATACTGAATCTGCGAATCAACCTTTCTCTCTTCTGTGTTTCGAGCTTTTTTCTGAGCATTGTCCTGAAACGTTAACAGACTAGAACGAGGAAAAAGTCGAATAAAAACCTGCTTGACTCGATCCAACTTTCGTTTGAGGACTTTTTTCTTGACGTCCAAACCCATTCTTGAACCACATTTCTCAGACATAAAACGCGAGGGAAAACAAAAAAAAACAAAGTTGGTAAAACAAACCAATAAAGTAGCAAAACGAGCGTCATGCGGTGAAACATTTATAAATGATTTAAAATCAAATGTCAACAATAACGTAGATGTCACAACGGTCCTCCTTCTGAAGGACCTGCATGTTGGAATAAGTGATTGCTTTGATGTCAGCTTCTTGAGGGTGTTTGGAAAGGTCGAAAGAGTCGCCCCAACCACAAAATTTTACCTGAAATTCGAGGTTTCTCGAAGAATAGGTGAATGGACGAACCTCGAACGTTTTTTCGTCAAAACTCGTTATTTTTACACTTTTAGCGATGAAAAATGGTTCCGATTGGAAAGTGTTGAGCGCTTCATCGAGCGTTGCAAAAATTAACGTTTCCAAGTCGCGGCCTTTTGCCGTGTAAAACATGTCGTATTTCTGGAAATTGCCAACTTTCAAAAACTAGGATGAAAATTTGATTGATGAAATATTCGGGCGAATTGATTGACATTTTTAGAAAGCTGGCAACGAGCTTTGTGGCGATCGGGGCCCAACTTAGCACGCCCCCTAAAATTTACAAACGGCAAACGGGTTTTTTTTCTGGGTTATATTTCCACTAAGAATAAATGATGATATGAGAGCCAGATCGGTGACGGTACATATAAGAGCAAGCAAATGAACCGTTTTCACCCGGCGCAACCTCGCATTATAGCTATTACCAAATTTTTTTTCTTCATCGCGACGGAACAACTATGATACCGGCGCGGCGAAAAAGCGGTACTTCTGGGAGGATGGTAGGCACGAATTTTGGGTCCGCGAACATTCGTTAGCGGGAATTGTGTATGCCCCAATTTGGTGGTATGAAAAAAACACCAGCGAAAATTCAAACGGCGACTTTTCCGATTTTTTCATTTCGCTAGGGAACTTTCCGACGGCCACCTTTCCGACGAAACTTTTTCCGACTTTTTTCCCTTATGCTTTTCGGTTTATAAAACATCTATGAACATTTTTTTTTCCTATTTCTTTGTGTTTTAATTATGAACAAACTACCTACTTTATATAGGAAGATTTAAAACGAAGATTTTATCGAGAAAAAAAAGTCGGAAAAAGTTTCGTCGGAAAAGTGGCCGTCGGAAAGTTCCCTAGCGATATGAAAAAATCGGAAATGTCGCCGTTTGAATTTTCGCCGGTGTTTTTTTCATACCACCCCCAATTTTGGGGGATCGGATATTCGGCAACAAGAAAAAACTCTAAATAAAAAATTGCTACCGAACCTCCTCGATTTTATCCAAATCAGTCATGTAGTTGAACATTGCAAGAAGTGCCGCTTCTAGAGCCTGAAAACTGAGAAAAGTAGTCAAAGAAGCTCAAAAAATTCACAAACATTTTTGAAGTCTGGTCCCCACGAATGAATCTGAACGTCGGCAGGATGATCCAGATATTCGAACCGTTTCTTCTCATCTTCTTTCGTGCACCTCAAGTAAAATTGATTCAGGAGGAAATTTTCGAAAAACGGCTCACCGGTTATTAGTATCCGCCATTTAGTCTACTTAACGTCATATTTAACAAGTAACATTTCATTTAAGATACATAGGCAAAACTTGGCAGATGAAAAAACTTTTCTAGCGATCAATCAGTTTATTTTCGAGACGATCGATGTAGGTAACTAACGAAATACGCAAAAAGTATTTACATAACTAATGTACAGAGACAAGCTTCAGATTTTACCACTAAAGATAACTATACAAACAACTCCATTATATTCAATTTTTCCCGAATTGAAAGGCGAGATGGGTATATTGGCTAGGGTAAGCGTTGCGTGCGCGACGCGGCTTTTTAGCGGATTACTCGAGATCATACGAAATCATGGAAAAGTGTGATGAAAAAATTAGTTTTTTTTAATTATTTTATACTTTTATTCGTTCAGTAAGTTATTCCAAAAGCTTGAAAAATTCAATAAAATAAGAAAAAAAATTTTTTAAAAAGGAGGAAAGAAGGTGGCTGTTTTTTGACCTCGAAATTTCGGCCAAAAAGCCGCGTACGCAACGCTTCACCCTTGCCAACCTATCTCGCCTTCAAGTCGGGAAGGATTGGCTATAGCAACTATACAAAAAATGCTTCTAGACAAGAGACTATACAGAAACGAGAAAAACAATGGAATGCAAGTAGAGGTATTACCAAGTTGGAAAATTACAATCCGTTCAAAAAAAAAAAAGAAGAAGGTGAATATTCAAACTATAACCGTATTATCATGTTTCTTTTCATGTTACTCTGGCTGTTCAACTTCGTCTTCCCATGCAGGATCGAATATGTTCTCTGATACTTTTGACAAACAACGACAAGACAAAAAGAGAAGTCTTTTGAGCGTTTTGTTGTAGAAGAAAAAGTTCAGGCTCCAAATGCACCCATCTTCCGAAAAGGGGTCGTCAACGTAAGGAGACTTGAAACTGAAATACAATTTAGCCTTCTTGCGTGTTTATGAGAAATACACGTCATTGAAATCGGGTTGAATTAAACGGCTCAAGTGATAATGATAACCTCATCTTTTTTGAAATCTTTACGGTAAAATAAAGTTTCAAACACGCTACTATCTTTTTTCCGACGTTAATGTAAGACTCGAAAAATGTCTTGTTCATTATCGCAATAACTCAAGAATGAAGCTCCTGTTCACACATTCCCCAACAAAAAACCTGAATATTCTGCATTCGTTGGGCGTGATACCCTCTTCGACGGCGTTCCATAGCTCATCTCTCTGTGTGCAATAGTTGAAAACTGTGGTAGCCAGCTTTCCATTCACCAAAGAAACGACTTGCTAGAAAAAAAGAGGGGTGAAGCAAGTGCGAAGAGCCCACTTCGAACGAGGAAACTAATGAAAAGCAGTCGCTTTTTACATTTCGGAAATCGTAGTCGGGGTAGGCCGAGTTGAGAACTCGGACCAAATCGAACAGAGTTCGACGAGATATACTATCAACTAGCGAGTTCTGCAAACAATAATGTTTATGCCATGTTCAAAGTAATATCGGCATTTTCAAAACTCACGCGTTTTTTTATAACTTTTTTTTCACGAGATAAGGAAAATTGGAATTTCGGGAGCCGTTCGAAAATTTGGTGGTATAAAAAAAAGACCAGCGAATATTCGACGGCTACTTTTCCAATCTTTTCATATCGCTAGAAAACTTTCCAAAGGCGACGTTTCCGATTTTTTTTTTCTAGATAAAATCTTCGTTTTGAGTCTTCCTATACAAACTAAATATTCATTGAAAGCAATAAGATACAAGACGATCACCAACATCTTCTCCGTCGTTGTCAGATTCAGAGCAACTCCTTTCCGACATGTGTCTCAGACGAGCGGCGTGACCAATTGGCGATGCATTCAAACTCAAAAATTCGTCTGGTGGAGAGAGCGGCTAGAAAATTTCATTCATTTATTTCTGTCAACGAAAAACTTTTAACAAAAAAGTCAAACCTGTCTTTCTGACCAACTGACAGACGTGTCAAACGTTTTCCATTCTTTTTTATCACTCTGGACCATCTTGCACGAATAGGACTCCAGTCTGTTCAGACAAATCTTCTGTTATCAATGGTTATGAGAAAAATTCAAAATGCATCTATTCGAAAAAGCAATGTTTCTAATTGGTTTGTCATTAAACCGAATGAAACCTACTTGAAATCGAGAATACAGTCGAAGGCGCTGTTACTCAAAGCAGACGAAAGAACTTCGAGCACCGAGTTTTCCAAGTACTTCATTATTCCTATGAAATAAAAATTGCGTCGTGGTCATGTTCAAATGCCGTATTCAAAGTAATTTCGGCAAACTCGAAATCGACATTAGGGGACGGTGCGACTAAATCTCAAGTCCGAAAATATCGAGGGCAGAAAGCCTGAGTATCTGAAGGCCGCAAACCTTGGAAAATACTCCAATCACGTCTATCTAAACCATTCCCAAGGCGGCCGGTCAATATTGCGCCTATTTCGTAGCCAAGAAACTTTTCAAATTCTTTCCTTTTCTGCTTTTTTTTTAAGAATCTATTTTATATCAGTCGTATTCCGAGCTCTTCAAAGTGCAACTGGATGAACTACGCGCAGAAAAACGAGGAGAAGGGCCCTATAAGTTATATAACCATGCTTTCAGCAAATTTCTTCGAGCACGGCATTAGACTTCCAGTTAGCCAAAGGAGGTTGTTCATAATATTTTCAAAAGTTGGTGTTCACCGCCTAGTCGATTACATCTAGGACTAAAACGAAATTTTTAAAAAATAAATTATTGATAAGTGATGATGAAAATATATATGCCGTTGCAAGGCCAATTTTTTTCAAAGCATCCCAACTCGCGTACTTCACAAAATCATTTTATATCGATAACACGTCAACTTCGAAATCACCTAAATTGCTTTGAACATGACAATGAAGAAGAAAATAATGGATGCAGAAAAAAAAATGGGTGAATTGCGAAAAAAAAATCCTTGCTGTTGTGATAGTTCTATCTTTCGTTTGATTTTTAATAAAAATTTACCAGGAACGTGTAGATCTCGATTGAAAAAAAGATGTAGTAAAACAAGTAGAAATGAGAAAATGTGATAAAATTTGCAAAAAACAAAATAAACCCTGAAGTGACCAGAGTTGAACGAATTGGGGCGCGTTTTCCCTGTATATGATATTACCTCTTCTGACAAAAAAGTTCATTTTACTTTGCGGTTGTGATTTCAATAGGTTCATTGTGAGTTGGATTACATCTGAGCTCCTCTAAAAGTTGGTGGTGCTTTGAAAAAAAATTCTCAGGCATTGACGGCGTGACTACAATTTTTCTAGCTTTTTAACTAATTGAAAAGTTGTACATTTTATTTTTCTCGTCTCTGTTCTTTTTTTTCTCTTTGCGCTGCTCCACTTTATATAAATTTGACTACACTAAAGATTCTAATACCAAACTTTCACTTGAGAATTTTTTTCTCATAGTTTTGTTCGACGCTGGTAAATCGGGAGGAGAATATATACAAGTAGTTTTACCGAATAGCTATTTCAAAGTCAATATATGCTATAATCGGTGGTTTTTATTTGGAACCAGTGTTTTTTCAAACGTAAAAAGACTATCTAACGCTGAAAAAAAGGAATAGACGGGAAGCATACGCCGCCGGACTACACGATAGCAACCGCAAGTGTCAGGTAGGATAGCGATAGTATTCAGTGACCATAGAGATAGTACCTGGTAGCTAATAAATGACCATAAAGAAACTTACGAGGCGTATGTCACGCCTTAAAAGCAGCTACCCGGTAGTTACTTCAACATAGGCAAAGTCGGAGAGGGTGGAAAACAGCTCCATAGAAATGTTCATCTTAGGATGAGAAAAGCTCCTCCTGATCAGGAGCTCCTTTTTTGCTGCTTTTTTGCGCCATCTCATCGGCTCTTATGCACTATTTTTTGCTGTTTCTCCCCTTTTCCACCATTTCTTGGGCCTTCGCAGAAAAATTGGAAGGCTCGATAAAGAGACTCTCTTTGCTGCCTTTCTGTGGCCTTTTTGAGCCTCTCCCTTTTAGCGGCCATTTTCCACCATTCCGACTCTATCCTCCTTCCGATCGACTTTGTTTTTTATTTATTTTCAAGTCTTCTGTCGTTTTTTTGGAAATTTCATATTTTTTTAATCATATTTTCTTAGTCTTAAAAAAATGCGACATTTCGATTTCGATTAAGATAATAAGCCAAGCAGTAGAGATTTTTTTAAAAACGTCTTATCCAGATAATTTTTGAATTAATATTTTTTTAATTGCCGTTGACTTTTTTTCAATTATTTATCAATAGCAGTGAAATTTATCAATAGAAGTGAATCAATAGCAGAAAATAATTTCTCGAGCGCAAAAAGAAAACCTTTTTTGATCCGACTAGTGAACTGATATAAATATCAACAGAGAGGGACTTCTCTCCAACCATTTTACATGGAAATTGCAGAATTTTTTTATTTTTTTCATTTTTTTGACATAATAAAGCTTTTTAAATGACGTCTTAGTCCCAAGCGTGCGAGCCTCCAGTACCTAAGTCTATTCAAATATCGGTATTTAGTATTACAGCATGGCCAAACGTCGATTCAATCCGACCGGCAATGAAGACCGGATTCCGACGGTTGAAAAAAACTTTACAAGTAGGTCTCAAAGAGTTTTTTTGAATAATTAAAATTGCATTTTTTCAATTTCCATGTTTCAGAGAGAGTCAACCTTCGACTTTTTTGGGTGGCGGCTTCATGGACGACGACGATGTAGAGCAAGAAAAACGTGATGAATACGCCGAAAAATTACAGAAATGTTCTATTTTTTTTTCCGTAATCTGTTTTTAGTTCCATAAGTTCAGGGAGAGATACTCATTCAAATGAGCCCGCGCCAGAGAATTGTACAAAATGTGATGGGCTCCTTATGGATAGTTGGTTGTGGGAACGTTTTTCGCACCCAGTCTGTGAGACATGCCGGTAAATGTCAATTTTTTTTTTTGACCCGGCTCAATTTTAGAGACGAGAAAAACGAACATAAGCTACTGGCAAGAACAGACGTCAAAAATCTTTACTTGTTGAAGGTTTTTTTAGTTTTCGATTTTCAAGAAAATTTTTCGGTTTTAAAATAAATTTAAATATTCTTCATAGGACGCAGATCTGGATTTACGAAAGCCACCACTCCGATATTGGGCTAAGAAAAATCCACATAACCCGAGATATGGTGATATGAAGCTGTATCTAAAGTGTCAGGTTGTTATAATGGATGGTTGAACAATTTCCCATCAGGTCGAGAAGCGAATGATCGAAGTTCATGGCAGTTGGGAGGAACTAGAGATGAAGAAAGAAACGCGCGAACAGTTAAAAGATGTTCGTTCTGAAAAGAGATTTGAGAAGAAGCTTAAAGATTTACGGCAACAGGTTCGTTTGTGTTCAAGAGCTTTTCAGCTCAGAACAATGAGCCCTTCAGTTTTCTCTTGTGGAAGAAAAAAAAGAAGACTGCGAAAAAAAAAAAACTTATTTCGGCATATGTTTTGAATGCATTTTCAGAATTTATTTTTCAGATACGAGGTTCATCTAATAAAAAAGTCGAAACGATGAAGGCTCATGATCATGTCTTCGGAGCCGAAAAAGAGCTGTCGAATGGTGACTGGGAACACTCGTGTCAAGAGTGCGGATTCAAAGAAACTTTTGAAAAACTGTAAATGTAACAAAGGTTTTCAAACTTTCATTCCTGCAAATATACATGAAGTGTTTTTTTGTTCTTTTTTAGGTCAATAGTGTCGGCAAAGTTCATCATTTGAAAGAACCGGACGATTCCCAACGAAAAGACGTATAAATGCGTAAAATTACTGTCGATAAATGAAACAATGTATCATTTTACAAGAGAATTTGACTTCACGAAAAACGCAAAAAAGCTTTGCACTCGACAGGAATCGAACCTACTCGAAAAAGTCAATAATGAGACTGGCCCTCTAACCACTGCGCCAGTCCACCTCCGTGAGAGAGAGGTCCAGGCGCGTACCGGTCTCTTCCTCCGTTCCTTCGAGGAACTTTTTCTCAGAAGCCCATAGGATCTGGCAGATAATTTTATTGTTTCTAATATCCCTACCCAAGTCTATAAACCATCGTAGTTTCAACTTGACACGCATCGAGTCCAAGTAGTTTTTTAGTCAGAAATATTTAGAAAAAGAATTTTTTTCAATTTTTTTTAACGATAACTTTCCCCCTTATATACACAGCTTTCATACCTTGCTCATAACAAGCGCTTTTAGATTTTAGAGCCATTTTGCCATCAATTGTATTGTCATAAAAATGATCGTGGCGCAATGTAGACTTCTTGAAAAAGGCATTTCTCCGTTGCGGATTTTCGTGGCAAAGTAGCCAGGCTTCAGATTAATAAAACACCTATGATTCAAAAACCTTTCTCTAGAAACCCAAAAATATTTGAAAGGTTTGTGCGAGCCCAATCCTTGAGTATAGACTGACAAGGGCTGTGTGCGCGGTGAACATCGAGTTAGGAATTGAGGCTTATATGGTAGATGGACCTAGGGGAGAGTGCTCCAAAACGAAAGAAAAAATCTGCTAAGCGCCATAGGGTACCGAGAAAAAGCTCGTCAAAGTTTTGCCGCCACGTATATGCCCGCGCTCGGAGTGCTCGGCCAGCAACTGGGAGCGTGGTGAAGTGGCAGTGCTCTTAAATGGCGCTGACGCTATGCTAGGTTCGATTCCTTTTGACGTCAAACTTTTTTTGCCTTGTTTTATTCAATTCTTCTACACTCTATCATCAAACAAAAACAGCAAAAAAAGTTTGAAAAAGTTCTAATAATTGGTTCATGGCTTTCGAGATCACAACACGATTGGATCGAAACAATATAAGTGAAAAATCACTCGTGAAAAAAAAAGAAACCAGGTACGAGTACGAGCCCGAAACAAAGGTAGACCTGTCAATGTAATTTCGCATTCTCTATGAAATTTCAAAAGTTTCGGTGAACAATAGAACTAACCTTTTGGTATGAGAGGGGCTTCAAAAAAAGGGAAAATAGAGTCGGTGGAATTTTTTTGCGATGAAAGATTTCTAAACAGTAAAAAAAGACATATAAAGTGGTTGAATGAGACCAGAGGAGCCAGGTGTGATATTATTCACAATTATAAATTTTTTACACGAGGTACACAACCTTTTATTGTATTTTATTGTGCTATCATCTCGAGAAGCCGCCCAAGCATCTATTATTTGGACGATTTTTTCGAAGTTTTCGATGGAAAAACTAAATTTGACGCAAAAAAGTTTTTTTGTGCTTTCTCCTTTCTTCTTTCCCAAATTTCAATCAACTCCTTCAATTCAAACTTTTTTTGCTGTTTTTGTTTGATGATAGATTGCAGAAGAATTGAATAAACAAGAGCAAAAAAAGTTTAACGTCAAAAGGAATCGAACCTAGCATAGCGTCAGCGCCATTCAAGAACACTGCCACTTCACCACGCTCCCACTTGCTGGCTCAGCACTCCGAGCGCGGGCATATACGTGGCGGCAAAACCTTGACGAGCTTTTTCTCGGTACCCTATGGCGCTTAGCAGATTTTCTCTTTCGTTTTGGAGCACTCTCCTCTAGGTCCATCTACCATATAATCCTCAATTCCTAACTCGATGTTCACCGCGCACACAGCCCTTGTGAGCTTCTCGCGATTTTCCCTTCCGCAGTTGTCATGACAACCAGTTGTGCCGCACTGACCGTGAGGTCGAAACGACAGAATAAAAATCACTCCTGCTCTATAAAAAGTTTCCAATGCCTCGATTTCGAGTTGAGGACGTGGATGAATCAGCTGCATATCCAGTAGCTTCAGCAGCGGAGGTCTCTAGCTCACCAAGGTCGGAACCCTATGAGATGGCAGATAGCGCAAGGGGCTCAGAACAAAATGTAAGCTATCTTCCTTGATTCTTCAGTTTTCTCTTGTTTTATTCTTTTTTTTTTTATTCTTTGTATATAGCCGATTCACGGCTAACTTGGGACGCAGAGGGGGCGTGGCGTGTCTGCGTTCTCCACCCACTACGCACTATCTCTTTTATTATCGTGTCTGGAAAATTTTTTTGATGGCTTAACCCATCGAAAAAAGGTCTAACCACGACGAAAAAAAGACATTGTCGGTTGGTGAAGAGGTCAGAAGAGCCAAGCCTTTTCGAGTTTCAAAGACAACCGTGTTCACGGTTGTCTTTGAAAGGCTCACCTGAGTAGGCGTAAGCCTTTTTTGGTTTATTTTCGTCTTTTTTAGCTAAGAAGAATTTAGCTAAAACAACTTTAGAAAAATGAAGAAAAGCGGAGGACGAGACGGGATTCCATCAAAGAGCATTTGATGAAGTTCAAAAAAACAAAACTTCTACCAATTTGAAAGAAGAACAAAAAAAGAAGCTACGGTGAGAAATAAATGAAATTTTTTTATTTAAAAATTAATCAGATTCCTACAGTGGAACCACTCACCGTCAAAGGAGATGCAAGTTTGATTTCTACAGATGGATCGAGGTCGGGTTTGGAAGTTTTTTTTCTCAAATAATGCCGTGTTCAAAGTGATTCCGCGAAATTCAAAATAGCCGTCAGAGAAAGAGAAAGATAACTAAATTTTGGAGGGTCAGAGACTATTTTGCATTTCGCGGAAATCACTTTGAACACGGCATAAAGGCCGCCGCAAGAGTTCAACATTTACACTCGGGAAAGACAGTTACAAACCAGAGTATAGAAATGTGAACCGCCATTTTACGCGACATCATCTTTCTATTGGACTTCAATGCCTCGGGAAATTACTATCTTTTCAGTCCAACTCTTTCGGCGACGCGCGTGTCAACTGGTGAAGCGACCCGAACGGTTGTGATGCGAGAGAGGCTTCGAAAGAGTGCTCAACAGTCAATAGAACGCACTAGGTTTGAGAAACTTTTCGAAATACTAACTAGAGAGTTCCTTTCAATCAAAGATTTGGTAACAACCGAAAGTTCGCTCGAATTTTAAGTTGGCTTGGAAATCATGAAAATGGGCAAGTAAATAGCTAGATTAGTCCAGGAGGATTAGTTGCTTACTAAAATTCACCAAATTAACGAGTAGAAATGATTTTTAAGCTCAGGGAGGTAGTGATGACTTTAGTTCAAAAAGCCTTAGGTGAAAGGGTTGTTAGACTCAAAGGCATGTAAAGAATACGTTAGCTAATCAAAAATTATCACCTGGTAGGTCTTGACTTTGAAATCTCTAAAGAGTCTTTGAAAATTTTTTGAGAAAACCGCTTTTATATAAACTGAGCTCAAAAAAAGTTAATTTATTCAGTTTAGTTCGGACGATACGGTTTGAAAAGAAAATTTAAAAAAAATCGTGGACATGTCGCAACTATAATCTTTCCGTTTCAAGAGGAAATGTGCAACTGAACAAACGACTCGCACGGAGGCCTACGGTGGTGGCTGAAGAAAACATAACGGAGCTAGATCTTGAAGGCGTCGATGGTGAAATCGAGCAGTCGATTAGGGTTCGAGATATTTTCATCTATATTTCTTTTTTTGGGAAATTTCTAAAAATTTCTGACTGCTTCGAATTCGTTTTGGTAGCGATTCCATCAAAATTGTCTTTTTTCGCAGATGGCGTCGAAGTTTGTCACAACCGTTGACGAAAAAAACGACACGGTTGAAGGTTTATATGAGAATAATCCTATGGCGAGTCGTCCTGAAGCCATCCGTCGCAGGCATTTAGATTTCAAAGCTCCTTTGCAAATCGATGATCAGACGGAGACCCTCGTCAAAAATGTTGACAGGTAAACTTCTATTCAGACAGGAATCATTTTTTGGTAAGACTAAGTTGTCGTATGTAAAAAGAATATGAACGGTCAACCGAAAAAGGAAAAAAAAACCTTTTTTTTTACGAACTCCGATACTTAACTCATCGCGTATCCTATTTATTGACTGGGTATGTGGATACCTCGATTGACCTTTTTTAACGTTTGAGAAGCGAATTCGAGCTTTTTTATTATTTTGAATAAATTCCGTAAACAGGTTTACTATTCTCTAGCTTGCGACCCATTTAACTTTAAAAATAATTAAAACCCTCGAACGGCAACATGAGTTTATTGGCAACGGTGAAGTGCTGCGTACGCGAAGCGGCTTTTTATAGTTTCGTGAGAAATTTATTTGGACGGAAAAATATCAAAATATAGAAAATGTTGTTTTCCACACTTTTTCCACGATCTCGAACTTTCTGCTAAAAGTCGCGTCGCGTACGCAACACGTCACCGCTGTCAACCTACTCATCTCGATTTTCATGTCGGAAAAGATTGATTATATCTTCATAATAATGTCTTAAGAAGCTGTACGGCCACGGGTTCCATAAAAGTGTATATCAATAAGAATAAAATAAAGTTATTCTTAGAAGCTTTCGTGCTCGTTTTTTTTTTTTGGCTTTTCATAAATTTTCTCGTTCATCGAAATTAATTTGGCTAACCTTCAAGTTCAGAAGATTACTCGGTGGTGGCGATGTGGTTCGAATCCCCGAGAAGCAAGTGCCGACACGCAAGTCCGATGTAAACTTTTTTGAAAAATTCAAAGCTTGAAATAATCTTCATGATCGTCTTTATTGCAAAGTCCATTCGACCAGACTTGTAACGATATCAATGGTGAACCGAGGTATTCACACGGTCATTCAATAAATAGGTTACGCTATAAGATAGCTATCGATAAGCTACCCTGCAGCATACTTCTAAAGCTTCTCCGGCCCTCGCTAATCCACAACGCACAGGGATAGTATCGGAGTGCATCCAAATATTATTGAAATAGCAAAAACTTGGTATCTGAATGCTGTTTATTGATTGACCGTAGCAAATTCTGATTGAAGTAGCTGATTTTTTGGATACGCTGTTTGACCAGTGATCGACAATAGGCTTCAATTTACTAAAATTTATGGAAAATTCTCTCAAAGTTCTCAAGTGATCACTATTCAGATTGTTGGCAAAGATAATGAAAGAATGCACTACCGGAACGCAGAAAGTTTCGAGGACGCTTCAAACAAAATCAGGTTATTCAAAATTATTTATTTTCGCCCCACAGTTCCATTATTCGTTTAAGAAGAAAAAACTACGTTCAAATGGACGTATTCGTCGATTCCATTCATTTTGATCATCATTATTTATGGAGTCAAGAGGTAGGATGCTGCGTTTATATAAATTTCGACGGAGTGAAATTCTCAGAAACGTTAGAGTGACCCCTAAACCAGAACCTTAGGGTCCCTTAAACGTCTCAGAATTTTTTTTTACCGTTCTTCGCCACTCGCTTATAAGTAGATGAAAACGAAAAGTCAGAGAGATCATTTTGAGCTCTCGAACCACGAATAACAGGCGCTCCCCGGACATTTCTGAAACAGCAAGTGCGAAAGGTGGTTGGTTGAGAATTTGATGAAACTTGGTGTAGGTGCTAAGACTTCTAACAACGCTAAAGTTTTTGCTAGAAACCCTCTGGAACATCCGGGGCACGTCCGGTCTGCGTTACCGAGGTCAACATCACATTTCGATTTTTGGACGACAGTTTCCAATCACTCGGAATAATTTTTTCTTCTTCGCATCACAAATATCTCATTTATAATTGATTCAGAGGCGGTGACAGCTATAATAAGAATTTTTGCAGAACCCTGAGTTTCAGTGGTTTCACCTTGTCTTTTAATCATAAATGGATGTGGCGCTTCAGATCAAATTTTCAGGATCTCGCAGTGAGTCACCTTCGCGATGTCTATTTTGGCCAACTTTTGAAGTTCCACCAGTTAGCTGGACTTGAAGAGAAAGAGTGGGTAAAACTTTTCGAATCTGAGAATCCAAAACTGTGTCGAAGACGATATGAATTGCTAAAATGTAGCCTCTGCGACTTTCACAGACATTTCCCTTGTTAGAGGGCGGCTCTTCTCTCCGACACAGCTCCTTTGAAGATACCCAACCGTCCAGTATATTTTCCTTCGCAAAAGATGAATTTTAGAGACCCTTCAAGGACTTCGTTGATCAACAGCTTGCGTTCCGGACACGAAGAGTTGAAAGAAGCCGCCGAAAATTTGTTCCGCGTTCGTGAGACCCAAGGCTTTGTCACAACTAATATTATCTACAAAGAGAAAGAATTGTTAGGAAAAAGCTTTTTGTCGACAAAGGACATTCCTATTTAGAGATGGCGAAGATCTCGAAGACTGGATGAGAATGGGGACTATCACAGGAAACGGCATTGCTCCGACCAACTCAAAAGTTCCGAGACAAGAAAAGGAAAGATTGAACAAGCTTAAAAAGGTTAGTATCTAACAAATGAACTGAGAAAGAAAGTCTAAAAAAGAGACGAAGAAAAATAAACCGGCGAAAAACTGAGAAGCTGCGACAAATTTGCCAATCGTTTGTAGACACGCACTCCATCGATAACGTAGCCAATGACTGGTTTAGGATATTAGGTAGCTTTTCTTTTTTATAGCCCTTTTTTATCAATTTTTGTTTTCATTACTTCGTTCTGCTTGTTTTAAAACAGAGAACAGTTTTTTTATTTCTGTACAGCATAAAGACGGAAATGAGTAAACTAAATAATTTCAACTTTTTTTTTCGTGTGTGAGTCTGACAAGGAAGGTCCTTTTACTTTGCGTCTGGGAATTTCCTGAAAATTGGCCAGAACACTTCTTGTTGTACTAGAAAAAGATCCTGGAAGCCTCAACCTGCAAAACTTTCTATTGTTTGAGAAAGGACGCCTCAAATTCAAAGAAAACACTAAAAATCCGTTAAAATAGGCCATTTTGAAGCTTCGAGCCCTTATTTCTCGAATACTAGAAATTTTTGCAGGTTGAGACTTTCAGATTCTTCTTCTGACACTAACCGCAAAGTAAAATGACCTCCCCAGTGAAATGGTCTTTTCACCTTATTTTTCAGACGTTCATTCGATTGACTCTTTTTTTCAACGGGATCGAAGTGAGCAAAACGCCGTGGGCCCCTGTTTCGCCGTACATTGCAACATTTATGCGTCGATTTGAGCTCGAGGTCTCGTGGGCGATTCGACAAGAACCTTCATTCCGCGAACATTTTGAACATTTTGTTGAAAGTTTTTTCATGAAAGTGTAAACTGTCGAAAAGTCGTCGAACGAAAAAAAAACAGAAATGACGTGTAATGGATGTTCAAAAGGTGTTTTCAGCTCTTTTCGCCAGTTCAGTCCTTGAGTTTTATTGTGTCGGAACGGCAAGGCTTGCGGGAACGAGTTATTGCAAATGTTGGTTCAATTTTTTTCTTCCCTTCAAAGAAAATTTTTATCCGGAAATCTCAGAAAAGTATATTTAGGTTGACATTCCTACGTCTAACAACACTACAGGAGAGGATATTTCGGCGTTGCATGAAGTCGAGTTTGTTTCTACGGCCGACATGCCCAAGTATGGTTTATTCAACGTCAAATCTTGAAAGTGCGCTATTGCAAAACTTGTCTCTCTGACGAAATTTCACGTCGTGACTTTGAAGGTGTAACTCTAATGCTCCAAGTATTCAAACCACTCGTACCTTTCATTTCTGTTTCCGAAAGTGTTTTTGCAGAGTTGGTACAAGCCTGGGAAGCGTTGAAAATTGTTCGATCAGCGCGCGGCTTTTGTGCAGAGCCATCCAGGTTCAGGGCAAAGAGGCCGAATTTAGGGCGCTTGAACACGAAAAGAAGGTTGAAACCTTTTTGAAAGTCGACAAGTTTCTTTCTGATTTCAGAAACATTCCAACCGATTTCAAGTGTTTGCTCCGGAAACACGCCTCACTTCTGCAACTGTCCACAGGATCACCGCTAAAAAAAAGTGCTTATTTTGAAGAACCTATTAATGAAGCATTTCCCACATATTTGGTTTGTTTGAGAAAAGCTAAATAGAAACGCGGAGAGTTTTGAAAATTGCCAAAGTTTGTTCAAAAACTAGCAAACGAGATAATATGAGCCCTCTTCTAAGATACGATAGGAATTCGGTAGAGAAAGGTTCACTTGAGCCGGCAGTTAGCCCGATAATGGATTTTTCTCACTTGTATGAAACAGTTGACCGCAATCGTCTGTTCGGTGAAAACATGACGCATCTGACTTCAACGGTTTCAGAGAAAAGCGCCTCCAAGATGAGAATCGTCTTTCTAGGCCGTCATATCGTTGCGCCATCGATAACCAACGAATGGCGGCCGTAGCATATGCGGCAATTATGAGGTCATTTTTCTTTTGTGAGAGAGAGAAAAATATTCGTAAATTGTCGCTTTGACCAAATTAGGGTTTTCATAAGTGTTACATTCCGTTCGTGTGTGCGACATAGGTTTACGATTTAGTTCAGACGCTAAATATTGTAGTAGGTGTATTTTCCTCTACGTTGGAGAAATTTCGTTTTCTGTCGGTTTGGTAGAGATGAAAAAAGTCAAAACTTCTAGTTTTGCTTTTTGGCAAAGTTTTCCGAACAGGCTGCTTTAAAATCATCTTTTTGTAAACTGCTGGACCAGGAACATCGTTCTTTGCAGAGATAGGGTGATGAACAGACGCCAGAAACGGGAAAGAAAGTATGAGGAGGTGGTTCTCGAGCAAGAGATCCCTTCGATAAGTGCGGCTCTCACTCATATTTTCTCGCCCGCCGATGTGTCCAGAAAGCTGAAGCCGATGAGAACGGAGGCCAAGCAACAGCCTAATCACGAATCGATGCTCCTGCAAATTTTCGTCAATGTACAATCGGCAACGAATTTGCCGACGAGGACCGCTGGAAATTTACAATCATTTGTGGAAGTCTGGTTTCAGGTGGGAGTTTTATAGTTTGAATGTACATATCCGACAACAAATCTTGTTCGAGAACCTGAAAACGTCTTAACACCAATTTTCAAAGAGCTGTGGCCTAGGAACTTTTCGCATTCTTTTTTTTTATCAACTGTAAACGTCATCTCTTTTTTGAATTGTGAAGATTTGATGGCACTGTAGAAGAAACGGACCGTTAGTGTCAGGTATTCAGGGAAAAAGTCTGAGAACAAGCGTAGGTTCTGGCCGCCACCCGAACTGGCAGTTTAGTGGAATTTTGACGGGAGAGTCGGCAACACCTTCCGTCATCGAGTTCCGTGTTTACGATGAGGTTTCGTTTCTCCTCACTTTTTCGAACAATAATGGAAGAGGTTTCAATAGGTTGTGGAAAGAATCGGAGACGATTCAAGGATTAAAAACGTCATTCACGAACAACTCGTTCATCGACTCGTTGCCAAGGCGGAACTTTGTCTGAGTAATCTTTCGAGAAAGGGAAAGATTGATTGCAATCTTCGACTTTCCCTTCCCTCCTTCCACACTTCATACAGGTATCACGTTGAAAGTTTAATTTCATTTGGCCCTTAACGCATGTTCCTCGAGATTCACAAAAACCATTGGTACAAAAATTCCATAATTGTTCCTGAGAACACTTCTCACTATTACAGATACTACACAAACTTCTGAGTAGTTAGAACTAGGTTTTATTAAGCTCCGCCCACTTTCAGGCTGACTGAAAAAAATACGGTAAAAATCAAAATGTTTTTCTCCAATGGGACGAATCGGTCCAAGCCAATTTCATTACAAGATAAGTTTTTATATGAAAATTTTACGTTTTTCTATGGTACCTCGGGTATACCTCTTAGGTTTTTCGAGCAAAAGGAGATAGACTTGAGGGAGACTCTAAAATACCTCCGAGATGGCTCAGATATAGCTAAAAGATATGCTTGATGTATCACTATGGACTTTTGGGGTCTTCACGATTCATTTTGAAAGATATCTTCGTGGACGCATTATGATCCCCTCCCGATTCGTCTTTGAAAGAAATTGAAGTATTTGGACCACGTTCATGGTCTAGACCTTCAGATTCCTCAGCAATGGTGAAATTATGGCTCACTTCTATTATAGAGCTGATGAGCGAGGTCTTGGCTACCATGCCCTGGGCTACATACCTAATCCTCCTTCTCAAAGATACATTTCAAAAGCTACATACGTGACCAATCACCTTTGACCATAACGCATGAAATTCGCAAAAAAAGATGTTTCAGTTACTCTAATGATTCGAGCTTCCTCAAATTACTGCTCACCATACCCGCACATAACCGATCGACGTTCAATATGGAATCGTTTGCCACATCATCCCTCGAGTCGCCTAAGGTATTACTCCATCTGGTGGCCGCGTGGTTCCAGATTTCCCCCGCAGTAAATGAACTTCACATCTTTTGTAATGATTCTTCATATTGATGAATAACTGCGCAAAACGCAACAAAATCAGGTCTTGTAAAACACTCAGGGGCATAAATATTGCACGGCCTTTAAAATTCCGTTATGCCGTGTTCAAAGTGATTCCGCGAAATTCAAAATAGCTGTCAGAGAAAGAGAAAGATAACTAAAGTTTGGAGGGTCAGAGACCATTTTGCATTTCGCGGAAATTACTTTGAACACGGCATTACTTTCAAGTGGAACGGGTTCAGACAAGATTGTTTGAATTTTTTTATCGGCAAAGTATCCAAGTTAGCAAATATAATTCAACTTTCGCTCCGACTTTCATTGACCTCACTGAGCGCCTTGACTCTCTCGAAAAAATATTCGACCCTTGGACACATATCGATCTTGTCATCCATTCTTGATGATGGAGACCATCAGCAGGTCCCGGTTAAAATAGAGTTTTGTCCAGGCCTTTGACTTTAAATATAAATATGCAGAATTGTCAAGGGATTCGAATCTGGTGAGTAGCAGGTCCATTCCTTGACCGTTTTTAAATCGAGCAGATTGGACTCGCACTAGTCTTGCTCAGCTCGGGGCTTGCAGCTTGACCTAAAATTTTGGTGGAAGAACCAGCGACGGTTCGCAAAGTGGAAAAAAAAAGAACAGATTGAAATTATATTGGCAAAAAAGAAAGTTGGAATGATCGAAAATTCCGTGCAATATTTATGCCCACCCCTGTATTTTGCATTTAACATATTTTGGTTTCAATTCAAGTTTAAATGGTTGACATGAAATTTATTGAATAAAAACGCCGAATTTCTTATTGAGTGCTGACAGTATTTGGGTTTTCAATACTTAATATTAACCACAATCGAGAATTCTACGCATTTCCGACACTCAAACAACTCAGAACTAAAAAAAATTTCAAATTTTTAAAAAAGACCCCTTCAAAAAAGCGATCGAGCAGACCGACTTTTCCAGCATTCCCATTACAAAGGCCGTCAATACCTCTTTTCGGGTATTCCTGAATTAAAGTTAACGATACCTGCCCGAGGTTAATTTTGTATCTTTTTTTTTCAATCAAATTTTTCGTCAGGAACTTTCTCCTCCTAGATAGATTTGTGTACTTTCCCATTTACGTCTGAAACTTTCTGTTTTTTTTTTTTGAATTTCGTTCAGACTCTCTCACAATGTGATGCTTGGCAAAAAGAGCTCCGAGAGCGTTTTCCTCTGCGATCCTATCGTTCTTTGGTTGTCGATGCAAACGCGAAGTCGCTCCTGCCAACAAGGTTGCTCGAAAAAAATTATCACGAGTTGAAACACTTTCTCCAAGATTCATACGGACCATTGATCCTCCGTCAGAAGTGACAAGGCTTGGCAAATGGGAAGGCGTTCGGAAAGCAGCAGAAATCGTAGCGAATATCCCCGGCATCGACGACGCTCCAGAGCAGCACGACATTTGGACGACTGTTGATCAGGTAGGATTCGAAAAATGGAGTGAGTTGTAGTCGTTTGTTCTCGACATTAAGTCAGAAACAGCTTAGTGGGTCTGTCCAATGACCCTTTGGGTAAAACCAACGTGTGATACCTGACAAATCAGCAAACACAATAGTGGTTAGACCAGAAAACAAAAATGTCCACAAGCAAAATGGAGCGTTTCAATTAATCTTGGCCTCTGCAAACACGTTCACAGTCTTTTTTGAATCGTTTGTTTGATCTAAAATCAAAACTTTCATGTAACTTTCAAGTTCAACCAAGTAATTTATTTTGTTGTTTTAGTCAGATGTAACCGACTAGGCGGTGAACAAGAACTGTTTAAGCTATAACGAACAATCGCTTTTGGCGAACTAGAAGGCCAAACGTGTACTTGATAAAGTTGAAAGCATGATCTGACCGTCTTTCGCCTCCTTTTCTGGGCGTAGTCCATCCAGTTGCGCCTTGACGAGCTCAGAATGTAGCGGATGTTGTGCTGGATACCGTGCTCTAGGTGGAAGCCTCGAAATGTGAGCGACCATTTCGAGTGAAGACTTCACACGGAAGTTGAATTATTTTTGCATATAAAATGCTATCATGTACTCTCAAAATTTGCTTTTAGCAAACGTCGTTTTTGATCGGCTCTTGACCAGCCAAAAACACGAGATTAATAGTTTGTTAGAGAATTAGTTTAATGGCTTTTGAGCTTTCGCTTAGGGATAATCTCTCTGAGAAATGCTGAAAACTTATTACTTCATTTTATTGCAAAACTCGCAAATCACCTCCCGTTTACTAGAATTTTCAAGATCACAACACTAGCGGTTTGCGGATTGGAGGAAAGGGCGGTTCTTCTTTGCTGTTGGCTCCGTTCAATGCAGGTCCAATGCGCAGTCCTATTGGGTAATTTTTTGCATGAAATTGGTAGAAACAACGAAAATTGTCTTGTTGTTATTAAAAAGATTGAGAGGAAGTAGAAAAAGTTGTATGTATGGAACATGGGATGCCTCTGCAGTCTATGACTTTGAAATTGAAAAATTAAGTGAGATTGATAAATAGAGAAGTTCAAAGGCTGTCGTCACGAGCAATCCTACACTTATTTGAACAACAACAGGAAAATTGAATTTTAGGCGACACAGAAAGGGCGGGATCTGCATCTGTGCTAGCTGTTTTGGACGAAACGGAATCAGTGATAGACGTTGAAAACGGCTTCATTTACTCTACCAAGGATGCCAACTGTCCCATGCTGGCCGTCTATACAGCTTTCGATGATCGCAACGTTTACGCCAACATCCAGAGCTCTGTCCATCCGTCTCAGATTCAATTCATGTTCTCGGTATCAACTTGTTCTCTTTGTTTCACTCCGCTCACTTGTTGCAAGTATTTTGCTAAGACACGGCCAAAAAGCACAAAGCTTGAGGTTTTGGCAATTTTATTTTGTTTTTTTTTGGTGTAAAAATACTGCAGTGTTCTCTAAAAACTGGAACCTTGTTCCCAGGAATATTCCATCAAGACTCGTTCTCGCTTTCGTTTCACTCTGCGCCCTCTTTCCCCCAGCTTAGCAAATTTTTTTTCAGCGCGAGTCCCAGTGGAAGCCCCTACTTCCCAGTAATGATCTTCTACAGTCTGTGCAACCTGGCAGCGTTCTTTACACAACAGTTGAGCTCAACAGAACCAATGAATTTTTCTTTCTTTTTTGTTAGGTGTCCGAAGATTGGCTAGTCGAGTTGAGAAGTTTGATAGAGCGTGAAGTCAAACTTTGTTTCGACGATTCGCGTCCTCAAGGCATCCCACAGTGGAATCTTGCTGTTTCGAGGTGAATGGTGACCAAATGCTCCCATTACAGAGAGTACGATTCAGACAACTACGCGAAATTTTAACGGAGGTGAACGACAAACGTATCGTTGAGAGAAGCTTCATAGATGAGAAAATGACGCGAGTCCGAGATTCCTACAACGTTTTGGCAAACGCTTTCCGGATACCTTACAGGTCGATTGACGTGAGACGAAACTCGAGTTCCTGAATAAACTTAAGACTTTTCTTTAGAAGTGTGTAGAAGAGGTTCTCGCGCTGCGATTGCACGAGACACGCGAGGAGAATGTTCAATTTTCCTTTGCTGTACACTTACACAACTTTTTTTCCCATGTCATAACCATTCACATTGCTATCGCTGTGTTATATCCGAAAAAAAATGAATAATTTACTGTACATTTCTTTTCAACATGTGTATTTTTCCACGTGAGTTAGCACAAGTCTTATCGAACTCGAGGAGTTTAAGGAAATGATATTTATATCAAGAGAACAGACATGGATGGCATTCAAGAAAGCGGAACAGCATGAGAATTGCTCGAAAATGCTCGGAAATAAGTTAGGTAAGATTCGAAAGCATCGATTAAAATTTTTTTTAAAAGTTGAAGAAGGTAAAGCGCTATAGGGTACGGAGTTCTTCATCAAGGCACAAGATGGTCAATCTAAAAGTTTCACAAAGGAATGGATTAAGTTTGTGAGTTTACTTCCAAAATTACAATATATTCAAAAACAACAAAAAAAGATCGTAGTGAGGTTTGGAACGAAAGTAGAGCTTTCAGAATGACAAGTAGTATTGTTAATTAAGTAGGTAAAACTGGGAGGTCCTAGGAAGCGAGAAGTAGAAAGCTTTTTGAAACACTTCTTGACTTTTCTGCAAGCCATGTAATTGTAAAAAGCTTTTTTGTTTCGCAAAACTTTTTTTACTCGTCATCGAATTCGTAGAGTCGCTTGTACAGCGGGCAACAGTAGCAACACCAGCAAGAGAGTGCGATGAGAACTGAAAGTAAAGTTATTGTAGAAAGTAGGCTGATTTTATCAATTATACAACTTTCTATCAGCTATAGACCTCTGAGAGCATCAAGCCCCGCAACGGCTGCCCAACAACTCAAACAAATTTCATTGTCGTCTAATTTATTTGATTCCGTCACTCAATTGTTTGTCGAAAAGTTTAACGTTAACAAGTTGATGAAGTTACAGTTAAGAAACTAATTTTTGATTGAAGCAAGGATCCCATGTCATTCACATCGCCACTTGGAGAAAAAAGAAAAGTTTCTTTTATTCCAAAAATAGGGCCTTAGTATTTTTTTATTTGCAAAAAGAGAAAAACCCAAAAGTTTTTTTCCGAAACATTGATTATTTCCCAATATTTTCGGAAAAAAGCTGTTTTGGCAGGGAGCGACGCTGCTTGAACTGATTCGGAGGGTCAACGTGTCTTTCGGCGAACCACAGTGGACAAACATCCTTTGACGATGACGAGCCACAGCGAATGCGGTTCGTTCAACTAGCCTAATCATGTAGAATAGCTAAAGGAACTTTTTTTTGGGAAATTGGGCCCTAGGCGCAAGAGCGGAGAATAAATAAAATTCGAGTACCATTGAATATCCTACCTAGTAAATTAATAGTGCGAAAACAGTACTCAGTACATTAGCCGACCATTTTTTTTTTCGTTGAGAGCTTCAACGCCAGTAGCTCTGATTTGAGAAATTGTACAACGGGGCATCGACGTTATCGTGTCTGTGTTTCTTTGTCTTTGGAGTCAAACCTATTCAAAAAAGTCAATAATGAGACTGGCCCTCAAGCCACTGGGCTAGGTCACCTTCGTGAGAGAGAAAGGTCCAGGCACGTACAAGACATTCCCTCGATTTTGCTCATGAGTTTACCAGATATCTCGTTTCCAAAAGCTTTTACCTAGGCCTATAAGTCACCAAAGTTTCAACTCGATACCCCCAGTTTGAGTAGTTCCCTAGTAAGGAGTGTCCTAGTGCTAAGTCAATTTACCTAAAAGTAGGACCACAGCTGCGATGACGATAGCAACCAAAGCGCCAGTGGGAATCGCAAAGGCACAGCATGAGGGTTTCCAAGAGCCCATATAAGGCCATGTACAGCACCAATTGTAGTTGTCCCAGTCGGTCGGCTGCGGGCAGAAAGCCAAGTATCCTGAACGAAAAAATTAAGAAGATGAGGGACTGCCACGAAATTGTTCTAGGAAAGGTTAGACCATTTATATATGGATTCCATGACAAAACCTCGCAGGGTTGGAAGAGAGAAAAATTGAGCTATAGTAAAGATTAACTAAAAAATTGACTATTTTTAGAGTTTAGTTGAAAAACTGCAGTTTTGCGAGAATTCTGTTTGTGTGCTTCATCGGTATTACCAAGAAAACGGTTGTGGAGCAACCCCAATGCATATAAAATTTACTTTGAGATTTTTCGCATTTCTTTCACATTTTTTTTCGCTTTTCAATATTAAAAAAAGGACGTTGTGAGCTATATATATGATGCAATCTTTAACAGTTCGAAGGACATTTTAAATACACGGGCGAACAATTTATCATTTTAATTTGAAGTGAATACGTCTGCACTGGCAAACCCAGGCATCGAAGCAGCTATGTAGCGGATATCTAGTTGAACTACATTATGTAGTGGCTCACTGTATGTCCATGTATGTCCCTGGTCTGGATCCCTGGCGATTAAATAACCCCTAGGGTTGAAACACGGACGAGACAGAATACACAGGGTATATGACAGAATCGCCGATAATAAAGAGCCGCTCTGGTGAGAATTATGAAAAAAAGAGGCAGAAAAAAGAGCCGTTCACAAGAAAGCCGGAAAAAATAGTCGAGAAATATGGTTCGCATAGAAAAGGCGCTCTAATCCAGGGAAAGTGCGCTTCACGGATAATTTAACCGGTAGTTCTAATTTTTTTCGAATAAAACGAAAGTTTTTTTGAAATTTTTTTGATATTATATTTTTTTAAACTTTGACTATATCCGAAAAGACCATCTAGTTCGAAATTAAAACGGGGAAACCGAAAATTGCATCAAAATTGCACTGAATTTTTTTATTTTTTTAAATTCTGTTTTTAGTACATCTAATGTAATTTTAAAAATACAGGTGAACCTCATTCTATTTTATCTGTTCAAGAAACCATGACTTTGTGGAAATTCTCAGTGCGCTATGGCTTCAAATTATTAGTAGTAGATCAATTTTTTCGACTTTTCAAGGAATGGCTCTTTTTTCCATCGGTTATTTTGTGTGAAGTTATTTATCACGAACCATTCTGTCATGTACTTGATAGGTTTCCTGAGTTCGCCCGTGACAGCTTGGAAACTACGTTGCTCGGTTTCGCCTCTCTGGCTTGAAACTATTTCAATTGTTTTCCAATGCCGCGTTCAAAGTAATTTCGGCAATGTCGAAATGATCTCTGGGTATCAGAAATTTTCTTCGGTTTTCAAACTTTTTAATTTTTAATCCCTTATCGTCGAAAAATTTTTGAACGCAGCACGATAATCAATAAAAGTTTGCAAAGGCGGTATAAAACTAATTATTTTATATTTTCAAAGTAACTCATTCGACGTACCGTAGCCACTTGGACACCAGAAAATCCGACGGTTGCCCAATCGGCCTTCGATGTACTGAGTGATGGGATCATTCAAGCCTTGTGCCTCTATCACATGGACTGAAAACGACAAGTAAACACGGTTACAACGATTCCTAAGATGATTTTCATTCCTCGACAAACTAAAAAATAGACTTATTTAAATACTCAGGTTCACTACAGGCCATTTTTATCATAAATTAATGGCCTTACATTAATATTCTAACAAATGTTACTGATTGCAGTTTTTCACTATTCGCTTTCCTTTTGTGATAATACGGCACTCATCCAACAAAAACTTCAAAGCAACTGGATCGAAGTGGACATACTATATGCAAAAAAACAGGCGAAGATGATGAGATGTCGTAGGCGAATTTCCATTTTGAAGGGAGGTTGGACAAGTCGTCAGAGACAATACCGAGCAGAGTCGAAATAATCGATAATAAGCAAAAGAAGAACAGTATAATCGTGTGAGAAGTGAAACAAGCTGAGTCACACACACACACACACACACACCCACCTGTATGGCGGCAAAGAAGCTGTACGAATATTGATCGCGGCAAGGCGAGGCGACGATTGTTTGCTCTGTTTGGACCGAGGAGGAGCTCTAACCCAAGGGCACCTATGGTTGAGGCCAGCCGAGTCAGCAAACACCGTCTGAGTCAAACATTCCATGGATCACTTATTTCTCTCAGCCGAGCAGCTGACTGTTAAGGTCTTCCGCCGTTTTTCATTTTGACAGTCGGACTGTCCAATTCAAAGAAAAATAGTGACACCATTACTTCAGATGAACACTGACTATATAGATCGCTCTTGAACTCATTCACCATTGGTTGCATAGAAAAATTAGAATAGACCCCTTCACTCGAAATTTTCGGTTATCACTAAACAGCTACGGCTTGCTCTCGGGCAAAATCGAAACGGTGGATAATGGCCGCCAAAAGGGAGAGGCTCAGAAAATGCCGCAGAAAGGCAGCAAAGAGAGTCCCTTTATCGAGCCTTCCAGTTTTCTGGGATTTTGAAGGCCCAAGAAATGGTGGAAAAAGAGAGAGGCAGCGAAAATGGTGAGCCGATGAGATGGCGCAAAAAGGCAGCAAAAAGGGAAACTTTCTCACCCTAAAAGGAACATTTTTATGGAGTTTTTTCCACCCTTTTCGACTTTGCCTATGCTTGTGCCATTGAAAAAAAGGTCCTGGCACGATAAGAAAAGAGACAGTGTGGCTGGTGGAGAGCGCCTCTTAGCGTCCCAAGTTGGCCGTAAATCGGCTAAAGTAAAGCGAGAAAACAGCTTTTATCATCAGATGATATTTTCATCATTTTGAATAAAAGCTGACATCTTCTGTGACTTTGAAATTACTTTGATTTTCACAAAAAAAAAATGATTTTCCAAACGGAAAAAATGTGAAAGACAATCGGGGGGTTTAATACTAATTCAAAATCAAAGCAAGTCAAAAAAAAATCAAAAAAGTTTGAATTTAACTGAAAAATTTTCATCCAGTTGTAAATAAAAACGGTCTGAAAAGGAATTCTCAAGTGAGTTTTTGAGTTGTTGCAGAAATTTGCTTATTTATATGATTTATATTCATTATCTTAAAGTTGATATTGTTTAACGCATTAGTTTGATAAATTGAAAATTCGATAGTTTCCGAAAAGCCAGATAAATTGAATTTTATGCAGCACTCTGTTCGGTGTAGTGTCAAGTTTTATTTCTTGATGAACGGGAAATTGCAGAAGTCATTTTTAAATTTTTGTTCGAATCTCCCTAAATGATTAGTCATTTACTTTTTTTACTCCGTAGACTTACATCGATGACGCAGGCGAATCGAGAAGGTACCATAATGTGTCCACAAAGGTACCTCTCAAAATGAATCGTGAAGACCCCAAAAGTCCATAGTGATACATCAAGCATATCTTTTAGCTATATCTGAGCCATCTCGGAGGTACTTTAGAGTCTCCCTCAAGAACCTGTCATTTTGCTCAAAATCCTCAAAGGTATCTTCGAGGTACCATCGTTAGACTTCAGAGCCTGCGATATACCTCAGAGGGTCTTGCGATACCCTTTCTCCAATTCGCCTATGGAGTAACGATAGGCCGCGTTAAAAGAGCCGCGAGTGATATCGTTCGACTTTACTTTATATATATATTTTTTATTCTGTTTGACGCGTTTTCGAGGTTCGCTTCTTTAGGAAAAAAGACATTAAAAAAATGCAGACTTGCGTCAGCTCAAAAGACGGTATCGGTTTTCCATGCTTTTCTCGCTCAAAAAATTAAAAAAAATTTTAACAGATGATCTTTAAGTATAAATTATATTTTTTTTACTAACTGTTTGCTAGAAAAAAACCAGGTTGTGAGTCTACTGATTTATAAAAATGGTGGATCTTTTTTTTTGACCTTCCTCTCAAACTTTTTTTTTTTTTGAAGATCGTACGCCAACCACTGTTCCCGCCAACTTCTGCGGTCTTTTAGGCTTTATTTGAATATCTTTTCATTTTCGTTTGGTATAGTCTGTTTGCTGGGCTTTGGTAACGTTTGTGAGGTTTATAGTTCGCTCCGCGCGAGACGGTCACGTTTCAAAAGAACAGAAAAGAAAAAGCTACCGTAAATTCAAACTTTTGCTCCCCAAAACTGGTCAGAAGATACCAAAAAACAAAAATCTTGAAGCGAAGATGCTCAATTTCGATCTAATTTAGTAAACGGTGTTTTTGGCGGATAGAAAAACGTGACAACCTGACGCGGAACTGGCTATAGCCATTCTCAGTGCACTTGATTCAAGATTTCCCCTGCCAATTAAACTCCCCAACAACAACAAAGCCCTCAAATATAATTCTGAACAGAAAGTAGTTTTTTAACGTTCGTTTCTCGCTCTCAAACTTTCTTTTTATTTTTTTTACTTTCGAACAAGCTTCGAACATAGGGAAACCCTACAACGCTCTCATGATTTTCCGCTCCACACACGTGATTGTTCGCATCATATTTTTCCCATCATTAAATAAATATCAGCACCTAAGTGAATCAACCATCTAAAATTTTCCTACTTTTTTTAAAGAAGTTCATGCGAAAGGCTCATTGGGAGGAAATTTGCTTGAATATTTAAAAAAAAACTGTGTCACGACTGAAAAAATTGTGCGAATTGCATTGACTTCGATCTGCAAAAAAATTTGTTCGCATTCTGCCTCTAACTCATTGCTATGAACTGAAGCGCCTAGAGGCGTGCCCCAATTTTTCTCTGCCGCATGCTTTTTCTTCACTCACTGACCGCGAGAAAACGACGAAATAGCATGCGGCAGAGAAGATTTGGGCGCGCCTTCAGGCGCTCCAGTTCGGAGTTGAGTTTCTCTCAGATCGAACGGAGTAGATATAGAAAATTATGGTGTGGACAATCACGGTTTGTTCCCACATTAATTTTTTTCCTTTTTTTGAAATTTTTTCATAGAGATTTTCAAACAAAAATATCATCAATTTTCATTTCATTTCGAGAAGACATCTAAATTTAGAAACTTTAGAAAATATCCAAGTTCCGTTCGCCCCCTCTGAGAAGGCGTTTTCGCGAAAACCTGTAAATTTTTCGCTTCAATCGCTTTTTTTATTTTTAAATTTTAACGTAATTTTTTTACTTTTTTTATTTTTTTATCTCATAAGGCGTCTTATTCACAAACTTCCAACTTTCGTGCATATATTATACGAAGTTTCAGTGACTGGCAGGATTACTTCATTCAATTTGGACGAACGAAAAAAACCAGGTATTTTATATTTTTTTCTCAATTTAATTACTTTTTTTATTTGAATTTGCATTTTTTTCTTTGAATTTAAAAACGAAACACGAGGCTCAAATTTTTAGTTTGAACATTCTCCCGTTTCATTTTTGATAACTCAGCACATTATCTCGAGAGTCGGTCGAATAGATGTGTGAGGAAATAAAATTTTCATTTTTTGGACTCCGGCTGACTCTTTCATTTCCTCAGTTCAAAAGTTCAACGTTGCTGATTTTCATCTCAAAAGAGTAAAAATTCATTTTCTGAACGCTTCATGTTTGAAAATTAGGTTATAGTCAAAATGGACATTAATAACCTCGCTTCTGTCGCCGAATTGTACTCTGCCCCATTTTTTAGTTTTGTAACGGATGATTAGATAGGGAGAAATGGTGTGATCAGAATGCGTCGCGCAATCTATATTTTCGTATCCCTTTCACCGAGAGGAAACTCTCCTTATAAGAAATTCAAATGGAAAGTTCTGCAGTTCATCAATTATAACTCTATTCACTACCGAAGAAAAAAACGATCGCTAATTTTGAACTTTTTATTTATTAATTCGATTAAAGTGGTTTCATTTTTCTCATGTTTCATATTAACTTCCTCTGCCCTTTTGTTAGGAAAGTTTTTCAACTTTATTTTTTTAAGTTTTATCTTAAACAATTTTTCAAAAGAAAAAAATGGATAAATATATATGTATATATATATATATCACAGTTTTTCTTTTTCTGCCTTTTTGAGTAACGAAACTGGCAAAATGTTTTTGTTCGAAGATTTTTTTATCTTTCGATTTTTTTAAACAAGCGTCTTTGTACCCCTGAAAGTTTTTGAAAGCTACTTCATGTTCTGCTCTATTAAAAAAATTTCTTTTTAAGAAACTTTCAGAAGAAAAATGGATAAATATATATATATACATAATTGTCTTCAGGGGACGTGGACGTCTCTTTTTCCCAGAATAAAAAAAAACAAGTTGTACAGGTCAAGACTTTTAGAACTTTTATTTGGTACCTAACGTAGGTAAAAAATTAGTAGCTGGATACTACAGGAGAAGTATCTCGATACTATAGCTATCTCACCCGACATTTGCGATTGCTACCAGACCTGCAGGTGATCCGGCATATACTACCGAGTAGCTTTCCGGTAGCTATTTCTGTTTTTTTTTTTCTAATGAATTACCGATTAACTAACGCCGACCAGAATTATTGTTGCATTTTCAGAAACTTTTGTAGATTAAAGTGGAATAAATTGTCGTCGTTTGAAAATTTTTTCTTGGCGCAAGAGGATTATCACAAAGAATGGGTTTTCATTGTAATCTTAGACCTTTTTCTTTCATTTTTTCGGCCGTAAAGTGAAGGGATAGCGGAGAAAATGTACTTTCACCTTTGGCCTCAGCTCAACTTATCAGTCTTCATCAAGAACCTCAACCACAAGCAGTCGCTCCTTGACGACGCGCCAGCACACAAAAACACACGCGCACACTCGCGCACACACAATCACCCCACACACACAGGGGCCATCCAGTGGTTACACTCGTTTGTTCCCATCAATGTTTCACCGTTCAGCTTTTTCTTCTCATTTATCGCACGTACTTTGGTATCAAAAGTTCGAAACGAATTCATCTTTCATTATTCACAGAACTTTTCACGTTTTTTTTCTTCTAGAAAATATATTTTAGAAAATAATAATAAAATCCCTTTTTCAATTGGCGCTTTTCTCGTTTTTACGTGGTTTGATGAAGCTTTTTATTTCTGCTTTCAACTTGTAGGGCTTTCATCCTTCACCAAATTGCGCGATGTTTAAAGATACGGCTTCTTGGGTTACAGCGCAGTCGAGGTGGGGAATCGAAGTGTCATGTTTTTCTTTTGAACTTCAAAAGTTTTTCAAATTAAAAAACCGGTATTTCTAAAACAAGATAATAAAATTAATTCAGAAGTGTTGTCGACTTGGTGCACCCGAATACTTCTAATCTTCATCCATTGATTCCGGTAGGAGCGGCGGCGGCAGTCACGATGGGTCTCGGCTACTATTTGACTTCGAAAACGATCAACCCCAACGCGGTTACCTATAACGGCGTCACCTATTCGGGGAATGTTCGCCCTCTCGTCGACCCTCTGAAACAGAGCCGAGTCTTGAAGGTTACTAAACTTTTTGCATTTAAATCGGAATAGAAATTTAGGAAAAATGTATTGGAAAGACAAATTTTTATCTAGAAACCGAGCTGACCTAATATATATAATTTTTTGAAATGAACATCTGTCTTTTGTAGAGCAAATGGAAAACTTTCATATAAAATTAGAATTGAACAATGGAAAAAAATCAAAGAAAAAAATTTGTAGTCAAACTCATCTCAGAGGTCGTTTATATAAAAATTAAAACCGAGTAAAGTGAGTGAATTTGAAGCGTAAGAGAGGAAAAAAATTGTATGCATGAAAAACCTTTATAAAATTCAAAAAGTAGTTTATGCTTTTTGAAAAGTTTTTACGCTCTTCGAAGATGGTAAAAATTGGCATCAAAAGTAGTATTTTTTTTTTTTTTGTTTGCTCTCGTTTTTTTCTCTGTTTTTGTAATCACGATGACGTCAAAGTCATAGGCCTGTTTTGAAGTAGGAACTGTCTCCTTTTTTTTTTGAAATTACTCATTTATGGGGTACGTTTTTCATTATTTCGATTCTACTTTTTTCGATCGAAATCTGGAATAATTTCCGAAATTTCAATCGTGTAAAAAACATATGACTCAGGATTCGAGTCGTGTTTCCGCTGTCCTTAAAGACGAAAACCTGCAGACGTATCTCTTCGAAGATGCGCGAACCCTCTATCAGGTTTCAGTTTGATTTCATGCAAAGTCAACCCGAAAGGGGCATTCAAGGGAGTGCGACGAGGTGCACGTCACTCAAACAATGGGCCGATGGTGGGAAAACGCGTCAAGCAAGCTGACGGTTCGATTCCCTATGTTTGGCACAGCTACAACGAGGTTACCATTTCTGATTGTTCTTCTTTCATTTGCCAAAGTTTGTAGATTATCGAAAGATCGAACAATGTCTCTGTCGCCTTTCGCGTTTTGGGCATTCCGACTGGTAACGACGTCAATATCGGCATTTACTCCAAGAATAGACCTGAGGTGATTTAAAAAAAAAATTTAACGATATAATGTTGGCGGTATGAAAAAAATACCAGCGAAAATTCAAGTGGCGACTTTTCCGATTTTTTCGTATCGCTAGGGAACTTTCCGACGGCCACCTTTCCGACGAAACTTTCTCCGACGTTTTTTTCGATAAAATATTTGTTTTAAATCTTCCTATATAATGTAGGTAGTTGGTTCATGATTAAAAACACAAACAAATAGGAAAAAAATGTTTATAGATGTTTTATAAACCGAAAAAAAGGTAAGGGAAAAAAAGTCGGAAAGGGGTTCGTCGGAAAGGTGGCCGTCGGAAAGTTCCCTAGCGATATGAAAAAATCGGAAAAGTCGCCGGTTGAATTTTCGCTGGTCTTTTTTTCATACCACCATAATGTTATTAGTTTCCATGGTTTTGTGATGCCGTGTTCAAAGTGATTCCGCGAAAAGCAAAATAGCCGTTAGAGAAAGAAAAAACATAACTAAATTTTGAATAGTCAGAGACAATTTTGCATTTCTCGGAAATTACTTTGAAAAAAAAGGCTTTCTAGAGTTATAAAAACTTAATAGGAGCTTTCGTAAAAGTCAATAGTTCTATTATCAGTGGATTATCACTGAATTGGCGACCTACAACTTTTCGAACGTCATCGTGCCAATCTACGAAACGCTTGGAAGCGAGGCGTCCGTGTTCATTCTCAACCAGGCTGACATCCAGATTGTCGTCTGCGATGATAACAGCAAAGCCCTTGGTTATTTTTTTGTCTCTTTTCCTTCCCAATTATCTATGTTTTCAGGCTTGCTCAAGTTCAAAAGCCAATGCCATAATTTGAAAACCCTTGTCGTTATGGAAGACATCAGCGAGGGGCTGAAAGCGGCTGCGGTTGAGCACGACGTCCAAGTGATGACGTTCGAGGCGCTCGAAGAACTGGGCAAGACGGCGTCGGGACGGCCAGAACACGTGCCGCCGAAGCCCGAAGACTTGGCTACCATTTGCTACACGTCGGGAACGACGGGAACGCCCAAGGGAGTCATGCTGACCCACGGCAACATTGTCGCTTGCGCCGTCTGCATGGACCTATTCAAGCACAGCGCCCTCACATCTTCGGTCAGTGTTTGGCTCTGGTCGGGCAATATGTAGTCTTTTCAGTCTGATTGAAGATGGTACGAAAGAAAAAAATTAAAGAAATTTGCGATAGCAATAACTTCGCGCGCAATTTTGCGGTTTTTAAATTTGTTGCTTTTTTGCAAAATTATCTAATTTTTCTCCGTATCATATGATTGAATCTTGAGCAGCTAACCACGTACTTGTAGACACAGTATTTTTTCGCGTCGATTATTTATCGGACGCGACGATGAACTTTTAAAAAAGAGAAAAATCCTTTTACTTTTTTTTTTCATCTAACAGCTTAAAAATCAGGTTGCGAATGACATCTCAAAAACTCTTATCTAACGAGAGAAATGTATGGGATGAACATTGCAGTTCTGGTCCAAACTTCCGTGGAAGGTAGTCCCAGGCGGGAGTTCTTGAAAACGAGAATAATTATCTGCTGAGCGCTATAGAGCACTGCAAACAATCTAGTCGAAGAAATGTTTTAAAAACTGTTTTCTATTTAATTTTCTCTTGTTTTGCGTGATCGTCAAATGAATCTGTTCTAAGATCGGAAACTCTGAAGGAGAAACAGATTTCAAGCATTTCCTCTCCATTTTTGACCGTATTTTTCCGGTATCCTATGCCACTTAGCACATAATCTTTTTTTTTCGTAATCATAGTAATCATTCCCATGACTTCCAATTATAGACATTTGAACCAAATCTGCGATTTCTCCTTCAGACACTTTCCTAATGTGGAAAATTGACTTTTTTTTTAATTTTTGAAATAAATTGGATTTTTTCCAAAATAAGCTGCACATTATCTCATTTTGTGCTGTTAAGATTTTTTTAAATATTCAATGATAGTTTGTTTTCTGTGGGAAATAAGCGTGTTCAGGATTCGATGATCAGTTTCTTGCCGTTGGCTCACATGCTCGAGCGCCTCATCGAGAGCGTCTGCTTTTGCGTCGGCGCTCGTGTCGGCTTTTATCGGTATTTTTTAGTTGAATAACTGTTTGAAAAAATTAGAGTATACGAAAAAGAACTCCGAAAATCGAGCCGTCACGCTGTTTGAGATAAACGAGCCAGAGGAAAATGGTCTAATGAAAAAATTGGCAGAGAAAAATCAGCTGACAAGAAAAAAAAAAGAAACAAGCGGCGAAAATTTCTTCCGATTCCGGTCGTAGCAGAAATCAAACAAATCTTTTCTGCACGAAAAACACAAAAAAATGTAAAAAAATAAAATAAAATTCTTTAGCGCGTCATCAGGGGAGTGCAATATGTACTGAACAATTTTGTCAACGGTCGGCGAAATTTTCGCAGCTCACGTATCGCTGGCCTTTTCTCAGATCATTTTGTTAGCTCGATTTCATAGCTCTTTATGACGTACACCCAAAAAAAAAAAAATAAAATAAAAAGATGAAAATTTTGAAAAGCTCGAATTAAAATTCATAAACACCAACATTTAAGTGGCGACATTCGACTGTTGGCTGAGGACATCAAGGAGCTGCGACCTACTGTTGTTCCGGTGGTACCTCGAGTCCTGAACCGGCTCTACGACAAAGTGATGTCGGAAGTGAACAAATCGACAATCAAAAAGTTGCTCTTCGATTTGGCCATTGCCTACAAAAGTCGAGAAATGTCTAAGTAAGTGTTGAGATATTTTTTTCTAATATAAAATTTGAATATCATTTAAATTATTAGAATAAAAAAATTTTTCATTTTACAGTTTCGTCGTTAGGAACGACGGTTTCTTCGACAATCTCGTGTTTAAAAAAATTCGCGAAGGCATGGGAGGTGGACATTTCATTTGTGGAACAGAGAGTTTGATAAGTTTGATTTCTCAGGTCGGGTTCGCCTGATGTTCACAGGATCGGCGCCAATTTCGGCCAACGTTCTGACTTTTGTTCGCGCTGCGATGGGATGTGTTGTGGTCGAAGGTTATGGGCAGACGGAGTGCGTCGCCGCCTGCACGGTGAGTATTCGTTTCTTTTGGACGCTATTAAAAGCTATTTTATCGGGTAACCGTTCACGCTTTTACATGGGATGAATATTGGACGGCGTTCAAATCGTTATAATTCATGAGAAAGTAGTTTCAGACGGACTATTTAAAAGACATAGTATTAAAGTACAAATTTTGAAGTATTTAAACTTTTTGGCTTGCGAAAAAGGACCGCTCAAAAAACGCCTTGTCAAAAGGATGTTTGACATCGTCCAAGTTAGTAAGGTGATCTCTGACAGACTAGAGGCTGTCATCGTCTCCGAAGAAGGTAAAATCAAAAAACGTTTCGCATGCTTTTCCATTGATATTTTTTTTTTCAAACTAGCTAAAAAAAATTTTTTTTTCTGAAACTTTTTTGACTTTAATAAACGAAATTTCTAATAATGACCCCTGTAATGCGGAACGGACCGAAAATAAGGAGAAAATTAGGGCGAATGAACAAAAGAAAATCGAACCAGCAATGGCAGATTGAACTTCAATCATTGAAGGTAGATTTTTTTTTGCAGGTTTCGATGGAGGGAGACTCTCTTGCAGGACACGTCGGAATGGTTATCCCATCTTGCCGCATTAAGCTCGTCGATGTTGCCGAACTCGGCTACTTTTCGAAGAATGACGCTGGAGAGGTTTGAAATTGAAAAGGATGTCTCATGGCACTCACAAACAATAAATTGAACGCGGGGGTGACTTGTTGCGCTCGCGACACGTCTCTCAACTGGAATTAAAAAAAGTGGCTTCAGAAAACGTGAGAAACAAACAATATGCAGCTTTAATATAGATATCATTCACTAACTCCAAGGGCTATCATTTGTAAACAATTGACCGAAAAGCTATCTAAAAGAGAAAAAATAATCAGAAAGAAGCCGGCTCTCGTTTTAATTTGCATTCCCCGACAAGAGCGCGTCGCGACCGCAACGGGCTAGCCCTGCAACTGCCTCTATCACCTGCAAAGTCGGGAAAAAACACTTCGGAAGTGCCACCTAATGCAGTAGCTCCTCTGTTGTCTTAAACCAAAGTTCGAAAAGAAGTAAAATCATTTGAACTGATGGGTTTGCAGAGAGCTTCCATGAAAAATTTTAGGTTTGCGTGAAAGGACCGACCGTGTTCCGAGGCTACTACAAAAACCCGGAGATGACGGCGGAGACTATGGATGAAGACGGTTGGCTTCACACTGGGGACATTGCTCGTTGGACGCCGGAAGGAACGCTGAAAATCGTCGACCGAAAGAAGCATATCTTTAAGCTCGCTCAGGTAATTCATACCACGGAGGAGCATAGACAGCGAAAGATCTCAAAATTTTTCGTTTTAATTTTTTGAAGTTGAAAGTTGAATAAGGAGAAAGAGAGAGACAGATTTTTTTGATTTTAAAAAACTCGGTTAGCTGTAGTTTCACCTCGGGTTCATTTCCTAAGACCGTCTGCAAGAAAATGGTGAAAGCATTTACCGAATTCAAAAAAAAATGGTTAGTGGCTCGGGCTCTCTTTTTAGAAGATGAAAGGAGTTTTCTCTTTTGAGGAGCCTCTCATAAAAATCTTTCGTGAAGGGCTGCAAACACTCCTAAAATAATGAGCGACGTTAGGCAGTTACCTTTTTGGTAAACCGTTGACCGATTTCTTGCGTACGGCCTCTTGTCTCCCCACATGTCAAAATTATGAACAAAAGGATAAAAGCTTTCGGCTAGGCTAATTCTTTGAAAAAATTTCACCGAATGTTTTTTTTTCCAAAAAAAAACTTTTGCAATGCGAATGGCCTCGATTCAAGTTTATTTTCATTTTTTTTTCTCCCAATACATGACAAAATTTGCAGGGCGAATATGTGGCTCCCGAGAAGATTGAAAGTATCTACGTACGGTCGCGTTTCGTCGCTCAATCTTTCGTCTACGGCGAGTCTTTGAAGACATGTCTGATCGCTGTCGTCGTTCCTGACAGTGAGGTTGTTGTAGTCAAATTATAATTATCAAGTCAACCGTATCCGATTTTTGTAGGTGCTGATTCCGGTGGCTGAGAAGGAGTTGGGCCTCACGGGAACTATTGAAGAGCTCTGCCGCAATCCGCAAATCAAGAAGCTCGTTCTCGATGACATGCTCGCTGTCGGAAAAGCGGCCGGCCTTTTCAGCTTTGAACAAGTTCGTTTTCCTGCTCTGCGGGAAGTAAAAATGTTTTTTTCTGGACGAAAAGAAATAACAAGGAAAAGAAAACATATCGAGGATCGATAATTTGATGCAATTTACCGGAAATTTACTTCAAGACCTTATTACACATCAGTCGGACTTGCATGTACAACTCTTTTCGGTTTGGCTAGGGAACTACTCAAACTCAGAATCGAGTTGAAACTTTGGTGGCTGATAGATCCGATGAGACACATTTAGACATTCATATATTCATTCACTCCGCGTTAAAGTTTATCTGCGGAGTGATGGAATAATTGAAGTTTTTTGTCCGTTCGCGAAACTGTCGTCGAACAAGAACACCGCGTAGATCATCTATCTCATGTTGGGTCGATCTTCAATTAGAAGGTCCCGAGGTATCTCCTTCCAGCAAAGTTGCATCAAATTCCCAACTTTACATCCTTTTAATATGCTTGTTAAGCAAGCAAATTGATGAAACTACCAGGAAAGATAGGCGAAAAAAAAATGAGAAAAAAGTCAGCGAAGTGCTAGCAGCGTGAAATTTGCCAACCGTTGGCTCATTGCGAATAACTGCCCGGCGCGAGAGAAAGGCGAGGTCGTTGGCGGTACACGAGCTCGCAATATGCCGCTTGTGGCAGTCTCGCATTTTTCTTGCCGCCACCTAGCTTTTATCTCGCATTTTGAACAGCTTTAATGTGAGGTAACGCCGAGAAAAAACGCAAGGTCGCGTCAAGGAAAATGCGAGATCAGCGCGTTCGTGAATGTACGTCAAGCGGCCTCATCATGCTTTTCTTTAAAATTGAGGCAGCTCGATGTTCGCCGCTCTTTTGAAATGTACTCGCTGGCCGATGCGAAAATGTTACTTCATTATAATTTCAAAAAATAGTGCAAAATCAGCTTGATTTTAAGGTGAGGGACATTCATCTGTCGCCAGAGATGTTTTCGGTCGAAAACGACCTGCTGACGCCGACGCTCAAGAGCAAGAGGCCGAAGCTCAAGAATCACTTTGGCGAGCAGTTGGCCAGCATGTATTCGCGGCTAGATTAGATTTTCTTTTTCTCTTTCTTTCCCAAAATATCATCTATTGTACCCTATTGAAGTTTTTTGAAATCGTCTCGACGGGTAGCCACCGATAGTCTCAAAAACTCACGTATGTATCATGAACAGCTCAACCAACTTTGATTCCTTTTTTTTTTTTGCTGTTTTAGCCGTTTTTCTGCTAGAAATGGGAAAGCGTAGATTATAAGGAAAAAAAAATTCTCAATATAAAGACGTACTTTTTTTTGGTTGAAGCTGGTGTTCATGTCATGAGTTTTGAGATATTTAGCCGTCCTTTTGCAGTAATATATAATATTCGCTGATTCCCAAAGTTATTTTTTCTTTTCTAATTAAACGTGTTGATAGGCCTTTTAACCCAAATGCATTTTCAATCCAGATTTTCATAAAGACTCATGTTGGCTAGGCATCCTTACGGATGCAAGAGAAATTAGGTTAGCACGACCTTGAAAGAGAGAAAAAAACAACTCCAACATTTTCTTCCTCCATTTACTGCATTTTTGGTTAGAAACATGTTTAGCTCATCTTTGTAGAGTTTTAAAATAAGAAACGTCCCGCATATTAACCGCATTGTTGTTCTGGTATTCGTCCGGCGTTTGATTCCGAAGATACTAACTGTGATGTTTCGTTTCATGTTCGTGTGCAAAGAGAATCTAAATGAATGCGTTCAACAATAAATGACTTCTATTAAACATTCAGAGTTGATCGCCTGACTAGAAAACTTGAGGGGTCCCTGTAAGTAGAGTATTAGGGGCCATATGAGTCTCCCTACATGCTCCTTGTAGAAAGACCTGAAACGCTGTCTTTGGGGTCCCTATATGGTTATAAAAATGTGGATTTCGAAAACTTCGGAGACGATATACAAAAAAACACCCCGCTCGATTAAGCTTGAAACATGTTTGATCTACAGAATGATTTTTGCTTGATGAAGTTGACGCTGATTTCGTAGACCCTCAGAAAATTATTGAAAAATCAGGGGTTGTTTATAGTAAATTTTTGTCGACTTGAAAGGCGAGGGAGGCCTCTTCTTTCAAATAACTCATTTGTTCTAAAAAAATCCAAGCAATTTTATTTTTTTCTTATTCGATCAATAAATGATTCAAATGACAAAAAGGCGATTGAAACCTAGAAAAAAAATAACAATAATGAAAACCTAGGAAAAAAAAATTTTTAAACTATAATTATGAGTCTAATTGTGAAGTGTGCAAAATTAGAGAAAAAAACAGAAAAAAACTACGTCAGAAAACAATTCCTTCAGAGAAACTATAAAATTTGGAAAAAAATATAAGAAAATTCAGAAATAAAAAAATATAAAATGACAGAAAACAATCCTAACGCTCCAATACATGAATTCAATTTTTTTCTTTAACAAATAACAAAATTTCCTCTCGAAATCTTCAAAAAAATTTAATAGCTTTCCTTTTTTTCTTTGTTTTTCTTTACGCCTTTGACTTCTTTTTCGTCGCTCAGTTTGTACCTCATCCAAAATCTTCGAAATTTTTTTGCGTTGACTCCGGAATCGCCTTGAAGTTTCATGTTGAGGGTCATGTGAAACCCTGGAAAATCAATGAACGTGAGAAGAAATAATATTTAATACAGTGAGTGAGGTTTTATAATTGAAAACTGAATGACTCAACTCGAGAAAAAGCTTTTTCGGACAAAGAGCTTGGAAAATAAACAGATCACGAGCAAGCTTTTAAAAATCGAAAAAATGAAAAAACGCACCAAGTCTTTCCGATTGCGTCACCGACTGCGTTTTCAGACCAGCTTCAGCCAATTTTTGAAGCACTAGCTTGTGTTCCACACGTTCTGCAAGAATATCATGAAAACTAATTCCTTGAAATATGAAACATTTCGATGGCCATAACGTAAACTCCGTAGTTTTCTCAATAGGTCTTATGATCTTAATCGCTAATGAATGCCCCGAAAACCTGAGCAAACGTTCAAAATTTCATAACTTCCCGAATTTCTTTATCATTCAAAGTTAATGCCGGAAACACAGATTCTCTGCGCGAAGGAAAAAAATAATTATTATTTGAGTTATTTTCCTCCTTTTCTTTATAAGACTCACGAGCCCTTCTCAAAGTTTCCTCCACGGTCCGTCCCTCGACTTCCCTTCTGTCCACGGCCAATCTTCCACAACTAACTCCATCAACCTAAAAGAAATAATTCGAATCAAAAAGGATCTCAGCACGAAAACCATGAGCATGAAATCGATTTTAGCATCTTCATCGACTTGAGGCCATCGTTTCTCAGCAGATGACGTCACAGTCTCAAGAGCTGACCACAATTCTGCAGAAACATGTGGAGCGAATACCTGCGAAACTTTTCAATAAGTATCTCATTCATTTTCATTTTCTATACCTCAATCATGATAATCAAAGCTTTCAAGCATCTTTCTCCCTCTTGGGACGCCGCCAAGTCTTCGGACTTCATTTTCTGAATTTTTTCCTGTTATTTGGGTTCGAAAATCCGTTTTGAAGGGTTTGAAGGCGCAGAAGACTGAAAAAAAAGCTGAAGGCGGCTCTTTGTATCGAGACCTTTCCGATACGCCTTTAAACATACCAGAAACCACAGAATTCACCTATCGAAACAAAAACAGAAAAATACCCTCAAAGAGTTGGTAAAGCCTTGAAGACGAGCTAAGGCCGTGTTGTGAAGGTGCAAGACTTCCAGGCACATAGATACCTGAAAAAAAGACTGTTTAAAGAAATTCATAACTTTCGAAACGAACGTTCCGAACAAAAAAGTTGTAAGTCTCCTTGAGCTCCTTCTCAACATTCTCCACTGATTTAGGCAAAGATCCAGTTTTCCTGGCAGCGACAAATTTGGAAACGACGTTGGCCGTCCGGTCTAGCCATTTTTTGATGCCTTTCAGATCTGAAGAAAAAATTTTCAACGGGTTTTCTATCTCTCATATTCAGGCGGTGTTATTTTTTCAGGAGAATATTAGGACCTCCAACCACTATCTATTAGGATGAACTGCGTTTTTGGTCACAAAAGTTTTTTTGGAAGAGTCTCAAAGAGAAACAGTCGAATTTCGAAATATAGTGAAAGAAAAGGTAGGACTTAGAAGGTATCATACCAAAAATGGCCATCATCACTCGCAGCAACAAATAACAATAACAATTGTGAGCAAAAACACAGTTCATCCTACTAGATGGTGGTTAGAGATTCTAACATGCTCCTAAAAAGGAACACCACCTGAATTTATTTTTGCACCAAGAGTTTTCGACTTTCATCGATGCACTTTGTTAACAAAGATTGTCATTCAATTGACCTGAATCGCCCCAATTGATCGGCGCTCTCGGGGCGGCAGCATCCAAAAGTTGCAATCGTGTCAGATCAACGCCATCACGTTCCAGAACGACCAAAGGATCGATTCCGTTGTTCTTCGACTTGCTCATCTTCTCGAAAACGACCTCAACATCTTCGCCGGACGTCGTCTTGAGCTTGTCGTCTAAAAAATGATAAAACTTATTTTTCCCGTGGCTCATGAAACGACACTTTTTTGGTGGTAACAAAATTCAATTAAACTTCTTTTTGACCATTGAGGAAGAACAATTGATTTTTTTTAAAAGCCCCATATCCATATAAAGTTGATTCAATCGTCCTTGGACCCATTTTGAGGTTTTTTTTGTTGCTTTAAAGTACCTCCAACGATTTCCTCCGGCTTCAAATAACGCCTACTATTCTTCTCGACAAATGTTTTTCCTCGTACGATACCCTGTGGGATCAGGTCTACAAACGGTTCTTTCACCTATAAAAAACACGTTTGAAAAACATTATTTCGGAAAAAAAAAAACCTCGGTGACACCAATATTGTTCAAAAAGTAGGAGATAAAGCGAGCGAAGAACATGTGGACAGCGGCTAAAAATGTTTTCTATTCACTTTTTTGATTCACAAGAAACCATGTTCGATTCCTCCAACGTAGAGATCAACCGGCATCCCGGAAAGAGCATTTTTCGAAACGATTTCGTGATTGTTTTTTGGGTCCAAGTAGCGTAGGTAGTACCTGAAGTTGATCTACTTTTCCAGACGAAATTTATTGAAAATTTCAGAATATTTCTTGGTGAAATTCTATACTATAATTGTCGTGTTGTATGGAACAAGACAATAACTCTACTCCAGTCATATTAAATTTATTTCTTGACAATTAACAGTATACAAATTTATTCGAATTGAAAAATACGACAAAAAAAAAGTTTACGAAGCAGTTTTGGGGTCTGCGAAACGCTCAGATTCCGTCTAGTGCCAACAAAATAAAAGGAAAGATGGTCTAAGTGTTCTTGATTAAATACAGTTGCGCAAGTAACTCTAACAAGGAAGAAAAAAGTGAAAATAATTCGCTAAAGTTCAAATAGAAAATTCCTTTGAACTTGATTTTTTTTTTCTTCAAAAAGTTGGTTGAGAAGAACAAACCAAAATTAAGTAAACCTCAACGAAACTCACCAGGAAGAATCAAAAAACGTGTCGAGTGTGTCACTTTCCAAGACGCCCTTTCCACCGGCGAGCCTCGAACAATCAACTTCAACGCCTCCGTTGCCTTGTAGCAGCTTGAAAGAGATGAAACAATGCTTTTGAAAAATTGATAAAAGATTGAACGTTAGCTTGGGACGATACTCAATAAATTTCTCAGGTGAAAAAAACAAATTGGAGATCTTTTAGCATTGTTTTTCCTGAGCCTACAATGAAAAAAATGAACCGGAAGATCTTCATATTTGACAGGTACAGCCGCGGTTCCATCTCGAGAAAGAATCATCGGAATCGGCGTCCCCCAGCCTCGTTGCCTTTAAATAAAAATGTAAAGAAAAATGAAAGTGATTCAGAATTGAAAGAAAAATCAAGTAAACGCGCTCTTTTCTTTTTATTTAACTCTCTCAACGTTTTGATAATTCCCTTAAAGAGAAAAAAGGAAATAACCTGCTAACGACCCAATCTTGTAACGTCCTTGAAGTCTCGTAGCCACCATAACCGCCAAACTGAAATTATATTTTACACACAAACTTCTTAAGAAAATTCATCTTTGAAAAAGTTTATTTTAGATTTTTTTTTTTCTGAACCAAGAGATACCAAGTAGAAAATCAAATACCGAAAGATGGTTCTATGAATTTTGGAAGAATGAAACAGGAGCCTGATGAAGTAACTTTCCAGCTTTCTTCGCGTAGAATTTGAAAAAAAAAAGAATGAGATGAAAAATCGCTGTGGGTCTAGAGCAAAATATTGAGAAATGTTATGATATATATAATATAGTTTGAATTGTTTTTTTACCTCATTATCCATAAAAAAATTTTTAACCGAAGGATCGTGAGATCATGCTTTCCACTTTTTCGACAAGTTTGGACTTGCATTTCGACAAAAACGGTTGTTCGATACAGGGTTGTTTGGAATCTCGCACTCGTCTTGATATTTCTCGATCTCGCAACGAGTGTCGATTTTCAAATCGAAATATTCGAAATTTCAAAGTCTTCATTTATAAAAAGCACATTTCGAACCCCTACATCTATGACTAAAACAACGCAGTAATTGATGGATTGATTATTTATCTCTTTTCGACATCCCGCGTGGTCAGTCTTCCCGCCGTTCAACGACAGTTTTGCCAACCGAAATCCAAGATTCCATGATTCAGGAGAGAATGTTGTCTTCTTTTTAAATACCACTTTTCCTGAGTTTTGTAACCGTTTTCTTTCTCATAAAACAATTGTAATAACGGAAACATTAATTTCTTACAGAAAAAAAAATAACTAAGAAACTTTGAAAAGTTTTCGTTCCAACTATTGGACCAAATTCAAACACCTGATTTCTGTCCTTTGCGTATACTTTTTAACGTTTTTTTTTGATACGTAGTTCCTCTAAAAAACATAAACTTATCAAACAAATAACTTTCGCTTGGAAATCCGAAAAGAAGGGATTACATCTGTTTCAGAACAAGTTAAGCAGGTCGAAAAAATACTTTTCAATAATTGAAAACCCTTTTTTGTGTTTTCCAAAGCTTTTAAAGAAACTTCCTGTTCAGGATTTTCCGCTGGATTCAAAAATGAAACTTTCCTCGAGAAATTCGTGAGAAAGTCGAAGTTATATAATTTTTAAGACCAAAAATGAATAGGCCAGAAGCTATTTTTGAGCTCTGAAGGACAAACTTTAGCATGAAAAGAAAAAAGTGAAGAATCTTAAATTTTGTTAAATTTTTCATGAAACTAAAAAAAAACCAATTCAAACTCCAAACCGAGGCAATCTCTTGGACGTCGTTTTTGTTCATTGACAAGTCTTTTCGGGATGACTTCAGGCCAAACGTGGAAATGAGAACGTCGTCAATTTTCGGGTCGCCAGGCCGAACATCCAGATGGAATTCGGCGTTTTTTTGATAGTCATCTGGAGCGACGACGACGTCCATCCACTGGCCAGTGACACCGTTCAGAACGGAGATGGGTAGTTGGTCTGGAAACGGTTTTTGACGTTTCTTTGAATAATCCGGAAAAACCGTTTTTGAAGGTCCTTAAATGTTTCAGGGAAATTCCTAGAGCACAGCTTCTAAGAAACGTTTGAAAAAAGCAACACTGGGGTGTTTTCCTGTGTCTAAAGGTTCATATTAAGAGAATGTTCTGGAAAACAAACTACAAAACTTCTAGCAGCGATGGAAAGTACTCGAAAGTTTAAAGCAATATGGCATTTTTTGATTCTACATTCAAACTTCTACAATTTATTATTTAGAGAACTTGTTTCTCCTTTGTTTTCATTTTCAAACTGACACGGCTCATCGATCCCTTTCTTAGAAACATCCGCAAAAGGATGGCTTTGACGTAGAACAAGGAAAAATGTCTGCGAAATCTGCCGAATTTCTTTGATTCGCAGGTCCAGCTGTTCATCCAATTTCGCTCCGGTGTCTTTGTTCTACCAAATTTCCATCATTTGTCTTTTGTCTAATTGAATAAAAAAACGTTAACAGGAAGCAAAAATCGGAAAACATCGCAACGTCCAATCCAATTCGACTGAATATCGGCCACTTCTTTCCACTGCGGGGCCAAATCCTTCAAGCCATCGTGAAGGGCCTGGAACTTCTACTTTCTGAATTTTTTCAGACTCAATTCAATGTTTAGGAAAAAAATCACAGAAAACTCGCAAAAAAAATTTCAAAAATGAAGCTATCGAAAGCAAGAACAAGTGAAGAAGAAGAAGCAAGAAATGAGCGATGGCCTGCAGAGAGTCCAACTTTTCAAGGTACTCCTCAAACTCGGGGACAAGCGCCTCTCCTTCAGGAGATCTTTCATACTTTTTTGGAAGATCAAATTTTTATGTGTACATATATTTATCAAAAAAAAAAAAAATCTAATCTTGCTTGTCATTTTTTTAAAGCTTTATTCCCGATCTAACAACAACCTTGGCATATCGCGGCGTTTCCACCATCCATTGGCGCAATTTTCTTTTCTCCGCCTTCGCTCCGCTTCTCCAGCTTCTTCCTTCACATTCCTTATAAATTTCCTATTTCCTTCCATTTCGAAAACCTTCATTATCAATCTGCTCAGCAGCTAGGACAGTCTGATCCACCGGATCCCAGTTGACTTCGGATAAACTTCGTCGGATCAACTTTTTCTCATGGAGTTTGCAAAAAAGCCATTGTGTCCAACGGTAGAACTGCGGATCGCAGGTTGAGATTTCCTGTAAAACATAATAACTGAAGAAAAAACAGTATTGAAGAGTCTATATTGAATATACTAACACAAAAGGTTTTAAAGCTGTTTTTTGCGTTCTAAATAGTATATTAATTCAATATTCGCAACAGTTCTGTTTGATTCCAAGACATTTCTATGAGTGAAGAGGAACGAACCCGTTCCCAATCGAAAAGAACTCCGGTTTTCGTTAGTTGCTCCCTCATCGCGGAAATATTTCTGTAAAACATTAAGACGCTTTTCTCTGATGGCCAGTCTGTTTTTCTGAATCATCGCAGTATTCTCTCTCAATCATTATCCCAACTTATACTTCTATTGTTCAAAAAACCCACTGCAAAGTCCACTCTCTAGGATCGACGCCTCTTTCTCTGGCCGCATTTTCGGCCGGCAAACCGAAGGAATCCCAGCCAATCGGGTGGATTACCTATGTTTAAATCCTGGTTAGATATCAAAAACCCTACTTTATAAACCTTAAATCCGTTCAGACGGTAATATCTTGCCGAGACATCGGAAATTGTGTAAACTCTCATGTGTCCCATATGAAGTCGACCCGACGGATAAGGAAACATTGACAAAATGTATCGTTTCTTCCCATTTCCAACAGAACTCTGGAAAGTTTTAGAGCTAATTTTATGAAATGATTGTAATTCATAAGCTGAACACTACAAAAACTCAAATACCGCTTAAATTAAACTCGAAAGAAGCCTATATTCGAAAGAGCACTACTAATTCAGGAACCAGATACGAAATGAGCATGAGCATATAGTCTGTTCAGTTTTTAAATGTCAAGTCCTCGCTCAAGCTCCGCCCCCTAATGGCGCGATAAACCAATCAGAGAGCGAGCCATCCACAGAGAGTTTTCGAATGACGTCATTCTACTTGACATTCAAAATCTGAAAAGACTATATATCTCTTGTAAAAAATGATATTTAGTGAACCGAAAACAGTTTCCACCCCAGTTTCCTGACAATCTTCATACAATTAATTGAATTATTATCAAATAACACACAACTGAATTATTCCATACTATTTCTTCACAAAATTGTTTTCTCGTTCCTTACAAGGCTCAAATCAGAAAACCTTCATTGAAAATGTGAAAGCTGATAAATAAAAAAATAATTGATAGCCTTAAGAATTAAATTGAATGAAAACTGTTCGGAATATAATAAATAGTTACCGCTTTTAGCCTGTTTGAACTGTTCCTGAAGACGTTCGGCCCAGAACTCCTCCAACAACTTAATATTCTCACTAATTCGAATGTTCTGAAGTGAACTCAATGTATTTGAGCAGAGCCCTAAATTAATCACTTCAGAAGGCCACTGAAGAGCCGAAGAGAAACGGAAGGATGTCGATGGGACGACGGCGTGGCCTCGTAACGCCCTCGAGGCGCGACGCATTCTTTAATTTAGGTTCAACCTGGAAAAATGAAAGAAAACATCAATTCTAGTGTACTTTTTTAATCTATTAACCTGCAATTTTCAAATAAACACTTCTGATAGCAGGCAACAATCGCTTAATATACAAGAAAAACCACGGGAAAATCGGAAAAGTTTATCACACTTATTGAACAGAATAAACAGATGAAATCAATTAGATTTAAGGAAGCTAAACCAGAAATTAGCTGCGTGCGTCAAGTTAGCTCTGCACGCGGCATGAAATGAGAAAAATAATTGGTTTATGACATAAAAATTGCAATAAAGCGTAAGCACCTTTCACAAGTACATGAAAAACCTGGATTCAAAATCATTTTCTCCGAAGTAAAAAATTCGAAAAATTTAATTTAACGTCTAAAAGCGAAAGCCTCTTCATATTAAATGTAGTTCTCAAAAAATATTTATTTTCGAAAATCAAAACGAGCAAAGACACGATTATGGTTTCAAAAGAGATCATGTAATAAGACCACTGCAAAGAAAGTGAGAAACAAGTGAAATATAAAGTAGAAGACCAGCTTTATACAAATTTATAACGAATCGGGAGCAGATGTAATCATTCACCGTCAACTGTCGGCTGAGATGATGAGGGCTATCTGCACTGTGCTGCGTCTAAACTTCAAGTTTTGCACGGTTCGTAAAACGGGCTGCGACTTTTCCGCTGAGACTCTTTCCACAAACTGTTGAGCATTTGATGTTCGTCGCTCTTTTTGCACCACTCGCGTTGACACGATCTGTAGGCTTCCACAGTTGTCGGTTTTACACAGTCGCCTGCAAGATGAAACCATGAAACCAGATTTAATATCAAGATACCGTTGACAGTGAGCTTGGTGCGAAATATTGTCACCGAGTCTTGACGACATTCGTAGATTCCGGCATCTGTTGTCTGCAAGTTGAGAATGACCACATCTCCTTGAACGTTGAAAATCGTCCTTGCAGTTTCCGCGATTCTGCAACACGTCTGTTCTTCTTTACTCTTACTTGAAAATGAAACATTATTCGACTATTAGACCGTTTCATTGACTTTTCGCAACTAACAATGGAAAAGGACTTCCAGTATTAATTGCGATTAAAAACTTCGAAGTATTTAATAAATTGATGGAGACGTACTCGACGGAATCGTGATACCAGCGACACGGATGATGGACGTCGAAGCGGACGCTGTCGCCGAGGTATGCGACCCGTTTCGATGTATGTGCTGTCGTCTGACATTCCGGAGACAACTTTTCGCCGGCGTTGAAGGCCTGCGAAACCCATCCAATGCTCGTCTCATGGGCCCTGTGTCTCGTATGACACGACGAGTTGGCGAGGTTCCAGCTGCAGTAGGGGTCCGTGGTGCACAGCGAGCAGGCCTCGTACTGTTCACACACAGCCACCGAGTACTGTAACACGCGGTCGGGCGTCGACACGTAGAAAAACTCTGAAAGAAGCTTTGGAAAAAAATAATAAAAAAAGATGTTTTAAACTAGAGTTTTCAAACTTATGAGAAAACTTGGAAGCTAGTTTTGAGTTTGAAGTTTTGAGAGTTTTGCTCAAACTTTTGGTTTTTTGAACTTCATCATTTCGTTTTTTTTTTGTGCTGTTAGGATTTATTCAAGTCTTTAATTTTTTAAATCAAATTCATCATTAGAAAATTCTATCTCTTTCAATATTAGGGAGTATGCAAGAAAGTGGTAGATTCTTTTAGCGCGTCAAACCCAATAGATGAATGGCTCAATGTTGCTCTTCAGAAGTCAAAATGAGTTTTTGTTTTTTTGTTTTTAAAGAACCTTCTATAAGTGTATTTAACATGAACATAATTATTTAATAACGTGGGATATTAAGCCATTAATCAATTTTGGGTGAGCGCGTTAAATGCGTTGACAATTTTCTTGCATACTTTTTACTACATAAACTTTCTTAGTTTCTCCTCACTGACCCTTGATTTCAAGGTTACGAATGAAAATCACGAGCGCTCATGGGAGTATTGTGCTTAAAAACAAGACAACGACGTGAAATTATCGCTCAAAAGCTCACCAGAAGGAAGCAACGCCGCCGAGTTGACTTTGCCGCCGACTTCGATTTTGCGCTTCTCAATTAGTTTTGATTTCCACTCGTTCGACTCTTTCCAGTGTGCCACCTTCCACATGGTTTCGCCACTTGAAACATTGAAAAATTTAAAAAAAAAAGATAAAAGCTCAATGCGGTTTGTTTATGGGGTGTAACTAATGACGATTGGTCACATTCCATGTCGTCAATTTTCAACTGACTGGGCAACGTTTTTTTAATTAAACTTCAGCAATGTTTCATCAAAAGTTCAACCTGGAGGTAAAAAACGCTACTTAGTGAGCGCCTATATATTTATTGAGAACCTTTGTGCAGCAAGTTGGCCAAAACCAGAGAAATCCTTTTTTGTCTATTGGAATATTGAGTCATCGTAAAAATCAAAAAGATAAGAAAGCCAACTTGGAATCGAACAAGAAGACGACATTTTGATGAGGCAACGGATCGACGAGAACGTGCGTATAGACCACGTCCCTCAATGGATTGATGGGTTTACTACCTGCAACAATTTTTTTTTCGTTTCAAATTTGCTTTCCTGTTAAATTCGAAAAAAGGACGTTCTAAAAAAAAACGAATACCGGGAATCGATTCAGCTAGCAATAAATGAGACTTGACAAAGTGCAGCTCAGAATCCGAAATGGAGTGCGAGTCACGGGAGCACTGAAATTTCGAAAGAAGATGTGGATAATCAGAGATTTCGCTACCGATCCGGGACGATGTGCCGAAGTTCCTTCCCCAGTCGGTGACAAGACGACGCCACCACGACTCTCCTCCATCAGTGGCGCATTATCGAGGAGCTGAAAGAAATAAAATTTGTGAATATCACGAATCCGAGTATCAAATTTCGTTTCGTAGCTAGTAGGATATTTGCTCGACAGAGCATTCCTTTCGAATACAAAAATATGTTCCGAAAAAAGCTAATAAAACTTTTATCGGGTTTTGATGCTCATTTCGTTTTCGCTGGAAATTGGTTTATACTAAAATGAAAAATTTTTCGAACGATTTTCGGCATGTCCACGGAAGTATCTCGCAAATCGGCTTCGAAATTTTAGGAAAATTGATGATCTACGCATTTTTTTTGTGCAGAGCCAACTTTTTTCAATATTTTTTTTTTTCGTGTCCACCTTTTTTTAAAATCGTCGTTTTTGTTGATTTGGCCTGGAGATCTCTCACGAAAACCTCACAAAAAGACAATCAACACTTTAAATTCTAGATTTTCTAAGCGATGCCGATTTCAAAAATAGTGGGATATTTTACTTTTTGAAGATTGGGCGTGGCTCTCTCCCTAAATCGCTGTTTATCCACCGAAAACGTCATAGTCGTCGCAAACGCTGTTCTTGCTTATTCAACACAAAGAGGGAAAAATGGCGCTCACATTGTTGATAGAAGATAGCGAAAAGACGCAAACAGCAGAGGAGACGAACGCCGTGTTGGACGTGCTGAATGAGGCGTAGAAGTTGGTTTCGCCATTTTTTTCGACCTTAGCCACTGATTCTGCAAATTTTTGATTAGATCTACTGTCTCGAAGAGGTTCTTTCCTTATAAATAGTGGTTCATCGAACACTGATTTCTAATTTTAAATTTCCAAATCGGAAATTCCAGTCATTGATTGGCCTTTTACAGAAGTCAAAACCTCGGTGGACAATTTTTTCAACTGAAAAAAGCGGATAAAAACTGACGGATATGATCAAAATAGAAGGGATAATCGGCGGAAATCGAACAATTGAGACGAGCTTTCAGGAAAGAAGTCCACACTTGACGGAGCACGTTTCGGCCCCCCATATCCTTCTGAAAGCGTTTCATGGAGTTTTTCAAAGTTTTTTTGATAGTTGTGTCAGGTTTTATCTCAAATATCGATAAGAAAAAAGAAAAACTTGGTCGAAAAAAAAAAAATTCAAAATCAACTTTTCTGAAAAAAAATAAAATGAAAAGGCCGTCTAAAAAATGTGGGTAAAATAAATATTTCTTCTTTTCAAGTCCAAATCAAAAGATTTCTTTCTCGAAGCCGCCTTTCGAAAATTCCCTTGAGAGCCTTACCTTCAAGGTGTTCATTCGAACTTTACTCATTTTTTATTCTGAAGAAACTCTACCTTACAAACACGAGCAATCCGACTGTGAACGATTCGATCGCCAAAAGCATTTTCGTAGGCGATTTCACGGAAAAAGAAAAACACGTGGGCGGCAACCTCAAAGGATGCAACGAACTGGGGTTCTGAAAGTAAACGAAAATATAGGGTCTTACATCAGGTGGAGCCAAAAAAAATAATTGATAAAGTTCCCCAGAATCAGCTTGAATTTAAATGAAAGAAGCTAAAGACTGTGTCACTAATCTTCGAATCGTTTACAGTACCCCAAAAAAAAACCAAAAAAAAAAACCATTGAGCCACTTGTTGTCGGTGTAAATCGTTCGAATATTGGGATAGGCTTGGCGGCCATTTTTGACAAGAGGTGGTCGGTAGATCAAATGATTTTCTCCAGCCATTCCCGTGCGGATTCCAGAATAAACCGACATTATATCGTCTGGGTTGCCCCATTCTGAAAAAAAAAAATGCTCTGATCTATAATGTAAAGCGGGCAAATTGCCCCGTTTGGCACAGTACCTTTTCGTTTCGACTAATTAACGAGGGTGGCCTATTTTAGTGCAATATTTTTCAATCTTTTCTATACATAACACCTAGAAGAAAGTCAAAAAAAAATACAGGGCCATTAAAAGATCATCGTCACACGCGAAAAAACTCAAAGCGGCTCGGACCTTGGTAACGCGAATCGGACGTGTCGGGGCATTTCTAGTGACCACTTTAGTGGCCTCAGCACTCTTAGGTGATCCCTATAATCGCCCAGAAACGTCCGGAGCACGTCCGTTTCACGTTACCAATGTCCGAGGGAAGGTACTGTTGCCATGGGGCGAAGTTAGCTGCTTGACATTAATAATCTGAAACGGTCACGTTTTGAAAAACAGCAGAAAAAGCTACCGTAAACAAAGCTGTGATTAAACTAGCTGCTGTTTTTTTTTTTTCGAAGTGGCCGGCTTGCGCAGAACCCACTATATAAAACTGAAAAACTGATTCGAACGTCATGAAAAGCCAATATAAGCTTCCTTATAAAATTAGAATCGAATGAATGCGGAGCAACCTAGGGAAATGTCGAAAAAATAACATGGACATTCCATTTGGCCTTTGAAATTAAAAACGAGTTTCACCAACCTACAATGACGGCGGTTGAGTTTACTGTTTCATCGGGTGCACAAATCCCGATTTCTGTCCTTGGCTCCTGCTGATCCTTGAGAGTAACCGCGTCGAGAACACGAATTTCCGGCTTCATTCCAACCGAAGAGCACACCTTCAATATTTTTCCTATCGAATCGTTCAAAACCCCTCAAATGCCTGGAAGGGAGAATCGAACCAAATAAAGATTAAAGCGGAATCGGTTTTTGTGATTTAAACATAAGTTTCATTTTAAAAATTCGTTCTCAGCCAAAAAAACAAAAACCGTGCTCCTCAACAATAAAAGAAATGCAACTATTGAAGTTTTCACTACAGCCGCTCCTTGCTTTTTCTATACACTTTGACGTTCAATTCTCGAATTCGCATCCGCACTTTAATCATTACAATGAACTCAGGAAAAAAAGAAAGTGAAAAAAAAAAAGAAAAAAACCCACATACAAACTTTCGAAACCATTAAAAAGAGAAATAAATCGTGTAGACGGTCGACACATTTGTTCCGTGTTTCCCATCGCCCGGCACTCGGTCTCTTCCGTCTCCGTCAAGCTCAGAGTTTTCTTCGTGAACTGCAAAGTCGAGCTTGAAACCAAGATGACTTCTTCTACGAAATCGAGACATTTTCAGTGGCTTGGATATCATCTTCAAATTGAGATGGCTTATACGAAATGAGTTCTGTTGATGGCATCTCGTTTCCTTTTCCTTTTTTCATACAAAATTTAGTTTAAAACGTATTTTTCAAAGAAGTTGACAGTAAAATTTCAATTCTAGGATCTAAAAACACACTAGGCTTTTACTTTTCCACAAACACAGGATATCTTCGGATTTGAAGTTTTTTTGGTCTTAGCCGGGAGTTTGTGTTTCAGAAACGCTGTAGTGACTAAACTACACTGACTAAACTAATGAATCATAATCGGTGAATATTTAAAAAAGGGCAAAACGACATAGTGACGTAGAGTTGCGTCGCAATTTTGATTCGGTAGAGCATTTTGTTAACATTTTTCTTGCCGAAAAGAGAAGTAAACATCAAAAAATCATGTATCAAACGATAAACAAGGACAATGGATCTTCTCCTCGGAATAAAACAAAATAATCAAAAAAGTTCTTGAATATTACTTCGAAGATGTAGTTCCTTTGAGCTTATCAAATCCAATTCTCACTTCAATTCATAATTATCATTTCAAAGAAAACCCTCTTTGTAAGCAACTCTTCTAATTTCAACCAAAGTTCAAAATTCAAAATTGACGCTGGAAATTCATACCGAATTCTCATTGGTGTCGTTGACATTGTATGCCCATAGACGATAAACTGCGCCTTCGGCACCCACAAAAACAGCTCCAGCTTTCACGTCAATCAATAGCTCTCGAAATTCCCCGACAGACGAGTCGGAAAACCACTTTTCTTGAAAAATACATCATGAGTGTCAAAATGCGACTATTGTACAAACCTGGTGAACATGAGAATATTGAAAGTGAGGAAATACCAAGAAAAACAACAAAAAACATGAGTGGTCGACACGCCAGAAGTGTTGACCACCGCGGAACGTGAAGAAGAGGAGGGAGGAGGAGTAGAAGAGGCGGAGTGAGATTTGAAGGGAATATGCACGAGAGCAGAGAGGAGGAGGAGGAGAGGAACCAGTAAGCGTTGTTCAATATCGATCGGTTCTTGTAATCAAATTGTTATATTTTTTAGCAGACCTACAGAGGGTTAACTTTCACAGCTACTTAATTTTGAACATATCAAAGTAAATAATATCTAATTCTTTTTTTTTTCTTATGGTCAAAGTTGCTATAACATATCCTTCAAATTGAAAAAATAATCTCACTTTGTAAAAGATGAATCTCGTAGAAATAATTCCACGTTCAAAGCGGGCCTTGAATATTAGGTTCTCAAAAACGGACTTCGTTTTTCGATACTTCAACTTTGACAAGTAGCCCGGAAAGTTTTTTTTTCTTTTCACGACGGTCGAAGTTTATACAAAGATCAATCGAGGTACCCAAACCGTCCGTCAATACATAGGATACGCGATGACATAGCTATCAGAGTGCACACAAATAGTATCAAAATACCAGAAAGTTAGCCTCTGTATGCTATTTATTGATTGACAATTAACATATCCTGATCAAATTTCGTTTCGTTAGGTCTTAGTTATTTGTGGATACGTCGTTCGACCAGTGTATGTCGTTTTAAAGCTTTTCGCTCGGTTTTCAAATTGAATAAAGAAGGTTTTTTGAAACAAAAATAATCAAGTGACTTTTTCTGCTGTTCAAAATTTGCACAAAAACGTGTCAGTTCTATCATTTTTTTTTTCTTAGTCCAAGCGATAGAGCGAGCTTATTGAGGCTTTTTTATATTTGAAATGCGTGTGACAGTACTTCAACTAATGAAAGTTGTCGGAAAAATTCCGATCAGGACATATAAGACCACGAATGAGCCTGGTTCTCGATGTCGACAAAGAATTTTAAGCTATGATGGTTTCAACTTCGTGAATAACTTTTTTTATAAAACAGCTAGAAGGCTTGTAAAACACGCAACGCTACATGCTAGTTACTGGAAACGGATTCTCAGTTCATGGTGAATTGAAAAATCCAGCGTACAAGACCGGAAACAACGTAAAGAAAAGATCCGAGCTTCCCTTTTGGCGCAATTTGGGAAATTTATTCTGAAAAGTTGGGATAAACGGAATTTCTGATCTTTTCCTGTTATTCATTCTGAATGAAAAACACTTTCAAGTTCAACTCGATGTTAACACGACCTTGTTCATGATTCCGAAAACTTAGTAGTATTGGTCATTAATTTCAATACATAAAAATTTCCTTATAGTCAGAGGTCCGAAATATTTTATAAATTTTTGACCTGTCGAAAAATGAATTCAGTTTTGACTTATTGAAGTGAACGATTGGAAAACGAAATCCGTTTCTTTTTCAGACGTGCTTGTTAACAAATTTAGCAAGAAACGCGAAGAATAGCTGATTTTTATATTTGATAATGCATCTAAAGATGTCCAATATGTTTCGATAGATGTATAATCTGTACACTTGCTAAGAATTTGATGCTAATATGCGAGTGAGTGATTTGATTCGATCGCCTTCTTCTAATCGCACATTGGAGAAGACGACGTCTTGATTGAAACCCATGCTTACGAGTTGCGAGACAGTTTCAGCATACTTGAGGACGCTCTAAACAAATCAAAGTCTTCATATTTCATTCAAAATTTCTGGTTGAGGTGTTAAAGGACCAATACAGAGACATAAAATTTTCAGCTCTTTTTCGAAACTCTAAAAAACTTACTCAATAAATTTGAAATAAAAAGACAGAAACCTAAAACAGGCCACACGCTTTAAAATGATATTTGCTTTTAGTAACCAAGCCCAAAGTAAGTTGCAGTGGTAAGCCATGATAAACCAGCCCAAAATTTCGTTCAAGTAAGAGCACCAAAAACCGCTGGGAATTTCTTAACAACCTTATAGTATACACTGAAAAATGGGAGCATTTTCTTCTCAACGTTGAGATAATATCTTTAAAAAATGGACAGATTCACCTGTTTGTCGTTCAATTCGCTTTGCAACAAAAAATTTAAACCATCGTTGACCGGTACGCTGCTTTTTTCCATCATTCGAATCCCTTTCATATAATACTCAATCTGTAGAAGAGCAAAAACAAATGACAAGAATTCGCTTGAAAAGCTCACGTGTACAAGTCTTGCCCGTGGTAGATTTTTTATACAAATTTGTACGATTTCCGGTCGGAAGCCCTTTTCGATCAACCGCAACCTAAGATCGTGCTCTTTCGAGTGTCTAACTTCTTTAGATGTGTTCGACGCAACTGAAAAAATTCAATTCAAAAATATGAATTTTCATGATGACAGTGCATCGAAAGAAATAGAGCTCACGTTTAATTGGGTCTTGGGGGGAATCTCTAGAAATCTGTCTGGGCGGCGGCTCACCAAAACACGTTGTTTCTTTCAAAACCTAAAAAAAGTGTCAAAAATGTTTCGTCTGAAACCTCGTTCAAAGCGGCACGGTCGTCAAGCGCAGTCCATTCTATCTCATCAAACACGTTTCTTTGCGACTCGAACTCGGAAAAAGAACTTTGCAAAGCACTAGTTGTACTTGGCGCCGGACTTTTTTCATAAGGATGAGGGAGTAGAACTTGCTGAAACTCAGATTTCGACAATCACTGGACTATGGTAGACTTGCGGAAGCGAGACTGTCTGAGACTGCACTTGCGTGAGATTAGGATCAATATAAGAAGTTGCAAAGTCGCTTTTCGCTTTGAAATCATCAAATTGTTTCCTTGCCCGTCTCTCCAAATCGAAAGAGTACTGCAACTACGGAGTGAACTTGACTTGAAGGGGAGGAAAACCTTCAGCTCGGAGAAATCATTCGGCGAAGGAAAATCCAGATCAGGAACGACTATGTGTGTAAAAGAGAAAAACTGAGACGATAACCTCATAGGGATGTCCTGAGCATAATCTAAAAATTCGAAAAAATGAGAACTTTTCCAGATTTTAATCATGTATATTTTAAACATAAAATAGTATTTCAAAATTTTGCAATTTTTACCAACAATCTTTTCCTGAGGCCGCTTCCACAGGTGAACTGTTAGCTTTGTTTGACATTTTTGACGTTTTTTAAAATTGTATGTCGTGCACATTGCGGAATGGCGAATGAACAATTAAATAAATCTTTCATGTTGGCCAAGAGCAAGCGCGGATGCTTCTGTCGTTCACCCGTTTAACCATAGCCGAGCGCAATTTTTAGCCGCGCATAGACCCCGTTCAAGCACGGCGAATTTACGCTAACACCCAATTGACGCGCTGAGCCCCCGTATAGGTCCAGGGAAAAAACAAAAAAAAAAAATAATAAACAAAAATTTGATTTCAGAAAAGTAAAAAAATATTTTAGAAAAAATCATTAAGTCCATTTCTCGCCTATTTAACTGCGAAAGTCAATCGAGGTATCCACTCAGTTAGTCAATAAGTAGGATAAATGGTGAGATAGATCTCGGTACGGCATCCGACAGCATACTTCTAAAGATTCCTTCGCGAATCGAATAGCATTGGGATAGCATCGGAAAGCACGTGAAGAGTATTGGAATACAATAAAGTTAGATTTGTATTATACTTATTGATTTATTTTTAGCATGCCCCGATTGAAAATTGGAGTGAATTCCGTGAATACGCCGAATGACCCGTGTAAAAGAAAGACTGAAAAATCACAAACCGTGAAAGCGGTCTGAAGACGCATTCATTATGTGGGATGAGCGATAAGAAACTTTATCCTCACAAAAGTTCGACTGAAAAAAAAAATTATGAACAACTGAAAAATAAAATAAAAATCAAAAAAGATGGACAGACACGAAAATATCAAATCTATAAAATTTTTAAATAGGTAGAAAAAAGACATCTGGTCCTGCGAGGGCCAACCTATCGGATCCCGGCAATTTTCCAAGCGCGACTCGGTCCCAAAAGCGCGATTTTATCCAAGTAAATTATCAAAGTTTTAAACGACAAAGATCATATTTTTGGTATTTCTCACTTAAAGTTCAACGAAAAAAATGGGGTTTAACAAGTAAAAAGTGTTTTACGGCGAAGTTTACGCAAAAAACGAGGCCCAAAGCCAGAGCCCTGTGGGCTTCTTTTCGCGAAGAATCCTGCACGGGCCAGGCCGCGAATAAAAGTTTCAAAACTGTTTGAAGAACTTTGAAGTCTTACTTAAAATTTTTAGCCGAAAAACACTTTCTTGTTGAATCGTAGTTTCTCTTAATATCCAAATGAAAAAAAAGAACCGAAAACGTGATCGTTGTAAAAAAAAAAGTTGAGATTTACCTTGGAGAAATTTAGCGTGACATGGGCCGGGAGGGTTTTTCTTGAGGCCGTGTAAAGCCGGGTCATGTTTAGAGAATGATCGGGGCCAATAAACTGAGGGGACGGCCAATAAACTGAGGAGACGGCTTAAAAACAGGGTTTTTTTTTAAAAACGAACAGGATTTACCGTGGTTTACGACAAAAGTGTGCTCTACCGCACCCCTTGGTGAACCTCTTAGTCACATTTTCTTATGCTCAATATTTTCATTTTCCGTCTCATAAACTAAATTCATTTTTAAGCAAAAGAAGCGATATCGCGTCAGTACACTTGTGAACACTTCAATTTGTAGACGGGCAATCGAGATAATGAGCCTTCTTGTATTCGATGGAACCAGCCTACTTTACGTTGCTACTATTTTTCTTTTGGTTGGTTTAGTTTCCATTAAATTCTACTGTCTTCTATCTTTTTCTTTTTTGAATATTCTCCATAAATTATCAGTAAAAAGAAATTTGATAGATATGAATCGCTTATTATTATCCAAGCAATAAATTATCGCTTTTAAGTTATTTAAATTTACAAAATAGTGATGTTTCAGATGATAATTATCGCCGTCATTTTCACTCAACGACAAATTTTACGGCTTAGGCACAATGCTGCAAGAATAAAGCCTCACGTGAGTTTAAATAATTTTTTCACAGTACATCACGAATGTTTAAAGTAGCCGGTCGTATTACGCTAGTTCAAATAGGTTTTTTGGTAATAAAATGAGAACTTGTGTATGTTTTGTGCCGTAATCTATCTTGTAAACTCGAAAGGTTCTTAACAAATCGAAAAAAAGAAAAAATCATTAAAAAAATTTTCTGGCTCCGTAACTGACGGCGCAATCTTAACCGTAGAACTTTCTTAACCATGCGTGACATTGGACATTGTCCTGATTGTTCCAGGTCTCCTTGGACGCCCGTATGCTCCACAAAAAAACTAAGACGATGCGCCAATGTCAGTTAGATAACGTGGATCGACTTTGCCGCGAATACCACCCACGTCTAACCGACTGCGTTGCTATGAATACTCGTTAGTAATCTGAATAAAAAGTTTTTTTATTTTTCTACTTCTCGCGTTTTTCTCTTTACTGCTCTAAATTCTCAAGCAAAAAGTTTCAAATCGATTTTAGATGGTAAGAGGTCGTACGTTCCACGAATGATTGCCGTTGACGACATCACCATAGAACTGGGTAGAGATTTAGTTCGCTCAACCATTTCTAAGCACCTATTTGCCTCGGATATAATGCTAAAACAGATTTTCAGCTTCGGCATATGGAAGGCTTGAGTAGGAAAGCTGGAGAATCAACTCTATGTTATCTCAAAAGGTTTCTTCATGTTATTTTTAACTTTAATATGACGAAGTAGATTTTCATCTATGTCAATTTAGTATTAGTAGTAAGAATATGGTTTACTATTTGTCACATGAACAAATATATTCTTTTTTTGGAAAAATAAAACGTTCAAAACGAAATTATAACGTTAAAGTGTAATTTTCATTTTTCAGGTTACGCGAAAGGGACCTAAATTCGATTTCATCGAGTCTCGTTCACGAAATTGCATTTTTGGAGGAATGTGCTCGGTTCCGTTCAAATGTTTGTTTTGCTCATTTGATGGCATTTTTGTTTCTTAGAAGTTTGGAGTTGAAGAGATGATGAGACTCCGCTCTTTAATATGCACTTTCATGTCAAAGTTGCTGGCCACATTTCCAAAACAGGTTGTAGGTGAGGAAGTTATAAGTGGACATTTAAAATTGTTCAAATTTTTCAGAAAACAAGGCTCTTAGCAGTAGCGGGAATAGTGCCTTGCCTCATCGACATACAAGAACATCACGATTTGGAGGCAGTGACGGTTCGTTTCAAGAAGTAGTTCTGAGACATGACATTTTTAAATTGAGAAAAAAATTGTCTTTTTATTTGAAAAGTTTCAGTGCCCAATATGAATAATTGATTGAGGTGAAGGAGAGTAAAATTAATAACCGGATAACTACCACAAAAGCAATCGGCATAAGTTTATCGGTCGTTTATTAGCTAATATAGAAATAAATAGTACGTGGGTACCACCGGAGAGGTATATGAATACCTTCGTTATTCTACCTGACGTGTGCGATTTCTAACGAGAAATACGGCGTATACTAGCGTTAGCTAATGAGCGACCACCTATTAGCTTTGACCGGCACTTTTATTGACCAGTGAGCAGATCGGCAGAAAACAGTTACTCTAAAGTGTTTTAAAATGATTGAAAAATCACCTAATATAATTTTTGCTTCAAAACAGTTGCAAATAGATAATTTTCATATTATCCAGCTTTGATTGAAGCGTATAGTATTTTTTGTAGGAGGGAGGCTGATAGCGCGCGAAAACGAGGAAAGGCGTCGTCTCATTCCATCAAATGAACCTTCCTCGCATGTTCGACGTAATAGCCACTCTCACTTTACTTGATCAATCATTTTTTCGATTTTTTTTTCCAACACGATCTTGTTAATAATGATACTCTGTATTGGTGTTCTATAGGTAAATCGAGGTATCCACTCAGTTAGTCAATAAATATAATACATGGGCAGAGCTATCGGTGCGACATCCGACAGCATACTTCTTAAGATTCCTTCGCGAATCGAAATAGCATTGGGATAGCATCGGAAAGCACGTGAAGAGTATTGTAATACCAGAAGGTTAGACTCTGTATTCTATTTACTGATTGATTGTTAACATATCCCGATCAAATTTGAGATTTCGCTCTGTTCGCTAATTCTGTGAATACGTCGATTGACCGGTGTTTTGCGAAACACTAATTTTTTTTTCATTTCCTACGGACTTTCAATATCTGTGCTTTACAACTATCGATTTTGCGAAAACTGGCATATTCTTTTCTTGGTAATTTATTCTGTATAAATTTTTAACTTATCATGCGAATTTATGTTTTTACTATTGGTTGATCGCCAGTGTTTTTATCTACTAGTGAGAGAATTAATTTTCTACAGAAGGTCTTAAACTGATTTGTCGAAAGTTCGTGCTGCTTTAAATTTTTCTTTTCCATGGATCATGTCAAAACATCGACTGAAAGGACTGGTACGTTAAATTTCGATCCCGTTTATTTTTTTTTTTTTCTGGAGAAAAAAGACCTTGTACCAAATTTCGCTTTGGGACCTCTGTCAAAACCGATTTTCTTCTCGTCTGAAAGCCGCCAAAATTCGTTTAATTATGCTGTTCTTGACATTTCTTTAAGATTTTCTGCAGCACGCGCTGAACTGAAATAGGGGTAAAACTCTTTTTTTTTCCACTACGTTTCTTTTAACACTTAACCATGAGCGGTCGTGGTGAAAGGCAACCTGTTGCAGTAAAAAATTATCGTTCAGAAGTTAATTTTAGCTCTTCACGACTTGTTATTGTCAAAATGGGAAGGCATGACAAAGATGCTAGGATTTCAAGACCATTGTATCAATAACGGGGTGTTGTTGAAGAACGGCACGTGTAAATGCCCTCATTACTTCGAGGTTTTTTTCAAAGAGAACATACGTTGGAAACAAAAAAATATTTAGGGTTCGAAATGCGAGAAGAAACTTTGCCTCAACGGTGCAACGTTGGAAAGTACCAAACTAGGAACGGTTCAGTGGGAATGCAGGCTAGTCGTCTTTTTACTACAACCTGACGAAAATGATGGTTATTGCATTTCTGTAAGAAAACCATTTAGATGTCCCAATTCACAATACATCCATGGAACACATTGCGAACAAGTTTCATGCGCCCCTTCGGGAGTTTTGCAAAATCCAGGCAATGGGTCATGGCATTGCGAGTGTTCTGGATTCTACAACGGCAGGTTTTGCGAGGTTGGAAAAAGTTTTATTTCTTTGTATAAATTGGCAAAAAAAAGTCTCACTTTACGATTCTCTTTTAAAATCAAGAAATTTTAAGGAATTCGAGCTGCCTTATTCGGCATATGCGGTCCCATTGGTGCTGCTGCTCTTCGTGTTTTGCTTGTTCATATGCCGCAAAGACATGTGCTCACGAGGAAAACGAGGAAGGACCTTGTCGCTAAGGGTTCGAGCTGACCTCGAGGACCAGCATCAGCATCAGCCTCTGCATCAGTCTCACATGGTGCCTTCTTGCCAATTTCCGCTTATGTATCAGTCTACAAATTCGAAATATTTAATAGTTCTTCAATTCATTCTTTTACTTATATTCAGAGTGAGAGATTATACACTTTTTGCAAAGATAATCTTTCAGGCAGCTAGAAATCACGAGCAAGGCGACGTTTCCCGCCGACCGGCCGCTTTTCCGCGAACGGTGGCGGCTCCTTATGTTGTTCGTCTCGACACGATACCTACTTTCAACCCACAAATGATTGGTGAGCTGTCGTGAAAATGTCAAATGTTCAACTGTCAAATGAGCTGTTTTTTCTTTCAGACGTTTCAAAATTTTATTGCCAAGTTATGCGTTAGCTTTTTTGAATTTCGTTCATATCAATTGAAAATGAGAAACAATTAAAATTTTCTTTTAAATTACCCATTTGCGATAATGACCAAGTTTTTTTCGGTAAATTGTTTGAAGGAAGATTTCCTGGCTAAAAACGATTTCCAGGCGGCGTCGAATTATTGGCCGCGGACCAAAAGCCTCTGGAACCGCCACCACCCTATGAACAGGCGTTGTCGGCCCAGCGTTTCCAGAATCCTCCCGACTATGAGGAGGAAGCGAGCCAACAGACGGCTCACCACAGATAGACGGCTCGGGTTCAAACAGTCGACATTATCATGTCCTTTTATATATTATCAAGTGATGCTTCCTCTTTTTTACTTCCACTATTTTCCTCGTTTTTGCCACTCATGCCTCATTTCTGTCTTTCATTCCTTGGTGTTTAGTTATATTTATCATGGCTGAAACTTTGCATATTACGCTCGATCGACGTGTTTTTCAGAATGGAATCTCATTCGGAGCATACGTCGGCTGGATCCCACCCCGGGGTGCGGCCTATCCCCTCAAACTGCGGCCTACCCCCAAAAAGTGCGGCCAACCCCCCTCAAACTGCGGCCTACCCCCCAAAAAGTGCGGTCTACTTCAGTACATTTTCAAATTTTTTTTTTGCGCGCAAAAGGCTAGGGTGTGATCCAGCCGACGTATGATTCGGAGACACGTGATGATTTGACTAAAACGTCTAATTTGCCTTAATCAATTTTATTTTCCCTGTCTCGTCTTTCATCAATAATTTGAGCGTAAAAGAAAACAAACGCTATAAAATTTTTTGATTCTCCATTGAAAAGAACATAAAGAAGAAAAAGAGTGACAAATAGATACAAACAACCGCGTTGAACCCATATAAAATAAAGGGAAGGAATTTTTCTTGTCAGTCGTTCGCTGCTTTCGTTTCAACGATTTCGGACGCAGTTCTTTCTATTCTAGTCGAGTTTTTCTAAACATTGCTTTGAAACAATAATAATAAATTTGATCAGTTGGTATACTTAACCGATTTTTCTCGATTGATTTATGAAAAAATTTCTAAAATTCCTAGTCAAATATTTTTTTCCTCAGGATTTTGATACAACCTGTGGATCAAAAAGAGAAAGAGATTCTCCGATTTCTCCTTCTAGTCCGCCATTTTTCTCACTCAGAACAAGGAAGAAAAAACAAGTGACCACTCTGATCGGTGTATAAAAAAGCGTACTTCGATTCAAATCGGAATGCTTGTCCAGCTCAGCGATAATGTGCTCCTGCTTCTCGATGAGCTCTTGTTGTATCCGATGTTGTTCTTTCATTTTTTCAAGAATGTCCACTGCATCGCTATCCTTTCTCATGAAAGTCGTTGTTGCAGTCTGAAAATTGGGAAACAGTTGAAATGCATGGGATCTAAATTATCAACCGAGCCGATACTGTGGTTGCTTCCATCTTCTCGCCGAATCGTCACCGCCACGTCTTGTTTGGGTTTTATTTTTTCAGCCACATTCGTCTTGTTCTCGGCTAGAAGAACGGCCCAGGTGCTCGTCAAGAGAATTATTAGCCCAGCGATGAGACAGACCTTGAGAAATTCCCTCGTTTCGCCATATAATTCAAGTTTGATACCTTGGCTACGATGGTGTTATCCCTTTTACTGGCTCGGTTCTTGTTCTGGTCGAAGCGTAAGGCAAGTAAAATGCACGAAGGCAAAATGGTTGCAATGATGGTCCCGATGAACGAGCCGGTTAGACCAAGAATAAACTCGACTAAAATTTCATCAAAAAGTTTTGAAAAGTGCTCCGGAGAAGAATTGCGACTCACCGTTGGGCACCAGAATGGCAAGAACTAAATTGAAGAAGACAATGATGGCCGTGAGGACGTGAAAGGTCGCCTTGCCAATTGTGAAAGTGGCCATTTCGCATCCACTCTGAGAATCGGTTCGAACCCAGTTGGCTCGTGTCGATCACAATGGACCCACGGGGCGGAGGAGCAGACAAAAAAGGGCCGTTCTCGCTGGAAACAGCATGAGCGGAATGGAGACGGCCACCGAAAGTAAGAAGGCGCTCTTCATGAGCTGCGTCAGCAACGTCGGCTCGAGCTGCACAAGCACGTCTCCGTGGAGCTCTTGCGAGTAGAAGGCCACGTATCCAAAGACGCCGACGGCTGCATAACTGTATATATCAAGATGAGAAAGATCATCAAAATGAGCAAATTGTACATGGCGGAACAGACGTTGATGGCCGACGCGACAATGTTGTCGACGCGCGCCATCGACGACTTCTTGACGCACGCAATGACGGGGAAAAGTTGCGTCTGGCAGCACATGGCCATGCAAACGATCGGAAGACTTGAGAGGATCAGTTTAGCATCCGTCTCATGAAACGCACCATGTCAGGAATCCTTCGGGTCGCCACCATACTATGTGCAAGCTCCAACGTCCATCGAGCAAGGAAGGCACAGACTCGGTCACCTGCAAGCAAAGATAATTGAAGAACAGCAGTTTTCCTTTTGATTTTTCTCCTAACAAGTTAACCATGCTAAGTAGGTTCATTTTTCGGAGAACTATAGAAGGAGGCAAATAGTTGCCGTTTGCAAATTCACTCGTTCATTTTGTGGTTTTTCATTCCTAAATGCGTGCTGCTCAAGCTCAAGTCCAAAGCGCGAATAAAGTTGTCGAAACTTCAATCAAGCTGTAGAGTATGACAAACCATTCGAGCGACAAATGAGGCGTAGAATAATATGGCTAGCGAGCTGATGATTGAGAATCGCTCCAAATTTTCTATCAGCGAGAGTGGGATCACGATAAAGGCAACGACGATGACCTGAATAGAGGCTTCTTACTGGTTGGTCTTCCGTTTTTCTCATTAACTGAGCCGAAGTTTGTTAATTGTTTCATTTTGCGTAGTAGTTATATTATACCCCACGACCCCTTGACAGGTGTATGGCAACGGCGGCCTTCACGGAAGAAGATTTACTTGTTTTTGGCTTTTATCCAGGTCAATATCACAAACAAATTATCGTAGAGTTTTAGATGTATGATTGATGTTGGAGAAAAATATCAACCAGTCAAAATAGCGTCTCACAAGATATTTGAATGGAAAAGTTCTGCTATAGAGTGGCCTGACTACACAAGATTGAGATTTTTAAGCGGAAAAGGAATCAACTCGTCTCACCATAACTAGAATCCTCAGTCGCTGGGTGGTCGCCTCAAGTCCAAGATAGTCAGCCACAATATGAGGTCCAATATCGCCGATGACAACCATGAAGGCTACGATAGAACTGAACAAGAAGAACAGAAGACAGGCCTCCGTCAGCCTTCTGCCGTTCCGGCCCAACGCAGCAAAAGCCAGGGATTCATATGTCGAACACCTGAGAAATTCAATGATGACAAAAATGAGTTTGAGCAATTATTTTTGGTTCTGAAACTATTGAACATCAGATGCGAAATGAGAAGGAATCAAGCTAGGATCGGGAAATGCCAACGGCACCAACCTCGTAGAAAATGACCCCTCGACGAGAAAATGGCACGTATATTTCGTCAATACAGCGCACATGGCAACCATCAACGTTGCCAACAATATTCCACACTGAAAGTCGAATTTTAAAAACAAGAACAACAACCAAACTCAAGTCGAAAAAAGCAGATAAGCAAATAAAGTCTAATCAGATTTTGAATGTCAAGCATCAAACTCCGCCTCCAACAACGCTCAGTGGATGGCTCGCTCTCTTTTTGGTTTTATCTACGCATAAGGGGCGGAGTTTTTGCGATGAGTTGAAATTCAAAATCTGAACTATAAAATACCATGCCGTCCTCGAGAATTATTTCTTTTTCCTATAACTTTTTCATGACTAAAGTTGGATATTCGATGCACTTTGAAAGGCTTTTCTGATGTGAAAAGATAGTTATAATAACCATTTTGAGCACCCTCTTCTTTAATCCTTTTGCCGTCACTATATTAAGAATAACTATTTGGTAATATCAGAAAAGAATTTAAAAAATGGGTCACTTCAAAAATGTCCAACTTTGGACATTAGATTCTTCTTTTGACATACAATACTACTTTAATTCAAAATCCTTTACAGTGTCAACTATCTATTTTTACTTCAAAAACTATTTAAACTTTCTTCAATCACTCTATAACACTATTTTGATCCAGACTTATTCAACAAATACCTGCTGAAACACGTACGGCATGGCGAGGATAGACACCCCTATGATGCAGTTAGCTAGATTGAAGACGTGAGGCCAGATGGAAAAGTCGTCGTCGTCGTCGTCGTGTTCCATGCCGTCGCCTGTAGCGCGTAATTTATTTTTTTTAGCTCGGTCGTTTACTGTTGAGAGGTCACCTTCCATTCTGAAACTCGAGGCGGGTGGTCGGCGACTGAGAAGGGACTCGCTGTCCTCGCCCCCTTTCTCCTTCATTTTGTGAGTGTCAGCGAGCCTGAAACAAGGTTCCGCGTCAATTTTTAACGATCAAATTTGCATTTAAAAGAAATGAATGTAGAATAAATACTTTTTAAAGGCACAAAACAAAAAAACCGTTGGTTGAAAACAAATTTGAAAAAGAACATCAAAATTTTAAGGACCGAAGATGGGTTTCTAACCTGGAAAGATCAAGATAGTGAACAATTTCGTCAAGTAAAGTCTGTTTGAATTTTCCAGAATCCAATTTCCTGGTATTTCCACCTTATTACTCGGGAAACCCTCCGGCCCGGTGCTTCAATAAAATTCCGCTCTTTTTTTACTCTTTTTTTTTGCATCGAGTAAGTGATAGACTTATCTGAATCTGAACCACAGAGAAAGATGGAAAGAAAGTATCCATTAAAACAAATTTCCAAAAAATTATTGAAAACATATCTTCTAGATGAACCTCCATGGAGAGATTGAAAAAAAAATCATAGGAAATTGAACCTCATGTTCTATAAACAATGAATAATGAAACTTTTATGAGGAAAAATGCCCAGAAAAAAAAGAAACAAAAAAAAAATGAAAATAACCCGCACAAAAATCAATATTCAATCATTCTAGAAAGTTTGTTCAGATACTCGTTTATATCTCGGCTGTACATGTATTGAGGCAATGTGGACTCCAACTGAAAATTGAAATATATTAAAATGATCGTGGGGCAATTTCTGTAAAAAAACCAGTTTAATTATCAAAAAGAAAAATCATCTCTTACCTTTGAATAAGAAGAACGTTGGAGGAAAAAACAGTAAAAAAATAAAAAAATAAAAGAAGCGTAAAGCGTTTTTTTCAATTGTTGGAGATCGTTGTTCCATAAGAGTATTTTTTTAGCAAACAACACATCTCATTGGCTGACCCCGCCTTGAAACTTGGAAAGAGGGACGTGACTCGAAAATCAGAAACAGGGCTTGTTAAGCTTGCACGCTCAGAGTTTTCCGATTCTCTCGTTTATCTCACATTCAGCTGGTTTTCCTTTTCCAATAATATTGAAAGTAAGCTTACACTTTTCGAAATGTTGCTCCAGCGCGAAGCCACTTCACGAACTTCGGTAAAATTCGACTTGGCAGAAACTTCAAGCAGCAAAGAGTGAAAATCGTTCATAATCTGAAGGATCACATGGAGCTGGTCGTGATGCAGTGTTCAAAGTAATTTTCCGGAAATGCAAAAATTGTCTCTGACTCTCCATAAACTAGTTGTCTTCTTGAATTTTGAATTTCGCGGAATCACTTTGAACGGCATGAGAAAAAAAAACCACCAACAACTTTATATACATCACTGCCCAGAAAGAAGCAATTATGAAGTTCATTCTCGTTGAAGGCAACGCTCAAATTTTCATGAGAAGTAGAGGCGGTGCAATTGAGCAGTTTCTCAAAAGAGAGCAAGTTTCGTAGCGGTTTTCTTGAGTAAATACCTTGAGATTTCTCCAAATGACCACGTCACTTTCGAAAGGGTTATTTATGTACAGTAAGTCGGTGAGCAGAGATGGTAACGAAAGGAAAAAAAGCTCGCAAAGCGGGGCTCCGTGCATGAATCTGGACCAGCCCGTTATGATTATTCCCGCCATTTTCGATTTGGACTTCTAAAAAATTATTTTTCTGTGCATTATATTACTTACATGGAGAAATGGAGTGTTTTGGAAAACAAATATTTACCAGCTCTTGGAAAATTCTGACAGGGTGAGTCAGTGTAGGGTTAGAATATTCCATGAAAGCGCTAGAACAATCTTTGATGGCCTGGGAACCGAACCAGCATCACACCTGTTGACAGGCTTGTGCCAAGGCCGGTCTGTCAGTCTATCGTGAGGTCTAACAGTACACTTCAGCAGTTTTATCAAAAGTTTGAACCGGCCACCAAAAAGACTCTTTTTGTCAGAATTTCATGAGTGGAAATGTATTCACGGCGAGAATTAAGATTGACATGAACTAACCGATCCAATTGTTGAGAGCAAATAAGTGTAGCTTTTGTGATTTTTCAAATAACGTCGAATATCAATAAAAGTTTGATTGATGCCGTTGGCTCCTTTGAAAGCGCTCGCAATCCAAAAATTGTTGAAAACCTACAACAATTTTCTTTTTGTCGTCCTTCTGTGAACTTGCCTTTGAAATGCGATCGAACAGACCTGATGGAAAATAATTTGCAATGGACACGTCTTCGGCGTAACCCCAAACAACTGAAAAACCTCGATGAAACCTCGGTAACTAGTTTTTCTTTCTAGATGTTTTCTCAAAATTGAATTGAAGCCCTTTGTTGGAGCATAACGCTTATATTAAGCTGATTCTAGAATGTTCTATAGTTTTCCATACATTTCTAGTCTCCTTACGTCATAGGGATCATGTGTAAAGGTTTGCCTTCTAGAAAGTTCCACAATCTTCTCATTTGTTCTCTACCTTTCTAGAAGGTTCCACATTGTTCTCGAATGTTCTAATGCTTTCGGGACAGATCTCTAAAACTCTGGAATGTTCCATCTTTTACTCTAATCTCAATACTATCTAAACTCCACCTTTATTCTGGAACATTCCATAATCTTCGGGATCTCTTCCCTCAGCACTATATAACCCCTTGTTTGTTATTGTAAACAGGCTCGCATAGTCTAGTTTCTTGTTACTAATAAATCTTCTACTACAACGTCACTGGCCACCTGCGGGCACAACACCCTTGATGCCTTTCCATAAGCTTCAAGCTCTTCGACAGAATTGCTTGTAACAGAGGGTGTCTGTGAGGAAGATTTGATAACTGTAGCATGGTCTTTTGAGTTTATCGTGTGATCAATTCACGAAGACGTTCATGATGGAGATGAAAGAAATGTGGAAATTGACGAAGAAAAATAATCGCAAGAAGAAACTCCTGGCTCTACGAAAAACTGAAGCTAAGCAATGTTCGATCAGAAACTGGGAAGAGGAGAGAATGGCTTTCCGCAAAGAAGATCGCTACGGGAGAAGACCCATGAGCGGAGAAAACTGCGGTGATGTCTATGGACGACCGAGACGATTGGACGACTGAGGCCTCGATGGCGAAATGACCTACGAGCCGAGTTTAGTGAAAGATGGGCGACAGTTGCCTGACTGGACTAATGTTAAATGTGAAAAGTTAAATGTAAAACTTTCGTATAAATTCAAATTTTTCAATCAACTATGCCTGGAGTGATGAAATTGTGAATCCTCGAGTTGAACAAGGCTCCCTCATCTTCCTTGTCGAACATGTCGTTCCAAACAAAGACACTTTGGAACCCGGCTTTTTTGGCTAGAAATCCGACTCTGAAATGGCCATGTTTGCTTCCAACCAAGCCCTGATTTCAACCCACTGAGCAATGTGACGAAGAGTCAGCTCTGATTTCGTCATGTTCCGATTTCTCATGTTCATCACACACCTGAAAACGGAGATTCCTTCCGAAGAACACTTTGATGAACCTTTTGTCTTGCGCAACGTAATAAGCCTCATCCGCACCGACGTGAATTTGTGTCGACTCGGGGTGTAACTTTTTAATCTGAACTCTAGTTTTTCAATCATGACCTTTTGATAAAAAGAAAAGATATTATTCGTTGAACCTGCAAAATCATTTCTTCAATCAACTTCAAACTGTTGGCGTCTGATGGGCAGATGGTAGTTTCCTTAATACATAGATGAAAGATGAACTTTAAAAAAAAAAAAAGCTAGAATGAAACTGATGATGAAAAAAATAATCCATTTAAAGGAGAATATTTTCAGGTAGGTACTGGGATGCTCAAAAACCAACCGACATGGGATTTTCTCTGAGATGAGAAAACTCGGCATGTTTGAGTACAAACTCCAAATGGCCGAAAGACTGGATCAGCGGCACAATTTGGATTTGGTTGGCCCATGCAATTTCGTTGATTTTGCTTATCTCTTGCCGCGAGTAGTGCTCTGCGCGAGAGAGCTGAACTCGAAAATGGGTAAAATATTCCCGCTGATTATGTGAAATCAACGAACATTCTTGAGAATCCCGCTGTAAGGAAACATGTCTTCGTACTCGATGAGAACGGCATCGACGCGCTGCTCTCGAAGAAGCGGAAAAAGAAGCGTCAGGTAGTTGACGACCGGGGGAGCTCCTTTCAGATCGAGATGGACAATGACCTAAGATTACAGACTCAACACAAACGGACATCATGAGAGCAAGAGCTCACGCATTTCGAGAAACACAACACAATTCAACGTTTCATTCAAAATGATTGCTGTCGACTTTTCGTTTTGAATGAAACGCCTGTTCAAAACGACCGGTCGTTTTACGGTATTTTGGCGAATTTTTTGATGAAAAAACAGAAATTCATGTACTACTGGAGACTTGACTACTGTTGTCACCTCGGAGAGATGATTTCTATTACTGAAAAAGAAAAAAATTCCTGGCTTCAAAAAAGACGAAAAAGAGTTACCGGACAGCATTTCGGTAGTAATCGCCGGAATACTTGAGGTCGTATGCAATAATGTGGAAAATGAAACGAAACCTTGTTATAAAGTCGATTTGTTCGGGACTCGCCGGAAAAGTCGAAACTATCCAAAATTAGAAAGTTATTTACGTCTTCGGAATAAATGAATAGAAGAAGTAGCAGACCGGCAACCCATAAAAAACATTGACCAGACTTGCGTATCATTTCTATCTTTTCAAAAATCTTCAGGAAGGATGAAACGGCCCGTCTCTATCTGAAATAGGGTTGTACGACACTCGACCTCATCTCCAAAAAGAAATTCGTCCTTCTCGAACTCGAAATATCGAGAGTAGATTCATCTCGTCTCGACAGTTTCAAAAAGTTCTTGAGAAATTCCGAGATAGAGAAAATATATATATTGTGAGCAGAAAAGGCCAAAGTTTAGCGTACGCGCATAAGACGTGACAAACTATAGTCTGTACATATTTTGAATGTCAAGTAAACGCTCAAACTCCGCCCCTTCTACGTAGATCAAACCAATCAGAGAGCGAGCTATCCACAGAGCGTTGTTGGGGGCGGAGTTTGATGCTTGACATTCAAAATCTGAACAGATTGTAAAACAGTCCCGGATTTTGCGTACATTTTCGAAAGCTCAAAACAGGGTTGCACGAGGCTCGAACTCGTCCTTTTTTGTCTTGAAAAGTTGAGACTTGCTTCTTGTCTTAATCTCGTCTCGCAATTTTTTGTACAAATTGATTTGTCTCGATCTCAAAAAAATAATTCTCGTGCAACCCCTGTTACTGTAAAGACGCTGGAAAAAGCAGCCCCTATCGGAAAATAATTATGCCTTATGGCGTGACTAACCTTGTAGTAAAACGTGTTCCGTCCATTCAAACGAGGCGCCTTGTGTAAAGGTGTCAGCTGGAAAAGGATATTTTCAATTCTACAAGTCTTTTTTAAACTGAAAAGAAACCCAGGACTATATATGACAAAACTAGCTTCTAAACAAAAACTTTCAATGATAAAAAAAAATTAAGTCAACCAATCTTCCTCGAATAACCGCATTTTTCACTTGCTCTTGTAAACGCACATCATCAAAACCTAATAATTCAGAGTTTAGTTAGGCGTATACGGTAACACACTGCGAAGAAACCCGAAAAAAAAAATTAATTCTTAAATTAAAATTACGTTGGATATGAAATTTTTTTTGTAGAAACCAATAAGAAATAAAAATGAATGAAATAGAATTTTTAAAAATATGGTCAAAAGCCTAGACTCTGCATTACGAAAATAAGAAAAATGGCCAAAAAAGATAATTTTTATTAAAATTCATTCATTCAATGAAAATCAATCAAACAACTTTACAATTTTGTCTTTAAATCTAGTGGAAGCTCTCGTTTGATTACTCGGCATACTGTCGTTGTAGCTGTTGGCGGCAAACAAAACGCGAATTTGTCGTCCGGCGCTGCGGTCAAAACAGAGAAGAGCCTTGCCAGGTAAAAGTTCGCCTGCATCCAACTAGAAAAAAAGCAGATGTTAAACTTTTTCATGGTTTTACCTTTGATTCTTCACATTCATAAATGGAAACGTTGGGAAACGGTAGGAAACCAGCGACGACTGGAAGTACGCTCATAGCCAATTGTCCGAGGCCAGAATCTTTCACTGTGACCACTGAAACCAAAAACTACGACTTTTTTTTGTAGACTTGATCGAAATGATAAACTATGAATGTTCGAGTATCATAAACACTAGAAACTTCTTGGCAAAAAGACTTTGTGATTCTTTTTTTTAGAACTTTTCATTTTGTCTGCCGATGAATCTCAATTTGGCACTCGATTCGGTATTACTAAAGTATGATCTGCGCTCGACACCGAGCAAAAAAACGAGCAAAAAAACTTTGTGGGTTGATTCAAAAAAAGAGAAATCGGAATCATTCCGCTAAACTCTTCAGGCAACGCTCGTCGAAGACGTGGTCTCATTTTTGGTCCAGAGTATTCTTAAATGGACCTGCCAGCCCACAAGTTCTCAATTCTGCCCTAGTTGGGCAAAAAGACCGAGAACCTGCACTTCGTTCAACTTCTTGTGCAAAAATAAGAGGTTGATACATCAAAAAACAAACATAAAACACATTTACTTGATTTTTAAGTTTTTGATTGATTTATGTAAAGTCAAGATAGACCAACTTTTAGTCCGATCGATAACATTCCAAAGTCGGTCATCAGCATCGAGAACGACAAAAAACGTCCTTCTCGCTTCTTGCAAACATCTTAAAGCGGCGAATGTGAGAATACTGTCCAAGAAGGAACCTTATCGAAACGACACAATCACAAAGAGAGCCGGCCCTGCAGAGCTGGGCCCCTGGCAGCTGCGACAAGATCTGCGTACAGATTTCAAAAGAAACCTGAAATTTTGTTTTGCCTTTGCAATCGAAAACAAAAAATCAAAAACGACAGAAAAATCAAACCTCAGGAACACTGACTTCCAACTCGTCGATGAAAGAGTACTGCATTTCTTGTGCTAATGCAAAAATAGTATTGCTTTCTTCCGAGTCCTAAAATGATATGTATGTAGAGGGACCACAGGAAATTGAGTTAGCAGAGCAATATATTTTGCAAATTTTTGAAACAATTTTCAATCGGATTTCTGTCCTCAGAGGTTATTAAAACTGAGTTTAATGTTTTGATATAAACCTTTCGTACAACTGTCATCACAACTTTTGATAAATTATCATAAAATTATAAACTAAATGAGATGAATGTAGGTTAGAAGGATTTTATTCACTGACGAAACGTCTACGTATTTTTTTTTTTTCGAAAACCTTCCTTTTTTCAACTACGGCGAACACGGTGTTTTGTAGATCGATTACGTATGTTTAGGGTACTGTTTCATTCTTAATTTTTGGGTTAAACTAGTAGAAAACCCTGAAAAATCGTTTTGCTGGCAAACATTTTGGTGGTTTGAAGAGGGGGAGGGCTTTACGTACCTATAAATGTAGAAGAAGTTCTTGAAACAAAACCTGTTGTTCAACAGCTTTACGGATCGCGTATTTCATTTCAACTGAATGCCGCACGAAAGGTCCTTTTACAGGTAGTCGCCACACAAAGTTGTAAGAAGCTCCGAATAGGCATTTCTAAACAAACTTATACGCTTTGAAATGTGTGTTTTAGCTCACAAGAAAGATCTTTTCATTTTGCCGTTGGGGGATTCCTCAAAATTGATCAGATCACTTCTTTATATACCAAATGAAGAATTCGAAAGTCTTGACTTGCACTATTTTTCTTCTGGTATATCAAAGAGTGATCTGGGCAGTTTTTGGGAAACTCTCAACCGCAAGGTAAGTTGTTCTTCCAGCTCGTGCATTTCAAACACAAAACAAAAAGTATTTCGATGGAAATCCGCAAAGGTTGCAATAAGTACATATGCCTGGCTTTTTGCTCGGAAATATTCGAAATGAAGAGGACCTTTTGAATGGACGAAAGCGACTCTAGTGGCCTCTTCTCATCCGTCGTCTCCGTTGCAGAGAGAGTCAACTGTTGGATTTCGACCGTCCATTGCTTTCCCGCCCTTCGATGCATCTCCATTTCCAATAGCACACTGCAATTTCCCACAGATTCCCGTCAAAGTAAGTAAAAGTAAAGAGTACTTGGTTTGCAGCATCGAAGTCTTGCTATTGATGACGAGAATCGGGACAAACGGCAAGAGGAAACTGTGCGACTTTTTCATCCACTCGATGTTGACACTTTTCTTCTGGACGGCCACGGATTCGCACATGGCCGAATCCATTTCCAGGCAAAAGAAGACGTTTAAAGTTGTCGACTCGGCCGTTTGAAACTCGTCGACTTCGCATTGCAGTGTCCTCTCCCAAGTTTTTGTAGCCCGGTTCTGAACATAATATTGTGCAACTGCAATCGGAATACGTTGGCAAAGAGGGAAACAAACCAAAAACTTGAAGTTGGGACATGGCGAGCTCAACAAAAGGCTACTTTTTCCGATAGGAAAACTGGGGTCCAATTGAAGGCGAAGCTGTTCGAGTGCACCCGAGATGTAAGCTAAAGATGTGTGAATCCACAAGATATCACTGCAAAACTTACGCTCTTGACCTGATAAGATCGACACCCGATGTGGGAAACAAGGTACAAAAACGACTGGAGGAAATCGTACATCTATACAAGACAGCGGTATCTCGAGCTCGGCATTGAAACACGTGAGGATGGCCTCGTCGATGGAGAAACATCCACGGCTAGGCATTTTCCCAGAAAGCTTCTAAAATATTTTCCACTATCATAGTGTCGTTCGCCTTGTAACTTCATTTCGAAAAAGTACCATTTCGCCAGAAGTTGAAGGCGCGATGTCGAAAGGACCAAAGACGATGTTGAAAAATCGTCTGTCGGCTTCTTGCGCATCCTTGGCGAGACTTTTGGCCAGAGGTAACAGCCGACAAGAGCCGTCGTGATCCTAAACTGCAAAACTGAGAAGTTCATGAAATCATATGGCTAATACACTCATCGTCACTTCCAGAGTAGTCTTATTCCTCTTTTGCAATGGACTGCAAATCGGAGGACTGCCCATCCGTAGTATCAGCTGGGCTCCAGAGAGCTTGAAGGACAAGTTTGACCGGACAGCAGCTGTGAGGATGATCTCGGAGTCGGCCGAAAAGGGGATCACCGGAGAAACTCGCAAAAGTTGCAACGTGAGGTTGTGTAATATTGACTTGGTTATTGATGAACGTCTGTCAAAAGATAGAATTTGAAATTGAATACAGCTGAGATCTCAAGAGCCAACTCTTTTAAAACAGGAATATATACAAACAAAAAAAACTGTTGAAACGGTCTTTACTTTCTGGAAAACGATGATTTCGTAAAATTGAAAAAAGATCACTAACGCGGAAGAAGGAGCTGAAGGCGCTTTGAGGAAATTCCGAACCGATTCTTCACTCTGACACTTTTCAACAAAAAGACATGGAATGAACCTGAAACGCCGAATAACAGATTAGGCACAATAAAAAGGTTTCTCTCTTACACTTCTTCATTTTCCTGCGCACATAAGTCTCTCAATATCTCGGCGAAGAACGGATTCTGCGAACAAACAGCCGAATTGATGTCAAAGTTGACGAGCACTTGTTTCAAAGAAAGAAACGGCTTTCCGATGCTCCTGCAATTCGCGATTTTCGAAAACTCACATTTGGGAAAAATTTTTGATGCGTATAAAGGTTAAATGCCTACGAACAAAAATTCCGATAGAACAGTCCTGCTGGAATAGGACTTTTGAATAAAGCAAGTACTTCCTTAAGAGCAGCCAATTTTTCTGCCGTTTCGTTACAACAGAAATCGACTTGCTGGCTAACTTGTAATATCGACAAACATGTAGAAACGATGAAGCTTGTAGAGCGTTGAAATGGCCAGTCGCGTTCTGTTGCAGGCAAGCATCGCATTGACGCAAAGGTCGTAAGACTTGTGCATTTCAGCATCCAAGGATTCCGAGCAGGACAGCACCTGCAGCAGACATGAATAGAAATAAACCAAACCGAATCGCTTTGTTTTCCTTTTATTTGAAACTTGCAATTTTCTTAAAAACATGAGACAAAAGATCCGCTGTCAGAAAGTGAATTGAGAACCTTGGCAAACTGTTTGGCAAAGCTCGAGCCATCGGCTTTCAGCCATTGGTGTAGTCGGTCGAACATTTGCACGTCTCCGAAGGACGTCTTCAAAATGGTTAAGACCTGAAGAAACACACTGAAAAGCCATACGAAACGACGTCAAACCGCATCGCATCTATATTTGTACAGATTGCTCAACAAAACCAGAGCGCTTTCCAAATGAGTGACGTCGATTAATGAAGAAGCGATGACGACGGCTTCGGCTACCATTCGCCAAGACCAACAGGCTACTTTGTCCTTGCTTTTCATCTGAGAAACTAAAATTATAAAGTTACTAGAACACTCTTGCCGGGAAAAACATTTTCAGACGTTGCGAAATGTTTTTAGCATTGCAACTTGCTATCGATTCATGGAAAAAAGACTTAAAGAAGTTTAGAAATAATGAACCTCGAACAGCTCACTGCACTTTGACAACCAAGAGAGCGAGCGCAGAGCATGCGTCAGAATGGAGACGGCGCAATCGCTACGTAGCGAAGGAGCGGCGTCGTTGGAATTGAGCTTTTTTTGGTACATGTGAGCGCATAGTAACATTTCCTGCTTCAAGACGAAAGTCCGAAAACCTGAACTGAAAAATTGTAGCACGAGTTTTTCTCGTTCAAACCGACCAATCAAATCCAAGGGACGGGCTTTGCCTTGGTTGGGGTTGTCGCCGCCGTCGTCGTCGAAGAGCGAGTGGAAGCGAGAACATTCATAGCCGGCCATCTCTTGTAGCCAAGGCGAATATGCATCTGGTTAGGAGTGCAAGTCACGAGAAAAGCAATTTTTCTATCCCGAAAAAAAAACTGACAAAAAAGTCTCTACCTTCTGCCGCTGATTGAATAAACATTTCGAGATTGTTGATGATCGAAGCGGCGTGTTCGACAGCCGCCAAACTCCAATAGAGTTTTGCGTAATTCACCTATGAAACATCCGTACAGAAGATAAAACCAGAAAGGATGATACAAACAGTTGAATAAGCGTATTCTGCAGCGTTGAAGTGGATGTCTTTGTTCTTTTCGCAACAAGACTGCAAAGAACGTTCCCACATGACAGTTATCAAATCAATGTGGTGGAAAATAGCCTGTTGCACGCTTTTCAGAAGCGCCGTAAACGAGGAATGCTCCGCAGAGTCGAAAACTTCCATCAACCTGGGTTTGCAAAAGTGAAACTGTGGAAAGTGGACTATCGACGATACCTGTTGTGGTTCTTGTTGAAATCGGCCTTGATTTTGTCCATGATTGCTGTTCTCGACTTTTTTTCTTTGACATGACTCGTATCGACTATTATCAGCCATTGCACATCGCTTTTGCTGTTGACCTGCGAAAAATGAAGATAGAATGTAATGAGATGTGTTTTGTACCTTGGCAAACCATTCCGACACATGATGACGTACCGCAGTTCGATATTCTTCTGTCGTCTAGAAAACAAAAGGTAGAAAGAAGAGGGAAATTCCCATTACCGCCACTTTGATGATGAACATATGAAGGAAGCCGATTCGCGCAACATTTTCCGGGGTCACGTGTGGTCCAAAGCAGAGCCGTTCCTCAAAAGGCACAAAAGAGAGCGGAAAAGTGAGCAATGTGGGGAAAGTTTCCGATTTCCTGAAATTATTTCTGTACAAAACTGATGGATTTGACATCGAAAAAAAAATCGTATATTACCTTTTCCATGCAAGCGGTGTTCTTGAGAAATACGAAGTCAAAGCGTGTTGAAAAAAAGAAAACGACGCCCCATCGCCAGAATCTGAGCCTCATAAAAAGTGCTCTCGAGGAAAAAAGAGGGTCTCACATGTTACTACTATTTTGGTAGGAGAAAAAAGCTGGGATAGTGTAGTGAAATTGATCGGAGCGATATCCATGTTTGCCAGGTCATGAGAGATGCATCAAAAAGTGAATCGCGCTAGAACCTGAAGCAGTATTTAGTGTAGGCGTGCTAGAATCGCTGCTTTAAGAAGTCAAAAAACGTACCTAATAAATTTCTTAAGATATTCGGTTAACATTTGATTTTCCTATACATTTGACGGAAACTCATCGAGAAAAAAAAATAAAACTTTTCAAAATCATTAGATCCTACTAAAATCTAGAAAAATTCTAACTTATTAAAAAAACAAAGAACAAACTTAAATACCAAATGGGGGTTCGCACCGTCTATTCAGACAATCTTTTCCTCCAGCCGTTTCCACAGATCAGCTGTTAGATTTATTTGATTGTTTCGATGTTTTATTTTTTTTTGTATTTGTTGTGCTGATTGCGGAATGGCGAATAGACACTTGAAATGAAATGAAATGAAATGAAACTCGAAATTTAACTTTTCACATGGATTTCTTGAACAACCCGCACGGTATTCTGAGATCGGCATGGCGTATTTAGATCAAATATGGACAGAAGATATTTCTATGAGTTTTTTTTTCTCGCTCATTCAACACTCTTTCTCTCTCTCATTTAAATAGACTACTTGCCGTTTGAAGTTTGAAACTGTTATATTTATTCGTTTCATTCATGAATTCATGAAAACAACGAAAAACAAGCGATAAAAAACAATCTTTTCAGATTTCGAATGTCAAGAAGCAAACTCCGCCCCCAAAAACGCTCTGTAGATGGCTCGTTCCCTGATTGGTTTGATCTACGCATAAGGGGCGGAGTTTGAGCGATGACTTGTCATTCAAAGTCTGAAAAGACTATATCGCGGTATATTTTGCGTGGTGCCTCGACCACACTTAGTATCAAAAATTTATTCACTAAACTCATCTTACTTTCAGTATTTCGAGAACATTTTCCTCCATTCGCTGCAGGACACTATGAGCTATAGATACACAGAAATGGAAGGCGATCCATTAATATTCATTAATCACTTTGTAGTCCTTAGGTACACTCGTGGCACCATCCTTAGGCTTCAGCTTCGCTGCGAGTACTATCGCGATACCCGTGCCGGACCCATATGGCCGTGTTCAAAGTGATTCCCGAGAAATTAAAAATTATTTTTGACTCCAAAATTTGGTTTTTTCCCTCTCCTCCGGTTGTTTTGAATTTCGTGAATTCACTATGAACACGGCAGTAAAATCTTTTTCGCTTGACACTCGTGGTACCATCGTTAGGCTTCAGAGCCTTCATAATCGACACGGAGAAAAGGATTCTTTTCCACTTGTAAATATAGTGTCAAATTTTTCGAAGAGAATCAATCAGTTTTGATCAAACTAGCGAATGAGAAAAGTATTGAGAAACATATAACATATTAGAAAAAAGAGCGAGACATTAAAATTGAAAAGATTTATCAACACAATTCATACATGTACATGTTTATACAGATTTCAGTTTTTGTTACAAAGATTGATAAAGTGGACTGCAGGAGGAAACCGATCCAGAACCAACTTGTCGAATATCTCAACATTTTCCACCAATGGCGTCATCAAGGCGACAAACTGCTCGGAGAATGGTGGCGCAATTATTTCAAGCACCTGTAATGCATTCCTTCTTGAACTCTTTGAAATTTTCGTGATTAGTTAGATGAAAGCAAATCTGAAGCTCTTGCATTGAAAACACTGATGTACCTCCAACAGAAAGTAGCGGACAAGGGAAGCGTCGATAGCGGCGTCTTCGAGCATGCTGTTCATTCTCTCGATGACGGGAATCGCTGATCCAACTGTCAACAGATGGACGAGTCGGTCGATAATCATACGCTGTCTTTCGATAATAACCTGCAATAAGTGTATTCCTTCAATTTCTTACGCATGAAAAAAATTAGCGAGTACCTCGGCAACGTTGGACTCGGAAGAAACTTTGTCATAGTAGTCGCAGCAAATGTTGAACACGGCCGGTTGCAAGTTGTAGTGGAGTGTTGCAATTTTGTCGAGTAGCACGAAAACGGCCAGAGAAACGTCGCCTGGAGGGCAAATTATGAAACAATGTGAATATTATGAAACCAACGGATCTAAAAACTTCCAAAAGTTTCCCTGTTAATGTATTTTTGAGCGTTTTTTACCTCTAAACTAAATATTTTATTATTTATGCATAACCAGTAAACTAAGCCGTTCGCAACACTTTTCCAGCTGTACTAAATTTGTTCCTAGTCGGCGCCCTGATTTTATAGACATTATTTTCAAAGCTGAGCTGTACCTGGAACAAACGTGCAAAAGGTAGAGGTATTGGAATGCAATCAAACTTTGTAGAGGTATTTTGGACCCCCTGAATCCAAAGAAGTTGAAAAAGTGTGCCTTTTGAGTTATAGTCAAAAAACGTTGAAGGGGCACTTTTTCAACTTCATTGGATTCAAGAGTTCCTTAAGTTTTTTTGTACAAAGTTGCATCCAATTCCAACAACTCGACCTTTTGCCTTTCTCGCGCAAGACTAAAGTTCTTTGGACTAACGAGGGAAGTGTGTGAGGTGAGCATCGCAGATATGGATCAAACTTCTTTGGTAGGTAGTCCCAGGTTTGAGTATTCAAAAAAAAAAAGATTTATCTGCTAAGCGCCATAGGGTACTGAGAAATAGCCGGTCGAAAATGTGTAGGAAAAGCTCAAAAACCAATTCTAGGTGGGTTTTTCGTGGAAAAAGTTCCTTTTCTTGTTGCTCATGATATAGTGAAGAACAGTAGACGTTTTAAAAAACGAAAAACCGAAGAAAATCAGCTTTTGAGCTTTTTGCGTTTATTTTCGAGAGGCTATTTCTCAGTATCCTATGGTGCTTAGCAGATATTTCTTTTTATATTCGAGTACTCATACCTAGGACTATCTACCACAGAAGCTTGGACCACAGCTGCAATGTTCACCTCACACACTTTCCTTGTAAGAAGTCGAAGACAATACGCTCAAATAAACTGTGTTTTTATGCTCAACTGGGCCTTTCGCAGTACTTTATTCAGTTTAGCGAGCCTCTTTCAAGTTAAAACGAAAAGAAAAAAGGATCGAAAAAAAATAGATAACATATTTTTCGTCTATTTGAAAGCATACCAATGTGCGGCTCGTTTACGAGCATACTATGGATGAAGTACAACAAGGCGGAAGACACGACCGCCGTGTTGCACACCTCGATTAGAGGGTTCAACAACGTAAGCCAGTCGTCGTCACACTCTAACAAACTCAGAGCCCGTTCGAGTGCAATCCGACAAGCGTCGAGGTCGTTGCGAGATTGCTAAAAAAAAAACAAGTAAAAGTGAACAAAAAATTGATATTTCTAAGAACCGCCGTGCTAATCTTTTTTTTGTATTGATTTCAATATCAGGACAGACAGGTTTATTTATTCTTTCATTTATAGATTTTTTGGATTGTTGTGTCGGAAAAAAATTCGACTATTGAGCGTTTGATTGAGAGAGAGCCCGCTTCAAGTTTTCTTTCTATAGTTCATTCCGCGAAAGCTTGTCACAATTTTTGTTTCCCTCTGAGCTATAGAACCCTTCCCTTCGATGCGAGAAGCCTGTCTTTGTGCATGCGCCTGCATATTTTCGGTATTCTAAAGGCGTTGGAACAGAAAAAAGCCGCGCACAAACGAATGGAAGAATTCTCTAGCTCGGAGAAAAACAAAAGCCGTGAAATGGCTACATCGGAAAAGAACCTAGGCGTCAGCCTAAAAAAACATACATTTTTCTGCGCCTTGGTTCCTTTTTCTACAACAGACGCCGCGTACGCCACCAGGTATATGTACTTGTCGCGGTGCTCGACACCCACCTGTAAAATAGGTTGTATGAGGCATTTTACGCGAAAGTTAATATTTTAAAACCGTTTAAAACGGCAAGAAATCTTGAATTTATGACTACTGCGTCCGCTTAATAATTTGGAAGATTTCACTAATTGTCCCATATTCCTACAAAAAAAAAATGAGAAGGCAAGATCTGAAACGCCTAATCTGATTCAGATAATTTATGAGTCCTCCATTCACCTTGGGGCCATCACAATGAAACAAAGCGTCGAACAGAAGTTCTTGAAACAAAGGCTCGCGGATGAAGTCGATCGGCGGCGCACATGGCATTATGTAATGCTGAAAAATTGATGGACATTTAGTGATAAAATCTACTTTTTCCCGTTGAAAGGAAAGATGGGTAGACTGGCAAGAGCGATTCGTTGCCTAAGCGACGCGAGTTTTGGCGGAAAACTCGAGGTCCAAAGCAATTATAGAAAAGTTTTTGGAACAAATACGTTCATCATCATGTCTATACTCTCGTTCGTTTAACTGAAAAGGTGCGTCGCGTACGAAATAGTCACCCATGCCAACCTGCCTATCGCGTCTTTCAAGTCGGGAAAGCTTGAGTGCTGTGACTAACAACACACAAACAAAAGAATGGGAGACCTCGTAAATCAGAGACACATCAGCTGGGTTGAGCTCCTTCTTGTTGATCATCATGAATATGGCTTGTGTAAGGTGTTGAGATGCCTAAACGAAAAGTATTTTCTTAGTACACAAGACACCGATTCCTAAAAAATATTGGAGTTTTCGATGAAAAGTTCATCTCAGCTGGGAAGTGCAACAGGTGGTAGGTTGAGATTTTGATGAAACTTGGTGGATAGGTACTTCAGGAAACCCTGATTCCAAATGTATTAAAAAGCCTTTTTGAGTCTAGTCGAGTCTAGGGCACCTCGAAGTTTTCATGCAAAAATGCATTGGATGGAATTGATAGGGATGTGTTGCGACGGCTCAATAAGAATTCCAGCAGGCGGTGCGGTGAAGTGGCTAACGGCCTTTTGCTGCAAAGCCTATTGTGTAGGCTCAGATCCCTTTTGGTTAAATGAATTTTTGCATTTTTTTTTTCTTGAATAAACTGATGGAGGTGAAACGAAAACAACTGTTCAAATTGTTAAAAACTCCTATTTTGACTGGTTTGAAGGAAGACTATCAACAAAAAATTTGAAGCTATCTTTCTTTATGGTCAGTAGACTCTTTTTCTTCAGAAAAAAACTATAATAAATCAAATTAATTAAAAAAATTGATTTAATTTCTTTTTTTCAACTTCCATGATTTTTTTGTGATAAAAAAAGCTCAATGTTTATTGAAGCACATTGAGCTTGAAAAAAAACAAGAAAAAAATTAATTTTTTGTCGAAAAATTTACGCCAGACGCCTCCGCAGCACATTCTTACCTTCCATTCAATGCATTTTTGCGTGCAAACTTTGAGGTGTCATAATTTATCTAGAACTTAAAAGGGACTTTCCTCAACATGCTTTGGAGTCCGGGTGTCCTGAAGTACCTATATACCAAGTTTCATAAAACTCTCTAGCCACCACCTTTTGCATTCCCTGGTTCAAGGCTAGACCTCGTTTTTCTGCGATCTTGTGATTGACAATCGCAAAGATGTTGCCTCGACGAGATGCCTTTTACTGATGGCAAGGCGAAGTTCTTCAGCCAAATGTTCAGAAGCCGCCGCTCTCCAGCCCTTGGACTTGAGAGCTGCACGCTGCAAAACAACTTCACCTGTAGTACTCGCTTTAAAAAGTTTTCGAACCTTGAGAAGAGCATAGGTGTAGACAAAGGTGTGCTCCCCTTGAGACACGACTCGAAACTAAAAAAAAACGTTTCTCAACAGTACACAAAAAGGGAACCAATTCAGTGAAAGCATCTTGGTAAATGTCACTCGACTCTCCGTGCTTCCTTTTCAGAACGGTCTTCTCTAGAGACGTGAAAAATACTCGAGAAAAAATGTCGAGCTGCAACAAAACTTCGAACGTATTTTAATAACAGTAAAATGGCAACCTGTTGTGCCGCCGAGTTGACGCTGCTTATTTCATTCTGATATCCGGCATCCGAAATCAATTTCATAGCGAAATTGAGCATTAAACAATGCGGGTGTTGCTCCATCAAACCGTACAAAAAAGACCTCCAGCATCTCAAAAAAAAAAAAATATTAAGGTGACATGAAATAAATGCGTTTCCATCTTTTTGTATTTGATTTGAAAAGCAATATTTGTCGGAGCATGTTTTTTTTTAACTTTTGCATCGTCTGATATGATATTTCCTAATTTTCACTGAGCTTTTTTATTACATAAATTACTTTGAAAATGTTACCCAAAAATTTTATCTGCGAAACTTGGCTCTTATGGACCCATGCTTACAATGAAAACTGTTTTCCCTATTCGGGAGCCCAAAAAATGAGAGCCGTCTGGGCTCTGTGACCAAAGTAGAACGACACGCTTCGCAAATGCTGGAGTTCCAACTCATTAGCCCAAGAAACGTTGCTTTCACTATTCTATTCTTTAAACGGATGGAAGATGAGCTCAGTGGGGCCACATAGACAAAAGCCTCAGCGATTTAAATTTAGTGAGATACAGAAACCGTCTGCAAAACTCGACAACCACAAAGAAGAAGATTGGAGTTTTGTGCAATATTAAGAATTTTTGTACTTCTGAGTTTTATTTTTTGATTGAATTGACACTGCGGACCCTTATCAGTGTTAATAGTATTAGTATTCAAAATTAAGCTGCAACTTCAAGGGGAAATAAGTTCAAAAAACAGCAAAAAAAAAAAACACTTTCCGCTTTTTGTGGAAATGTCAGCACAACAGTGGAAAAGAGCTGGGAAAATCTGTTTCATCTGCTGAAGGACTCAGACTTGGTTTTTTTTTAATTTACCATCCGTTCCGATCATTGGATCACCTACTGATGGCGTGTGCGCTGCCCTTCAGGCGGGGACAAGCCTTCTCTCAGTTTTTCCTTTTTTGTTCATATAAGCTTATGAATTTTGCTTCTCGACTGACGTCACAGGAGACCAACTATATCAAAAAATTTTGGCGTGAATGTTGCTCGCCAGTCATTAATGCAGATATATTACTTTTGAAATTGACCAGTGATAATCTTTAAATTTATAAATAAATAAAGTTACATTGAAATCCGCATTTCTTTTATGCCACCCTAATAACACCTACTTAGGTCATTTGAAAAAAAATTCAAAAAGATGAGCAGAAAAAAAGAATTGCGCCCACTTTTGTGCTGAAATTTTCTCAATTTTTTTTATAGGGGAAAAAAAAAGTCTGTTCTTCCGTTGATATAAGCATCAACAGTCGTACAAGGGAGCCTCTCGCCCACTAAAATGGAAGAAAAGTTGATGAACAAACCGATGAGAAATAAGATTCGGCAGCCAATCGATACCAATGCTATCTTCTTCAAAGATTGTATCGGCCACTTCAGGCGAAAAGTAACGGACAACGAGAGTAGAAAGAGCCATTTCAACGCATCTTTCGGCTTCTCCAAACAAAAAAATAGTTAATTTTTCGGCAAAAATCATTGATAAATCCTAACTGAAAGCAGAAATTTTTCATTTTATTTTTTTAAATTGGGATACAACCACAGAAAAGGGTAAGCCACCGTATCAAAATTATAAACTGTTGAAACTTGAGTGGCAAGGTGATTTTGGAAAAATGTTTGCACGGCGTAAAAAAAAATCAACCCAGCAATATCTTGATCACGAAATTTCCGTGAACTCAAAAAAACGAAACCAATAAAATTAGAAAGTGGAAAGAAAACCTAATCGTCCATCATAAAAATCGCCATCTGCTGTTTCGTCATCCTCTCGATTTTTCCGCGACCTCCTACGTCTTGTAGGCCTATGATCGCCAAGGTCCACGAAAAAAGAAGTCAAGACGTTGCACACCTACAATAGTTTTATCAGCCGGTACCCTTGATATTCGCAGAAATTTTCTATATCTTTTTGAATTAATCTTGAAGATTTTCCGATTTGATAAAATCTATATAGGACCAATTAGCTCATGAGAAAGAATAGCAAGATCGAAAAATATTCAGCCAACAAACATCGAGAAAATAACCTGAGCAGTTGCACTGTAGGATTGCGTTAGAATTTCAATTATCTGGTCCAAAGACATGCCTTCCCGCTTCCATTGCTCGACAAGGTCGCCAATGTCGCATTCCAAGACAAGGTCTCGCTCTACTTTTCATCATTTTATCTTATTCACTAGACTCTAGTTGCGTCTTTGGAGGCTTTGTGAGCCAGGGCGGGGTTCAGAGAATGAAGAATCGCAAAACTGAGGAAATTCTCCCATTCCCCGCTCATATGCCTCAGAAGACGCATCAAGCAAATGGTGAATAAAGGGTACTCACTCGAAAACACATCGCGAACCATAGTCGCCCCTGTCAAAATCAAAAAAGAGCATTTCGAATGACTAATAAAGTATCTGGAGGATCCTCGACTATGAGAAAATATATGATTGAAGGTGAATGGGAAAAATTCATTATCAATCGGAATATAAAGCAATGTCAAAAAACGCCGGTGGGTTTGCGGCCTGGCCAGGCTTCCTTCGCGTACTTCTTCTTGTGATACGCCTTCGAGTCGTCGAAGTCGACAGTTAGCACTGCAATCATTCTCTTTGAAACGATTTTTCTTCTTTCTGCGGCATTTTCTGATTCAGCGATTTCTGTTTAAAGTCGTTAAACAAACATTATTCATAGTTATGAGAAAAAATTGATGGCATACGCACTCGAAATTTAAAAACCTCCTTTTAATAATAAAAAACCTTTTTCGAAAAAACTATTTTATGAAAAAAAAAACCTTGATGATCGCCAGGTTGTGGCAGAGATTTGCCATAGAGATCCAGATCCGGCGCCGCGTTCAAAGGCGCCAAACCAAATGTCGAGGAAAGTGGCTGTGTCAAAACCTCTCGACTTGGTCGAATAACCTTCAACTCGGAAACTTTCTTCCGTTTCAATATAATTTCCACTCACCTTCCGCTGAGGTTCGTTTTTATTGGAAATCCTTTCATCGCCACGCCGTTTCCCTAGTGGATTGTTAGATATAATGGCGGAAGTGACGAGATTTCGGAACCTTCCCACGCTTGGATCAACGTCTTCTGGAAACCGATAGACCCGTTTTTTTTTTCAACTTTTTATTCAAAGATCGTTAAATTTTTATTAGAAAACTAGACAGGAGCCTACAGTTACTTTTTATTTTGAAAAGAATCTAGATAATCTTATTTGAAAAATATTGTAGATCTCACCATTTACAGAAGAAAAGAGATAAAAAACAAAATTGAAGCGTATTTAGGTGAGAGAGGATTTTGAAATATGAAAATATACCCACAAAAGAAAGAAAAAACCTGGATTGATTATATCTTCGGCATCTAGAAAAACCACGTTCCCTCGCGGTCGTTTTTTCCTTCGCGCTTCTTCGACAGAAATTGGGAGTTGAGGGATTCGTCGATTTTGAGCTGTATTGTACTCGGTCAGGTGCTGTAAAGGATCCTCTTTTGACTTGGTCGATTGCGTTCGGCCTACATCCAGCCTCTCATCGGTTATACACGGCAAACCGCTCTCATCTTCGGGCCCTTCTGCAGAACCATCCTCTGGTTTCAACCTCACAGCATACCTTGTAATTCGTACTTATATCATAACGTGTCTTGTTGACTTTTAAAAAGGCTAGTTTTCGGTTCACGTTTGTTTCTAACCATACGACAAAACATCAAGTCCGCAATTCTTGAGGATCGTTAGCCTGTTTACGCAGGTTTCAAAGCCTATAACTTAGGAAACCAAAATATTAGAGACCGAAATCTTGGAAAACAGAAATCATCGCTTTGGCGAATTGATTTAATCATAAATTGTGTTCGTAGATCGAAACAAGAGAAGAAAAGAAAAAAAGGGCAATGAATAAGGCGAAAATGAGAGCTTTTTGTTCTCCAAGATTGTGGTTTCCACGATTTCGGGATTTGAGATCTTCGTACACAGGCTTACGGTATACAAGATTTGCAAAATTTAGATTTTGTCGTACCATCTTTTACCCAATTCTCATAAAAGTATATTAAAACAAGTACTTTCTGGTGGACGCTCCAAGTTGAAACTGGCTACCGATGTCTATAAACACAACTGTCAAAGGGCTGATACGTACGTTTCCAATAAAAGTGCCATGACCTGCAAAAAGTCGTTTGGGAAAGCCTTGCAACTTCCACTCACTGCTTTCCATATCAACTAGTGCGAACCGCTTGAGAACTCCGTGGTAGAGTAGCAGAGCGTGAACGCGAGAACACGATGCATGTTCGACGGCAAAATCAACCTCAACTCTAAGGAGTTGACATGTCCATTAGGGGTGTTCCGAAATAGCTAATCCATTTTTCCTTGACAATAAATACATTTGTCCAGGAAAAGGCATACTCGAAAAAAAAAACTCGTCAAACCTGCTTATTATTGCGGCCAAAATAATACGCATGTTTTTCATCAATCATCAACTTCTGAACATAAAATTAAAAGAAAAAAGTCTTTTCACCAACCTGAATGAGTTGAGAACCCTTGTATACGTCCAAATGAGCTCCCGTTGTTGGAGTAACCGCCCATTTAGGGATGGGAAATTTATCCTTTTCGTCTTCAATTTTTTCACTAGACATGCTTCTGCAAATGAATAGATGCTCAATAAAAACGATTTGGGAAGTTTTCTAGATGCAAATTTTTGAATAACCATATTTAAAGGAAAAGTGGATAGGGTTGAGTTTTATCCGTTAAATTTTTCTGACTCAAAACACCAGCGAAATTCAAACGGCGACTTTTCCGATTTTTTCAGATCGCTAGGGAACTTTCCGACGGCCACCTTTCCGACGAATCCCTTTCCGACTTTTTTTTCTCGATAAAGCTTTGTTTTAAATCTTCCTATATGAAGTAGGTAGTTGGTTCATGATTAAAACACAAAGAAATAGGGGAAAAAAATGTAATAGATGTTTTATGAACCGAAAAACATAAGGGAAAAGAAGTCGGAAAAAATTTCGTCGGAAAAAAATTCGTCGGAAAGTTCCCTAGCGATATGAAAAAATCGGAAAAGTCGCCGTTTGAATTTTCGCTGGTCTTTTTTTCATACCACCGTTTCGGAGCAACTTTAGTGCACAGATGAATACGACATTATTTTTCATTCGAGTGGATCATCTTGACAAAAAAAAATTTTTTTCTAATTTCATTTGCTGGTTCCTTTAAATTTTGAAAACGCGCCTAACAAGAATTTCGATCCTATTAGGTTGATAGCGCACTTTTAACTACTTTTCCTTGATTTTCACCTAACGCGAAAACGAAAGTTACTTTTTTTGCGGAACGCAGAAAAATGTCGAAAAAAGAATGAAACTGCGAAAGGGGAAAATGGAATTCCGTGCAACTTTCAGTGGTAGCCAGCGCTGGCAAAAAACGCGCCGATTCTGCCTAAACAACGTGACCGAGTTGCTTTTGTTAAATGTTCTGGCGCTGTCGAGACGCGTGAGAACGCCCTTCGTTTCTATAAGTTGTTCGTGTTATTCGTTCTATAAGAGTCAGAAAACGTTTCGATTTTAGGCACGAGACATGTATTGCTTGCAATGGCTCATCCCTGTATTACTGATACCGAAACATTGGCTACACCCAATGTTCTTGATCGAACAAGCTTTCTTCATGTGGTTCTACATAATTGGTTTTTTTTTAGAACGAAGGTAATTTTTCCATCACAAAAACGATGAATGGTGGAGCACTCATAGAAGCTCAAATAAAAACAATCGTTGAGTCACCTATTTTTCAAGTTCATTCTAAATCTCAAAATTTGGGAATTAAGTAATTATAAAAATTTAAAGAAAAATTGCTATTATGATGTTGAATAATTTTATTTTTGCAGACCGTGCCATATATGTTCAGCGATATTTTTTATTGCTCTCGGACTGATATGCTATGCAGACCCAGATAGCTGTATCTTCTGGCCGAGCTGCAACACGGAAAACAACAGCGAGATGTGCAAGTATATTGAGCGCGAAGTCGTCGGTAGCTGAAAAAATTTTGCGGTTTATTGTTTTCTGCTTCTCATGCCTTCAGAATCACGGGTTTTTTATTTTCTCAACGTTGTTAGAAAAAAATTTTTTACCTCCTCTTTAACATGGATTTAGTGTAATTACCGCTGTATTTGCCGAGATTTTTTGTAAATAATATATCGGCTTGTCTTTTCTCAATCTAGACGTTAAGATATAGCTGATTCACGGCTAGTTTGGGACACAAAGAGGACGTGGCCTGTCTGCGCTTTCCACAAGCCAGGCACTGTCTCGTGCATTATCGTGTCAGGACCCTTTTTCCGATGTCACAAGCCAGCCTTGAATAAGCTATATATGCCTTTTCTCAATCTAAACGTTAATTGTGTTATATGTGGTGATATCGCGGCCTTCTATGTTTGCGTGACAAGAAACACGAGGTGTACTTAGAAACTCCGAAGTGGCCTCTATGAGGGAAACTTCTGGGCCCTTTGAAGGTTATCTTGCGAAAGTGATGCTAGTCGATTATTGTTTTAAACTAGGAGAACAATCATTTTCATGTGAAAAACTCAACAAATTAGCGTTTTTTGAATAAATAATGTTAGCAGAGGATAATAAACTTTCTCTGAACGAAAAAGAAATTATAACTTCGTCAAAAATTGACGCGATAGTTTGAAACTATTCCGCGAAATACAAAAAAAAATGGAATCTCCAAGGCCGTTAAAAAAATTGCTTGGCGGCTAAATAATTAATTATTTTCTCCTCAAAAATTTTAAATTCGACCGTAAAAGTCACTATATCGTGATACATGTTTGTAGTAATGAATAGCATGGGGATATTGTAATAGCCGAAAATAATTGAATATGGCATGAAAATTGATTCATCTATCTCGTAAAAATGTACCCTCACGTGCTGTATAAAATTTTTCATTAAGAAAAAATAAAAATTTATAACAAAATAACAAGTAAACATCGACGATAATGAGACAAAGGATATAACACATAAGAACTAGGTAAATAAGGATTGAAATAGCTGGTTACGTGATTCATGAGCCCATTCAATCGACTCGGGAGTGGCAGGATTAAAGTTGACAAGCTTCGAGATGGGCTCGAACTTGAGACGCCGTTCTTTAGACGAAAAATTGGCCGTGTCGCGCTTTTTATTCGTCTTCAACAGACTTTGCAACTCGATATAATTTCTGCAAAGAACAAAAATTACGCCTATAGTCTGTTTAGATTTTAAATGTCAACTAGCTAATTCCGACCCTGCTGCCAAAGTCGCGTCGATGTTTTATCGCGCGGGATGATTTTTGATCTTTTTTGTTCTAATAGGTTGAAAAATAAGTCAAAAAATAAGTCAGAAAATGCAGCCATATTAAAGGTCCACCGTCATCTGGAGATGAAACATTGACGCGTAAGATATTGTTGCTTTGAGGACGGAGTTAGCTACTTGACATTCTAAATCTCAACAGACTATAGTCAAGTGAAAACCTGGTCATGTCCAGAGCGTTCGTGGTGTTGTTGGTGGATGAGGAGGATTTGTTTTCAATCATTTCTTTGAGCAACGTTTGGTAAAAGTCGACGTCATCGAAAATCTCGTCGTCTTCTTCAGTGGCTCCCGGTTCGAAATCAACTCGATCCTCTCCGCCTCGACTTGTTCTAACTTTTTTCAAGAGACGTTTCTCGTCATTTAGTACCTAAATACGTGTAGTTTCAGGCATATGATGAAAAAAAAAGCATTTTTATAAAAAAAAACTAAAGTTCAACATTCCAGAGAATCTGATAATGAACAGTTTAAAAAAAAGAAAGTGCAAATTTTAAATGGCCAATGTTTTTCCGTGGAGCGCATTTTGAAAACCAATTTTTGCAAACGCTGGCGAAATTTGCGACGCTCATTTCTCGTCGGCAATTTTTTCTACAGCTCATTAATGTTTGGCTAATTTTCCACAGCTTTTTTCGCGGTTTTATAGTTTTGTTTATTCAGAGAAAAAGGTATAGAATTTTTAATAAAGAGCATTATGAAAAATAAACCTTTTTTTATTTGCAAACAAATGCCGTCTTTTTTCAAAAAGCACTGAAATCACTGCGCCCCTTTTGTCTTTGCCACAGCTTTCGTCCGGTTGTGCCATTTTGTTAGAGTCGTATTTCTATGAAAAATGAAATAAAAAATTAACTTTTGGGCCAGGTCTGCGTGACTTTTGACTTACCTGAAGTTGTCATAGCTTTCATCTGTGGCTTTCAAGCATGCATTCAGTTCTGTTTTCGTCACCGACTTGTTCTGCTTGTTCTCTCTGGTCTCGTCCTCGAAATCACTGAAAATTTGCTCGAGTTGCTTGTATACAAAGAAGGAATCTTCGCAAATCGAAATTCAAAAAAATATTCTGATTGATCTCCTACACACTGAAAAATTCGTCCCATAAAAACTAGAATAAAATTTGTTCATTTTGAACTTGAAAAAAAGCTTGAAAAAGCTTGTGCGAAAACGGAATTATTATCCAAAATGTGCTTTTCAAGATAAATTTTGTTGCAAAAAAGGAAAGCAGAGTTTCTGATTAGACGGGCATCCCACCACGCGAAGCGGACACACTGCCAATGAGCCAATAATTCACTTTTTTCATCAGCTTGATTTTCCCTCTTTTTCAACTCTGCGGGTAGGGTCGTAAAAACGAGGAGCTGAAGTGGTCCCTAAAGGGAACCTTCAAGTGTTCCTAAGGTTATCCCCCTATGGACTACTTTGGCGATCCGAACCAGGGAACATTAAAAAAATTCTTCTTTAGAGTTCCACGAGCCTGGACAGTCATATATCCGCTGATAGAACCGACAGAAATATTTTTATTCTGGATTTTTCGGACGACAGCGTTCACATATACAGCGTAGGTTTTGCGTTAGAAAGAACTTGTGTAGATCTTTTTTCTCGCCCATTCATTTCGCTTGCATTCGCCTGTTTTGGAACACGATGACTCGGATAAAATTGGGAGTTTTCATTGACAATTGGAAAATAAAATAAAACCTTTGATCCTCATCGTCATAGTCATCGTCTTCGGGTGCAGCATCGCTATCGACTTGGTCGTCCTGCTCGGCTTCATCTTCACTGCTCTCAATTTCTTCGTCGTCTGGTTGCTTGCCTTAGAAAAAGATCATTAGAAAAATAGAAAAAGCGAAAAACCAATTTCGGAGGACTCTCGATAGTATTGGCAAGCTTCACGCAACAAACTTCGCAAGAGAGTCAAGTTGTCAGACGCTGAAAAACTGAAAGCTATGAAAGAAAAAAAATCCTCTTGAATGAAAATTGAAAATTTTTTTATTAAAGTATCAAGTTGGAAAAGGCTATCGAACCTGCTTTCATTTATACAGTTGTCAATAGCAATTTTTACATAAATATTTTTTTCAAAATATAAAGTTTTTTTCAGAACTAACCAGTCGTGATGGCAATTTTGGTATGTTTGTCGCTCGCTTGAAGCAGTTCTTTTCGGACGGAACCACGCGGCAAAACGTTGCAAAACTTGATCAATCCATGCACTCGAATGTTGGCCAGCATCAGTTGATCCCACAACTTTTTCTGCTCGATTATCGCTTCAGCTGAAATCCACAGCTGAGCAATTTGCAGTTTCTACAGCGAAATATCGAAAAAAAAAAAAAAAGTTAAAAACGAAAAATTACACTTTTCTTCGTTTCTGCTTTTCTTTTCAGTTTGGGCAGTGGAATGGAAAGTGATATTCTTGTGGTCGGTCTTTGTCTGGAATGTCTCCGTTTTTCAATTTTTTGCTCTGTCGCTTACCACAAAATCAATGCCAGGTTCATGAGCTGAGCTTCCTGCAAAACAAAAACCTGTGTTTGGTAGGAATTTTTATGAGATACCGCTCATGGAATCATCGAGACTCTGTTCGTCAAACGAAATGTTGTCATCTTGTGTGTCTGAAGCTGACAAGCTTATGAAAAAGACTAATAGTTTTCTCACCGCTTTCTTCTTCTTTTCTCTCTTCTTCTTGTCCTGAATCTTTGAAAATTTCGGCTCTAGAAACCTGAATCGGAGAATTGAACGCTGCAACAGGCGCTGCTTTTGAAAAAAAATAACCTTTCGTCCTCTGTATGCTTGTTCGATACCATCCGAGAATGGCTGATTAGCTATATTGTTCGCCTTTTCGAACTTCAGGCCAGCGGCTGAATATAAGAAAAAAATTATCACCAAAATTATTGAACGAACTTTCAAAATCGGCGCTTTCCACATCAGGAAGCAGCGTGGTCGGCTGAGCCCATTTTTCTAGTTCTTCTACCAAGCTCATCTGTAAGGCGAAGAAAAACTGAAAAAGATTTAGAAAAGACAAAAACTAACAAAACTTGACAAGGAGGTACTTTTTGGAGCACTATGCCTTGTTCAAATTAACTTTCGCAAAATCTAGAATTCTCTCTCCAAATTTAGTTTTCTTTTCGCTCTCGGACTGCTATTTTGAATTTCGCGAAATCACTTTAAGTGAGGCATAATGCTCCATAGGTAGCTTTAAATGAAAAAAAAAAACAGAGAAACGAAATGGAAAATTGTTTTGCTGAGAAATAAAAGAGAAAATCGTTTCGTTTTTTAAACGAACAAAAATATAATGTCGTAGGCTATAATGCCGGGGACGCAAGCAGCGGACCACACGAGAATTTTTTTTTCATTTATCATTTCTAGATATCACGGTGTTTCTTTTGCGACGCCCCGCCCACTTTTCTCCGTCAATTAGGACGTGTTTAGTGCATGCACAAAAAATTTGGAAAACAAGGTTAACCGATGATATAAGTGTGAGAAACGAATGAACATTGAAGAAAAAAGACGAGGAAATTAAAAGAGAATAAATAAAACTATATTGCTGTGGAGAAACAAATAAAAGATGTTTCACAGCAAGTACTTTTTATTATAAAAAGTTGACGGAATATCCGGATATAAATGAATTCCGGAACATACTTTCTCAACTTCACAGACTTTTTTCATGTAACTTCATCTCATTGATGTCCACAACCTAGGAATCTGAACAATCGACAAAAAAATAGAATAAGAAAAACATAAAATGGGGTGAAACATGTTCCATACAAACAGGTGGAAATTTTCAAAACGCTTCTTCATCACGAGTTTTAAAGTTAGCCTCACAGAACTACGTTCAAAAAACGTCTAACAACCCAGAGTATACCCCGATCGTGGTCCCGCAATACTATCAGCAATCTACGAAAAGAAAAAGAGAAAAATATGAAAAAATTGACAAAAAATCAAAAATAAAGCCACTTTTTCAAATTTCGCGGGCGAATTTCGAGAAGTGCGCAGACTTTGCCGAGTTTCAAATTCCTTGCATTTTCTTCAACTGGCAGAAACGCCGTGATATCTCATACCGTGTTGAAAGTAATGACGTGTTCAAAGAGATTCCGCGAAGTTCGAAAAAACGGTCGGAGAGGGAATAAGAAAACTAAATTTTGGAGAGTCAGAGATAGTTTTGAATTTTGCGGAAATTGTTTTGAACACGGCGTTTTTTATGTGCTTTCGTGAAATTAATTGTAAAGACGAACTGGCAGTGGTCAATAGGTGTATCCACAAAAATAGCTAACGGATTGCACTTTCAAATTCAGTCGGAGTTTCGCAGGCTCAATCTGTAAATAGCATAGAGAGGCTAACTTTCCGCTATTTCAAAACTCTTCATCTTCTCTCTGATACTATCCCTATGCTATCTGGATTCGCAGAAGCTTTAGAAGTAAGTTGCCGAAGTGCAGTTCGATAGCTAGCTATCTCGTTGCGTACCCTGTTTGTTGAGTGACCGTGTGGATACCTCGATTGACCTTTAATGGCGTTTCGGTCGGTAGTTTTTTTTTTCATTTTCAAACAACTTTCACGAAAATAAGAACCAACAAGTTGAAAGAATTTTCAAAAATATTATTTGTGCGCTAAATTCTTGGAAAGTGAAATAAAGACCAAAATGATGAATAATGTTCGCCTTGTTGCCACGAGCGATTTGTCCTGCTCGACTTTCTTCGTGCTCGTTCAACTCGCTCTTCCTACTGTGAAAAATAAATTTAAGCTTCAGTCCATGATCTGAACAATCCTTTGTGTGTGTGAGCGTGCTGATATGCAATCGCGAATTCGCGTTGCCGGGGCTCTCATCTGCTCACTTGCGGCTGTACACTTGCTCATCTTTGAGGTGAGCTTAATCCGATGAGTTTTTGGAAAAATGTTAATGTAACTTTCAGATGCCGTCTTTCTATGACAATTACGTTGTGAGAAGCAGCTCTTTCTCTTTTAACGACGACGATGATGATGTCATGGCTCAAGTCCTCACTGATTCGGCCAATCTTGACCCCAACTGGTCAACTAGTACTACAAGACAGTTTTCAAAGGCCCAAAATGCAAGTTTAGGTATAGTTTCTGCTTTTTTCGAGTTGCCTTTTAAACGCCGTGTTCACAGGAATCTCGGCGATTTCTAAATTGACCTTTTCACGCAAAACCGTCGTATTTCTCTTTCTTTTTCATTTTGATAGAATTATTGGTAACTGAAGTTTATAAAAAAAAACAACCGATAAAAACAATATGCATATTAAAATGATAATTTTCAAACGCGGTATATCGAAAAGTTTCTCTCTGGCTTTGTTCGGGAATAAGATGATAATTCGGAGAAACAGATGGCTGAAGTTTCCATGATTCCTAAAACCCGTCAGAGATGATTCTGAATTACGCGGAACTTACTTTGAAAACGGCCAAAGTTCGAATGATACAGAACTGTCAAACTTACTTTCAGGTTCTCTTGAACTTCTATCATATTTAGAGGCGACAAACATGACTTTTTGTCCACTAACACCTCCATCATTGGTTCGTCGTGCCTTTTGAAATCATTTTTATGTTTTCCGTCATACCCTCAGGTCGGTCCCATTCGCGTTTTTCTCGATGAGCCACAACTGAATGTTCTCGCCAAAATGTTCAAGCACATTGAACGCGGCGGTCACGGGAAACCCACCAACTGTTTGGCTCGGCATAAAGTGAGTTTTTTTTCGTTTTCAAGTAAAAGGGAATGGGAGTTTGAAGAAAAAATTTTACATCAATTCAACTTTTACATTTTCAAGAAAGGTTTTTTTTATCTCTGAATGGTGCACTTCAAACAGTCAAAACTAAATTTATTAAATTTTTTGGACCTTTAATTATTCGAAAAATCAAAAGCTTTGAAATTCTCAAGTATTTGGGGATCATGAAATTATCAAGGTAGCATAGAGTTCAATTGAAGAATATTTATCAGCGATAAACTATCGATTAAAAAAAGGTGGTTAGTGAGTAAGATAGGCAAGGAGCAAACAACAGAAAAAAAAAAAATCAGAAATACCTTTTTCCAATTTATTCAGAAGTTTAGCCTCAAACGACCAAAAAGTCAAAAAAAAAAATCAATAATTGGTGGATTGGTTCGGGGAATTTTTTTTTGGAGTTCAGGGAAAAAAACACTGATTTGACGGTGCTTCTCGTTAAAAGCAAAATCATCTTCTTTATCTCGTTTTTGAATAGCTGAAAATTATGTCTTTTTGTTTTATAACGGATGGAAAAAAGAGCACCTGAAGGCGTAAAAGTTGCAAATTTGTCAATTCTCGCAGTTTTTTGTTACATCGTTTTTAGTCTGAAAATCCGTTTTAAATAGCTGAGATGAATTTTTTTTTTTTTTTCTTTCAAAAACCTACTTTCATATAAGTTGAAAATTGGGTGGTATGAAAAAAAGACCAGCGAAAATTCAAACGGCGACTTTTCCGATTTTTCCATATCGCTAGGGAACTTTCCGACGAATTTTTTTCCGACTTTTTTTCTCAATAAACTCTTCGTTTTTCAATCTTCCTATATAAAGTAGGCAAGTTATTCATTATTAAAACACAACGAAATAGAAAAAAATGTTAATAGATGTTTTATAAATCGAAAAAAATATACGGGAAAAAAGTCGGAAAGAGATTTGGCGGAAAGGTGGCCGTCGGAAAGTTTCCTAGCGATACGAAAAAATCGGAAAAGTCGCCTTTTGAAATTTCGCTGGTTTTTTTTCCATACCATCGAAAATTGTGTTGTTGGATTTTTTTAAACTAAATCTCCAACAAAAAAGTTAGGAGACAGTGAAAAGCTGTTTTGAGTCCTTCACAATCTTCAAACTCAGGCTCGACAAGCAATCATTTTAATAAAAAATGATTCGAGTACTGAAAAAAAGGTAAAACGCTAAATAAAACCCGTTTTTTCGAACCTCAACGGAAAAAAATTTTCCGGTTTTTCGTTCACAAGTCCAGTAAAGATTGAACAAATAAGTTCTAATGCTAAAAATATGTTAATGCATAACTATATAAAATTTCTGCGAAGTTTTGAGACATTAGAAGCTTTTTCAGAGAAGTTATGCTTGAGAAACCATTTTGAAAAATCTTTCTGGCCAGCACTGAGGATGACGTACATCACTGTCACTCAACAATTCAGGTTGCGATAATCGTTCCATATCGCGACAGGGAGTCTCAGTTACGCATATTGCTTCATAATCTGCACACGCTGTTGGAGAAACAGCAAATGGAATATGGGATATTTATAATAGAACAAGTCGCCGACCAAACTTTCAACCGCGGCAAGGTTTGCATTTTTTTTTTCAAGTTCTAGTTTCAATTTGAGTGCTATCAAAGTTCACCATAATGTAAAATCCGTTGTCAACACAGTTAAACGTGAAGATGCTAACTTATTTTACATTTTCTTCTGATGGATCGGTTTGAAAACTTAAGTTGATGAACGTTGGCTATGCGGAAGCGTCAAAGATGTTCCCCTGGCAGTGCTACATTTTCCACGACGTTGATCTTCTCCCCGAAGATGATCGAAATCTTTATTCGTGTCCTGTCCAACCGCGCCACATGAGCGTCGCCATTGACAAGTTTAACTACAGGTTGGACTTTACCAACATTGGCAAATAGGAAGTTCTGTATTTGAGCCAAAAACTTCAAACCACCAACTTGAATTATTGATATTGTGAGCATGTAGGATGCGCAAAGCCCCGCCTTTTCATACCACCAAATTGACGATCTTTTTTGTGGCGAAAACGGTTTTCAAGTGTCTTATATAGTTCAACTCAAAAATGAAGCTGATGACTAGACATATGTAATATAGACTCTACGAAACTGAACAACTTTCAATATTTTATTTTTACGAAAATCAACACGGAGCTATGATGATATTAGGGTGTTCCATAAGTCTTTGTGCACTTTTGATTATTGAAAATTTAGTCTCTTTTCATTTCAACGGAAAATCATGTGTCAGTGAGTTTCTGTCCCTTGAGAATTTCGTGCATGTGAACGTCGGTGTGTATACGTCAAACCTTCTGTTCCTCGTTTTTAAATGCTTCAGGAGCCGCTTTTCGTCAACATTTTTTTCCTTATTCATTTGATTTTTATTACAAATTAGAAACGATTTTCAGTCTCTTTTTTAAAAGTCAAATGTAAATAATTCTTCCTGTCAGAAGTTAGATAAGCGAAAGATTTATCCTGTTTTTTAACTATTTCTTTATTATTTAACCCGAAATACTCATGAGATATTTACGAAAGATTCATGTCAAGAAATTGAGATTAATCCTGGTAATATTCAAAAACAAAAAAATGAATCGAAAACGGTTCAGAAACAAGCAAAAAGGATTGGAAAGAAAGCGTGCGGCAGCAATTAAACCGTGAGATTAAGCCTCCACTTGAACGTCGCGTGCGCTACTTTTTCGGCATGGACAGTATCTTCTATCGAATAAAATTTAAAAAATTTTCAAATTATTTTTAAAAAAATGGCTTGACCATGAGTTTTAACCTGAAAAAACTAATAATTCTTTTGATCTTCAAATGTCAAATGTATTGTTGTAATTTGTTATAAACTCGATAGTTTTTTTTTTCAGGCTTCCTTATTCGTCAATTTTCGGAGGAATCAGTGCTCTCCGCGATGACCAGGTCAAGGCCATCAACGGGTTTTCAAACAGCTTCTGGGGCTGGGGCGGCGAGGACGACGACTTGTCTCAGAGGTTTTTTTTCAAGTATTGTGCAATTATCTTTCTCAATTTCTCATTTCAGAACCTCGCGAGCCGGCTTCAAAGTCTCGAGGTACCCTGGTGAAATTGCCCGCTACAAGATGGTTAAGCACTCTCGAGAAGACACGAACTCGGCCAACAAGTGAGAGCCGATTTTGAAAAGTTGTTCAAACAACACAAATACTTGAGATGCCGATGGAAACTGCTGAAAAAGACGGGTATTCGGTGGCGACATGATGGTCTCAACGATTTAAAGTACCGTGTGTTGTCGATTGAGCAACAGCCGCTCTTTACGCGCATTCTCGTCGACCTGCTAGAACAGGAAAGCAAAAAGGCGTTGCGAAAATTTTTTCCCGATTGCTAGTATAAGGTTTTGTGTGGCGTGACCAGCAGCCATTACGGGTTTTCAATTTTCTATTCAGTTCTATCGCCTCTCTTCTTACCTAAAGAATATCAGAATCTCGTGATTTTTGCTTTGTTTCCTAGTCAGTCTTTTGGGTATTCCAAAAGCGTATGTGCTACTTGCTCGGCGGGTGTCGGTGACTACGAGTAAACATTTGTTTTTTGCAAAGAATTGTGAAAGAGTGAAAAGTTACAAATTTATTAAAACTCGTCTATTATGTACAGAGCAAGTAAAAGATTTTTTTGTTGTTGACGACACGGCTTTTTCTCCTTTTCGACTACCAATACTACGAAAACTCACACACACACACAAGTCGAGCTGGTAAATTCACATTTGTGTGTGTTTTCGAGAAGAAGCATCATTTTCCAAAGGGAAGAAATCCTTTGACAGCTTCAAAGGCTCCTGTCGCCATCGTCTTGGCCTTTTCCACCTGTTCCGTGAGTCCGAGTTGCCCAATTATACTGTCGTCTTGAGCGTTCATCTCCGCCGCCAGCTCCTAAATTTCTCCGTTTCCCGAAGATTTTTGTTTTTGCGGACCTCGGGCGTTTTTCGGGCGCCACCAATGCGACCTTCTGTGAAGTCCATCGCCGACGCCGCGCCTTCTTCCTTCTTCTTGATGGCGTACTTGTCACGGATGCCCTGTCGCATCTTTTCACGTTCGTTCTCCATTTTTCGGTGCTTTTCCTTGCGTCGCTCTTCTTGCTCCAACCGTGCCGCAACCACCTAAAAATCAGAATTTGTGTATACACAAGCAATCAACCTCGGGATCTTCGCCAGTCTCCGTCTTTTCGCCGCCACCGTCGTCGTTTTTGAGGCCAAGGCCGCCGGTGACTTCATTGAGCTGGTTGCCCACCATTTGCTTCATCAGGAATCCCGCCATGTTTTCTTCAATTTTTTTTTCCCAAACACAAATATTCAATTTCCTATCAAAAGGCGAAGAATGAAGGTGCGCTAGATTGAAAAAAAAAAGCAGAATAACCGGTGCTGCCAATAAATGGAAAAGGGACAAAATGAACCGAGGCGGGCCCCGCCGCAGATCGATGCCGAGCAGCTTCCTTTTTGCCCTTTTCTTTTGAAGCTCTCTTTGGTCGATATTTGCCGCCCAAAAAAAAAAGAATGAATGGCGAGTCGAGAATTTATCTCTGAAAAGATTGAACACGGTGCTGTCATTGTTGCCGCTAGAATTTTATACTGCTCGGCACACCGGGCATGCGATAGTGGAAACCCCAGTCATATTAGGTGCTTTTTGGTGTCAAAAGAATGCAGCTGCACGGTGCATGCTCAAAATCTCTCAAAAAGCTAGCTGAACGTCTAGTCAATCCTTCCCGACTAGACGGAGAAGTGGGTGGATCGCAGCGTTTTTTTCGGTACGTCAGTCGAAACGTTCCGTGAATTATGGTAGTTTGGGTGTAAACACACCGGGACGCATTATCGCGTACTCCAAAAATGTTTTTTTTTTTTCAATTTTAAAGTAAAAAACATATTTGCTAATGGCTTTCGAACATTACGAAGTCTTCTCTATTTGAAGAATATGATGTTGAAAAACATTTAAACATCATATAAAATATATAGCAGCGATCATAATAGATAGAAACTTTAAATTGCGGATAACGAAAGAAAAACAGAAGATATTGTTCTGTTAGGTTGCCTCGCGTCGAAAAATCAATAAAAATATGAAAAACCTCAGAATAAACAAAAATATGAGCACAGCACCGTAAAAAAAAGAGCTTTTTATACCTTGGATTAGAAAGTCGAATAATGGATAGAGAGCAAACATTTAAAACCTTGGAGATCGAAATGTTTAATATAGTTCGAAAAGCCATCAAAAAACTACAAAAAATAATGTAATTTGAATTAATTATAAAATAAAACTTCAAACTTCCATGTCCAACTCAGTTTGACTCTAAATTACACGAAACCGGTTTTACACTACGTGAAAGTATACTTTTATATAACTGGATAAGGACAATAACCCTACAAAAACGTCAAAAATTTTGTTAATAATTTAAAAAGTTAATTGAAAGCGCATTTTTTCTGTATCCTTCAGTAAATCTATGGTTAGGGAGTCTGTTCAGTGCCAAGAACTCCGTGGGATGGGACACGTACGCGGTTCTTGGCAAGAGTTCCCTTCAAGCTCTACCGACTAATTGAAAAGCTCGGTCACCTTCATCAAAAGAATCAATAGGAAAGTTAAAAAAGAAATGAAAACAGCGATAAACGAGCTTTAAAAAAAGTTGCTGGCGGTTGAATCGAACTAGTGCCAACCGCATACGCGCACGCTACGCTTCCTGCCCCCTGCCCCGTCTCCCTCGCCTTCCAAGTCGGGAAAAATAGACATTTTCGGCTTTTTTGCAATTAAAATCTGTTTGTTGTCATCTGTCAACTATCAAGGCTTTCAAGGCAACCAACGAACAGAAGAGGATTTTCAGCCCAACAAAAATGATATGAAAATTCAAAAAGTAGTCACGTTTTGCTGCAAGCGCTCCTAAGTGCGCCGATCGATGCAAAGGAGCTTGGCTAGGGGCATTGCAAGGTATGTGACAACTTCGGATGGGATCGATGATCGTCGTCATCGTCAGGGCAACACGGCGACTTTTTCCTTTTGAATGTGCAGGAGCAGCAGCAGCCGCCGTGGACTGAACGGCTTTCAGATTTTATCCTACCTTTTGACAGTTTTGACATTTCCTACGACTTGGTTTGCCCTTTCTTCTTACATCTATCCTGTTCTTTGTTGCGGTAAGTTGTCAATTTCGATAAAAAACTTTTAAAAGCAACAAATTCAAGCCGAGGCTGCTGCCTACATTTTCATTTATGCGCTCGTCGCCCGCCTGACCATCTTCACGGCTTGCCCTGATGATCTGAAGAAAAAGTTGCAACTAGGTGATTGTTTGTATAGCCCATTCTGACCAGCTTGTTACGTTTCTGTTTCCTGCAAGAAAGATCGAATCGGAGAAATTTTGACCAACTTCGCTGGTCTGTTCATCTTTGGAATGTCGAGTACATTGACATATTAGGGTGGCAGGAAAGAAATGCGTGTTTTTGATGTCATTTAAATTTATCATAAAAACAAGGTTATCACAAATCAATTCGAACTGTAGTTCCCATGTGTATTAGCACCTTGTCAACAATGCTCACGCAGAGAATGGATACTCTCTCTGACAAACTGGGCCGCCTACGAGTCAAAGAAGTTTCACCCCCAAATTTGGACTTTATCGGGGTTTTCCAATTTTTTTTGGCTAATAAGCGATCCAATGATTCACACAGATGATAAATGCGAAGAGCCATGTCTGAGCATTGTAGCGGAAAAGCAGAAATTTGCAGAACAATTTTTCTGATTCGCGAAAAAGCGAAAAAGCGATATTGTGAACCCATTTTTCATTTCTCCTTTTTGCACTCCATTGCGTAATAAAACTGTTTTCTCTTGCAGCTATGGGTGTGTATTAACTGATGAGCCAGTTTCACAGACGTCTGTTGTGGATCCAGTCTAATGGCCTTTTAAAATCGCCTTTATCGTCGATTTTTCCGTGTTTTTTGATTCAAAGGTCTTTTCGCCTAGTGAATAGCGCTAAAGCAATTCAAAATGTTAACTATCAGAAAAAAGCATCAATGCTGATCATAATATTGAAAGGTGCCAAGCTTCTGAATTTGATTTGTACTTTTTGAAATAACGCGAAAACTAGGTCCGCGAATATAGTTTTTGAAAGAAAGTTTTCAGAGCTATTTTTCTTATAGAACGGCGGAATGAAAGTCAGCAAACTATATATCCAATGACGCACAAGGACAAGCCCTTTTCGACAAAAAATACCGTTCTAAATAATATTGCTTCTTGGATGAATTAGAAGCCGACAAAAACGAGCCGCATTTCTTTCATGCCACCCTAATAGTTCGATAACTTTCTGTGGATAACCTGCTCTCTGATTGGTTTACCGCGCCATCAAGGGCGGAGCTTGAGAAACGACTTGAAATTCAAAATCAGAACAGAACCTTTTTTGTGAACCAAAAATGCAAAAAACCTATGTATTTACACTACCTTTTATTCTGTTGTGCTTTTAAAACGTGTCCTTCTTGCGCGGAACACTATACAAATTGAAGACTGCGCGTTTTGGACACACTTGGTTTCCAGGTTTCAAACGTCGCAGTTTCGACGAAACAACAAGAGAAGCTGGGCGCCAGCATGTCATTGAGAATGGTCATTGTTACATTTGCCGAATCGACGTGTGAGTTGGAAAAGCTTGCTTTTATTTATTCAATCTGGAAACTTCTTTTCCTCGCAGGACCCACGACACGAAGCACTGCCGTCGTTGCAACTTCTGCGTCGAACAGTTTGACCATCACTGCGTATGGCTCAACAATTGTATTGGTGGCAAGAACTATCGACTCTTCATTGCTCTGGTCTCGTTCATGTGCGCCTGCTCATTTGTTGCTGTCGGCTTGCTGACTCTTCTCTTGGGCCTTGACCTTCGCACGACGATTGATTCCAGTAGGTGGCCTTTTTCTATTTTCTTCTCGCCTTCATGTTGCGCACACAGCTCGAGATTGGCAACAGTGGTCTCGGGTTGGTGCTTGTTTGGTTTGCCTCGCCGTGTATCTCGTCATCGGCTTGTCAACTGCCCACCTTCTGATTTTTCACGCTCGTTTGTGTGAGTTGTAGATTTTACAGTCCTAAGAAAAGCTTAGGAGGGCCCCGATAGGGGGACAAATATGTTCCCTTGTAGTAGCCCACCCTGGGGGCCCCTAACTCAACCTCTATCGGGGCCCTGAAAATCTGGTTTAAGGCCTCCTATAAGGGTTAGATCAAATTTTCACTGAAATGAATAAACCCCCTATAGGGGCCGTGAATCGTTTAGGGGGTTCAAGGAAAGCTTCGTAGTCCCTATCGGGGCCCTCTAAAATTTTCTTAGTCAATCCTTCCCGACTTGAAAGGCGAGATATAGTCCAATTATCCCGACATGAAAGGCGAAGGAGGCGGAGAAGGACGCGGGAAGCGTAGCGTGCGCGTACGCGGTTCACAGACGAATCGGGAGGGTTCTGTCTCGTTAAACCGTAAGACATTAGGAAACGTCTATACTTTTGATATGTTAATAAGCCTTCAAAAACGGGTATATGATAATCGGGCCGCGAAAATCGAGCCGCCTTTTGTACGGGGCGAGACGAACAGAGAAAAAGAAATAGTGTAGAAATGGAGGCTCGATTTCCGCAGGCTCGATTTTCGCTGCCCGATTATCATATACCCTCAAAAACTCCCTATGGAAAAAAAACGAAAAAAAAAACTGACGCCGTGAGAAAAGTAACGGCTTTAAAAACCTCGAAAAAAAGGCAAATTGTTTTGAAATTTCGGAAGAACTCGTTTTTCATAGGTTTTTTTATAAAAAGTTTTTTTTACGAAAAAGTAGGCTTTTCAAAGAAAAACACAGCTAGAACGTTCAAAAATACGATTTAAGTTTCCAAAATAAATTTTCGCAAACGCCAGCAAGTCTTAAAAATGGCCTTATTTGAGGAATCCGTCTTTAGTGAGTAAATAAGCGTATTTTCTGTAATTCTATGAATATCGAAAACAGCCATGTCAATTTCATAAGATAGAAAAACAAAATAGTCAAAATTTTTTTGTGTGGCCAGCGGAGACGACGCAGTGGAAACCGGATGGGTCACTGTAGGTCTGATCTGGTGAGTGACAAATAAAAGTATAAAAATAAAGACAAACTTTTTTGTTCTTCATCTTTTTTTCCAGCTTACAAGCTCTACTGAAATCGTGCAAAGAGTAGTGCCTCTGCCAGCATTATGCAAGAAAGTCTCATGTTTCCTTCAATTCAGTGCTTTGCATTTTGCAAAGAAGTACCTCGCATTTTGCACTTTTTTTTTCGTCTGAAAAAAAGTAACCCTAAAAAGAAATGTAAAATGCGAGGTACTTTTAGGGACCGCAGAGCCACCCCAACATCCCCTCGGAAAGCGCGCCACCGATAGGCTTACGCTGATTGATTTTGAAGACGTTACCCAGTAGACACTTGCATCTTCTTCCCGATCGTCCAGTGATTGCGTTAAACGTCGAGTTACACGCCAAAAAGCTGCGTCGCTTCACGCTTGCCAATCGCCTTTGAAGAAAAATCGACTATAATTCAAATTTGACCCCTTTTACTACAGGGAAATTGGGCTTGACCACCTACAAGTACATGCGCCGACAACCAAGAGGAAAGGTATTTTTTTTTATGAAACTTCATTTCTTGTTCAATAGTTTTCACATTTAGGTTTCTTCGGAATCAGTGTCGACGACGACAACGCGTTTTTAACCGTGCCTTTTGACCACCAACCCTTTTTTCACCAAATTATCAAGGAAAAATAAACTTTTCAAACTAAATGTTGAATACAAGCGAAAGTAAATAAAAAAGAAAAAAGAGCTTTGTCTTGATGCTATAGACAGTACTATATAGCCAAGTCATGGATTATTTGGGACGGCGAATACGCGGTTTAACTTTCGTGCCGAAGGTAGATCACGAGGACTACTCATGCGCCTTCCATAAAAGCCCCATTTTACGACTCATTCGTTTTTCCTTTGTATTTCGTCGATTGAGGAAACCTGGAAACCAATGAAATGAATTTAAACAAAAAACTGAATTCAATTAAAACAAAAATAAATCACCCAAATGAGGCTCTTATTAATGGCGCATGTAGAGCACGATCTACACTCTGCCACGGCGTTCCAAAAGGGAACCTCGCAGTGGAGAAAAATGAGACAGAAATTACCGCGCCACAATTGCAGAAAACTGGGCGTGGTTTAATTTCGTCCCAGTCGAGCTGTCGCATCGCGTCTTGGAGGGCTAACGAGAATAATTTTGGAGATTTGGTGTCTCCTTGTCTTACTTTTTTCCCTATTGAGATCGACAGTTTCTTCTCGAAGATTTGTATAACTGTCGAGGTATTTTCGTTTGTCGAGATTATTTGAGCAAATTTATAGAAAATTTCAAACCCTTATCAATTTTGTAGATTTTGAATTTTTTTTTTTCGCAACTCCTTGTTAACGCTTTTAACCTACTGTAACAGATATTTCAGCAGCGAATTTTTTACTAAAACGGGTCAGTAGGCTACATTTTCAATCTCACCAGAGAACTACTCGGAAAAACTTTTGAGATGCCATGAAATTGATGCAAAAGATTTTCTTTTGATTTATTTGGTTATCAAAAAAGTCGAATGACAGAACAAAAAGTCAATATCAGTACAGCTACGGTGGCTGTCATCTGTTTTTACATCCCGTTCAATTTTTTTCTGAATTTATTTGGAAATATTTCTTATTTAAATGAAGAACTACATGATAAAAGTTTCAAAAACTATTTTCGAGTTTCGTACTTTTACAAACTGTTTCGTTCTCAAGAAAAATACAAAAAAAAACATGCACTCGACAGGAATCGAACATACACAAAAAAGTCATGGCCATGAACTCACTGCCAAAGTCGGAAGTGCGGAAAACGGGTGCAAAAAGGGAGTGACTGCAAAATGACCGCTAAAAGGGTCCCTTTTTACGGCCTTTATTGAGCCTTCCATTTTTGGTGGGCTAAAAAGAGTCATAAAAGGGCGAAAAAAAGGGAGAGGCCGCAAAAAGGGTGAAGAAAGGGTGAGGGTGCAAAAGGGTTCTGAAAGTTTCTGCTATTGATTTTTTTACGATTTTATTACTGTAGCATATTTTTGGTTCATACACAGTCACTTTTTAAAGATTAGTCTTGATTTAAAAAAATTTTTATTTCACAAAAAGGGTCCAAAAAAAGGGCGGATGAAGGCCGATGAAAGGACGCAAAAAGGCAGTAAAAAGGAAACCTTTGCCACCCGTTTAGGAACAATTAATGGAAACAGACGGATCCGTAACGGACTCCCAAAGGGCCCGTGAAGGGTCCTTCCGACTTTGCCTATGCTGACCCTTTAACCACGACGCCAGGCCACCTCGTTAAGAAAAGACCGCAAAGCTCCGCCCCTTTTCGCGATGGAAAAAAGGCAATTTTTTTTGGTATTCCGTCTTTGATTGTTTCGTATAGCCGATAGAAACAATGAAAAATAATAAAAATTTCAGCATACATGTAGCAAAGGTTCCTCTATCCGTTGAAAAGGTTTTTAGGTACTTTCCATGTGTTTCAAAGGAGTGTCGTACGGAATAGTGATGCGAGTTCGAAAAATAAACTCAGTTTTGCGTTTTGATATTCATGTAGGTCGCGGACAAAGTTGATTTTTTGAAAACTACTTATAAACAATAAATGAAATTTTTTAAGCCAAAAAAATAAAAAATTCTATTGCCGTGTTCAATTTGATTCCGCGGAATGCAAAATGATCTCTGACTCTCCAAAATCTAGTGATCTTTTCCTTTCTCTAACAGGTATTTTGCATTTCGCGGAATCAAATTGAACACGGCATATGATCGCCGAAAAAATTGAGAGGCGCGCAAAGTCAGAGAATGTTTTCTCAAGTGCAATGCATTGTTCGAAGGTTTTTATGCTTTTTTCATATTGAGAAAAACAATGCTCAAATAATACTTGTTCACAACTACAAGAAAATGTACTGTTTTAGTGGTGAAAAAGCTGGAGAATTTTTCGCGAGTTGTTTTGAAACGTTTCCCGGTCGAAGACACGCGTTTTTTCTTACGCATTCATAAGAGCTTTTAATTTTCAAACAAATAAAGCAATAAAATCGAAAATTCAAGATCGCCGAAAAAATTTTTTCAACAAAAAAGGTGAATAAAAGTGGGCGAAATTACATTTTCCTGAGACTCAAAGAGCACTGTAGGCTGTATTTGTGCAGTCACTGAGACGAAAGTGATGATAAAGTGGAATTACAACTCGTAAAACCTTCTCTTTTGGCTCCTGAAACCGTGCCGCCCTTGCAAATAAGAGTGCGCGCAGATTACATGAGAATTGGCATAACCAAATTTTCAGTGCAAAAAATTTTGCTTTTCGATTACTTTTAAATATTTTCTCCTCTTATTCTTAATATTTTTCGTTTTTCTTTTCTGTTTTTGCACACTACATGTTAAAATCATTATTTTTATAACAAAAACGAGGAGCTAGCTTGAGTTCGAAAAATAGGTCTGTGGTCCCTACGTACATGTGTTTTAGCAGTCCCTTGATTATAAGGAATCTCATCTAGGTCTACACGCCACCAAAGTTTCAACTCGAAACTCTTCTCGAATTCGAGTAGTTCTCTTGTCAGATTTATGCAAAAAATATTCCAATTTTTTACTAACAATTACAAAACCCGATTCCGTTGTGTACACGGGTTTCATAAATTGCTCGAAACAAGCGATTCTAGATGCTAGGGCGACTTTGCCATACAAATGACCGTCGCGCCACGCTGACTTTTGAAAAAGTCATTTCTGATGGCAGGCAGGGCGGCCAGGGGCAGCCATCCTACACCTCTAGGCCTAGGAATTTCTCAAAAATACGAAAAAGAAAATTCGAAGATACACCACTCAGAACATGCAAAAACACAAAGACCATACACAGACTGCGAACTTTCTCATAACGTATCCACAGCAAAGGAAAAATTTTCGTAGTACCCTTGTCTAGGTTCAGGTCTTTTTTTCGCTTGGTCTTGGTAGCTTTTAGGCTCTGTTGGAATACAGACCTTGCATCTGTCGTTATAAGAACTCTTTTCATGTGCTTGATATTTCTAGAAAAACGCCTTAGAAAAGAAAGACCGCAGACCATTTTTGCTTTTTGAGTCCCAAGCTAACCGTGAATCGGCTATAACGCAAACCGAACGCTTCTAGTGACCACTTTAATAACGTTCCTAGAATTGCTCAGAAAAAGTCCGGAACGCATTCGATTTTTTTGTTATCGAGGTCTGTGACAGGGTGGTGCGAGGGCCGGCTCTTCAGTCTAATCTCTAAGTTAGGCGCAGGCTTTGGCCTGCGCCCTATTTTAGGGACAGGATATATTTCTTAGATCCCGGCTCGGTCTGAGCGAAGCCTAAAAGCAAAAACAAGCCCGAAAAGCTCAGGTTTTATTAAGTCGAAAATCAAACTTTTTCAAACTCAAAAATCAAGTTTCTGGTTTTATAGTTAAAGGTCAACAAAAACTACGAATTTAAAAATAAGCGTTTTTCGGTGAGAAATTCGAAGTTCAGTGTAATATAGAAGACATCGAAATAAAAATTTTTAAATTTGATTGAAGCTTGGCCTGGCCCAAGCCCGCGCAGAACCTCTTCGCAAAAATTAGTCCAGCCAAGATGTCCAAGCATCCACAAGCCCGGACCTCGGTACAGCAAACCGTACGCGCCCCGGACTTTTTCTGAACTTTTCTTTTCTAATAATTCCTTCAGCGGCTTCAGCACTCTCAATTGTTTACTAGAAATTCTAAGAAACGTCCAGGAAGAGTCCGATTTGCGTTACCGAGGTCCGAGCAGTTGAAACCCGAAGCAGTGAAGCTTGCGCCGGCTAGGACCAAGTCAGGCTTCGACAAAAAAAGTTTTCAAACTTCATGAAAACATTGTCATCTTAACTCTTCTCACTTATTTTAAAATTGAAGTCTATCAAACAAGTTATGAAAATGGACGGAGACCGATAGGTTGACAATCTGGCCCCTCGCACAAGCCTGGCTAGCATGCTTTGAACAGATGTCAATCAGTTTTTGAATGAACGATAAATTTAACACAGAACCCTCAGCTGCTTTTAAGAGCATTGGGCTGGTACCTGGTATTGTTCAGTCGGCCCAGCAGTTGATCTTACTCCGTCACGGATCTTGTTTCGTCGCGAATTGAGGAAGGCGGACTTCTTGTCGTCGCGATCAGCTGAATTCCCCAAAGATAAAAATTTCAAGTCCGGTAAAGAGGATATCAGTTATATAACACGCTCTCGCTGAAATTCTCAGAATTTTTCAAAAACAGCTAATACGAATATTTTTCTTTTGATTTTGATGAAATTTCAACCAATGTTATGATATGAGTCAGGATTGCGGACACAACTTTTTGAGCCATTTTCCTTCAACCGTAGCCGGGTTACGGTAGGCGGGTGGTCACCTGCGTATCTAAGAGTTGAGGAGTTTTTCTAGGCAAGATGTATACTGATCGATGGGAATGCAATTTCAAGATGCAATTTTACTTTTATTCGTGTTTTTTAGGTCACTCTGTTCTCAATAGTTATTTCCGTTGAAGTATCCTATCTAAAAATTTGCTAGGTCATTAGCTACAAATACACACCATTAAAAACTTTTTGTCCCTAACCACCATCTCACAAAATCGCCCCAAACGGAGCTTTTCCAGCAAGTGGTCAAATGAAAGCATAGAATCGCAAAAATCTCAACTTTCAGGCCAA